CCCCCCCCTACGCACCCTCGTTGTTGCCGACCTGTGTGCGGCACACGTGCAGGGATACACGGATTAATTGGGAACAAGATGAAAGCTTCTGACCGGGTCACTCACCCAAATAGCGTTGCTCGGATGCTGCGAGATGCGCCTGACATTCTCAGCGAGCTCTATCTTGACATTGTCAGCAAAGACCGGGTAGCTTGGGTACAGCGAAGATGCAAAAAGAGCTTCGGACCACACCAACATTCCGGCTGCGTCTGCAAGATCGTAGAACTCCGTCGACTGGTAGGAGCCACCTCCCCAAACCCTCAGCAGGTTCTGATTTGCAGCTACGGCGCTATCGACTTGGTCCTTCAGAACAGATGTGGAGATGCGCGGGTAGAAAACATCGAAAGGGGTGACCTTGTTGTCGAAACCCACCGATACGTCAGCCGAGATGAAGGCAGTGATGCGGACTGAAAAAAACTCACGGAACCGCCCTGAATGTAATTCGGCTTGCCATTGACCACGAACCTGAAGTACGTGCCGGGCAGCACGCCAGCAGCCGTATCTTGAGGTGACACGGGACTCTGATCCAACCATACCGTGCGAAATCCAGTCTTCTTCGTCCATCGCGTGGCTTCAGTGTTGCTCGAAGCGCCGACGGGTCGAAGCTCAAAGTCGACGTCGTACAATTTTGGCTGTCCCAGCTTGTACGGCCACCAGAGAGCGGGAGCAGAGTCTCCGTCCGAAGGCACCTCGAAGGCGGCCCATCTGGCGACATTGTCGCCAACGCTGAGGGCGGCGCTTATGTTGGACGCGTCAAGCTTTAGTGCGAGCTCGGGGACCGAGAGTCGCACAGTGGCGCTGGTATTGGTAATGCTCCAAACGCCCATAGTCACATTGAGAATCCAGGGGGCCGTTTCGTCCGGCGGCAGATTGTTGGCTTGACCTTTGCGATACACCTCGATGCCAGATTCATAGACGAACATTTTTTTCGGCGCAGTGCCGTTCAAATCCTGTCTAGTCTGCAGTGCATTTTCGCTACGCTGTCCGTCGTCTGTAGAATCTTGTGCCTGAGCGGTGCCCAGACCGATGAGGTAGGCAGGCTTGTGCGGGCCAGCGGGAACATATGCTGGGCCCCAATCCCATCTATCAAACAGTCACAACGTGTGAAAGTGTTTAGCAGGCATGCGACCAAAAGGACTGCCTAAAGCTTTCCAACACTCACCCCAAGTCAGAACTTTGCTTTCGCACAAAGATTCGATTCGGATACACGTTGTTGGTTGTGATGCTTGGGAAGCCCATAGTCTGCGTGTTTGGGAAGAACGGCTCCCTGCTGCTTTCCTTCTTTGCGTACTCCAGAGCGGAGTCGAAGGCTAGAGTGATGTTTGCAGCCGCAGGATCGACGCCCCGAAGCGCATCCGTCACATCGAATCGCCAGCTCCTAAATTGGTTGTCTGTTGAGCCAATAGATATGTTCCCGATGCTGACGCGACAGATGGTGTCGAGCCCTTGAAAGTACAAGATCTGCCTTGCGTACTTTTGGAGATGAGGCAGCAGAGGGGCTAGGGATGCCGTGTAAGTCCAGGTGGGCTCTTCGCCGACCCACCTTGTCGTGCCTTCATTAAGGCCGACTACATAGAACAGAGACAAAGGTTTGACCAATTTATTGTGTGAGTAAGCATCAAACCATCATGGCACCCAGTTTGGACAGCGGGTCCTCACCGTTGGGGTCATCGATGATCCCGGCTCGCAGCAGCTCGAGATGTGCTTGACTGGGAAAAAGCGCGGGGACGGATACACTGCCGTTGGTGTTGGTGAGCCACCAGCTGAGCTCGAACTCTGCTGTGCTATCCTCTCCAGCAGACCGAGGCCCCCTTTCGCTGTTAGACACCGGCTTGGGGTCTCGTGCAATGAACGCCGGAAGAGGCAGCTCTTGAGCATGGGTTTGCCCGGTGGACAAGCCAAAGATGCCTTCAGGTGCTGAGCTCAGATCCACCTCTTGGCCTACGTATGTGGTGGGGGAATGGCGCTGCTCTTGAGTTTGAGCCCGCACAGCAAAATTTGTACTGGCCGCCAGAGCCAACAAGAAGCCGACTCGGCTTGTCAATGGAGAGATCATCATGTTCGTTGCCGTGCTGGGAGGGCGAAGCTGTGCTTCATGCGTGGAAGCTGTGCGGGACGGTCAGCGACTTGCTGCGCTTCGCCGCGACGTTGACGACCTTTGTCCAACGTCGAGCGTACCCCGCGATCGGTCCTCTTTATACGATCCACGATGCGTCAATCCCCCCACACACGCTCGAACCCGAGCTTCCAACACCCACGTCATCTTCCTCTCATGCTGCTGCAAGGCCTGAAGCTAAAGACGCATTGAGTGGTGTATGGTGGATGTGGGCGAACCCCTACACGAGCCGGGGCCGCGACTCGCGAAGTCCGAGCTCACCGCTGCAGCTCCGTCGGGTCTGCAGCGGTCATTATGGATTACAACGTGCGGGATCGATCAACAAATGTCCATCGGGACATCCGCGGTCACATGTATTTGTTTCCGCTCCGCAGCCCTCGACACGATCGCGACTCAAGACTTTGACTCTGAGCGGCCAGCAGCCAGCTGATGGGATGAGCATCGAGACTTGAGCTGACACTCCCGAATCACCTAGCTAGATGAGCTGCATTCAGCCAGCAGCAGCAGAGCTGACCACTTCTTGATTCACAATTCGTGATTCTTGATTCTGATCGGTGATTTTAGTCGGGCCACAACAGATGAAATCCTGCGGGCGCGTTTGTTTCCGTGTCGCGCTATTCAGGAATCAAGAATCTTGAATAGGAGCAGGCCGTGCGCGCGGCAGCGGAACTCTTGACTCACAATTTTGAATTTGAGTTTCAATAAAGCAGCAAAAGGTGCGGGCGTTTTAGCCCTTGAATTAGCTCCATCGCGGGACAGCCACATCAGTCTTGAGTCGCTCAGCCGCAATCATAAATCTTCAATTGAATGAAGAATCTGAGTGGTGAACTGCTGTGAACATGGTTCATTTACATATTTCTAGCATGGCGTACAATTTCAAGTTAAGTTTCAATCATGACTCGGATGCACGTCGCAAGGGCGCATGAAATTCATCCGCACGTTGGCGTCGCAAGCACATGGTGCTCCGCATCGGCACGGAGACAAGCAACGCGAAGGAGGCTGGCTTGCATCGACTCCCGCCCACAACATCGGCAACTAGAGCTCTCGCCCCCAGAAATTGACGATCGGCATCCAAAATCATGCTGACACGCAGAATGGCTGACACCGAACAGCGACAGCTCTCTTCAGCGTAGCTGAGAGTGGAGGATGGGCATCAATCCAGCAACTTCTTAGCGCCATCCGACCTCGTGGTCTCCTCCAAGTTGGGACGTCATTCCAGAGTCACGAATTGCAGGCCTTGGTGTACACACGATGTCGAATCCGTCATACGAGTCCCAGGTGCTGAACGCCGGCCCTGCCGACTCTGCCGACGACGACGTCATCAGGCCGCCGGTCAGTTGGTTGTTACGACTTCCAACGGAGCTGCAGATAGAGATTGGTCGCCATTTGCCTCTCGCGTCGCACTTGATCTACCACTTTCAAGTGTGTCGCGCCTTGCGCATGCTGATGACACGACCTGGTCTCATCTTTACAGGAGGTCATGGCTACTGGTCTCTGACCGAATGGCTGATAGCCGCCTCTGAGCTGCAACAGATCTTCGCACGCCGGGTGGGGCCGGTGAAAGAGGCAGGCGACCAGTTGCCTTTGCCCTCACAGAATCCACTGGGGGGCAAGGAGTACAGGGTCGCTGTGACCACAACGTCTGAAGGCGACAGGCACAGCGATCTTGCCACCTTGGCTCTCGACTTTCTAGGCCTGACTCGTGGTATTGAATCAAAGGATAGATGCGCCGTCGAAGCATGTCGTGCACCATCATCGATCCAGACGCTGCCTCAACCAGCGAGACCGATTCGAGCGCTAAGCTTCGTCGGATCTCGCGGAGTCACCGGGGAAGTTGTGTCCTCTTTGCTCACTTCTCCGCTTCTGTCATGCGTAAGGACTGTCCTCAAGACAGACCATCACGATGTTGACCGCTTATCATGTAAGTGTGAGCCACAGTCCGTCTGCTACTTCGCGTGTTGTTGCTGACGCGGTGCAATGTTCGAGCCATCATCAAGTCCTACACGCAACGAGTCCGTGGTGTCCACGTCGTGTGCCTACTGCTCTGTTGGCAAGCACGATATCAGATGACGAATTCCACTTTGCATTTGGCGCGCCGATGGCGGATGCGTCTCGAGTCGTCGGGTTATCGTCAAAGGCGAGGTGGATCTTTGGCAAGCTTCGGCAAAACACACGCCCTGCGGACCGTCTTGAGCGGCTGTCTCGTACTCGCTCTACGCGAGATAGTTGCGACGCTCTTCTGTTTGACGGCGTAGATCAATTCCAACAAAGCCGAGCTCGCTTGTCGTTCGCGATTCGTGATCGCGCGCCGCAAGCATACGCGGTCAAGACTCAGGCCGTGGTGGAGATGGGAAGCGAGGCACCCAGCTGGATGCACATTAAGGGCCGTGGCTTGCAAGCAGGATACTTTGCCCTTTGTTTTGCGGCAGAACACGTCTACTGGGCTGCTTTAAGACGCTGCGAGTCGGACGAGCGCCCCGAAGCATGGAAATCTTTCGAGCTTACGGAGGAGATCGAACAGGAGCTTTTGCAGGAGCTCGACGGACCGCTTCACGTCATTCTACACGGATCTGAGGATGAACAAGGGGCGCTGGACTTGGAAAAGGCCCTACTGTACAGCAAGATTCGTTGCGTCCACTGCCATCGACCCATCATCTGGGAATGAGCATCCCTGCTCAGTGCAGATCACTACGCAATGCCTTTGAGCCCACATCCACTGAACACAATTGTGTGATATTCGCATCCCCGAGCCACACGGTCCTCTATATCAAATCAAGACGTCACGCCTTCCAATCGCTGCTCTCCTCGAGCGACAAAAGACTAGTGAGCGTCTCCTTGAGTGTGGTGGACCAGTTCTTGAATTCGATGCCGAGCTCCTTTTGCGCGAGCGAGGTGTCCAGCGTTGCATATTTGCCCTCCAGCTGAGATGGGTCCGTGATTGCCACCGATTCCCAGCCTTTGGGCAACCTCGACTTGAGTTCTGGGTGATCTTCTGCGATCTGTCCTACCGCTAGCTCCCAAGTGTACGGCTCGGCTGGTGAAGGGGGGTGGTGCATACGCTATCAGCGAGCCTATCAAGCACCGAGCTGCTTGTGCTGCGCACTCACGTCCCGATAGCAGATAGCGGCGCGTCTTGGGCGGCGAGGGAATCGCAAAGTATGCAACGTGGGCCTGAGCGACATCTTGTGCGTTGCAGAACAAAGGTAGACGATTCTCTGGCATCGCCTCGGCCCCACTGATGAGCTGTACGGTGGCAAATAGCCAGACAGGACATTCTCCCGTCAGTCAATGCGGCCAATTGCATCAGAACGGCTGCGCATGACGCCAGCGGACTTACCCCGTAGACGGTCTTGCTGGACGTGTTTAGGTTGGATGCGTTCACGCCTGGCTGAAGAGTTGCCCCATAGACTGAAAAGCAAAAGACCGCGAGTCAATCTCAGTCTTCCAAAGCTCGGAGTAGATTCGTCACTCACTCATGGGTGGGTTGAAGGCCGCAGCGGTGAAGTTGGGCTTCTCCTTCTGCACAAAATCATAAAGAGCTTGCTCGGCCTGCACCAAGCGGGTGAGCATTAGATTGAGCCAGGGGGAAATTTGCGCCACGAGCGTATCCAACTGCGCACTCACAAGCTTCTTGCTTACAGAGTAGCTGAAGGCTCCCGCCCCTCCCATTTTAACAGCGTCATCGAACGTGGAGGGATTCCAGTCTTCAGCAGTGTAGGTGTATCCCGGGCGATTTGGGCCTCCCTTGGAGCTGAATGTCAGAGAAGACGAAGTGCATCAGCGTACAGCACAGCGACCCAGTCATAGGGAGCCGACTGACAAATCTGTTACAGCGGCAAAGGAGCTGGTCACCGCGACTCGTTCGACCGTTGAGGATTTGGCTGCATAGCGCAGCAGGTTGAGAGTGCCCTCGATGGCAGGCTTCAACAAGTCCCTCTCGGCGTCTTCCACATTCTGATGATGCAAAAGGCGAAGAGAGCAGGCAAGGCGCGTGAGCATGTATGCTGGTGTGGGCGCACAATTAGAAGCGCTCACCAGCTGATAAGGACTGGCGACGTGGGCGACGTACTTGACGTCTTTGAGCGCTTCGGTCAAGTCGCAGGTAGCTGTATCCTTCACCTCGACGAGCTGCACCCGCTCTCGCTGAGCAGGCGTGAGACGCGCAAGGAGCGCTTCCTTCTTGGATGCTGAGCGCAAAGTTCCTCGCACGCGATACTGCTGGGGCGCAGTGAGCGCGGCGTCGAGCACATGAGCAGAAAGGAAGCCGGTGATACCGGTGATGAGGACGAGATCGCCAGCCATGATGAGACGTCCAGTTGTGATGTGAGAGAGGTGTGCTGTGGTGTGCTGTGGTGAAGGATCAAGACTCGTGACCCTCGATTTGGAGGAATCCGCAAGCCTCATCGGAAGTTTATTGAGAGCCGACACACGCATTCACGATTCATGCTGAGCCATGCGGTCCGCGAAGCATGTGATTCGTGATTCTGACTGACATCACGGCTGCCATATTTGATGGCGGCAGAGCAGCTATATATAGGTACTCACAGCACCGCATTTGAATAGGCAGTTCGCTGTGGAGGTTGATTCGTGCTGATGCTGCTGCATGACGCACGCCGCTTACCCGCGGCCGTCGTCCGCGCACACAACACGTGCGAGTTAGGCTGCTGATCATGCAACCTCCGCGGATCTCCAGCTTCACTTGCGTCAATTAGGACGCGGAGCCGCGTGATGGGAGACCCCTGAATCCACGCGCACCCCTTCTCTCTCTCTGTGTGCCCTGGAAGGTTGACCTTTACCCCGCTCTTGATGGTGCTTCGTTGATTGCAAGTCGCCACCACGCTCAACCTTAATCTGAGTCACGAGTCTCGACGCTCCAATCTACGCCTGTATGAGTCTCGGCGGGGAGTTCATGTCGGCTCCATCTCCAATCCTCTCAGTGCTCCGACCACCATGGCTTCCATCCCTCGCCACTCTCTGAGGTACGAAGAATTCGCCGCCTCTGACATGGACACAGACACCTTGACATCGAGATTTCGCATTAGTCCTTCCGCAGAAGCTGAGGCTGAGGATCAAGCTACGCCCAAGGATCACACTCGTGATGACCATGCTGCTCGCTGTAGGGCGACCACTAGCGCTTTGACGCTGGATGAGGACGAATTTGACATTGAGAAGGAGAAGCAACCCTGGGTCAGCGGGTCAGGCCAGCCTCGTGAAGCGGAGCGCCGACAAAAGTACTACGCCAGCGAGACTTACTCGCCCAATTCCTATCCACCGCACCCAACCGCTCAGGGGCGGCACAGCGACAGCGAGCAGTGGAGCTACGGTGGGGCTGGCAATTATTCGCCAGGCCGAGCACCTGTGCGCGGCAGCAAGTTGGACGTCGAGAATGATGCTGGTGCAAATGGCAAGAGTGAGGCAGGCTGGGGCTTTCGAATGCCATGGCATGGCAAGGGCTATGCAGCTCCGCCTGGTGACGACTTCAAGGATGACAGCAGCGGCTCACGGTCGGATGGGGTGAGGAGCCTGAATGCGAACCTCGAAGCGTGATGGTAGCCCGCGCCCAAGCTCACGCGTATGCTCGCCTTTTCCTCCCACCTTTGCTGCTGCGATTTGTGACTGAAGCGTCTAATTGCGCGTCTCGCATCGCACTTGGGCAAGATAGGCTTCACCTTGCTGATCACTGCCTTGCTCTGGATACCTGGACTGGTCGCTCTCCTCATATATGGCGCGAGACCCTCGAACGGCTTCGCGCAACCGCAAGTGTGGAGCGTCGGCATATTTTGGTGGAGCATCTGGCTGTCTTGCTCCTTCTTGGCTACATTCGTATGCCACGTCGTAGCCAGCATCGTGCCGCGCTTCTTTTTGAGCTTGCTTGGCGGTGTTCAAGCGATCAAGACCCCGGCAGCATACTTGCTCGCCGTCAAGAGGTAAGTGCGAGCACACCGGGTCAGGCGATGACAGTGAAACTCCGGCCTCATGCCCGGCTCTTTGGCCACACAGGTATGCTGCAGCGTTCCTTTGGACGCTCTTCGTGAGTCCACAAGCCGCACCTTGTTGCATTTGCTCTCGGCCCTGTTCTGATTGGGCGCTATCTCCGTCTTAGGTCTGGATTGCTTGGCTGGTCATCATAGTCACCCATTTCAACGACCCTTCACAAAAGTCCGTGATCCAGCAGGGAGAGACAGCAGTCGAGTCGAGCTCGTCAGACGTCAGCAGTACTGCCAACCTCATCGTTACCATCGGCCGTTTCTTCTTTGGCCTCGCTCTGTGCAGTGCCATTCTACTGGTGGAAAAGTTTGCAGTGCAATGGTGAGCATTCGGAAGAATTTCTTTCCTAACCTACATCTCCGCGCTGACTTCCGAAGACCTTCATTCAGGATCGCGTATCGTTTCCACCGAGTGCAATACGAGTTCCGTATTTCAGTGGAATCTCAGCATGTTGACGTTCTGGCCGCGCTATATGCCAAAGCGCGGCCTAACTATCCGGGTCTGACGCTCAAAGCTGAGCGCGCTTACTCCGGTAATTCGTTGGGTTCTGGTGCGGTGCCAGAGCTGGCGGCCTTCGGCACAGCAAGCAGCAGGTTGAAGAGCCAAAGGATGCGGGCCACAGGCCCAAGCGCTAGCATTCTTGGCACGGCTGCTTCCTCAATGAACCCAAGTGTCATGCTTCCCTTTGGTCCAAGAGCCATTGTTCTGAGATCACTCGACTCCGAAAGCGAGACAAGGAAGCTGGCGAAGCGCATATATGCAACCTTTGCTTCGAAGTCTGCTAGCGGTGACGCATCGTCCATTGGCTTAGAAGACATCGCGGATTGCTTTCCAAATGCTCACAGAGCTACTCAAGGTCAGCCCTCACAAGCTCTCGAAGGCTTATACGTAGCTCACACTCGATCTCTCTCCCTCAGCGATGGAGCTGCTCGATGCGGACGGCAATGGGAGTGTGACCGCTTCTGAGCTTGAGCAGGGCTGTATTGCGATCAGGAAGGAACGCATGTCTTTGATGGCAAGCATGCATGACGTGGACAGCGCAGTAGCAGGTGCGATGCTGGTAGCCCTTGGAGCGTGTCAAAGCAGTATTGACAAGCCATTCCTCCACCACACTACAGCACTCGACGGAGTCTTCATGTCTTTCTACATGTTGATATCCCTGTCCATCATTGCAGCCTTGCTCTCGGTCAAGTTCAGGACTGCTGCGCTGTCGATGGGTGCTGTACTTCTTGGTCGTGAGTGGGTGCGGCGCGTTGCATCTCTGTGATCTCGGCTGATGTCTCTTCTCTGGTCGCACATCTCAGTGAGCTGGCTCATTGGCGCCAGTGCTCAAGAAGCTCTGGCCGCGATCTTGTTCGTGTTCGTAAAGCATCCAATCGACGTTGGCGACAATATTGAGATTCCTGGGCTTCTGACTGAGAGCGAGAAGAATGTGACTCTCGCCGTACACGAGCTACAGCTTCTCTCGACAGTATTCGAAACGACAACGGGCAAGCTGCTACAAGTCCCCAATGCCATCCTCGCAACGAAAGTCATTGTCAACTTTAATAGATCGGGACCCATCGATGAGCAGGTGTCCATCACTGTCGACTACACCACTGAACTCTCAGCGATCGAAGAATTGCGCCAAGACATGCTTAGGTGGATCGATTCGCGCGCTAGGGATTACCGCCCAGGGCTTGATATCCACATTCAAGATCTGGGTGATCAATCCAAGCTTGTACTGCAAGCGTCCATCAGGCACAAGTCCAACTGGGCAGACGCAAGCTTGCGCGCCGAAAGGAAGAACATCTGGCTGTGTGCCTTCAGGCACTTCATGCAGCTTCGCAAGATCTACGGGCCTTCGGGCGATCCTCATTCAGTGCCCATCAGACGAGTGGCTATGGTCGATGCGCCCAAAGCCCAGACGCCACCACTAGCGCATGCGCCGAAAAAGCCCGAGGAGTACACGTTGCTGGATTCGCGCACTCAAGCGAGTGAAGCCGAGCATGCTGCCGCAGCCGACGTCAAAGGCTATAGCACATCCCTAAGTCAAGCTCCCGCTCACGATCAACGCCAGCGAACACCGCGACGCTGAGTGTCAGCTCCAGCATTGTTAGGCTTGCGCTACATGAGGCCCCTCGACTCTCTACACCGAGCTCCGTTCGACCTCGATCGCGCGTATCGCGTCAGCCTCTGCTCACCAGTCCCGTTCCCAAGTCGTACCCATTCAGCTGCACTTATGACTTGCCATTCTTGACCCTTTGACGCTCTTCCATACCCAAGCCCGCACGTCACGAACTGAGACGACACGAATACATACTCTGGCTGGCATGCCTATCGATCAGACCTCGTGGGTTGCATTGACGCATTGCCTAGCTTCTACTTGCAAAGGGATGGACGTAGATGCGAGCAAGAGAGCAAGCGATTGGTGACGCAAGCCTCCATGTTGGAACCGCGACTGCGCCCGCCTGGCTGACATCCTAAAGTCGCGGCGGGTGGACCCTGTTGTTGATAGATCAATCATGCATTCACGTGATTGCTTGCCCTCCTGCTGGCTGATGGGACGTAATCTGATCTTGAAATCGATAAGCGTCAAAAGCCCAGGCAATGCCACGGCTGGGGCGGATGCAGCGCCGCATTCAGATTCACATTCTTGATATAGTGATCGATAGAATCCAAGATTCAAGATTCGATTATTCCCTTTCACGGATCTTTCAAGCAGCAGCGAGCGCAATCAAGGGTCCGGGTCATGGTCTGGTCTGCATTCCGCGGCCGCTTAATTCGTGATTATTACTGCTGCTTATCGAGAGGCGAGCCGCGCGTGATGCACACGCTTCTCGCGCTTAACCCCGCAGATGAAGCAGAGGAAGCTCATCTTGATCGCGCACCTTGTTCTTGATTGTGCATTACATCCAACCCGCACGACCCTCGACGAGAACGTTTTGATCTGCATTTGGCCAAACGTGCTCTTGGCTCGGCTCTTCTAGCCTTTTTGCGATTTAGTCGAGTCCGCTGTGCGCGCGCAAAGCAGTTTGCAAAGGGGTGCATTCGCACGTCGCTTGTTTGTAGCGAAGGGCGATGAAGAGATGACGGTGGTGGAGGAAGAAGAACAGGCCGCCGCGCGATGGTCCCTCGATTCGGCTCACGAGGAAGATGCGCTGAGGGGGTCAAACTCGAATAGAGCGCGCAATCCCGAGCAGCAGGCACGAAGGCACGACAGAAGCTACAGGGTCAGCTTTGCTCCTTCCGAACGCGAAATCGAAGCTGAGCGCGCTGTGGCGCTAGAAGAAGCCGGCCTGTTGGAGGTGGCCCGCAGAAGACGGAGGAGGTGAGAGGCAAGGCTCTCGACTGAGCATGAGTCATGGCTGGCTGACGTGATCTCCCCTGCTTGCGATGCTCAGATCATACATTGCGGTGTACCTGTCCATCTTCAGCGTCAGCTACGTCACCTCTTTGGACGCCAACACCGGCTTCCTCTATCTCAACTTGGCCTGCTCCGAATTCGATGCCTTGGCCTCTTTTTCCACCATCGCCATCGCTCAGCAGCTGTGCTACGCCATTGCAAAGCCGTGAGTGGAGATGCAGTCATGGCTTGATGAGCTTTCTCACATCTCGTGAATGTGGCTGCACGGACTTGAAAGCTCATACCGCGCTCTGAACAGGCCAATCGCGAAGCTCAGCGATGTTTGGGGCAGAGCGGAAGCTTATATGCTATCGCTGCTTCTATATATGCTGGGTATCGGACTCATTTCAACAGCTCACTCGCTCGAAAAGCTTCTCGCGGGCATCGTTCTCCAGGCGTGCGGTAATACCGGCGTGCAGGTGTGAGTAAGCCGCCACCTGTCATGAAAAAGACACGCTTTGCGTACTAAAGATTCGAGCGTCCTTTGCATATGGGGATGTACAGTCTGCAAAGCATCATCATTGCGGATACAACCACCGCTCAGTGGAGAGGGGTATGTCCAATGCCGCACACCTCACGATGAAAGCCTACCCCGACTCACTGCCTGCGCGCCCTTCCTTTCGCGAAAGCTCGCCATCGGTATCGTGAACACGTGAGCACCACTAGTCTCCTGCCACAGTTGCAAGCGTGGGCTAAGAGAATCCGCGGCGACTTTGCATCTCGCTCAGTCCTTACCTCATCAACTTCGCCATCGGTGGTCCGCTGGTACGCGCCGTGCTGGACAACAACCTGGGCTGGCGAGGTGGCTACGCTCTTTGGCTCGTCTTCCTCCCTATATCTGCAGCACCTCTTCTGATCACATTGATTGTCGGTCAAAGAAGAGCAAAGAAAGCTGGCATTCTTGTTCGCGATCCCATCTTTCGCAATGGCTTCTTCAAGGCGCTCAAGCGCCTTGCTGTGGATATCGATGCGCTCGGCCTGTTGCTTTTCAGTGCCGGTCTTGCGCTCTGCCTTGTTCCCTTGACTCTGGCGGGCAGAGGCACTCGAAGATCAGGTCAGTCCGTCCAGGAGCTGCGGATGGGAGAGCCAGCATTATGATGAGCTGACAAATCGTTTCACCCGATGCCACCCGACATTCTGACAGATGCACCGGCGTGCGCTTTGGCTGGCCTTGGACTTCTTATTGCCTTTGCATATCAACAGACGCGCGCCCAAGTACCCATGATACCGTACAGAATATTGCGCAACACGACAGTGGTCAGCATATGCATGATCGCTGTTGTGGACTTTGCGAGCTTCTACCTCAGCTGGACATTTGTTTCGGCGTTCGTACAGGTTGCCAAGGGCTGGGACCAAGCAAAGACAGGCTACTTCGCGTGAGTGGCGTGCATGTAGTGCTTTCGATTGTGGCTTGACTGAGAAATTACAATCCTTCTAACTTTATAGTACAACGCAAAACGTCACATCAACAGTGGTCGGCATATTTGTTGGCTGGCTCATGGCCAAGACGCGTCGCTTCAAGACGATCCTAGTCACCGGCGTCTTGGTCCGCCTGTTGGGCGTTGCGATGATGGTCCGATACCGCAACGCGGACACGCCATCGTTCATCCTCGTGCTCTCGCAATTAGCCCAAGGAGCGGGTGGGGGTCAGATTGCCATCACGATGCAAGTTGCCGTTCAGACCGCAGTGAGACACGCGGACGTGGCTCTATCCACTGCGCTGGAGCTATTGTTCGCCGAGGTCGGCGCGGCAATGGGCAGTGCACTTGCTGGACTCGTCTTCTCCAGAGACCTTCCTCCTGCACTCGCTCGATCCCTGGTGCGTTGCGTGCAAGGTTGCTTTCACCGTGAAGCAATACTTACCTTTAGCGTCATGTCTACTCTGCTCAGCCTGAAATGCCAGAGGCAGAGCGTCGAAGGATATACGGCAGCCTGAGCGTCGCGCTCTCGTACCCCCTCGGCACTCACGAGCGTACAGGTATCACCCTCGCTTGGACGTCGGTGATGCGGACCCTGTGTATTCTGGCAGCTGTGGTTCTGCTTCCAGCCATCGTCTTCAGCCTGCTTTTGCCCAATGGTCAGCTTGCGGACGCCAATCATCCTGAAGACGAAGCTGGCGTTGTAGGCGTCGCGAGAAGAAGATCGAGTGTCAGGTCAAGGAGAGCCTTGCGTAGGCAGAGCGTGAATGAGGCAAGCAGCCTCTCACGCTCCAACACGGATCGATCAGGCCGAGAAAGACCGCACACCATTGGCAGCTCTGGGGACCTTGCCATAGGCTCCTTGGATGGACTGAGTGCACCTCACGTCTCGAGTCTCGAAACACGATCATGAGAAAACACGGTGCAATCTCAACGAATGATATCCGCTATCGCACCTGAAAGACCGTTGCCCTGTGTGTGGTCTGCAGCCCCGAAATTCTTATTGACTACGGTCAAGCATCATACCGCTTCGTCACAACACACGACGTCACTGACCATCATCACCTGCAGCAGCAGCAGCGATGAGAAAGGCACGGAATGAAGATTGTATGGACAAGTGTGAACTGTGATCTCAGGTGGGCAAGGCCGAATGACCCGATTCCGACGGCCAGAGTACAAGGATGCAACGAAGTGTTTGCAGGAAGAATTGAGAAGTTTGCAAGTGATGTCGAAGCAAGCAAGGGGGGAATTGGATGTGGCAAGATCAATTCAGGCGAAGCTGAGCTGTCGTACACTGCGTCAAGCCCCTCCGTCATAGTCCATGATGTGCAGGTGTGGAAAGTTGAAGAGAGTGGGGGATGATTATTGAATGCTGGCGGAATCTCTAATGATGTCTGGTATGATGTAAAGCTTGACCCATGTTGGAACTCAGAACCGCTCAGAAGGACGTCCATGTGCTGAGACGATTTTGGATGCGCGTTATGATTCCCGATCATGCGCACATTCCTTTGAGCGTGAAAGATTTTGTAAAGGACAAGACTCCACTCAGAGCATCATCGCACCAGCGATGAGAGCAGCGGACAGCGTGAGGATGCCCGCAACGCCGGCACCGGGAACAAGAGAGGCTGCGCCAGAGTTGCCGCCAGAGCTGCTCGAGCCAGAGCCGGATCCGCTGCTGGTGCCAGTGTTCGAGGCACCGTTTGCGCCAGTGCGAGTAGTGGAAATACCGGAGGAGCTGCTTCCGCTGACAAGAGACTTGATGCCATTGGCAATGCTGCTAGCCGTGGTGCACTGGCTGGTCGAAGGTAGCGAGTAGGCAGCGCTAGGGGTCTGTTGGTCTGGGGAAGCGTTGATGAAGGTCTGCACGTCACCGCCGGGAGCAGTGTAGACGGAAGAGAAGTACTGCTGGAAGGTAGACGTAGAGCCGTCTGGTTGAGGGAAGAGACCAGGGGGGTACGCAGCGTCACCGTCGCACGTGTCGAAGGAGTTGTCCGCGTAGTTTCCTGGCATCACCCAGTTGCAGCCCATCTCATCAAGGGTGTGTTGGCACTCGAGTGGAGTGGGTGCAACGTCGGTACCGGCAATGCAGATACGGATGCAGGCTTGGTCCACAGAAACGAAGTTCATCCACTCCTCGTAGAAGACGTCCTTCCCAGAAACGTTGGAAGTGACGTTTCCTCCGACAGGGTTACCCATGTTTGTGGCACCGTGAGGGTCAAGCTCTCCACCTTGGTCTCCGGGAGCGAAGCCAATCCTGGGAGTCGGGAGAACTTGCCATCAGCATGTTGCACCACTGGCACATCGAGGACAGACACCACCAACTTACTTGGTGAAGTCACCCAGAGCCATCAATTGGACGTAGAGAGGAGTCTTGACGAAGTGGGCAGCGGTGACAGTGCCATCGGGGATGACACGAGCGTTGTTGCGAGGCTTTGTGCAGTACTAGTGCAGGGAACAGGTCGCGATCGTTGAGATTAGTTCACGACGCTGAATGGGTGGCAACGCGTTGGGCCCACCGTCGTCGGTGTGATGCTAGTGCGCAAGCGATACTCACAGCGACAACTTCACCCTCGACGTTCGCAATGGTCTGTCCATTCTCAGGAGGTCCGTAAATGCACCAGTCATCGACGGAGTTGACGGACACGAGACGAGCCATGGAGGTCTGGTTAATAGGCGTGTTCTCTTGCGGCGTCTTGGGGTTGGTCGGGCCGTTGGAGTTGCGGCCAACAACACCAGCCATGTTGGGGTTGGGAGTTCCGTACTGGAACTTGGCTTGGGCAGCCACGCTGGAAGCGAGCACCGCAACGGCGCAGAGAGACTTGACAGCGAACATTTTGTCGGAAGAAAGGCTTGGTGAGAGGGGTCGTTGATGAGTAGAAGCGGTAGGATGTGAATATCGTGGCGATCAAGGAAGTCGGAAGCAAGTGAAGGTGTGAGCGTAGCAGAAGAAGTGGTGATCGTAGAGTCGGTGGTGGCGAAAGATGGAACAGCGCGTTGAGTTTGGGAGCGGAGAGGGGAATGAGGAAAAGGGTTGCAACGCGGACGGCACGACGAGCTCGGGAATTTGAGGCGCTGCAAAGGATGAGAGCAGGGAAAGGGGATGCCAACGAGTTGAATTGCAAACGGGCGCTCGAGCAGTGTGGGTTCGTGCATCGGCGGCTTGGCTGGTCCAACGAAGCAAGTCAGCCACCCAGACCGTCCGCCTGACGGGCAAAGTGGAACCAAACAACGGCTGGCTGGCTTGCTGGCTTGCTGGCGGGGCAGCTGGCAGGCAGGCAGGCAGGCAGGCAGGCAGGCATCAGCATCCACACAGCATGCAGCTCAACGGTCCCCAGCTTTGCGTGGGCTTGCACGAGTCCGCAGCGCGAGCGGGTGACACTGATGCGACTGCATGTGGCCTCGATGTGCGCGTGGCTAGCAGACACCGCTTGTGTCGACGGCTTGCAGCTCTATAACGGCGCTGCTGCTGCCCCTCAGCTTTCCGTGCGTCTCCTGGCCGTGCATATCTACAGTACCAGTCCTGAATCGGTGCAGAAGATGCTGCTGCATGGGTGCCAATCAGCGGGCCTCGTTCTCATCCGAAGCAGCATGCAAGCCGAAACGGCATGGCAGCATAGCATAGCATAGCAGAGCGGCAAAGAGTTCGGCATGCAGTCGAAGTCCGCCTACGCTTCTGACGCTCCTCTGGCGCAGAAGCTGCATGATCTTGCATGCAGCAGCAACTCGATTGCATGGCGGCTGATGTCTGCGGTTTATGGGGCGGCGACTTAATTGTGGACGCGACACACAGGCTGGGACTTGACAGACATTCGCCGAGACTCATGTGTCCGCACAGCTTCAGTGATTTCGAAGCGCCACGGAGCAACTACTACTCTGTCGTGGAGCGTTTCTGAAATGCCAAAATGTACAGCTGATGAGGTCCGAGATCAAAGCCTCGAGGGCTACCCATTAGTATAGTCAAAACCAGTCGTCCTCACCACAGGGAGAGGCTAGAAGAAAGGCCTTTCGTGCAGGCAAGTCGTGAGTGACGGCTGAAGAACGCTAATGGTGGCACTGGGCTGCACGGTACGAGTGATTTGAACGGATTGCTGATGGGTCAGCTATAGCGCGCAGACACCAACGCATGGATTGAGTTGAGTTGAGGCTCCGCGGCGTTGCCGCCTGGCCCTCTTCCGCTGGCCGTATGCTGCAGTGGGCATGCTGGGCGGGCGGGATTGTGTGGCCGCTGCCGCAGGGCCGACGGCACCAGAGCCTTCGGCTGAATAGCATGCAGGCCGCGGCATGCAGCAATCGTCGCGTCGACTCGAGAAGATGCATGGCGGGTCATCAGCTCAGCACATTAGCAGTCTTGATCACTGGACTGTGATGCATGTAACGGCTCTTCCTAACGCGACGTTGGAATTGAGATGTTGTGCCCAAGGCGCACGTAAGGTGTTGTTGTTTATATAGCGGTCGCAGCATATTGGACCGCTAGAGAGGGGTTTCGCGCATGTTCGAGATGAAACAGATGCATCTCCTCAGAATCCTCACGCTTCTCCTTCGTGGTTGGGCTGATATATAAGCAATTAAGATCCAAGTATCAACACACGTTGAGAGTGTGTATCAGTGCAGTTTGAGTGTGAGTAGTACGTTGTAGCAGTCTTGAGTGCGTGAATCTTCAAGTCTCACAACTGATCTCGTTTGCCATCAAGCATTGTAGGCCTCGCTTGCTTGATGAGTTGGGTGAGATGTCCGAGGCGCATGATTCGTGATTTCTCTGCCTTTGTTCAGCGCCCCACCATCCATGTTCAAACATGAACAATTGCACGCTGATGATGAGTCCTCATTTGACTGTACTTGTACCTCGTACCAGAAAATAGAACGGCGCGGTGCATCCATGCGCGCGCATGCTTCCCTGCATGCCTGATGGAGCAGCAGTACATGACTGCGACTACTGTAGTGGCCGTGAACGTGCATCTGCAGCAGCAGAAGGTGAGGGAAGCCCATCCACCAGCCATCAGTAGTCTCATCAGTCAAGAGTGCAATAATTAGTGAGTGCTGCTACCACGCACCACAGCCAGGAGACCAACACCCGTGACTGGGAGTCTGCTAGAGGCATGGATGGTATGTGCATGGACTGACCTGACCGTTGAGCGGATCGACCAAGTCAAGAAGTCTGATCATGCGGTGCCAATCTTGGATCTGTGAATAGTCAAGATTCAATTTGGCACATCGATATGCGCAAACGCCGACAAGGAGCACGCAAAACAGCACACCAGTCAAGCCGCGGCCAGGTAGATGAGCGAAGAGCTAGGGCCAAACATGGCGAGGGCGCTCCGCACGACTTGATCGTCGCAAGCTGAAAGCGTGAGGCACGAATTGAATCGAACGGTTTGCCACACCGCTATATATATGTATACGCACTCAAGACTCTCTTGACTCGTGACTTCGGGGACATCAGCATTCATGATGAACCCGACTCATCAATCTTCAGGGGCGCGCGGGCGCAGCAACGAGTTCATGCAGCCCAGGTGCAGCATATAAGATGCGTGATAACACACAAGAACAGACAATACATGCAGATATGCTGCGCTTGATGGGAGCCTTTTGCACTCGTTCGATCATGTTGGCGACTGCGCTTGCCACAGCATTCATTCGATATTATCGTGATGATAGACTCTGCGCACATCGCGTGTGCTGCTCCCTATAGCTCTCTGCCTTGCGCACGGGCGTAAACAGCCATCGCTGATGGATGGGCGTCTTTTAGGTGCTGGACCTCGATTTGATTCTCGTACGTAGGCCTCGCGGGCTCGACTGATCGAGCCAGAGGCGCCCGCCCACTCACGAACCTTGAGTAATTTTGACTCTTAGCATGCAAGAGGAAGATGTTCCTCGACTTGGATTTCCGCTGCGCCTCATCCAGATTGAAAGGCTCTCGTGAGACGCTTTCGTTGTCTTCACTCACGAGGTCCCAGAACTGCGCGGTGCAGCGTACGTCACGTGCGAGCACGGCAATCACACCATTCAAGATTCAAATTCCCGGTAAAACTTTCTCGAAGCCGATCTTTCCACCACATCACGTGCACGCCTCAACCTCGCCGCAACTTTTCGATGAAGCGCAAGCGTACGCGCTTGCTGGCTCCACATCTTCGACCCCGTATACCCATTCACGATTCGTGATTCCGAAATCAAGATCTCGATTCCATCTGCTCTGTCACCGACGTTCATTTCACGAATCCTGCACAATTTGCAGTTTGTGCCGTCGGCGATCTGCGTGGCTCGCAAGCAGCCTAGCATCCTACGACACCATAGTACGGCGCCATGGAGACGCAGCACAAGCCTTGGCTGCCCGAAGCGATTTCCACTTCCCATCTTGCTCTCTTTTCTCTCACAGCTAATCCAAGCTTGGCAGCCGATCTGCACGCTTCCCTTCTTGCCGCCGCTCGTGCTTCAGACGACGAGACTGGTCGAGCTGCAAAGGCGCGCGTCGACTTCGCGCTCATTGATGCGGCTACCATCGTATCCGAGGCCCACCTTCACACCGCTGTTTGGCAAGCCCAGACCGCCCTCGGAAATGGGCTGCAGAAAGCCAAGAGCAATCATGCAGAGGTCATATATAGACTTGGCATCACTAACAACGTGAGTCGCAGACCAGATGCTGGTCGTCTCGCATTCCGTCATGTTGAACCATCCCCTGCTGTCCTCAACCTTTCCGGATCACAGATAGGCGACGCTCTGAGAACTTTTGGCCTTACCCCAACCACCACGCATCTCGTGCTCATCCGCTTGAGTGCTCCTTCATTGCGGGTCAAGGAAGTCCTCCAGCAAATGCAAGCGCTCGTACCTGGTGCAGAACTGCTTCCTCTTAGCTCTCTCGGCCTTTTGCCCAACCAAGACCAGAATGCACCGTCAATCACTGATCGGCAACGGATTTCCAAAGCTTACAAGCTTCAGACTACGGACCAGAAAAGCGAATTGAGCGTTCAGGAGAGCAAGAAAGTAGAGTCGCTCGTCGTCGGTGCGGTAGCAGCAAAGAGCATCGCTGCGTGATGCAACATTTCGCAAGCATTCTCTCGCCCATGTTCGACGCTTGCATCACCAGAAACCTCTCGACTCTTGACCTGCGCTAGCGAGTCTCGATGAAATACTGCCGAGGTCGCAGCTGTTCCAATGCACCTATCGATCTTACTGGAAGTCAACGTCACGATGCGCCTTCACGGAAACGGCCAGCTGCTCACCACGTGTCTATGTTCAAGTGGGCGCTCTCGAAATGGCTTTGAGAATGGCGGAGAGCGGCGCTCACGTCAAGCGGCACACGGAAAGCGTCATCTGCAACGCATCACAGAGGCATCATATCAAATGTTTTTGCATCGAGACGACGCTCTCAAGCGGGTCGCTTTGTACAGCGGTATGTAGAAAAGCTCAAAGCTTGCCTTTGGTTTCACCTTCCGTCGCGGCGGGCGCCTCCTTTTCGCACATTTCTTTCATCAACCTGAGCGCATCGACAAGAGCCTTGGAAAAAGTGGCTGTCGGGTCTTTAGAGTTCATTGGAGAGTGCTTCGTCTCCAGTCCAAACTTTAATAATTGGCCACCAGCGAGGTAGTTGGTGCCCACGCCATCTTCGAAGCCGGACCCAAAACCGGTTCCGCAGAATCTCAAGCCGCTGCTGAGACCGGATGTGGACAACTTCCAGGTCTGACTTTCGCCGAGCAATTCATCGCCAAGCAGGATGCGCGCCCCGGCTTCGCAAGCCTCTTCAGGAGTTCCGTCCTCCTCTGGATTGTACGCCAGTCGCAGACCAGTCAAATGTCTATCAAAACCTTTGCCAGTCGATGCGGCCCTGGTTTGTGCATTGTGGGACTGGCAGGCAGCCGAGAGGAGTCTGTAGATCTCCGACGCCTAGCAGCGAACGAGGAGCATGCCTGCACTCAGCGCCAGATGTACCATGATGTGATCGGACTCGCATCACCTTCGACTCACCGGCTTCTTTTCCCGCACCGCGCGGACGAATTCGTACGCCTCGTTGCTGAAGCTTCTGATCACGTCTGTCCTGCCGTGTTTGAAGACGCGTGTGCTGGCGGTCTCGTACGTAGGACTCTGATACCCTTTCACGTTGGCGTAAGCAAGTTGCAGTGCCATTTGGAGGAAGGCGTCTGGACTCTGCTTGGCCACCTTCTTGATCCACTCCGCTCCGTACTCGTCGTACCACAACATGCCAATATCGCTCGTGCTGACCAATTGTCTGGCCGCAGCGGCAGAGCTCGCAATGGAAGCGTGCGCCTTATCGTCCAGCTCCCACTGCAGCTTCTTCCATGACGCAGTCGCGCCAGCGGGTCCAGCAGGTGCAATGGAGTTCGGGAAAGGTTGACCAGGCTCGGGAGCTGGCTCAGCGAGGGCGAAGTCGATGACAATGCTGGGGATCAGGGCGTCGCACGGGGAGTGCTCGCCATTGATACCCCCTCGACCGTTAGGCTCCATCACAACGCTGAGTGCCTTGTCGAACCATCGGTTGTGGCCCCCTCTGCCAGCGCCGGCAATGTTGCGCGCGTGCGCATCTACGGATGCTGGAGTCGCAGTCGTCACAGGCTCAGGGTGTCCTGACACGTTTGGCAGCACTGACGAGTCTAAAGACACCACAAACAAGCAATCTTCCAAAGCACCAAGGGTGGCTCGGTTGACCTTTGAAATGGCGAGGAGATGTTCACGGGCCTAGACGAATGACAAAATTCGATGATTCGATGAGCTTACGCTTGAAGCAAGGTCAATATCAGTCTACTCACCCTTGCCCAAGTGTCCCGATCGTCGGCGGTGAGGATGCCAACTGCGTCTCCGTCCGCCTTCTTGGCGTCCTCCACAATGTCCGTGAATGCCTTCTCTATCTCTTCCAGGGGCCGAGTAACACCATCCTGGCCAAGCACTTCCACTTGATAGAAGTTGTTTCGTGCCATGACGCAAACGTGGCGAGCCACTGTGGGATGCGGCGTCGCTGTATTCCAATCGTGGGGGATGGCAGGAATGCGGGAGACGCCGAACAAGCTGAGGGGATGGTCTTCGCATAAGAAGAAGGCGTGCAAACGCTCAGGTGGAATGCAACAGGCTCTGCTCACCGCGTATACTGGTGCATGCAGAAAGCACTCGACCTAGATGCGTCTGGCATAATCTCTTGACTGCAATGAGCAAGGTAATGAAGCATCAAGCTCAGCGAGAGCTTCCAAAGGCGGCAATGCTTGCTGTGCGCGCTTAGTCTCGAATGCGGGAAAGGGAAGAAAACTCACTGATCGAGCCTCCTCTTGAATTCCAGCAATCTGCCAGTGATCCAGGTCGCTCTTCTGATGCCCCACTGCTGCCCCTTCCACTCTTTCGCTCCGAGCGCAACGCTGAAATCCTCAGAAGGAGTCAGCGCTCCATACCTCTCCGGCTGCACTTTGCCCAGCTCCAAATCTGCAGCTGGTGTGTTCGGATCCGCGCGGAACATGAGCCACCAGTTGGAGTTGACCAGTAGCGGAACGCGCCATTCGTGGTAAGCTTTTTGCAGCCAGTATCGATCGTCCAGCCAATTGTCTGGGGTTGTGCGGTCCACATCTGCGTCGAGCGCAACAGGAAGATCATAAAATCAGATTGACATTTGGGGCTGCGCTCGCATCAAGCGCGCCCAGCTTGGCACTTGCAGCTGATCAAGCTTCGTCACTGACCAATCAGACGCTGCTGCAGCTTTCTAGCCAGACTGCCCTCCTTCACGGCCTCTTGAGCCCATTCGGCGCGCTTTTGCAGCTCGCTGGCAGCAGTGGCGCCGGAAGGGAGCTGGCCGAGCTCTTCCTTTTGCCTCAAGACCGGTTCAAGAGACTTGAGGTACCTGGGGAAAGTCTCTTCCAAGGTTGGGACTGGCAGACGTGGCAGCTCTCCTTGCCTGGAAAAAGTCTTTGGGGGCGCACTGCCGGGAGCGCCACGGAAGGGTGTCAGGGCGAACATGGCTGGAAAGCTGGTGCTAAGGGATCGCCGAGCAGGAACGATTGGCGGAAAAGCAGTTGGAAAGGTGAGATGCACGTTCCTGGCAGGGATGTGCGCCGATCGAGAATGAGTGCGAACAGCTGAAAAGACTTTGCGTGTAGCGACCAGCATTACGAGGTGCCTTTGGCGCTTTCAGCGTGGTGAGCCTGACAGTCTGTGGTGGCTGTTCTGAATGAAGCCTCGCTCTCACCCTTGCATGCAGCAGTGTAGCTAGCTCTGCTTGTGATCTGGCAGCTTGCTCAGAACCGATGCCGCGATGCTTGTTGTGCTCTGTGGCTGCTGAACAGTGACAGTCGTCGCAAAGACAAGGAGAGTAGGACGCTGGGCGGACGATGAAGAGCTGCTTGTAGCTTGGCTTGGTGATTCCACCAGGTCATGACGAGGTGCAAAGCAAGAAGAGGCGTACACCTGCCGAACCTCGCCTGTTGAAACGCGGGGAAGCTCAAAGCTTGACGGCGAATGCGGTGCCGCTGGGATTGAGCTTGAAGCTCATCGTCTGATGAGGCAGAAAAGCGTGATCTTCGCCTGTGATGCCTGCCTGCCTGCCTTGGCTGCGTGTGGCCTGTTGTTGCCTTATTGACGTGCATGCCTCAGCCTCAAACAGCAGCACCACCTTGCATATCCTTGCAGCACCCTCGCTGCGACGCGTGAATCCGCGCTGCGCTCAAAGTGCAGTCGTGAGTCTATATGAGTCGTGAGTAGTATAATCAAGGACCATGCGCGCGGCCTCGTTAACGCGCGGCTAAACGGCAAGATCGCATGCCCGAAGGCCGGTGCTGCATCGCGATCGAGGCCTCGGGCATGCGAAAGATTGACTGATCCGCGCTCACGACCGCCTCGGCGCGTACAGATTCCTGACTATATTCGCATCTCTGCTGCAAATCACCCTCTCCGTCATCAAAGCGTAGGCCTCAAGGAATGCATCGCCCCGGTTCCACCATCGATGCGGAAAAGGAAAGTCGATCTCGACTTTGCTGGCGTCTGTTGGCTTGCGCGGTGAGGTCGACGCAAGTGAAGCCCAAGACTTGTACGCGTCGCTTTCTGACGAGACGCTGCCGAGGCGGCGGACCTTTCGGGCATCTGCGCTCGTCTCCGGCTTCCGAGATCACGCGCGAGTATCAAGCACGCTGGTGCGCCGAGCGGGCTTGGCAAGGGCTTGATTCATGAGGACGATCATACGGTGATTCGTGATCAACCTGACGCGCTCGCCACGTCTGCTCTCATTCAGAGATTTGTCGTTTCATTTGGCCACTTTTCGTACACACAAACGACCCATTTCGCGCGTGAGTGCAGTTCGCTTCAGCCAAGGGTATGACATTGGCTTCAAAGTATGTACAGGTTGATTCAAGTAGCTATCACCTTGCCAGCAAGGATGCGACGTCTATGTGAAGAGAAAAATGGTAATGCGATTGGTCTTCCAAACAGCGACTGCAGCGAGAGTGGTAGGAGATGGACGGGAGTACGCCGGATGCAAGTGACGGAATTGGATTTGATGCTGGCCACAGTGTCCTCGATGTTGCGAAAGGTAGAAAGTAGTCGCGACTGAGACTACAGGTAAAGAGAGGAAGCGATGCCAGCTGCCAAGGCAATGCTCAGGAGGGTGATAGGTTGCTTCAGGAAGGTACTCATCGCGCCTGACTGTTGATCGTCCTCAGAGACGGCGTCGGTAGAGCGTGCGCTGTCAGCAGAAGTGGATGAGGACGGAACGCTCTTTTTGATGGCGGGCTTCTGGACCCAATGTCTGGGTCTCCACCCGGTAGGCAGATTATCGACGTCAAACAGAGCAGCACGTCCCACGTCGCTCTCAAAGACTTTCTCTGCATCGTGGTCTGCGTCTTCGACCACAACAAGCTTGGTGCCGATGATGCCTTGGCTCAAGTTTGACCAGTCCGGCAGTTCGCTAAAGTTGCCGGGGAAGCCCGTCAGATCCTCATTGGTGCGAGCTAAGGTGTTGATGTACTGCCACCAGGCCAAATTGCGGTCACGACGGGCGACACCTCCCTGCAGCAAAGCCATGCAGTATTGATCACCGCCTGCTGTGGTGTCCTGATACCCGACAATGGACACGACATCTCGCGAGATATATTGTTGAAAGTATTCCTCGGGCTTCTTGAGACCATCGGCAGTGCCGGTGAAGTTGTCAAATCCATAGCGCCACGTGTTGTAAAGGGGGCAGTCAGCGATGCTGGCCACGCTTTCGTCGGTGAGCGGCCGATCCTTGGTGAAGTAGACACCACTGGAGGGGTCGCCGTGGATGTATCGAATGTGGATGTTGGACGGCTGGTTCTTGGCGATGGTCGCGTAGCGCTGTCCGAGTTGTCCTCCCCCACCGTGGCCAACGACCGTGACGTTGGTGAGAGCTGGGTACGTGTCCTGATCTGCGAGCGACTCAATGATGGCGTCTAGTGCGTCGATAGACGTCAGCTGGGTGTCGTCTGGGTGACTTGCCGGGTCACCAGCTTGCCAGGCATTGACGTCGGGCCAAGCGAGTTCGTTTTTGCTGTACTGCTTTTCGTTGAATTTGGTGGAATAGAACTGAGGTGCGATGACGATGGCATTCTCGTCCACTCCTTTGTAATTGGCGTCGATGGCGCTCTGCAGCACGTTGTTCATCGTCGTCCAGTATTCGCCGCCGTTTCGCAGCTTGCCATGGATCATGATGAAGGCGTGCGTAGCCTTGTCATTTTCGTTCTGGTCACTGATGTACGTCGCAATCTGCTCGCCGCCTGACCCAACATCGATACTGGTCAGGCGCGCCCCCTTGGGTACGCTGTCCTGAGGATCTGAGTGATCCTGCGTTCAAGAATTGAGGTGCAAGTGGTCAGCGGCGCGAACCGACGTGAGTGTGAACACGACGACGACGTAATTCCATATCCAGCAGAGTGGCTCGGACAGGAGTGTGCAGCGAAGGGAAGCCATGCAGTACCGCGCAACTCCCGCGTCTTCGGGACGGCATAGTGCCTTGCACGCGCAAACTCCGCTGCCGGACCATGGAATATGGTGCGCGACCTCGCGGAACTGCGGAGGCCGATTATCGAGCGACCGCGGCATTTCCTGACCTCTCCAAGCCTATAAAGGGGTGGTAGTGGTACACCTCAATGCCTCTCGACTGCACCAGCCGCACGAAGCTTATGCGCGAGCGTCACCATGAAGAGGAGCGTTGAGCCAACCATCGGGACCCCACGATGCAAATTGAGAAGCGGCAAGCCTCGGCGGAAGTGTACGCTGTCGCTACTAGTAGACTGACGGTAGCTCGAGGAAAGAAAGCAGTGGGCCGACCGAGCGTGATACACAGCATCGATCACCTCTTCCATGCGCCGATAACAAGACACTGTCGCTCAGCAAACCGAGATGGGCCTGGAAGTCGCGCGACGCCTGCACGTACGGCACACAGAGAAGCAGTCATGGAGATGCCTTGGTCGCGAATGCCATTCTACTACACCGAATCGAGAAGGCGTGCTCGTTCCTCCCTCGCATCCCACCCATGCAGCTTTGGCGTCCCTAGCTGAAAACCGTCTGCCGCCTCTGCACCTGGCGAGCACGCTGCACCACCATTGTATAATCTCCTCCGGCCCGCGAAAACTCACCTCGCCTTCGTTGTTCTCTGGCAGCGTCGATGCCATGTAAGTGGACGCATCACGTTTGGCAAAAGGGTGCTCCGATGCTGGTAGAGCGCCATCGACAGAGCGCTTTGCGTGGGAATCTGTCCGACGCTGACGAACATCAAAGCGATGGCTGTTTGAGCTTGTTGAGCCGATAGCCGTGGAGATGCAGAGCGCGGAAAGCACGACGGTGAGTGCTGCTGCAGACCTCATTGTGGTAGTGACGTTTCCCGAAACGTCGGATTGCTACTTTTGGCTAAGCTGATCGGGAGTACGGAGTGCCTGGCAAGGTGTGAGCGATGCTTGAGCGGCTCAGCAGGTGCGGCGAGCGAGGTGAAGCCGCAAGAGCGCCGGAGACAGCGAGCTCAAGAGTAAGGAAGACGTTGCCGGAAGTCGAGGTACGTAAAGTGAAGGAACGTTGATTGAGATCGCCGAAGTGGACTGCTGAAGGGATAAAGTCGAGATCGGATCAACTCTCAGAACCAAATTAAATGCAAAGGGTGTTGTTGGATTCGCCTTGCGGTAGTATCGAGTCTAGGGTTCAGAGTCAGAAGAGAGTATGTGGGGAAGCGGATGCTGATGTGGATGACGCTGTGCAGCTTAGGCAGGCAGAAAAGCGGCGTCAAAGGTGAAGAAGGGATCTGATGCCAGTTCAGACCTCAAGGCAAGATTGTGCGGTAAAGTGAGTGTGATGTGTGCGGATGCCGTGATAGAAGCAAGCGGGCTAAAGGTAAGTAGTCAGTTCGACATACTGTAGGGTAGCTAGGGGGATCGAAGGGGGGCACACGACGAAGCGCTGTTGGCTATAGGAGCACCTGCACCGACAGCAACCGCATCTCGCGAATGATCGATACCATATCGAACTACTCGTGACTGCTCGGGCGCTCATGCAGCAGCAGCAGCAGCAGCAGCAGCAGCAGCAGCAAATCGCGAAACCGTTGCAACGAAGCGACAAAAGTCAGAGTCCCCGACCCGCCATTCATGCTGCTGGGCTCTCATCATGTATACCTATTATGCAGTACGTGTCAACACAGCCTAGGTGCTTTGCTGCTCTCACACTTCGGCGTTATGGACTTTGACTGCCACCGGTCTTTGTGCGCACGAACCCAGCGCGACTCTCATCGGACCGGTACACACATTGCTTGAGGAGCACGTACGCGTATTCTGGCAGAAGTCCGGGGCCATACATATGCAAACCCCTCTTCTTCTCATTTGGCTCACTGGGCGCACAGCAGGTGAGTGGCCTGAAGACATCACAGACGCGGCCGTTCGATCGGTGCTTCGGTACATGAGAAGGGTCAGCCAGCCAGCATCAGCTCATCTCATCAGCAAGTCCTGCTAAGCGGCTTCATTGTTGTGCGTGTTTGCCTGCTATAGACGCTTGCCGTTATTGCCCATCGCACTGGTGACTCGATCTGCAGCAGCCTGACCTCGTCTGCCCACTTTGAGCCGCATCCCACAAACATGCGCCGCCAGCCTCTGACACACCCGAAGCCAAAACAGGCACGCGGTGCGGTGCGGTGCGGTCCGGCAGGCCTTGTACAAGTCACTGAAGACATTTGGGCACCACAAGCCTCTCAACGGCTTTGCTTTTCCATGCCGCCGTCTCTTCCTCGCGATGTCTTGGCTGCTGCTCTGAGAATTTCGCTTGCAGCAGCAGCCATCAGGAAACGATTACCCATGGCAGCTAGGGTCGTCCGAATCGTTAGCATGCAGCGACAGAGAGAGCATGCATGCCTCCGCAGACTGAGGCACTGGTCCGGCACGGCGAATTGCACCGCCGCAACCCACACCGCGTGACTCTTCTGCTGAGCGGGCATCATACCCGCGTCACTTTGTGCAGCCAGGGTTCAGCTGAGCTTGTTTCACTGAACCTGCTGACGCGCACTCGCAGGTTAATTGAGCGGCCCAGCAGCAGCAAGACGGACGCGTGACCGCGACATCGAGCAGCTACGCCAAGACTGCGCGGTGAGAGCCGTTGCAGCCACGCGACCTCGCAACTGGCGTGCATGCCGCATACATGCAGGTATATGAGGCTGGGGTCTTCGCTCCTGACAGACAAAGCTCGGATTTGGTGAGCCACTCGATCGAACGAATTGTGTGCTCTACTGTACTTGAGCGCTGCCGCACAAGTGCATATCATGTATGCGTGCCTTTGCCGTTGATCAATAAGCGAGCTTGCATGCAGCATGCTGCCGGCAGCCGCTCCCCACGGAGACGCTCTCGCAGCAACACACCAGCACGCATCACGAATTTAATTGGTGCTGATCCTCGGCACTGTTTAGCGCGCCAAGAGATGCACGAGCACATTTACGCTCCGCTCGGCCAGACGAGCCTCGCAGCATGCACAGGCTGCAGCGATGCGCAAAGGCCCACGATACATATATGATAGGGTATGATCTCTCATCTGAAGAGTCTTGAGTCAAAAGTGGATAGCCCTTGCTTATAATCAGGCGGCGCGAGACAGCTTTGGTCACGTGTGCCCACTCCCTCATAGAGGCTGAAAGGCTCTCTGCCACGGAGAACCTCGATGGTACGGCATCTCGCAAGGTTTTACGCTCCTGTCTAGAGCTAGACAAGATTCACCATTGAACTTCTCTCAACGGAGCTGCTGACGCTTCTCTTCCACATCGTGAATAGCTATGATCAGCCCAATTTCAAATTCGACCGACGCCCGTCGGTGATTCTTGATTCACCATCCCTTTCCCCTAGCTTACCTGATCTGACCCTTCATCTGGCGCCAACAAAGCAAACGCACCGCCGCAAATCCACAGCTGAGCGCGCGCTAGTGCCATTTGAGGCATCGCCACATATGGTATCACCCGACTTGAATGTCAAGCATCTCCTCTCGCACGTACCAAAGGGTGTTCGGACCATGAGCAGAAGCGAAATCGATCTAATGACGCTGGCGCAGACGCAGGACACTTGACTCAGCGTTCATGGAGCAAGGTGAATCTATCTTTTCTCCGGGCAAATCGATCCATGCCGGCCGGCGGCAAGGCGCCCGGCCTCTGCCCCCCGATTACCTTGCCCCGCCCGCCCGCACGACAGCCAGACTGGGGCGGCCGGCATGTCTGCAATTGAGGTCCGCGAACAGGAATTGGCTTTCTGTAGCGTTCACCAAGGTGAACATGAGCACGAACGGATCAAATGTATCGTCTTGCGCTGTAGAAATACATGCGGTTCACTCCTGCATTTGCGACGGAGACGTCGCCTTTGAATCCTCAGAGCCTGATGGGATTCGAACTTCTTGAGGGGCAGCCGCCGGTTGGTGCATGCTCGTCGTGAACGTTGCCAGCCCCCAGGCATTACTGCCAGCTCGAGCACCACCCAAGATGGGCTGTGCGTGTGCATTTGACTGAATCGCAAAATCGGGACGACCGGACACCTGAGGGGGGGGGGGGGGGGGGGGGGCGAGGAAGAGAAGGTCTTCAGAAAGAGCACTGCAAATTTCAACGACCTTTGAGCAGTCAAACGCACCTTCTCAATTGTTGCCCATCGGGGCTGTGTATCCTGAGCGACATGCACCACGTTCGTTGCTGGTTCGTACACGCCAACAGGTCGCGCGAACTTCTGTGTGACTGATCCTGCGTGAGGGGCATTGGAATCTATGCGTTTCTGCAGACGGTCGATCTCCTCAAAATCGCCCAACGCCTCTTCTGGGCGCACAAAATTGACGAGCCTCTCTTTCCTTCCGGCGTAGAGCTCTTCATTCATGGCTTGCGTACTCCTGGCCATCATCAGCATCCAATTTTCGGAAGTGACACTGGCATTGCTCAGAATCGCCTTTTGCCTCTGTCTATCGTCGGCCCTCACGAAAGGCGTGCTGCCAGAATCCCCGAACAGCGTGCGCACCGGCTCAGCAGTGAATGGGTCCGTCGTGCTGTGCTCATACGACTCTCTGAGCTGCCTAGCAAGGTTTCGCAGCTTCTCCGCCTCGCGATCTCGAGGTTTTTCCTTGTAGCGCATGGATGCGGTGTTCGAAGCAGCAGCGCCATCATCGGTTGCGCGAGCAACTCTACCGCCGGATTCGCGCACGGCGCCGATGACGGCGCCTCCCATTTGTCCCTCATCCGCTGCGCCCGCTTCCTTTGCGGCAGCCTCGTAATAGTCGTCCACGACACTTCGCCCATCTAATGTGGGCAGACATGAGCACATGTCAGCGAGTTGAACAAGAAACAATACGCAAAAAGATCCGCTCACATCTAACGCAGGCTCTGCCAAATACCTTGAAGACGTTCCTTGCAGCGACAACAGCAATTTTGCGACCTTTCAGCTTCGGGTCGATTCTGCCAGCATCAACGAGTTCCTCGCGCTCCTTGTGTGTCAGAAAGAGTCGCACCAGCAAAGGCGTGCGACGGAAGAAGTAGAGCGAGTCCTTGAAGCCGCACGCTCGGGCGGCATCTACAGCGAGACAGTAGCGTCGCTGTGGATCTGACCTTGTTGAGGATGTGAAGGTTGCAATACGCCACTCACGACCTGTGAGAGCGCCCGAGGTCAAGTTGAGTCAGGGGCCTAAACGCAGGCTCGGCCCAGCGACTTCTGAGACTTGTACGTACCACCTAGCAAGTTGCCGTGAATGTCAATCTTCTTTTCACCTTCTTCGTCCCCGTCGAGCTGGAGCTCGTCAGCGACAAAGGTGTACTCTCGGCCTTGGACCCAAGCGACTTGGGGCACGTCCACCATCTGCGACTCGTCTTCTGACGCATCTACCCCAGCCGCGTCATTCTGCGCGTCATCCTCATCGTGGCTACCTTCCATATCTTCCTTCTCTGGGCCGTCTTCCCCTGTTCCTTGCTCGTCGTCTTCACCGTCTTCGTCGTCTTCGCCATGTGCCCACCGAGAAGGGGTTCGGTCGCTGACTCGCGCGCCACCACTCTTTTTGAATTTTCCAGGAGCAGGGCTATCGCTGGGTGTGGCGCTACCACCCGCACCTCCACGGACTCTTCTGCCGCCACGCTTGCTGTACCTGTACCCTTTGCCTCGACCCATGCCACCTCGCGCATCGTCCTTAGTGGCCAAGCTGAAGCTGGTCGCTGTGCCCTTGACGCGTTTGACAGCCGGGACCAGCGTAGTCTGACCGAACTCGGACACTAGCATGAATCGCGATCTGGTGTCCACTGGAACCAAGTCAGTCTCGCCGGCATCTGAGACCTTGTCTTCCTCTGCATCTTTCTCCTCATGCAAACTTTCCTCTTCATCCTCGTCTGCTCCGGCGGAGACCGCGCCGCGCTTGAAATGTCGTCCCTGGCCAGCTCGCGCTCTTCCTCCTCGGCGTCCTCCTCCTCGCCATCTTGAGCCACGACGCTTTTTCAGAGAAGCTTCTGCCTCGCTCTCGCTCCCGTTGTCCGCGGTAGTGCTAGCTTGAAATTCTTCAAAGATTTCCTGATCGGCAGGATGATGGGGAAAACCGTCGGTCTCAGCGTGTGTCGCACTCTTTTCTCTAGTGCGCGTCCCCGCGGCTTTGCTTCTGCCAAGGCTGCGGCCTCTGCCAGCGTCCGCGCGTCTTCTTCTGGGCGTCGCGTCCATCTCGTCGCTCTCCTGATCCGCACCCTCCTCTTCTAGGCTTTTGCCTTCAGCACCTGGCCCAGATCCATCAGCTTCGTCCCCCACAACGGGCTTCCCGCGCTTGAGCGGTCGTCTATCGCTGGAAGGTCTAGTGCGACTAGAGCGTTTCGGGGTAGAGACTGGGCCGGACTGGTCGTCATACTCGTCCTCATCTTCGCTCGGCTCTGGCAGAGGTGTGGGCGCCTTGGTCGCCCTTTGCCGACTTCGCGCTGCAGCTGCACGAGGCAGCCTCGAGCTTCTTCCATTCGGACTGCTCACCACTTGCGAGGGAGGATCAAGGGTTAGACTCGATTCTAGCTGAGAAGTCCCGGCAAGGACAGGAGGAGGCAGCGAGCTGTCCTGAGCGTCGGCGCTGGACAAGGTGGATGAGGTAGGCACACTCACGTCGGCTCCATTGTCTGGGAGACTAGAGCCAACCTCTTCCTGCCTTTGAAGCGCCTCGAGATCTATGCCAGCTTCGGATGCAAAGTGGGCCTCGCTTCGCGATCCTGTCCGACCTGCCAGGCGAGCGCGACTGGATGTGCGCTGCGACATATGCGCGTGACGAGTGGGGTGTATCCGTACGTGGCAACGTTGAGAACGCCGGTGTGTGAAAAGGCGCGGCCAGCGGGCATTGGAATTCGAGTCACCAAAGTCCCCACTCGTGACTTTGGATGATAGTATCAGTCAAGAAACTTGCCCGTCCATACCCTTGCGGACCGCTAGCACGCTTGAATCCCCAATGGCCATGCATCACCTCGGATCGTGAATCGAGGTTGCTGCTGAGGCGCATGCATGAGTGAGCTCTGATCTCAACGCGTGTTGCAAAATCACGTGTCGCGTTGTGCATGATGCCCCACTTACGTGCGGTGTGCAGCATGCAAGCAATAAGGTTGCTCTGGCCACGCCTCCACGTGGCGGTGTCGTTGGATGCCTCGCTCGAGCCAGCCAGACCGCGATCAAGCCCACCAGCGCAAGCCGGCCAGCCATCGCGCGGCCCCATCGACGCAGCATGCAGCTGCCCTCATGTGTGGATGGGTTCACAGCACAAAGACACCGCACGTCAGTGCACCACAAGGATACTTCCGACGTACCAACAACCTACACCATCCACATACTTGCTCACGACTTGCGACTGCGCAGTAACATTGACGATCGTAGGCCCTGCCTGATTCTTTGTCGCAGCTTCACTCGCTGGATCTGACGCAATCGACCGCGACCCCCGACTCGCCGCTCTCACGTACTCGACGCCCCCGACGGTCAGGTCATCCTCGCAACACTTACCGCAAGATGTCCAAATCCAACGTGGCGGTGATAGACTGTGGAACAGGTTTCACTAAGTGTGGTTGGGCAGGCAATCAGTCGCCGAGTTTCACGTTCCCTACGGCCATTGCAGTCCGTCCCTCTGGCGGTGCGGGTGGTGCATCTTCCACCTCAGCTTCCAGGGCTCCCGGTGTTCCTTCCAAACCTGGCGGATTGGCCGGCAGCAGCTTGGCTAGCAAGCGAGGCATCGAGGACTTGGATTTTTTCATCGGAAATGAGGCTGTTGCGAATGCCAAGACGTACCAGCGTGAGTGAGAGATTTGTGGGAGCGTGTACGGCCGAGAAAGATGCTGTGATTTGTCACAGCGGAGGCAAGCTACAATCTGACCCAATCAAACACTCATGCACTCTTTCGCCTCTTGCAATCACAGTCGAGCAGCCCATCAAGCATGGGTTGGTCGAAAACTGGGACTTGATGGAGAGGTTCTGGGAGCAGTGCTTTTTCAAGTACTTGCGAGCGGAGCCCGAAGATCACTACACGATGTTGGTGAGTTCCGATGACCTCCGCTAGGCAGCAATTCCGTGGCGATATACGCGAAACCCCAAGCACCTGGCTGTTGCTCAAAGTGCCATTTGCTGACGCCTCGCACGCAATCCACCCGCGGTCTCCAAACTGGTCAGACGGAGCCACCTCTAAACCCTCCCGAGAATAGAGAGAATACGGCAGAGATCATGTTCGAGTCGTTCAATGTCAAGGGTCTTTATATTGCCGTCCAGGCCGTTCTTGCCCTGGCTGCTAGCTGGAGTAGTAATAAGGTGACGGACAGGACTCTAACCGGTACTGTCATCGACTCTGGAGATGGTGTCACACACGTCATTCCAGTGGTGAGTGGCTTACCGTGGAGTGCATGCGTTGAGCCTGGCCACGCTTGCTGACAGGTAGACCTGTCGACGCGATTTGCGGCTTCTTGCAGGCGGAAGGCTATGTGATTGGCAGCGCGATCAAACACATTCCCATCGCTGGACGAGATATCACGTACTTCGTCCAGCAGTTACTCAGAGAAAGGGGCGAGGCGGCCAATATCCCACCAGAGGATAGCAGGAGGGTGGCAGAGAAGATTAAGGAAGATTACAGGTGCGTATAGACGCATTGAAGTGCTTGGTTGATAGCAAGACTGACAGCTAGCCCCATTCTCGATCACCACTTTAGTTACGTTTGCCAAGACATTGTTCGAGAATTTAGGCGCTACGATGTCGATCCATTGAAGTACTTCGAGCGCTTTGAAGGCGAGCATACAGTCACGGGCCGCAAGTACTCTGTGGACGTCGGTTATGAAAGATTTCTGGCGCCGGAGATTTTCTTCAATCCAGAGATTGCCAGTTCGGACTTTTTAACCCCCTTGCCAGAGGTGGTCGACACCGTGATCCAGCAAAGCCCAATTGATGTCAGGAGGGGTCTCTACAAGGTGCGTCTCCAGCAGTTGGGAGCGCAAATTTCCAACGTCGAGTTGGGAATTTATATAACAAGAGACTGACCTCAAGTTCTGCTGTGTCGTTTTCGTGCCGCAGAACATCGTTCTTTCCGGAGGTTCTACCATGTTTGCCCACTTTGGTCAGCGATTGAGGAAAGACTTGCGCTCGATCGTCGACTCCAGATTGGCTGCATCCGAGGTCGCAAGCGGAAGTTTGATGCGCAGCTCGGGCATTGACGTTAGTGAGTGTTGGCCGCGTTGTGTGTGCGGTGCCAATGGTATCAAGATGTTTACAGGGGCGGCCGACTGACAAGTTTCTCCGCTGCCTCCCCCGCTCAGATGTCATTTCGCACAAAATGCAACGGTACGCTGTGTGGTACGGCGGCTCTCTTCTGGGCAGTCTTCCAGACTTTCAAGGTGCTTGCTACTCCAAAGCAGACTACGACGAGCATGGTCCAGGGATCGTTAGAAAGTTCAGCATCTTTGGACAGGCCAGCTAGAACACTATGCTGTTTGCAATTTCTGAGCCTCCGCGGCTCTTGGCCGCACTGTTGCAGTCACTACTTGTACTCAAGCGGAAGTGACAGGCAATGCATTCACATGCACCAGATTGACTGTTGTACAGGGCGAAACTGATGTCGACCACAACATGGAGGTGAGGCACGCCAATTGGTAGAGTCACGGCGGATTTGGCGACAAGCCGGGCCGAGACTGGTCTCATGGGCTGGCTTTGCGAACAAGCCAGATGCCCCATCCGCCGTATTCCTTGTCTTCCGACGCAGTGTCAGTTGCGACGATCGCAATGTCGCTAGTGGATACAGAATTCAAGCTGGCATCGAAGCCCTGGCCAAATCCATTCGCACCGGACAAGAGCGTCCAGGCTAGGTGATTTCTTTGCATTTCTGCCCAAAGCGCTTCCTCTGCTGCGTGGCGATGCTTCTTCGACAAAAGGCAGACTGGCGCATGTGGCCCGTTTCCTCGAGGCGCACTCGGTCGAGTCAGAAGATCTCGGATTGTTCGACAGAGTGAAGGGAAAGATTCCGGGTTGTAAGTGCAGTCGGATACCAACACTAGATCGGGCTGGTCGTCTCGCAGCAGAGCTGGCAATTGTTCGTCCCAGTCTAGCATCAAGGGCTCGATAAGAAGGGATTCAGGTGTGAAGCTTTGCTGCGCTTGAAGGAGCGTCCTATTGTCATCTATGTTGCTTTGTATCAGCTCCAGCGCGGAAGCTGTGAAGGGGCAAAGCATAGTGTCAGACGAGGAGAGGTGACATCGCTTGGTGATGCTCACACAAATCCGTGACATATATGTGCAGTTTCTGCGCTGTTCCAGGCGTCTCCTCAAGATCGGTACGGTCTTCAAGCGGGGGCTGAGGGCTGGCACCAAGCTTTGCCTTGTCGAGCGCCCCTCGATCTCGCGGTGTGAGCAAGACAGCCAAGACGATGGAGAGGAGCCCAGTCCCGGCGCCTGCATGAATGCCAAGAAGGGTCCGTGAGTCACACACAACGCGAGTGAGGGCACGACCTGCAGCATACCTAGCTCAACGACGCGAAGACTCCTGCGTTGTAGGAGTGATCGAAGGTGTTCAAGCGCGCCTAGTTGTCCTGGAGGTGTGGTCTTGTCGCTCGCGCTTGTATCCTTCTCTTCGTCCACCCTCTGCCTTTTGCGACGTCCGTCGCGGATCGGCTCTGCCGCCTTTGGGGAGTCGATGCCCCGCTGATTCATCACATGACGCAGAAGACGAGAGAGATGTAGAGATGCGTCCCACAGATGCTGAAAGAGTAGACGCGGACGTGAGCAGCTTCGACGATGACTTTGCGGCTAGAGTCGCAGAGCTGCTCGGAGCGCTCACCTTATCCAGCTCGTAGCCAGTCCTTTCCGTAATCATTATGGTTGATGCGCTCCGCTCGACTTCAGAAGCGCTTGGTGACACATCGTCAGGCTTGCACATCCACGCCAAGTCTTCATAGGGTAGACTAATTGAGTAGAGGCGGGTCAGAGTGTCTAATTTTGTCTTCACACTCTTCTTAGCCGTGCTCGTGAGCTGCTGGCTGGAGGTCCGGGCACCTTTCTGAGACGCGTGCTTGTGAATCTGACCGGCTTGTATGGAAGCTTTGCGCAGTAGAATAGGACCACTGAGCACCGGAATGATCTTTGGCTGACTATTTGCTGACGTGTGTACCTCGATCGGCACCCGAAGCGCATCTTGGACAAGCTGAGTGAGATTCTCCGCGCTCGAGACTTGCTTGTTCTTGGTGGATGCCCAAAGGGCAAGTCGGACCCAAACCTCACCGTCATAATGCTCAAGCTCGGGTGGGTCGATGGTCACTGTCTTCCAGGCGGACTCAGGCCCAAGCCATGCGGTGCTGCAGACACTTCCCAGCGCCTGTACCTGCGACCCCCTTCCAGCCTCTTGATTCAGGGTCACCCAAGCGAAGTGCAGCCGTGGAGCTTCAGCAAGATCTTCGGGTACAAATGCCTCGTCTCGGAGATCGTTGGTCAGCAGCGGTGAAATGTTGATCGTTTGCTTGGCAGCTCTTGAGCCAGAGCACACAGGGGCTGCCTCAACGTTCACTTCAGCTGGAGGCGGACGCTGAAAGGAGAGGTACAAATATCCCGACATGCCGAGTTTAAAGTCGTAGGGCCTTCTTCTGCTCTGCTTGGTGGCTCCTCTTGTGCAAGCACCTCTTCTCACCTCTTCGTGTTCTCAGGCTCACTTTGCGTCCGGGCATTCCCACTCTTGACTGAGCCCATGAGCTTTCCGGTGCCAATCCGCGAATCACGGACCGTGAACAACGTGGATGCTTTTGTGGTCAAGAAGCACAAAATACATAACGCGACGCGCATGGCTCAATTCATGCAAGCGAAAACAAATTTCCCGCGGCTGGCACGCCCAAACGCGCACGCAACCGTGCACAACGCAATTGAGCATTTTCAGGACCTTGGACTAAGCACCTCACCCCATCAATGGGAGCTCTATTCGGCGCTGAAGGTTGACACAAGATCTACTTAGCGAATCACGATTGTAGTCTCCGTGGGAATTTAAGCCGCCTTCGTAAAGGTCCACGCTAGTGAATGATGAGATTAACATCTGACCTCTGTATCAATCCTGCTGATCTATCCACTCGTAAGCGTACCACCGCTGTATGCCAAGTATGGAAGCTGCGTTTATGACAGCAAAAATAGCAAATACGCTTCCTCCAGAGCCTCCGTCCACGCTTGCGAGCAAGTTGCGGAGCGGCAGGAAAAAGGAGGCGATGAGCAGGTTTGCCGTCCAATTTAACGAAATACCTAGCGCTGATGCCGAGGTCACTGCCTGCGGGATGCGTAAACACGTGAATACGTGGAGTCCATCGCAAGCAGCGCCTACGACTCACCCTAGGCTCTACGAGCTCTGGAAGGATCAGGAAAGGGACAGGTCCCAAGCCAAGCGAAAAGCCTGCGACGACTGTCACGATGCTCAGCGCCGACAAGATGGAAATGTTGTTGACGATGCCAAGGGCAAGAACGGCGTTCGAAGCGCACATGACACCTGCAGAGAGGAGCAACAGATTCTTGCGACCCAGACGAGACTCGGACACCAGATACAGAGGCGGAAAACTATTCGCCGACGAGGAAAACTGCGCATGAGCAACAGCTTGACCTCAAAGGTCAACGTACTTACGTCATCAGGGCGTTTATAACCTTTTCAAAAATCACAGATGGGTGAAGTTCAGTGAGCCATGACGTGCAGGTCAGCGCGTGGATCCTCCTCACCGTTATACCAAGTGCAATGAATTTTGCGGTCGCCTCGCTGTCGCTGGAACCTTGACGATCTGATCCCGCTCCAAGGGCGTCGGAGAGGATGCTGGACTGTCGTGTGCGAAGAGCGTCAGTGCAAAGCGTTTTGCATAAAATTTGGCGGTCCACTTACGCTGTAGTACAGAACCGCATTCACGCCAGAGAGCTGCTGCGACAGCTGTGTAAGGACAATGAGTGCGACTCCCTTGCGCAAGCTCTTTGCCCCAGCTGCACCATCTCTGCTCGTCACAGTCCGGATCAGCTCTTGTAGTTCGATTGGCTTCTCAGCCTGAGCGCCACCTGTGCCCGAACGGGAGGAAACCTCGGAATCGAGTAGGCCTTCTTGTTCTTCCGACTCTTCTTCTAGCCCACTTCCGACGTTGCGACCCGCTAGCCTAGCTCGAAGAGTCTTCTCCCGCAGTGGGCCTGCTTCACGCGGAGAATCAATGCTGAGGCGGAAGCAAAGAAGCTGCAAAAGGGAAATCGCAAAGGAGACTATAGGTACCCATCTCCAACCAGCAAAAGTGATGTGCTGCGCGCTCGCTGAAGCGCCGAGAGGAGAGACGCCTAAAGCTTGGGCGATGAGAATACCGATGACGATCGAAAGTTGATTCAAGACACCTATTGAGCCTTGCAGGTGTGGAGGGGCCAAGTCGCTGTGATCGCGAGCAGACACACGTCAGACCATTCTGATGGGATTGCGGCAGTCCCGCAGAACTCACTTCAGATAAGCAGGAACGACAGCTATTGCGATACCTGCACTCATTCCCATCAAGCCCCTCCCCAAGCCCAGCACCCAGGATGCGGGAGCAAACGCTTGCGATGCCGTACCTAGACAGTTGATGGTAGCTGCTATCCCGAGCGTCTGTCTGCGTGTCCATCTCAATCGGGCAGAGACCGGCGACAACAGCAGCGAGGCCAAGAGACCTCCCAGAGTGAAGAGGGCGCTGTCGGAGGAGCGTGAGACCTAAAGTGTCAGCAAATACACTCATGACTGCTAGTAAGCGGCTCGGGCAACGCACGTGACGACGCCAAAGCTGCTTGATGAAATTTCAAAGCATACAGGCAACTTGAAGCTTGCCGAAATAGCACCTCGGCTGGGGCAAGTAAGCGCTGAAGCCAAAGCATTGAGCTCGGACTGTTGCAAGCAGGTGTTAGTCACTCGCCGGTCTCTCGTCCAGAACAAGAGCCCATCTCACAATGCCAAAGCCGTAGCTGCGATAGAAGAAAGAGGCAGGCTGGCGCGTGAGCTTGTGCCTCACAGATGCAGCCGCTTCAAGCCATCCAAGTCTCCATTTGCTCACTTGAAAGTCGAGGCGACGACCCAGATAATCTGTGAATGAGAGGAGGCGAAAAGCATCGATGGGCGGTGGAGCCTGGTGTGAGCGATAGGCTGGCAAGAAGAAAGGTGGCGTGTATGGCAGCGCACTTCGCTCGATACGCACCATGAACAAGAAAAGCCATGAGAGCTTGTCCGATGAGCCTCTCCTGCCCGCGGTCCCACGATCTACATCCGGGTTCTGAATGGCGCGCGTCGACATTTCGATTATTCCTGCAGGACACTATGCCTAAGCCGCCAGATGTCGCTGGAGCGGCCAGAGCTAGGTGCGAAACCTCAATTCACATTCACGATTAATCAAAAATGGTGAATGAGTGAGGAGCAGGTGTGCGGGTGATTGAAGTCGCAGTGCAGGGTCTCGTGATGGATCTGCCCCGTTGTTGTGGCTTTGCGCGGCACGCGGCTTTGCATCCGCGACGATGAGCATCAGCAGAGATCGCGCTAAGCTTGCATTCAAGATTCACATTGGTGGGGGCGCGCGCATGCAGCAGCATGCATGCACATGCGCAGCAGTAGCAGCGAAGCGCCCTGAGCATTCATTCAGTTCGTGCTTTCCAACCTCCACACCTCCCTTCCACTTTCCTCGTTGACCCAATCCTAGACCTTGGCGGTAGCTCGCTAGCTTTGGATCTCGCCTTGAAGACGCCAGCACCGGAAAGGCGAGTCATAGAGAATCGATCCCAACAGCAAACGCTAGTATATAGACGGTCACAGGCAAGGAATGGACGCCTCTCTTGGGCTCTCATCAACATCGACTCCGCAAACAGTAGCGACTCAAGAAGTCAACATTGCCAAGCTCCGTTTGCTGATTGCACGAGAACAATCCTTGCTATCTCACGCCGACCACTTGGAAAGAACTGTGACGCTCCGCTCTCGAGCGCTTCATCATGCTGGACGGCTGCGCTCTCGTCTCCAAGCGATACATGACGAATTCGCCACAGAGGTCGAGCGGCTTTGCGTCGCATCCACAGAGCTGACCGCTGCAGATACAGTGATCAGGAGCAAAGCGGCCCGGGCCGCACGCCTTGACTTGACCAAGCGGCTGGAGGGTGTTTCCAGCAGGTGGAGTCGAGACGTTCAGGATTGCGAAGAGAAATGGCAAGAATCCGTTCGGGTACTCGATTCTTGGGCGCAGGCAGCCGCATGTGGGGCCGCCGCTGCGGCATTGGCAGATCACCGGGAGACACTACCCACTTGGCTCGGCGGACTGAAGCCTGCATCAGTAGAGGGTCCCTCAACCAAACAAGTCTTGTTTCGTTCAGTGCGGCGCCTTCTCAATCGGCCGCTCCAAGTTGCAGAGGCAATCTCGGCATGGCCTTCTGAGAGGTTCATGGGGCTGTGTGCAGTGCAAGATGGGTCCTCGCACTTGCAGTCAATCTTCAGCCTTCTGCTCGAGTCTACCGGCACGGAGGGACTAGCGGTTTTCTCAGAGAGGCTGTTGTTGGGCCTGAGCCACAAGCTTCTGAAGAATAGAGCCGGCAAAGCAGACATCGAAGGATGCGCACTTGCAGTTCTCGACGAGCTGCAGGCTTTGAGCATTAGTGTCACTACCTGCGATGCTACTCAAGAGCACCAGGCTCGAGGAAAAGGACGAGCCACTAGACCAAGGATCTGCGCGCTGCTAAATCCTTCACGGGATCTTGAACTTGCTCTGCTGGCCCACCTCCAATCGTGTCGTAGGCACGATCAATCCACCAGACCAAGTCACATCCGAAGCCCTAGTCTTGCTCGCAACGTCTCTGCACCTGTCACAGGGCATTTCAGCGACGGTTTGGAACAAACGCGCCAGCGCGCAGACAGCTTAACGAACGGCGGCGGAAGTGAGGATACTGAGCTCGGCGGAACGACGCTGAAAAGCTTGTCGACGTTTGCTGCCGAAGCAGCAGACATCTTCACCACAGGACTTGGGACTCTGGGCAATAGCGTCAACAACTTCTGGTCGACGTCCGGCGCTGCTTCAGGAGGCAGTAGAGAAGGAGTTTCTGACGAAGAGAGTCGAGCCGTCGATGCTCCAATGCAATCCAAACAGACAAGCAAGAAGGGTCCGCCTGCATCACTTTCCATGTCTCGCTTTGTCACTCCGCCCTTGAAGGGTATCACTGTAGCTGGGTCCTCGCCAGTACAGGCACATCGACAAAAACACAGCATTGGCATGCCGCAAGTCTCTGAAGAGGGCGCACTAGCCGATTTCTCTCCTCGCACGCTGTCCCTGGATGCTCGGGAAGAGCTTCGGTCACAGCTACCGCGCGAGACCCGAGCTCCGAGGAGGCGCGTACAAAGCGATGCTGGTTGTTCCGTCGACACGGCACACATCAAGCGTGTTCCATCCATTTCAGCCACCTCGGCCTCGGAAGCGAATCCCGAGACGACTGCTGAGCTCATAAGGTCGGTCAGGACAACTCTGACTGCGTTGATGGGTCGTAACGCTTCCAACACCGGCGCAGCGAACCCCGACAGTCGACCTGAAGAAACCATAGAGCTGCCGCTAGCTGTCTATGTGATCAGACGCTTGCTCTGCAAGCACTTCCCTCGAAATGATTCTCCTACGGCGCACCGGCAACTCCTCCTGCTTTTTGTGCTGCGTTGGTACGCCTTTGGCCGCCTTAGATCACTCATCACGCGCCCAGATGCTTGGACGAGTCGATGCGGCTACACTGTCTCGTTCCCAGCTCGACAAGAGTCGACGGCTTCATCACATCAACACAGGTCTTTACGAGGAGTCTGGACGAGTGACCTTGCTGGGACGTCCGCGCTTGGAGAGCTTCATCGAGCTACCTACGCCGCAATAGTCACGGCTTTGAACGCTGAGCCCGCACTCTCAGAGGAGCTCACCAACACATCAAACACGCTGCCAGAAGCTTGCGATCTAGTCAATCTGTTTGCCGCTCCCTCTGTGTCTAGGTCCAGACCCGAGGACACGTCTGCCTGGTCTTCGACCGCGGGCGTGCACCATACGCCTTCGAGTCAAGACTCCATCGCAGTCACCGTGCTCGCTCTGCGACCCGCCGATGGTGTAGCTTTGATGCATGTATGCGCCCCCCTTTTGGTAACACCGGCAGCGACACGCAGACCCGCGTCCACCCCGCAAACTCCCACACAGAGATCGCCCAGGCTACGCGTGGATACCAACAACCTGGGGCAATACACGCACGTCAGTGAGCAGACTCCATGTAGCAGGTCTGCCGATGCTGCGACACCTATCGAACAGCATCATCTGCGTGAAGCTACCATCGATGTTGAGGCTGCTCTTTTGCACGCCGAGGCTCGGGGCACGATGGAACCCGAGGACACGGCGCTTCTGTTTGTCGCCCAGCGTGTGGATGGTCATTATACTGTCCAGCAGACTGCTCCGAGATTGGGCTACAATCATGCTCCCGCTGCTGCACTGAGGAAGACTGTTCAACCCTCCCGGACGGCGACGAGCCTGCCGATACATGCGGATACCCCGACTGATTCAAATAGCGAGAGCGAATCGCTAACTGCAATCCCCTTCCCGGCACTCGCTGTTCTGGACAGTACTTCTACTCTCCGTGGGTCTAACACGCGTACAGTGACTCCATCAACTTCAAATACAGGCAGCTCCTTTAGCTCTCGGCTGGAATCCAGTAGCACGGCTGGTCCCCGGAGAGGCTGGCAGGGCTCTGGAGAAAGTGGCTGGGACAGTCCACCGCATTCGCCTCACCGAGATGGCTTTTGGGACCGCGAGGATACGCGCGACGATCGATCAGCGTTGGCGTTCAAGAGTCGGGCACAGGTCGGTGGCGCGTCGCCAGTGGTGCGCAAGGCGTCGCTCCCTATTCAGAGTGCTCGAGCTCTTTCTTGGCAGACTGCTGGAGAAATGGCCGTCGATTTGAGCAGAAGGCACAGTACTAGTCCCACTGATACGACACAAGATGGCGCATCTGCATCACTCGAAGCGATGCCTGGCGCCACCTTCACTCTGACTCGTCGCGCCGTCATGGCCCTCGTTCGAAAGGGCTACAGCACCTCAAGCAGACGAAGAGGGCAGCCGGCTGATCTTGTCGCAGACATGCACGCAGCGGCATCCCTCGCAGCCCATCGCTTTGCGTACGAAGACGCTGCGCTGTTCGACGAAGCTGCTGACGCCTTGCTGCACGTCAGTCAGCATTTGCCACACTGGGCGTCAGGTCTCGAAGGATCGCTGAGCTTTGCGCCACTGCTTGCGCTCATTGCAGAACCGCTTCTCACCATCCAGGACGGCATACGAGACCGATTGGTCACAGCGCACCACCGACTCGGTGATCTTGACGCTCTGCGTCAGACGCTGACAGAGAGCACTCGCGAAGTCTTGACAGCTATGCACGAGTTGCGAGTCAAGGCTTGGTATTCAGTCAACATTCGGCTCGACGATTTGGTCCTCGCTTCCCGCAATTCAGCGAGGCAGCAATTTGAACAGAGCCACCCCGGTTCGAACAAATCGACTTCAGATCGATTCGCCAATAAGCTAGAGGGTGGGCACGAATGGCTGCAGAGCTTGGGTTTGTACGATTTTGGGCTGGATGCGAGGTCCATCAACTATCTGAGGGATCTCGATGTCGCCTTCAACGTCATTGCGGGCAAGGCCGAGGAATTCTTTGCGTGTCCAATCTGGGCTAGGGAGGCCGCGTTGGCGCGACCTTTGCTGCTGGCAAGCGAGGCAGAGGGCGATGCACATACCGAGACAGTCGTCCTGACGTCTGGAGCGTGGTCAACTGCCTTTTTGCTGCCAGGTGAGGCGCGCGCACACGACCGCGCGGGACTTGAAGAATTCCTTCAGCGCTCACAGCTACTCGCCACTAGTCTGCTGCTGAGCGAAGCGTTGCCGGTGGTCTACAGCACCGCATCATTGCCTGCTATGATCCCCTCTAGCAGCAGCGCCGCCGACGTTAATGTCCCCGTCGCAAATCTCGTAGCTGCAAAACTTGTGCGCGATGCTGGCGGTGCGGAGTTGCTGCGCCTCTTTGAACTACATCCAGCGCCGCGCACGAAGATGCGGGCCTTGCTATCGCTCGAGAGACTGATTGTATCGACGCTGTCGAGACAAAGCTACGTCGCAAAGACAGCAGCTCATCGTCGAGGTGAGGCGGGAGAGCATGGGCTCAAAGCGAATCAAGGTCTGCCCTTCCCCATCGGCGTGAGGAGTAGGACCCACGGCAAAGCAGCTTCGACGGACACGATCGGGGGTGCCAGTGCACCGCGAGCTTTGCACGGACACAGGTCGAATTGTGGTAGTTTCGACACGGGTGATTCGCGGCTAGGTGGTTCTGACCGGCCGCTGAGCGCCGCTAGGGCTCGAAGAGCATTATCGATGTACTCGGATCTCGCGGAGGAGGTTGCAGAGGAGCCTGAAGAGGCGGAAATGCCGGCAGTAGCCAATATCCACGACGTTCTGAGCGGAGTAGGTCATCCTCTTACGCGCGAGGCTCTGGCTGTGCGATCCTCGGGTGCGGCAGGCGGACTGCCGCCCGCTGACGAAGCAGCTTGGACGCAATATAGCCCGCAATCGACGTCGACGCCTCGTGAATCTGGCACAGTGACGGCGCCAACGACGGACGACGTTGTTGCCGTGCTCGAAGCCCTCTTGCAAGATCCGCGATGCAAGCCACGCAACTTGTTGCTGAACCTGCAGGTGATTGCTTGCTTCACGCCGACCAATTTGTTGGATTTCAAGGACGAGGTGAGTCGGATGGAGTGTAGCTCGACGAGAGGCTCCGAAAGCTTATGGGCTAAAACCTCTTCACCTCTCTGCAGGGCTACTGCTTTTGGACTATGGCCGGGGCCGCACAGATGGTCGAGTCAGCGGCGCGCAAGAGTTGAAGCCTGGTTCCGTTCTGACTCCCAGTGCGCGGCCTGGGCAAGTGTGGTACCAGCCACGTCATGGTTGCAGGGCATGACAGTGGTATTCTGTCGATTGATACCCGGACGATGCCCTTGATGTCAATTGGATACCCATTCTGCCTACTTTTGATGCCCAAGGGGTAGTGGGGGCGCTTGATGGTAGATCAAGAGGTTCATCGACTTGTCATCACACGCTCCCGTCCACCTCATCATCCTCCAACTGCTCATTCCACCAATCGGGCAAGCGGTCCGGCGGAGGCAGCGCGATGAGGTCGGTGTCGAACATTTCGATGAACCTCTCGCTGGTCGTCTTGGCCCTGGAACCAGCGATGGATCTATACTCTGCGCAAATGTTGGCTAAGTTTCGCCCCTGCAAGCGACGAAAGCAGCCTAGCAGTAGGGTCCCCTCGTTTGCGCCTGAGGTGTCCACTACCAGGATAGGAAGATTGCGACGATCCAGAATCAATTCTAGCGCTTCTTTGATCAACCTCTCCGTGTCGTGCGCTTCCCTGTCTTCGTGCTGGTCCTCGCCTGGCCGAGTGAGCTGGTCTCGTGCGCTCGTTGGTGCGCTAGCGGCGCTTTTGGCGACAGGGCGCGCTGAGATGGGACAAGGACCCAAGCCGAAATGAACCATCTTGACTCGGCTTGCGTGTGCCCATCTGCATAGTCTTGCGGCTGGCCGTTCTGGCGAGAGCAGCATCAACGTCTTGAGGTTGAGCATGTCCAAGAAGGACACGTCGATCTGTTGATCTTGTGGGTGGCTCGTTGACCCGTCAATGTTGACGGTGTCACGATACGCCGAATTGTAATCGAGGATGCCAGCACTGGAGGAAGCAGCAGGATCACGGTAAGTGTCTGGTGGTAGCAGGGACAAGAGGGAGGGCATCGAGAGGTATGACACGCCTGGAGCAATGAGATGCAGCGGCGTCAAGGCAGGACACTCGATCACAGATGCTACGAGTGGCTGCGTCTGGACCTGGACCTGGGCCTGAGGGAGAGCTGACGTAAGCGGTGCACTGTTGACTACGTGAGCAGAAGGATTGTACGAGGTCGTAGTGTGGCCAGTCAAGGATTGCGATTGGCTCGTTGCGCATTGAGCCGGGGTGAGAGATGCGTCCGAGGAATGCGAGGCCACGGATCCGGCTGGAGCGGTAGACGTCATCGTGTGATGGGTCGCTGATTCTTATACCGGACAGGTGCTTGTTGTTCTTGAAATCAGCAACCCGCTTGTATCGACGTCTGCTCCGCGTCTCGATCGCCGCTGAAGGGCTGATCTACGAGGATGACTACGCCGAGCACATCGCCAAGCGCTTTGAGCTATGTGCGAGAATTAGCGGGACAGTCCAGCTCGTGGACCTACCAGACTGACTTTGCGGTCGAGATGATGGCGTGATTGTTGAAGGTCGACTGCTCTGAGCCAGACACTTTGGCTTGCTCGAGGGAGTGAAAGCAGACTCATCAAGGCCAACGCTTGTGCGCGGAATGGATTCACGGCTCAGAGCATACAGTAACAGTGAGTATATATAGGCTTGCTAAACGAAGTCACGTGATTTGACTGCCCGCCGCACTCACCGTGCTCGCGCAACATTCTTGATTCACAATTTTGATTTCAGACTCGTCCAAGATTTCTTTGACGAAAGCGACGTTCTTCTCAAATTTCCACACGAGATCTGCTCGCGCTCAGGACTCGAATTATTCAACATCGCGTTGCAGATCTTCTTTGCTCCTCGTCTGCTGCGCTAATCAAAACTCTACCCTTCCTCTTCATACACTGCTGCAACTTTCTCCAGATGACCAAGGTCGCCGCAATGCCCGCCGCTGGAGCTACGAGAAGAGCGCTGGGAGGGCAGTCGATCCGCAACGCTGTTCGAGTCGCCCCTTGGTGAGTGCTACTGGCCTGAAATGCTGTCTGCCTATGCTCGTGCCCATCGAAGCGCTGCGATCTGATTCATTGCTTGTCTCCAGCCCCCGTCTTTCCTCCCTGGTGGCCTCCCGAGCCGACCTTCACAGCAGCGTCGCGCTCAGGGAACGCAAACCCGCCATCTCATCCATCGCAGAGCTTCGCAAACATATTCCAGGCACATCGATGCTGAAGGCCCAGGAGGCCATCGTTTCCACCTGGCCCTCTTCCGATCCTTCCAAAGGGGACGACATTCAAGCTGCGCTAGCGTGGCTGGAAGAAGATCGAGCCAAGAGCGGATTGAAAAAGGCTCAGAAGGTCGCTGGAAGGGAAGCCAAGGAAGGGTGGATCGCAGTGGCTGTGCTCTCGGATGGCGCTGGATCGGGCACGAAAGACCTGCAACAACCTATCAATCCCACCAGCGCCGAAGCACGAGCAAATACACCTTCGCACGCTGCTACTCTCACCTCTGCACCAGTAGCTTCCATCATCGAGCTCAACTGCGAGACGGACTTTGTGGGCAGGACGGACGTGTTTGAGAAGCTATCGAGAGATATTGCGCATTCTGCTGCTCTGTTCCCAAACCTCGGCGGAGCTGTGTCCGCTCCCAACCTGGCTGCTGCTACAAGGCTAGGCACGGGCTTTGCGGACCTGGATACAGAGCAGCTGCTCGACTTCATCCTGATGGAGGCACCCGACTCTGCGAGCGTCGACAGTGACGAAACCGCATCCTCTGCTGCTGCTCCCACATCGCCTCGAACCATTCGAGCTGCAATCTTGGATGCGGTGTCTAGGCTGGGAGAGAGAATACATCTGAGTCGAGCCAGCGTGCTCATCCTGCCTCCTCCTTCCACATCTCGAGACGAGGTGCGCGTGGCAAACCTGGTCGGGTCATACGTGCACGGATCGAGCGCGACGAAGCAAGGCAGCTCACAGACGTCCCTCGGTCGCGTAGGCGCACTGGTGCTGTCCACCATCAGCCACGCATCTTCCTCTGCCAACTCTTCTACCGCACTCGAAGGGCTCGAACCCGCTCAAATTCGAGCGCTGCTGAGATCCTTGGCAAGACAGGCGGTCGGCTTTCAAACTACGTCTATCTCGCACCAACCAGGTCAGGAAGCCGATTCTGCGCTTCTGAGACAGCCTTTCAGTATGCTCCTCCCAGCTGCACAGCTGGCAGTACAGGATGGAGCAGGCGAAGGGGATGTGGAGGCAGCACTTCATGCTTGGGGTCGACAGAGAAATGGGAAGCAGGTGCAAGTGGTGGGCTTGAGGCGCTGGACGCTTGGCGAGTCGGGACCAGAGGCTCAGGCATAGCAACTAGATTTTGGTCTCGGTGATTCCATACGACTTGCTCGCACGATCAGTACGCTGCAAAGATGTGGCGAATCCAATCACGTTGTTTGCATCAAAAAGCAATGACCTTTGCGCTTTTCTTTCCCTTCTCTTGGGGTGCGCGAGAGACCTTATTTCGATGTTCCTGCAATCTATCGCGCTCCACGTCGCTTCTCTGTCTGGAAAAGTGATGAAAGTCGTCTTCATCTGCTCCAAGACTTTCTGTGTGTTGGACACCGCCGGTGGCGGACGGGCCGCCTGTATCAGCACCACAAATTGCCGCGAGGCCGAGTTCCGCTGCTCCTTTGCCGCTCTTGCGTATGCTCAGTGGACAGTCTTTGACCAAATGTTCGGTAGATGAGCACAGACGACAAGATCCACCTGAGGGGTACACGCCTCTGCCTTTGGGACATTTAGAGGACAAGTGGCCCTACACGGTAGTCCAACAAAAGTGTAAGCAGCAGCCGCTGTCTGTCAGAAACCGACAGAGATACTTACCTTTTGACTGCATATGAAGCAAGTGGCGTACGGCAGCTGCTCTTCGCCTTCATCGTTGCGTTTCGCTGCCTTCCTACACCGGGCCAGTGTATGCTCTGTGCTGCCACACCTAAAGCAAATACCGACAGTCTCTTTGCCCGTGACTTTGGCTTTCCCATCTGTATCGCCTTCTACAGGCAGATCTCCGTCGAGTGCGCTACTCTCCGCATTGAGACCTGAAGGACAGTCCTTCGCCGAGTGTCCCATACCTCTACACGCATAGCATCGCTGCTTTGAAGCTCGCTCTGCCGCCCGCTTGTCTCTGCGAGCATCGCTCTTTGCTGACACGTCTGCTCGTCGATCTGTCGCAGTGCAAACCGTGAGCTACGCGTGAGCCTTTGTTCTAGGCTATCACTAGAATCGCAGCACTCACCTGCCTCCATCTTCTTCCATGGATTTCCTTTCTCGTCATCTGGTGCATGCGAGGTCGCTGCTTCTCTCCTTGCGGCAAACTCGCCGCCCTTCGAGTCTGCTCTCTTGTCCTTCCAAGTCACTTCCTCAAGTCGGGCGTCCTTCTTCCCAGCCCGACCATTTGCCGCTCGTATCGCCCTCACAACTTCATGGATAGCAGACTCATGCGCTGCCCTCTTCTCATCCGTGTTAGCCTTCTTTGCGCGCAATCGAACAAGTTTTAGACGCTTCTGCAGGTCATTGGAGGATAGCTTGGAGAGGTCCACGGGAACGGATGGTCGGGGGACTCGAGCCGCTGTCGAATCGTTCTGGCCGCTCTTCGTCCGCCTTCTTTTACGCTTGCTTCCAGTCTTGCTTTCGCCTTCCGCAGCAATATCCCCCATGGTGATGTTGTTGGATGAAGAAGCTGCGAAACGCTCTTCGGCAGGCGTGGCGGTGGGCAAAACTTTCCGCTTCTTGGAGCCGTGTGAGGCATCCGAGACGCCTGAGGTGTAGCGAGTCATCTTGCACTCTGCATTGACTGAGTCTAGTCCCAAGCTGGTGCGAGATGGTCATGTTGGGTTATTGTCACTCGCGAATTGCTGGGAGAGGTCCAAGAAAGCGTTCTGAGCATCGCTCGCGAGCCCAAATTTTTGTGGCGGTGGCTGTGAGTCGTACGAGAGATCACAGGTAGCGCAGACGGCGTGCGATTAGAAACGCGATGCGTGCCAATTCAATTCTCATTTCCCTCTCCCTGAATGTTTCCAGGCTGCAACGATATCATTTGGGTCATGGTATTATTTTTCTGCGCCTGACCCCCATGAAATGGACGTTAAAAATATGAAGTCTGGAGCATAATGCCCTTGAATCTTGATACAACTTTCCGGCCGCTGCATGCATAAACGCCGCGCATGTGTGGTGCACGGCCACACGCAAGCTCGATCGCGCGCGGATCGCGGGTGAATGCAGCACGTACGGTATAGGTAACCATCATGCAGCACAAACAGAATACTCGTGACTCGTGACTCACGCAAATGCCTCTCGTCGTCTCGCGCTGCTGATGCTGCTGCTGCTGCTGGACGCGCATAGCGCACAGATGCGCACGCAGCGGCATCAGGTTTGGCTGTCAAGGGAGACCGAAGCCGTGATGCAGTGAGAGTCGGACTGCTTGGTCTGTGCCTGTGCCTACTACTCTTGACTGTACTCTCGCCGCTGTGAGACAGCCGGAGAAGGGGCGGCGCTTCCACCAATCAATCACAAATCAATCCACTCGCGCTCCCATGTCTCAGCAAGATCATACCATCGTCCTGAGAAGCTTGCATTTCCAGTCTCGACACCTCAGACACGGCAGCCAGCGTTGCTGCCAATCTTCGCGCGACGCTGCTATCTGGGACGACTTGGGCGCGCTCAGCAATCAACGAACGGGTCAGGAGCGACAAACACAGCGGCCAAGGTCCGTGGGTCGCTTTAGACTCCGCCTGCGCGTCGAGCGAGTCCCGTCAGCGAGCTGAACGCTGAACGGCTGGCTGGCTGTGGGCATCGCGATTTCGCAGCTCCCTTGTACGCAACCAGCCCAGGAGTCTAGTCCAGCACGGCGCGACCCGCGAAGCTTCCTCGCTCTCAGCGTTTGCTCCCACAACCCTCCTTTCGGCTACCATGGCTCGACCTCACTCTGGTTACGGTGGACCTGAAGACTTCTCTCCTGGGGGCCAGCAACAGCAGCACGTCATCAACATGGGTCCTGCAGGGGTGGATCCATCGCGGCAGCTACCCTCGCATCACAGCGCTGCTGTAGCTGCTGCTTCTCATCGGCAACTCTCACCGATGCACCACAATTCGCAGTATGCTCCTCGTGACGTCCAGTCCACAAGCCCTCGAGGAGCTCCCTATGGAATGGACACGCTGAGCGCACTCAGCGCGACCTCGCCTGTGGGCTCGAACAATGTGGCGACTTATGCCTCACCAAGACTTGCTCAAGCGGGAGGTCTGGGCGCAGGTTTGGCACCTTCTAGCGGCAGTAGCAGCAGCGGGGCCAATCTGGGGCGAAGTCAGTCTCTTGGACACGCAGCTTACCAACAGCAGAGGCAAGCGCAAGCAATGCAACAACAGTACGGGCAGCAAGGGTCGCAGCACGGCATACATCAGCAAATGCCTGCGTCGAGCCCGGCTTCCCAGCAGAGCTATGGCGAGGCTGGAGGAGGGTATCATAGATCAAGAGAACATGCTCAGCCGTCCTACTCGGAGGGGTCCACCTCGTATGATATTCCCGCGCATGCGCAGTCTGGTGGACCTTCTGGACTCAGCTTGCTTCCCACCATCAGCACTCAAATACAATCGGGCAGTTTGAGCAGTCCGTATAGCCCGCATCGAAACTCCATGTTCGAGACATCTCCCAATGCGAGTCATACGTACGCTGCGCAGCCACCTATGTCGCGGTCACCGGCTTCAGCAGCACTCAGATCGCCATACGCACCGCCGTCAAGTGCAGCTCATGGCAACTTGAGTCCGAGCGCGCCCTACCATCCTCAGCAACAAGTGGGACATCATCAGTCCTCGCTAAATCAGCGGCCAGTGAGCATGCTCGACTCGTCCACGTACGGCAGCTCGCCTCGTAGTGCGTTCACGGACACCTCTGGCGCTAGCCCATCTCAGAGATATTCACCTCTGCACGCGTCGACAAGTAGTGGAAGATCAGGACTCAGAACGGCCACGCATGATGGGTCCAGTTCTGGTTTGCCCTTGCATCACTTGTCCGGCTCTGGCTCAGGAAGCGACAGCCTACCTTATGCCTTTTCACCTGGATCACAGGTGCACAGCACGATGAGTCCAGCGATGCAGAGCCCTTATCAGCCGCTGCACGCTTCCGCAGGTCCTCCCCGCAACGCACTTCCAGCAGGCTCAGCTGGTTCTTACGTCTTGCCATCGGCCGAAAGGGATAGACGGGCAAGTATGGTCGCATCTAGCTTTGCTCCTGCTGCGACGGAAGGAAGGGAATGGAGGCAATCTGTGGGATCGGCGGCGAAGCCGTCGCACCGAAGACCACCTCAGGAGGGTTTCCGCAAGGTCAGAGAGTTGGGTGACTTGAGACCCAGCTTGCAGGTTGCGCAGCAAGGGGCTGGTCGAAGAGCTGATCCTGCAGGTGGTCATGTCAGCGTGAGTCTTGAGAAGGCTTCGATCGGCGCGAGGCGAGGCGAGGCGATCGAGGAACATTGAGGTCCAATTCAGCGGTTCTAGCTAGGATTCTGTCCGATACCGAACGAGAGCTGAACTCTGTTTCTCCCTACTCCTCACAGCCGCTCAAAGCAGTGACGACATACCTGCATCACACCTATCATCTGGTCAATCCAGCTTTTGTCTACGAGCTGTCGTTTAATCCTAGGAGAGTCTTGACCAAGCCAAGCAAGCCTATGCATAATGACGGAATGGACAACGAGGACAGCGATTACATCCTCTACGTCAATGACTTTCTTGGTGCAGACGAAGGCAACAGGTAAGCTGCAAGCGCCAGGGCGTGCAGAGTGCCTGGAGTGTGCTGATGTTCCTTCGCACCTACTCGGACCACGTGATGGCGCAGATACCTCATCCTTGATGTGTTAGGCCAAGGCACATTTGGGCAGGTTGTCAAGTGCCAGAACATGAAGACGCACGAGATCGTGGCTGTCAAGGTGATCAAGAACAAGCCTGCGTACTTCAATCAGAGCATGATGGAAGTGACGATTCTGGAAATGGTGCGTGTGACTTCGCGATCTCGCTACGATATGTACGCTGACGTCTGAGCATTGATCACGAACAAATTTCAGCTCAATGGAAGCTGGGATCCGAATGACGAGCACCACATTCTGAGGTTGCGGGACACCTTTATCCACGCCAAACATCTCTGCTTGGTCTTTGAGCTGCTCTCGTCCAACTTGTACGAGCTCATCAAGCAGAACGGCTTTAAGGGCTTGAGCACGAGCCTCGTGCGCGTCTTCACAGCTCAGCTGCTCGACTCATTGACCGTTCTCAATGAAGCCCGTCTTATCCACTGCGATCTCAAGCCCGAGAACATTTTGCTGAAAACGTGAGTGGCACTGCAATTTGCTGCGGCACAGTTTTTCTGCTGACTCGCGATTGCGTTTGGTCTTCAGCCTGCAAACGCCGTCCATCAAGCTGGTCGATTTTGGTTCTGCGTGCCACGAGAAGCAGACGGTTTACACGTACATCCAGTCGCGCTTTTACAGGTCTCCCGAGGTCTTGCTTGGCCTGCCGTATTCGTCGATGATAGATATGTGGTCATTGGGCTGCATTGCTGTGGAGCTCTTCCTTGGCTTGCCCCTGTTTCCTGGAACCTCGGAATACAACCAGATCACTCGGATTGTCGAGATGCTAGGGTGAGTCGTCCGCCTTTCCAGCATGGACTCAAGGCGGCGGAAATTGCGTTGTACTGACATGCGGCACTCTTCCTTCAGATTGCCGCCATCGTACATGCTGGACCAAGGCAAGCAGACGAGCGAGTTCTTCAACATCGCCCAAGACGAATGGGGTCGCAAAAGCTATCGATTGAAATCAATAGACCAGTATCAAAAGGAGCGGAATCCGAACCCCCCTGAGCAGCCCTCGAAGCGGTACTTTCAGGCTACTACGCTACCGGACATTGTCAAGACTTATCCGATGGCACGAAAGAGCGGTAAGCCAGCTGACGTCCAAAAGGGTGAGTTGAAGCCGCTTGCTGGTCGCAAAGGCCAAAATTTGTACTGATGCGCTGTGGTCTCGCCACCAGAAATGGCAAACCGGACGTCCTTCATTGACTTTGTCACGGGATTGCTGAGCATGGATCCAGCCCAAAGATGGACGCCGCAGCAAGCCAAATTGCATCCTTTCATCACCGGAGAAAGGTTCCTGAAGCCGTTCAAGCCGCCTGCAACACCACTGAGTCCAACGTCGTCCCTCAAGTCAAAGGCGTCCTCACCTTCGAACGATTCAGCCAAACATCCCTACGGCGGCCTGCCGCAGACCACTGCACAATCTTCCGGACGGGCATACCAAGATGCTGCGGCGTACAATCAGCATCTGGCGCAACAGCAAGCATACAACTCGGCACACCACGCGCGCCAGACACTGCCATCTGCTTCGAACAACCCCTACGTGCAAGATGCCACTGCGCAAGCTCAAGCGCAGGCCCAGGCCAAAGCTGCGGTCAAAGCCCAAGCGCACCAGCAACAGCTGCAAGCCAGCGCATTGGCACACGCGCATCAAGCCGCATCTTCACCACAGGGCTTTGTCTCGCCAAGCGGGTCCGGATCTACGATCCAGAATCGAAGTCGATCGAACACGATGACGCGCATGGATGCAGTGCCTCCGCAGCTGGCAAAGATGGGCCTAGAAGCGTCGCCCCTTTCTGGCTCTGTCGCGCTTGGATCAGCAAGGCAGTCCCTGACACCGGTCGACTCGAGAGATTGGGATCGTCGGCAACAGCCGCATCTTCAGCAGAATGGTCTGGTAGGGATGAGTCCCGGTGGGACCGGAGCAGCAGGAGGCAGCAAGCTTCGAGGAGCATCTCAGTACCAACCTTTGGACGCTGCGCAGCAGCAATGGCGAGGCAATTCGCCTCTCCAAGGCTCAGCAGGCGGCTACCTATCTTCGCATCAGGGAGGTTCAGGGTTCTCTGTCGTCGTGGACGGACAAGATCGCAGGTTGGTGAATCCCCACGATCAACACGGAGCGGGCGGCAGCTCACTTTCAGCCCTAGCATCTCCGAGTGGAGGCTCCTCTCTGCCTATTGCTCAGCCGCCACCGGCTGCTTATGCGAGTCCTTCGTCCGCGCATGCCCAAGCAAGCAGGTTCCAGTCTTCGTCGAGTGCCCATCAACCGCCAGGCCAGACCTACGGAGCTGCAGGCATGTCTTTCGACCCTTACGATACTGGCATTGCCCAGCTCATGCCTGCTTTGAAGCCCACGCAATATCAAGGAAGTGGAGGCAGCACCGCTTCCACCCAGCGGCACTCCATGGCACTCCTTCCCGGACAGGGTGGAAGCGGAGGTTCGAGCCACAGTCACGCCGGCGGAGCGTATGGCAGCGGCCTTGTGCCGGGAGCGTTGCTGCCGAGTCCTAATATGAGCAATCCGGACGACGCGTTTGGCATACTGCCTTCCTTCGACCCCAATTCGAGGCGGCGCTACTCATCGGCTCAAGGACATCAAAATTTCTAGCCGCAGCTTGCCAATCAGGATGCGTCGGTGGTCGTGCGGCGGCTTGTACACCCACGCGTAGCCTGGCACCTCTTCGTGCCCCTCCTCTCCTACCTTCCTTCCGCCAGCTGCTTGACAGCCCTACACCACACTTTACCTCATCTGCATCCTTAACGATCACGACTGTGCACTGGATCAAAGCAATACCCCATGCAAACGATCAAGGTGTTTTGATACGAGGCTCTTGCGCATCGTCCTTGCTTGTGAGACGCTGTTTGCCATTGCCTACTCTTCGCGTGGAGCACTATCCACCAATTGCATCTCGTGTAGAAGATGTGAGCAAATAAAAGAACTTGTCAAGTATCGATAGGGAAGGCGAATGTGGGGATAGATGAGCCACAGAGGATTGCATGCGTGATGGCCTGGGCAACGAAACGCTTGAGGAGGCAAAGATGCGAGGTGGAGAGCGTCAGAGTGACCCACTTCAATCACTTTCTTCGTCCTCCTCATCGTCCGAAGCCTCTTCCGCTTCATCATCGATCAGTCCCTTTTCGCCTTCTTCATCTGAATCGTCGTCCTCTTCGTCAGACTGCATGAGTGAACGTCGCACAAAAACATCAGTCAGTGGGTCGAAGGCGAAAGAAACAGAGCGAAGTGATGACTCACGACTTCTTCTGAATCGTCTTCCTCCTCGCTTTCATCATCATCATCATCTTCTTCTTCTTCTTCTTCTTCTTCTTCTTCTTCTTCGTCATCATCATCATCTTCGCTGTCCTCTGCCTCTTCAGCTGCATCCTCTGAAGCACTATCATCCTTCTCAATCATGGACGATTTCTTACTGGAAGCTTTGACGCTACTCGCGAGTCCCACTTCTCCCATACTTTCATCCTCGTCTTCCCCTTCCTCTTCACTCTCTGCTGAAGTTGCTCCTCCTCTCCTGCTGCTGACTCTCGAAACATCATCGTCATCTTCTTCTTCCTCCTCCTCCTCCTCCTCCTCCTCCTCCTCCTCCTCCTCGCTGTCCGAGTCCTCTTGGTCGCTATCGAGCGCTTTCCTGGCAGAGTTTGACTGTCTTCGTTGAGGTCTGATCACCTCTACGTCCTCATCGTCCGAATCTGCTCCAAAAGCGTTTGTGCGAGCAGCATTCAATGTCTCTGGCTCATCACCTTCGCTATCTGTCGATTCCTCCTCGTCCTCATCAACATCTACGTCCACATCCATTCCCTCTTCCTCTTCTTCTTCATCCTCATCGCTCTCTCCTTCTTTCCATACATAAGCCGCTCTCTTCTCTTTCGTCTCGTCCGCTCCTCGAGCTCCCTTGCCGCGCTTCGCGCTCACGCCTTGAACCTGCCTCTGCGCAGCTTGTTGCGCGGTATATGTGGTTCGGAACTCGATCTGCGCCAGCACCAATTCCAATCTGCCAGATAGCGCCAAGAGACGCTCGTGCGAGGCGATCCTGCGCGAGAGAGTAGCGTGCAAAACAGCAAGTCGATTCACAAGGTCCGGTAGCTTTTGGCCACAATCGTCCAGAAACGGGGTAGCAGGCACACTTCGTCAGTATACGATGTCACTTCGCCGCGCGAGGAAGGAGTGACGGACTCACAGACATCAGGTAGCCCGCATGTGCAGTCAACGCAGCTTTGATCCACTCGATCAAGCCTCTAGCCCTCTGGCTTCCGATAGCACCTTTGCTCCTCTGACCCGCCGACATGGTAGAAACGGCAGCTTCGAGCAACTTGACAGCAATCGGTCCGCTAATCCTTCTCACCGTCTCTCTTATCATTCCAGGATCGCTGTGCGCCAGGCAGGATGACAACATGGCCGAGTCGTCCGAGTGAAGAGCCTGGATCAGAGTTTGCGCTAGCGAGCCGCCGGATTCTAGAGGGGCCTTTTGTGCCAAATATGCTGCGTCATCCGCCTCCGCTTCGGATTCGTCTTCCTCCGCCGCTGCGCCAGTGCCCGCGTTGCCGCTTCGTTTCGATTGTTTGACATCGGCAAGATCCTTAGCAGACGCACCGACGCCGAGGCTTTTGAGTCGGGCAGCAAGGGTCGGTTCGGCAGCATCAGCATCAAGTTCGGCGTCCAGATCAGCCTGCTCATCCGCAAAACGCTTCGGTGCAGCAACGTCAGCATCAGGAATCAATCCTGATGCGCTGTTGGATCCCAGCAGCTCTCCTGTGCTGAGATTTCCAGAAGTGTTTGCTGTGGGCGCATGACCTGCGCCCTTGTAACGCTGAGCCGCTGCAGCGCCTTCGCCCAGCTCGGTGTCTCCTTGCGAAAGAAGGCCGCCTGACCCTGATCTGACTACTGAAATTTCTTTCGGCAGTTTGCCCATTTCGTCAAGCAAGGACTGCGGGCCGGAGAAGGAAAAAGGGCAGGAGGGTGAGCCAGTGAGACCCGGGCTGCAGATCGAATCCGGCACGAACCCTCGATCCCGCACTGTGAATCACTCACCATCCTCTCGACGATGAGCTTGCTGCCGTGCAGCAAGGCAGCAACGCTCAAGATGCCCCGGTGCACATGTGCGTCCAGCAAAGGCGTCACCTCTTTGTTCTTTCCAGTCCTCAGCACGACGCTCGAAGCTTTTTCCAGACTCTGCACCTTTTTTGCCGCAGGGTCGATGGAAGAAGGGACGTGATGGATGGCCGCATTCCCAGCTACCGTGATGGACAGGATCAGATCCGTCGATGCGTCCGAGCTGAAAGAGTCGACGCGACGCACTGCTGATTCGAGCGGCAGGGATGCGAGGGGTCGAGCTGAGCTGCCCCACAGCGTCAACACCCGGTCACCTTCTGCTGCAGAGATGAAGGCTTGCTCTTGAATGAGCAGCGGCACGAGGTGTGTGATGCTGCTGGCGTGTCCTGTCCATGTCTTGGAGGCCTTGTAAGTGGGAGCGCGTGCCTCTGAGCCTTGCGCACCACCGACTCCGACTAGTTCCAGTCGAGTGATGTTGTGAGAAGCTGCCAAGATGGATTTGTCTTGGCCCGAGGCAAGCGCCGCTACGTCTTGGACCGGCGTTCTCTGAGGTGAAGACGTGCCAGCCTTGCCCGCATTGGGTGCCAATGACCAAGTTCGGACAAGCGAGTCTGCACAAGCAGCATGCAGTACGGGGTCGCTGCCTTGCTCTGCGAAGAGCAGAGATCTGACGGCTCTATCGCTCGCCGAAGAAGGTGCTGCATCGTTGAGGACGCGCACGACTTTACCCAGAGAAGGTGAGAACAGCTGAATGCTGCCATCCTGCAGACCCAATGCTACAACGCTCTGGGACCGAGGAGAGGGGGCGTTGGTGGTAGCGGCGAGGCTGTCGACATTTCCATTCGCATTCGCGCTCTTCCTTCGCTTCTTCTTGCTTGCGCCAGCAGCATCTGATGGCGCATCGATGGTCGCCGCTTGACCATTGGTATCAGGGACAGGCAAGCCTCCCCAAGCTACGCATACGACTCTTCCGCTAGGCAGCACATGATCCGCTTTTAATCTCGCACCTTCTCCCGCTTCCTGAGCATTGCAGTCGTAGATCCTCAATCGATGTCTATCCAAAGCTTGACTGAGCAGCGCCAATGATTGTCCATCTGAGCTGAAAGAGGAGAGCGTGGATGGTGATGAAGCTGCGATGGGTGATGCGAGAGATGCGAGGGAAGAAGCGGGCCGAGATTTGGAGGAGGACTTGCGGGATTGCTTCTTGCCTGAGCCGGATGGGCTGGCACTGCTCAGCGACATCGTGGCGACCGGGCAGTAGGCACGTGCGTATTGTCGAGGCGAATGGAATGGGAGTCTGATTCGGGATTATGATGAGACGGTTGAGAGACTTGCGGAATGGAGAGATGAAGAATGTAGCAAAGTGTGCAGGGCACGCTCTCCTCGCAGCAGAGAGCAGGGAGCGCAAGAGAGAGAGAGAGCAGTAGCGCAGCGCGAAGCTGCTTCATCACGCATACCGTATGGCCGCCGGACCTTCCAAAATTTATTCACGCGCAGATTTGCACGTGATGCGGAAAACGAAAGCGGGGCGTGGCGGTATCTTGAAATCACGTGGCGCCCAAAGTGTGGCTGTGCGAGCGCTTCATTCTTGATTCCAAGATTCTTGATCCTGAACGCATTTCAGTCAGAGTGTGGTTAATGATGGTATGTCTAAGCCATACTCTACTTAGCTTGTCATCAACCCCCGACGCTGCTGAAATTTAATTTGCTTGGAGAAGGACTAGATTGCACGCAAATTGGCATCAACAGCTATAGGAAGGGCGCACGACCCGGCAGCGGGATCTGAGCGCGCTGCACGCCTCGCAAATCAAGACCCAGAGCGCTGCTGTGCAAATCGATCGCTGTTCTTCTCTCATCAGCGAGGGGTTATGGACGCCTTGGAGAGATGTTCACAGAGAGAAGGCGGATCCGATGCGAAGCGCCCACGTCGAAAGTGGAGGATCAACAATTTGATAGGCAAAGTTGTGCCCCTCATTCTGTGAGTTGCTGCGTGTGGGAGTGCGTGTCTGGTCATGTCGCCAAAGACTATCATCGTGCTGACCTTCAGCTCGCCGCTTTAAATCAGATTGACGTACATCGTGTAAGATGGAATCACTCAGCCCCTACAACATCGAAAGGTCCTGTGCCCCATGCTGACAATTTCGCTCACCCACAATCAGTGCCGCATACAAGCTGGTCGTGATTGAGCACGGATGTGAGGCGCTGCTGCATCCTCAATCATCCCGCATCGTGCATGATCTTGACGCAACAGGCGTTTCTCTCTCCCATCACCTGACTCTCATCTCGAACAACTGGCTGCTGCGACACTCTACCAGACAAAGATCGCTACAAGACACGCGGTCAAGTGCTTTCCGTCCTTCTTCATCTCCTTCCAGCACACCTCATCTTCCTCCTCGCCCTGCGAGCCTACCTACACATCTACCTCTCCCATTCCTCCTCCTCCAGCTCCTCCGCACATTTCCTCACTCGTCTGCTCGGCGCTCGCAGGCCCGCCTTACCAAAATATCCACCGTCTGATTGGCGGAACAGGATCTTCGAATGCGATGCGGCTGGAAGACCGTCGAGGTGTTGGAGAGATGCGTGCAATGGGAACTGGAAACCTCCGCGCACAAGACATTGCGGAGATTGCGGAACATGTCGCGCAGGCTTGGATCATCACTGTCCCTGGGTGCGTATGCGATACTGTCCCCTGCCCATTACCCCTACATGTTTTGCCCCAGCTTAGCTTCTGACCGTACACGCCTGCTCGCCCACACGCAAGTTTGATGCGGATGTTCAAATCCCACTCACCTCCCCTTCATTCTTGCACTTTCTCATCCTCGTGCCCCTCCTGTACCTTTTTGCGCTCTTTCCAATGTTCGGTATCGCATGGAGGCACACACGCCTTATCTGGATATGGGCATGCGATGTCGACAACGTCCAAAGCCGCGAGTGGTGGGCCAACAAATGGACCTGGATGGGCGGACCTGTGTGGAGATGGGTAGGAGGCTGGATTGTCGGTGAGTCGCTCGATGATGGGTGCAAAAACGAACCCATTAGCATCGTGTTGACCCCAGCGCATCACCATGATTGCCAGCTTCGAGGTCTTACACAGCAACGTCGGCGCAGATCACTTCTTCTCATTCCAAACTCGTCGCCATTCCCAATTGGACAATGCCGCTCGTAGTGACGAGCGGTGCAGGTCTAGTCTTCATAGCTCTAGGTGCGCTTTCATGCTCCGTTACGTTGCAAAGCGAGAGATTGGCGAGATGCTCAAAGTGTGGTAAAATCTCCTCGCGTGCTTCGTCCAGCTTTGCTCTTCTCTTCCCTATCTTCGCTCATGCAAGGTCAGACGACGATCGATATGGAGCGCAGAAAGGCCTATTCTCGACATGTTCGCTCAGTCGAGCGCAAGCGGACGACTTCCTCTGGCGATTCGGCAGGAGTGCGGGGAAGAGAAGACGACAGCCTCGCAGCGCCGCATTCGGGTGCCATGCCAGATACAGACGAGGAAACCCTTCGCCGTTTGAGTCCCATCTTGTATTTTTGGGTTCCTCTGGCGCTGATCGATGAGGAGAAAAGCACAAATGACTACGATGCGGACCAGCTCGATCATCATATCGATGCGCAGCACGTGTCTGTACAAGAGGGAGGGATCGTCCTGCCCACGTTGCTGCAGGAAAGACCTTATGATCTGGGAGATGCATGGTCCAATCTCAAGCTCGCTCTTGGGTGAGCAGTGTTTGCCGCTTGTCCCATGATTTCATCATCAAGCTGACATCCAAAACATCGCTCGTGCGTGCCCCCTCGGCAGAATGTCGAAAGCCAGCGACGAGGATGAACAATGGACGCTTGACGCCTTGGTCGAAGCACGGCTTAAAGCTACAGCAGCTCGAATCCTGCACAAGTCCAGATGACACCAGTCTGAATCGCGCTGCTTTGTCAATCCCATCATACATTGGCAACTTGACGCATACATTAGCAAATCCGAGTTGCTCGCGGAGCGGCGAAGGCTACGGGTACATGACCAAGCACCGAAAGGCAAGGCAGATGACGAAAAAAGGCCCTAAAGACGTCGGCATGATTGAGCGCAAAAACGAATGGTGAATGATTCATGCATCGGGCTCGTCCAGCCAAGCGAGGATATCCCTCATATGTGTTCCTCCCGCCATGAGGACCTCTCCATGCGCCGCTCCCCTCGCCATGGTCAAGCCTCCACCTTCGCTAGCATCCTTCATGCCAAACGATCTCAAATACCTTCTGTTGGCTTTGGCATCCAAGATCGCATCCTGCTCCGAGAGGTAGATGCGCGTATGATGAGGTGACAAGAGATTCTGAATCTCTTCTCTAGGCCAGAGAATGTTGGATGCCCAGTTGAAATGGCGCGAGAGAGCGTGCGCCGTTCCGAGCTCCGTGCCGACAAACTTGAGGCAAATTGGCAAGCAAGTGATGGGAGGGGACAGGAGGATGCAAACGTCAGTCGAGTGATTCGTGCCAAGATGCCATCTTCGATCATTCGAAGAGCATGACTGACATATCTCATCAAGTGCCGAACTGGCGTGTCTGGCTTGTTGTAGAGAAAGTTACCGATGACCACGGGAACCCAAAGGCTAAAGCAGACCGGATCGACGATGCACATTCTGCGAACCAAAGCGCCCAAGCTCTTCACCTGCAAGTCAAGAGAGAGAGAGAGAAGAGAGAAAATGTCGAGGAAACGTCGAGGAGTGCTAAGCACGCCGCTTCTTACACCACGCCAGCTTCATTTCGTCCACTCACGAGCCAAGATCCAACAATGGTTCCCATAGAGTGGCTCAAGATGGTGATGCCGCACCTGTGCCAGTGTTCCTTCTGAATGATGACGCGCAGCGTAGCCGTCATTTCGTGATGTCCCACAGGATTCAAAAAGTTGACATCAAAGATATCTTGACTGGTAGCAGGAAATAGCGGAACCAAGATGGGGTGGGTGCTAGCCAAGTGCGAAGTTGCTAGCTGGTTGATGAGCGTAGAGTACTGGCCTAGACCGATGCCTAAACCGTGCAGAAAGATGATGGGTCTATGCAGGCTTGCCGTTCGTGCGTCCCTCGCCTCTGCCAATTGTCGAGTCCATCGAGGCGGTCGACGGACGAGGTAGCGTAGTCTGCCCTCCTGCTCTAGCGAAAACCCGTTCGACTCGGCACGCATGACGGTGAAGCGCGACAGGGCATTGGCAAAGAGGTAGCAAGCCAGAGGCCTGCTTTGCACGCGTACCGGATCAATCGTCAACCTCATAGCTCTAGCGTGCGGCGCATTCTTGATGCTCTCCTCATCCTCCCCTACAGACTCGTTCCAGCTCGTCGCCCTACGCGGGAACTCGAACCCTTGCCTAGCTTCGAACATTTCCCGGCACCAAAGCAAAAACTCTAGCCGTGCACCAGGCTTGGACCAGCCTGCAGCGTACTCTGCTGCAGTCCGAGCAGCCTCGACCGCTTCGCTGGAAGTCTGATCCTCCTCGTCCAACTTGCGTCCAATCTCCTCTGCTCGCTGATGAGCTCGGCGCGACTCGCCAAAGTCTTCCCTGCCCGGCATCGGGCTGGGTGGGAAAGACTCGTGGCTGGGCGGCAGAGGACTTGGAGGCGGAGAGATGGTGGGGGTAGGCGGCATAACATTGTCCACCGCAGCAGCAACAGTCGCGCCGCTACTGAGTCTTGGCAGTCCTCTTCTCAAAGTGGCGCTGGCATGCTGCTCTCGTATGACGCGGCTATTTTCAGCCTCGACTTCCACCTCTTCCAATTCTTTTGCATACAAAGACCAAGCCAGCCATCTCTCTACCGCTCTCGCCGTCACATCCTCTGGTCGCGCGTCGATGAACCACATGGCAAGCTCGTCCCTGAATCGTCTTGCGCGCACATCGTCCTTGTCCAAAGGTCGAGCCACTGCAAAGCTGGGCAAGACGCTCGATGCGCGCAGTCGGCTGTGTCCCGCTATAGGGCTTGGGGCTCGGGATGGAGTCCCAGACAGGGGGATGGGCGAGGTGGATCCAGAGCCCAGCGCCTTGACGTCGCTTGAGCCTGATGTCGTCCTCTCCCTGCGTCTCATCCGCATTCCATTGCGTGCAGAATTTGACTCTGATCCACCCAGCCTCTCCATCGATTCAGCCCTGGATATGGTCCCGGATATATCCGCATTCACATCCTCATCTTCGTCCTCATCGTCCATGCCTGTCTCTAGTGCTCGGATGAGCACCGTACGCAACAGCTTCTTGCTGAAGTTGGGTGGAGGACCTGGTTGTTGAACCTTTGTGACGAGGTAAGCGTGATAGAAGCTAAAGACCACTTCGCACAGAGCGTAAAAGAGGTAGCCGTAGTGCAGGCGAGGAAAAGGGTGAGGCGGCATCCAGGATGGAAGTTGACCCTTGTAGGCCGCGTAGCTGCCTGCGAGGTAGAGGTAGGAGAGGGGCGTGACGCTCCATATCATCCAGATGACTGCTTGCACGCCCAGCGTGGACAGGTGCAGCATCGTGCTGGCCGCCTCAGAGGGCGAAGCAGAGACCATGTTGGTGTCGGCGAAGAATGTGAGGCGGTAAAGATGGAGAGCCAAGGATGTGGGAGGGGTTGAATTGGTTGTGGTGAGGGTGTGGAAGCGTGGCCCGTCCCTTTCCCAGGAATTGCCAATTCCAAATTTGCTGCCAGACCGAGTCGCTTGCGAGAGAGACAACAACCCGTCGATTCGACGAAGTACTTTCGAGTGAAGCGAAAAAATCAGGAATGAAGTGAGGGTTGACAAGATGGCAGGCCTCCTGATGCCTTCATTTCACTCGCCGCACGTAGAGGTGATTGGGGGACGAGGAGGAAACCGAGCGATGATGAGGTGTTCAGGCCAAGACAGCGGGCAGACCATACACGAGAGCTGCGAAAGAGTCAAGTGCCAAGATTGGGGACGTGGTCAGGTGAGGTGAGGTGAGGTGAGGTGAGGTGAGGTGAGGTGAGGCGCGGCGAGTGTCAATGTGGTACAACTTTGTGTACCAAACCCGTGTCGTAGTCAAAGTGCATGCTGCTTCCGCTGTCCTTCGGGGAATTTCATCCACAAAATAGCGCGTACTGTAGCTGTATACAATCAGAACATATGCAACACTCACGACTCGAGCCCTTTCAAGAAGCTTGTCTCAGCCGTCTCACATGGCCTTTGGTTTGAGACCCTATTTAGCCCTCACTTGCAGCTAGGCTATAGCTCCTTAACAAAAGCCCAAGTCGAGGGCGCGCGCGGCGGCCCGGTCGTGACAATTTGTCGATCGCGGTTAAACCACGCGTGCGCGAGCTATAGGTAGGGCCTCATGCAACGGTACCGCGGCTTGCGGATGATGGCTATTTCGCGATTGCCGGTATGCCGTACCGGTACATTTCGATTCACAATCGTGAATCGTGAATTCGTGAATTAAGCGTACGTAACTTTGCTGCCTTAAATTGCTGCTGCTGTAAGCCGTCGAGACTCGTGAGTGCACGGCACGCTTATCGCGGCACCTTGATTCCGCGCGCTTCGGTGCGACTTTTTCACGTTGACCAGCTAGACTAGACGGAACTTTCTCGCAGAAATACGGGCTTTACCACCCCAAGATTCAAATTAAGTCACGAGTGTGTGGGTGTGTGTGTGGGTGAGTGAGTGGGTGCTAAGGCATTCACGATGATGTTGCCCCCACAACTTGGTCCACCGCATGCCCCACTGCTGGTAGTCAGCGCACAGTAGTCTAAGAGTAGCAGCCTTGAGTAGTAGAGACCTCTTTGTAGCCACGACGGTCATGCAGCCCATCCGTTTATTTCACACGCGGCTGCCTCTCACCATCACTCGCCACTCGCGACACTCTCTCTGTTGCAAAAAGTCGTGAGTTGTACGTGAGCCGAGCAACTGCTGGTGGGAGTCACTGCGAGCATTGCGCGTCCTCTCTTTCAAAGAATATCCGCAAATCTGAATGCGGTGCTTGAATTGGGTGTGCCTGCCATAGCTGGGAGTCAGGGTTCAACGCGCCCATCCTCGGTCTGACCCCCTTTACTAGTCTGAATCGCGCTCACTTGACTGCAGACCAGATTTTGAGTTGCGAAGCGCAATCACGACTGTGACTGTTGTGAGGCGTGTATGTCTGCACGCAAGCTGATCGAGGTGTGAGTCTCTGGTTGGGGCTTTGCTATCGTATCCTCGATTTGATTCGAAGATTCGTGATGGTGGTTGATACCTCAGCGAGCAAGCTGCTTGGTGGCAGCTCCCTCACGTAGGTGAGCTTTGCAACCAATCTCAACACACAAACTGCGTCACGCAAGATTCGATCCACGATTGTCATCGCTGCTGAATCTCTCGCTCATCGCAATTTTCCGAAAGCTGCTGTGGGCGATTTCGTCTGAACAATCACAATCACGAATTGGCAGGCTTGTGCACGCCACTCACAACCCAGATTCACCAGTCTGAGTGCGATTCACCCTCCGAGATCGTTGTAATCGTGTGAATGCATATATGGTATCGCAGCGCCGATAGGCATGGATGGTTACAATCGTGAATGTTGGCATGTCAGGCACACACTTCCCGTACGAGCGAGCGCTTCCTTGCAAATAACGCAGAAAGTCTGACCACGTGTCCCGGACTTGACCGATGGCGCGACTTGGCGCTGCTGGCCAGATGAGCCACAGCAGTTGAGTCGTGAGTGTGATGCTTGCATGGGCAGCAGGACCGCGCCGCGTGGGGGACCTTCTAGATTCACATTCACATTGCGATAATTCAAGGCTTCCAAAGTAATCGCAATTCACGCTTCTCGGCTGTGACCGTCCCCACGACTATCAGCCCAGCATTACGAGGTCGTCCAGTCTACATCATAGAGTCAAAGCAATCATGTTCGGCTCCACTCTTCGCACCACATCTGCGCGCAGCGTAGCGATCCAAAGATCTCACGTCGCCCAAAACTGCGCTAGGAACATTTCGCAATCGACACGTAGAGCGGACGCTGCATCTTCGGCAAAGAACGCAGCTGAAGGTGCTGCAAAGCAACTTTCTAGCGCGGCTGCGAAGGCTTCGGCTGCTGTGGGACCTGTCGCTGCTAGGATTCAAGGAGCTACGGGAAGTGAGTAGAGCGGTCGGAGCGGGGGCTTTGAGGATGGGTGGACGAGCGCGGCTAGACTACAGCTGCACTCATCGCTGTTGGAGAGCAGCAGCTCGCAGGTGTACGGGACAGTTCTGACTGTGGTCCGAAAAAGGCCATGAAGACATCGCTCACCTCGGCTTGCATGCTGACCCCTGATGCTCACCCCACGCTGCGCCCCAGTCAACCTGTCCTCTTTTGGGGAATCGATCGCATACAACGCTCGAGTCGCCGGATCCCTCTTCAAGCAAGTGTACATTGCCGAAGCCCTCGCTCCTCCCACTTCCACATCAGCCATCAAGCAAGGCGCAGAGACGCTGTACAAGCGAGCACTCGACGCCTCTTACTGGAGCGGAGTGGTTAGGACCGGCGAGTGGAAAAAGTTGGCAGTGTATGGAATCGAAGTCGTCGGCTTCTTCACCATCGGAGAGATGGTGAGTGTTGAAAATACAGGTGTGGGAGGATCAGGCTTTGTTAGGAGGCGTTCTTTGCCATTGCGAATGCCTCATTCTGGCGCGTGCAAACCGCTCAGCATCTAATCCTGGGCATGCCCTCGCCTTCTCACGAACAGATCGGCCGCAGGCACATCGTCGGCTACAAGCTCGACAAGCACAGCTCCGCAGATGCCCACCACTAGATCATGTCTCAAGCTCTCATGTAGATGTCTCAGGCAAACTCAATCGTTTCTGCCACGACGGTCTTCATACGACAGCCTGAGCTGAGCGAGCGGTAGTACTTTGGTTTGCGCTCCGGAGGCCACAGACTCAAGTTGGTGGCGCGAACAGGCTCCTCGCTTGCCTTCACTTTTGACGCGGGCGGCGCGGGTCTGCAAGCAGATGTGACTCGAGTATAGACCCTTGTGCAAGAGAGATTGGTACCCGCCTCTAAGGGCGTCCGTCACCTTGCTGAAACAGACCAGAGAGCTGAAGGAGCCCCTATCGGCGAATGTTGATTTTTTTGATGCTCGCGACGGGTAGCCTCGCGGTTCGAAGCACACTTGGAAGCGTTTCTATGCGGAGCACAGCTCAGATCAACATTGAGACGATTGGCTGTCATTTGGTTCAGGCGCGACTGGCGGATACATGCGCATACAGGATGACCAGCGAGCTCCTCGAAGCACATAGCTCATTGCGCGTCTAGCTGATCGATTTTAACCTTTGCGAGTGGATTGCAGTCCGCAAGCCTGGACAGGCTGACGTGGCCTGAAAGATGAGACACAGCGCAGTTGCTGTGGCACGAAGATGCTGATCTTGCGTGATCGAGTGGATGGTCTTGGTGCCCTATTGTTGGGGCGTCCAATGCGTATGCGCCACTTAGTTGACCTTCTCATGATCTTGCAGGAGGCGATACCTGATCAGCATGGGCATGACAGAAAGGTCGAGAGGCATCGTTCTGAGGGTCAATCTGTGATTCTAACGAATGACCTGCGCCTCAACCGCACGGACGGTACTCACCAGAATCACACCATCTCCTCGCACGAACATCATCTCACTCTGCTTCTTGATGACCTGTTGAGTATGCGTAGCGTGGATGGGATGTAGGAAATTCAGCATGATGGGCCTGTGCATCTAGTGAGGTGCCCTTTCCCCTTGAACCTGGACCGCACAGTATCGGCGACGATTGTGCGTCGCAAGTGTTTCATCGCCATGGTCTGGCCTTTGAAAACCTTGGTGTAGGCTTTCTGTGCATGCGCGATCCATTGTCTGTTCCCCACAGCCTGCTCCAGTCACTCGCAACCATCCAAGCCCCTTTCACCCCTGAGTCCCGCCACACACAAGAGCATACAAACTCACACTAATGTCTCCCGGCTCTCCGCTCTCGTCCACATTGACCACATAAGCCGTCTCCTCCACGTCTCCGACTATCAAATTCATGTGCCCATCATAAGCATGCAACGTTCCTCTCAATTCACGATCTCCTCTCAATTTGATCAGCACGCGCTCTGCCAAGGAGAGACGCAAAAGGTCAAACGGCTCTGAGATTGGTGCCGACATGTCCGGCCTAGGGAGCAAGGCGAGGCCCAGCGATTCGTTAGATGTTGATGTTTAAATAACCCGAGATGATAGGCGCCTGAAGCGGATCGGACTTGGGGCTGCCAAGCTTGTGATTCGCCGTGTGCGAGGTGCGAGGAAAAGCTGCTTTCGAGAAACTGAGACGAGGATGGAGCTTCCGAAGTCGACTTCGCACCAAGTGGGTTGATGAGAGGCAACCGACGCTGGTTGGAAGCGCACTTCGGCCGCTGCTGGTAAGAATCGCTTGGCCCTTCTGGGAGCTTGCGCAACGGTGGTCGGAACGAGGTGACTGGCTCGGAATACCAAAAAACGAGGTGCTGCTCTTTTGCCTTGCACTGCGGACTCGCAAAGGCGTGATGGAGGAAGGTGGACAGGCAGAGGTGTGTGAATGCTGAACGAGGCCCCGGCCATAGCTACCGACACAGGCCGCGCGCTGCACGGGGTTTGAGCTCGCGCGCGTGCAAAGCAGTAGTACGAGGGAGCTCGATCGGCGCTGCGTGCAGCAGCTGTTTTGTGGAGAACGCGAAACGCGTGCAACAACCTCATCAGCAGTCCTGACGGTCCTTCGAAGCAGACTGCTCTCCTTTGAAACGAGGGAGACCATCGTGCCGCTTGGTCGACGAGTCGCCCTTCCGGCAGCATCTCAGAGCCAAATCGCGGCATCACAACAGACCTCTCGGACTGTTCTGCTTTTAAGGAAATGTAAATGCTCTCGTCTTAATGTCGAAGCGAAGAGGACTATTCTTTACAGCTTGCGATTACAGGACCTGCGCATTCAAAAAGATGTTCGGGGCTAAAGGGCGCAGCGAAGAAGCCGCAGCATACCAAAGTCAAGTGCGAAAGTAAAACGTATCTTAGGCGTGACGGGTAAGATGCTTCTCATGACCGAGAACAACGAGAAAGAGGATCACGAATGCGCTTGTTGTAAAGGGTGCAATGACGCATGTCAGGCACGGCTGGTAACGCTACTCGGTCGCAGAGATGCGCTCGATGCTCGCGCTTGCAGGGTTCTGCCTCGGGTGGGACTGACGGGCATCGGAGAGGCAGCCAGTGAGGTGCTGATTTCCTTGCATCTAGCAAGCTCTGCGGAATGCAGCAGCGCGGAAGACAGGACTGCAGTCGAAGCGTTCTCCACTCCCCTGTCAGATGCCATCTTCGAGAGGGTGAGCGAATGTCGCAGTGCGCGCGTGATGTGCTGTTCCTCACGCAGGAGCGCTTTAGCGTGAACGCACTTGGTGCTGGATGCTTTGTAAGGCAGTGTCGCAACGATGCAAAGATCGACATCCTCGGTCGACAGCCGACGAGATGCTGTTGAGAAGGTGAGGAGGTCGTGACCATCTTCAATATGAGTCGGCGACTGCGGGCGCGCCAAGGGCGACATTGGGGATACTGCAAAGTTCCCCGAGCTTGACGACAGCTCCGAGCAAGATCCAATGCTGCTGATTGGGCTAGCAAGGCTGGATCTTCTGTGCTTTGGCGACCAAGAAAACTCTGAGAGGGAAGGCGAAACGGAGGACGGGCTGGCAGGCGAGGCAGGAACAGAGCGGCGCAAATCGTCCGTCGAGGTTTCGCTGAGGACCGAGAGGTCTCTCTTGAAGAATGGCGCCGTGGAAGGGAAGCTAAGAGCGTCCTTGACCCTCATCAGCGGTGTCGCTTTATCCTTTGGTAGCTTTTCAAAAGTGAGAGTAGTGTTTCGCTTTTCGTCGAAGGAGACAGACTTCCTCAACCGGTGAGGCTCGATTGAGTGCCGTCTTGAGTTGACGAGCTCCAATGTTTCTCCGTCATCAAATCGTAGACCCAAAGCCGATTCCCGAGGCCGACTTTTGGAGCTCTCATCGAAAGCAACTCGGCGAGGAGAGTCGGGAGCTTCGGCACAAGAGCAGCAAGATGGACGACGCCAAGCAGAGGCAGGTATCTCCTGGCGAGCCAAGGCGGCAGCGCGCTCCTCGCAAGTTAGGCGAATCAAGCCGAGATCCCGACGTAGGCGAGCGACTTCGCCGTCTTCTTCCCCAGACGGGCTGGTCGACCCTTCGGGTGCAGTGGAAGCGATGCGGGTCTGCACATCGAATCGGCTTCGGTTCTGCATCCAATTCCCTAGGACTACGCCGACAAGCTTGAGGCTTTCGCTGATCAGATGGGGCTGGGGCGCGTCAGCTACGTCAGGAGAGCGAGGGGTGATGAACACTTTGCCCGAGTCGGATGTCCCGTCCGGGTCGAGGTTGAAAGGCCATGCAAAGAGCGTCTGCGAGCGGTGGTGGAGAACTGTAACGGTAAGATTGTAGTCGACCTTGACAATAGCCAAGAGCCCCCAATTCGAGGCGTTGTAGCCTCTCAGAATCGGCGTCGGCGGGCAAACATACTGCAGGCGTTTCGGAGAGGTTCCGACGGTCGAAGGACCGCGGGAGACGGTCGGCGATGCTGGCGGAGCGTACGAATGGGAGAGTGCGCTCTTCAGGGCAGGGGAGATTGGCGCGTGAGCCAGGGGCTGCAAGTCTACAGCGCGACTCTTGTTTTCCACGTGGATGCTGCTCAGCGATGGAGCACTGCCTCTTCTGGAAGCGAGCGCAGATGCGGAAGGCTTGGAGGTGCGGTCCATGGCGTGCGAAATGACAGGTCGATGCGTCAAAGAGGCGGTCCTGGAAGTGGTGTCTTTCAATCTGCACGGCAGGCAGACGCAGCTGTGCTTTGGCGGATAAGCTGTGAAAGCGAGAAGCGAAGGTTGTGGGTGGAAAAGATGGGCGGAAAGGGAGGACGCAGGTCCAGGTCGCGGGAATGAGAGAAGGTCGGTGTAGGTTGTGGACACGAAAGATGTTCGGAGGGGGTCATTTTCGTTGAGGTGGGCCTTTAAATGAGGACAGCCATCTCCGTGCGAGGGCATCCCACGTATGCCAAGCGAGTTGACCATCCCACGCAGGGCACTTACCCCACAATGATGATCGGGAGAGGTTGCATTGGCAAGACGGAGCAAGAGAGGCGGCTCCAACAACTATCCTAGACGGAGACTGATGCAACGATTGGTTCTGCGCTGGAAGACAAGGTGTGGCGTGTGGAGGGTGTGGGATATGCCGGAAGGGGATGGGGCGCCAAGCTACTGTTTGACGCGCAACCTCCAATCATCAAGCTTGGTCACAAATGTAGCCCGGTTAACACCGTCACCTTTCATGGGAGTCACGTCTGACCGTGTTTGTCGAGCAGGGTATGTGGAGTGATGGTGCAGCACAAGGTGTACATTTGACTCCGTTCGAGAAAGGAAGTCTCGGAACCGGATTTGCGAGCTTGCTAATGCGCTTTCTGCGGCTTCAGTCAGTTCACGCAAGTGCATCCAAGCTTGTCTCTCTCGTCTCCACTATAGCTGCGCTAAGAAGCTGTTTGCTCCACTCAGTGCACGGCGAGACTGAGCGGGTTCGATGAAACGGTTGCAGACTGAGAGCGCGCGTCATCCGAGACCGGACTCAAATTATTCTCCGAAATGCTGGCCTCACCCGTGGGACAAAAGGGTTCAGAATAGCAGCGAGTCTGCATGAGTCCGCTTGTCAGTCCGCACAGCGTCGTCTGTGGTCGGCATATCAATGTCTCACGTACAGACGTCTTTGAGCGCCATGGCGAAAATGGGACGAGGGGTGGTGCCATCACAGCTCAAGGAGTCGGACCCGCCTCTTCGAGCCCTGGGATGTACCAGCCACACAATCTTGATCTGACCGCAAGCGGCGATGGCATCTGTCGTTGCGTGGTCGTAATGTGACGGAGAGCATGCTCCACGAAGAGGCCTTCATCCGATCGGAGTGCCCAGGGGCCCCCCTGCGGAGGCTGGCTTAGGCTTGACGACAGCATTGCTGGTACATGTCAGCCGTGCAATGGCTCACTAGTGTCCTGGCTTACGAAGAGCCAGCCAAGCCCCGGTCGAGCGCATGGACGTTTGAAATCGTAGCCGCAGCAGCGTTCGCGGATGTACTGAGCGCGCATGGGAGTTCCGTCGGCGCACGGGGACTGTGCCACGCCTGCAAAGGCTCGCTAGCTCATACCTGCCCCTGATTGCTTCCAACCAGATGTGCTCTGCTGACCGCTTGCGCCCCTCTCCGGCGATCGTTGATAGTTCAGAGGTAGGCCAAGGTTGCAGACTCAAATGTGAAGCTGCAATTGGAATTCTTGATGGTGATTGTGAATGTCGCCGACGGCACCAATTTCTACCACCGAGACACGCAGCGTTGCTTCCGCATGGCGCGTATAGGTAACCCGCATGCGCGAGTACCGGTACCGCGCGCGTAGCCGCCCCGCGCCCGCATCTTGCGATCGTGCGCTGCAAGCCTGCTGAGCGCGGCCCACTGCTCGCGATTGCGTGACTTTTCTGTCTCGACATAAGGCGGACACCTGTGCAAGAGCTTGGCGAGGGCAATTTGAAAGCCTATTTTGGATTCACTTATGAGCGAAAGGGGTTGCTCAGCGCTGAGCATCCGTCTCGGTGGCAGAGCGAAGTCATGACTCGTGTATTGCGACGCGTGAGGCAAACCGAAATCAAAAGTCTTGGCCAACCAATGACGTCAATGAAAACATTACGGAAGGAGAGTGACTTCTCCGACCACGTTTCACTTTTTCACCACATGTACATCCACGTTCAACGGGTTCGCACTAAGACTACACTCATTTTGCTGCGCCAAAGTCTTTCGAGCGAGGCAGAGAGTGACTATAGCATGGTATAGCCTTGCGCCGCGATCAGTCATCGGGTACATCTCATTGTGACTGCTGCGGGTTCGTGTAACCGGCAAGTATCAGATCACACACTCGATGGGATCTCGTACATGCGAGCAGGGCATGCCGAGCGGATGTTACTCTCAGCATCGACGACTGAGTTGACGAGAGATCAAGAAGATTCTTGTGGGGCTCGGTTGCGAGCGGCGTCCTCGTCATTTGCAATGTTCTCCTCTTGCTGAGCGGGCGCATTTTTGTGTTGGTCGCGAAGGCGAGCCATCTCCTTCTTGAAGGCATCGGACACCGTTGCCTTCACTTCGACGCCTTCCTCCGAGTCCTTGGCTGCGTCGGTCAAATCTCCAGTAGTGGCATTTGCTGTATCACCTGTGTTGTGCGCGCCCCACGCTCTTTGACGTGATCCGCTGACCTTATTTACAGCGTCTCGGTTGTGGCGATTGGTCCCTTTGTACATAGACGAGTTGTCTTCACCTCGGTGTGTGAGTTCCTTCTGCGTCGCCGTGGAAGTGTCGCTTTTAAGGATCTCTCGGAGTGCCATGGTGCAGTAGCAGCTTGTGGGCAAGGAGAGCCGCACTTGCAAAGCAGCGAATGGTGCTTCGGGATCAGGTTCAGGAGGGTTGTCTATTCCCAGTAGCTTGTCCTCGTCGGACTGCGCTAGATTGAGGTTGGTGTCGGTGTACTTGATTAGGCTCCATGATACGTCTTTAGGTCTCTGCAGGAGCTTTCGATACGCGCCGCCCAGCTTGAAGTCGCTGCAAGGCACAGGTAACGCGCGTGGTGTGAGTTTGTGCACAGACATTGAGAAAGCTTGCAAAACACACCTGAAAGTGAGAAGATGATCTTCTGTCAAGCCATCCTCGGCGAGCACCTCCTTGTACAAATCCGCCATCCAGCCAGCTGGATAAGAGACGTCTATGCCTGGCAGCCCAATGACCACATCGTTGATGCTGTAATGATCCAAGTCGCCGGCTTGCAAAACCTTCACAGGCAGCTGCGAAGCCCAGCGCTTCGAAGCTAAGAAACAAATGTCTGCCATCAGCTATCAAAGACGTGGCTTTGCACACGCAGCATTCAGCAAGAGCCTGGACGTACCAGGCTTAGACTCGTCACCGGGAGCAGCTTCCTGGTCAGCTTGATCCGCGTGGGAAGCAGGACCATCTTGCTGATCATCGTCCACATCGAGAACGGCATCCTCTCCGAGGGCGACAGTATCTCCAACGATCGCTTTGTCGAGTCCGTAACGGGCTACGCGTTCAGAGGCGATGCGATTCCAAACGTAGGACTGATACGCATGCACGTACATGATCCGTAAGCTCTTGGGAATCTGTGAGACGCGACTTCTCGTGGCTTTAGCTTCACAAAAAGGCAACATCACGCTCAGAATCGGCGACTCACAGCGAGAAAATAGCCTTTCCAATCGTTTTTGGGTTTCCCGTCAGCATCAAGGTCTTTTCTCATGCGTTCTAAGATGGCTCGCTCGGGGACGTTGTAGCGAGGTAGCATATCGTAGGCTTCTAAGATGTAGCCTTCCGAGTACGCCTGGCGTGCCTTGCTCTCTTCCGGGGAATCGCCAGGGCGCGAGGCCAAGATTCCATCGACGGCTGCTTGATAATTACCCTTGAAGAGCTCGATTCCTGTGTGATGGCTGGAAATGCTTCCAGATCCGAATCGTTGAAGGCCTAATGCAAAGCGGCAGACCGCTCAGTCCTCGCCCGCAACTGTGAGCGCAACGGTCACACTAGACGCACCAAAATAGTTGATGAAGCCTTTTGTGGACAGTATGTCCACGCTCTTTCCAATCATGCTCTCGTCCTTGACCTTGACATTTCGTAAGGTCACGACGAACGCGTTACCTTCCAGCTCGCCGAGGTGAAGCGGAGCGTCGGCGTACTGAAGATGTGCTATTCGCACCGCGCGGTCAGCGCGCTGCGTAACCGCATCGAGTAGCGTCTTTCGAGTGCCGTAGCCTCTTTGAGCACCCCCTCGACCTCTCCCACCGCGCTGCGAGCCGCCCCGCCCGCCTCTTGACCCATATGGATCGTCGCGTTCTTTGCCGACCCCATTGACGAGTTTGTACACTTCATCGAGCGTGCGACGTCCTCTTTTGTAAGACACTCGCTGGACTGTTGTAGCACGTTTGTCTTTTGTGCCAGCAATAGCTAAGTCGCCGAGCGCTTTGCCGTGGAGTGAGCCGTAGCCACCCAGATTCAGAGCGCGCCCAAGGATGGCAAGGGCATCATGAGAGTCTCGGTTGGACTTCTGCATGAGGAAGTGGACGTACGGCGGTAGCGATTTTGCATCTGACGGAGGCGCAATGGTCCCGGTCTCAGCAGGAAGAGTGCCTCGTCTTGCATCGTGAATAACGACGCACCTTTCTTGTCACCTCCCTTGTCTTGATCATTGTCGCGCTGACTACGCTGTTTCGTATTGCTCCAGGTGATGCGGATAGGGAGCCCTTCGGGTGGCTTGGACACTTCACCGTTTGCGATTGCATCGTCGTCAGGTGGCCCGTCTTTGCTCTGGACAGTGTTGGGGTTCCGATGGGCTTCTAGCGCCTCGCTCTGCAGCGAGCCTTCGAAGACGCTCCTGACCAGCTGATGGGCTGCTGTTCGTTGCTCCTTTGATGTCAACGGCTGTGAATGAAGCCAGAAATTGTGAGCTCGCCCCAACAGATGCCATGCCATCGGGGCGACATCTCACCTCTGAGAGGACGGATGGGCCGGTGCTCGCGGCGTCTCGCGCCTCCGTGTCACGACCACCTCCCCTTCCTCCGCGACCTCGTCCTCGGCCCCTGCCCCAGCCGCGCCCAGACGAAGCAGAGCTGCGAGGCGGTGGTCCTTTTTCCCACAGCTCTTTCAGAGAGTCTACTGCTTCCTGGCCCAACACTTGGACAAGCTCGCTTTGCGCTTTCTCATCGACCGTTTCGACCCACACCCAAGTACGCTCAGCTTCACGCTGCTTGGCAGCTTCCGCAGCGGCTTTACGCTCTTCGCGCTCTGCATTCTGGCGCTGTATGCGCTCTTGACGCAAGTTACCACTTGAGTCTGCTGCTTCTGCGCGCTCTGTCTCTAATTCCTCGTAGAGACCATCGCCGCCCTGCTCTGCTGTGGGTGGATCTAGAGAGACGATCCGGCAGACTTTGCCTCCAGGTGCAATTTCGAAGACCTGGAAATCCGAAAAGCTACGGAAGCACCTTGCGTGAGTACGTGAGCCGGTATTCAAGAGGAGACCTCCTAGATTATCTCATCTCACCGCTGCTTAATCACACCGCCCTCAAGCCCTACTAAGTCAGGGCTCACGTATTGCACAATGCCGACGTCGGCTTCGCGAGCCGCTCTGCCCTCATCGGTTCCGCTCGGCACGCTCATGGATAGCGCTGTGCTGCCAGTTGTGTTCGGTACGTCTTGCTCCATCCTCAAGGGCTTTCCCGATACGAAAGCCTCGGAGAGTGATTCGTGTCTTGCGCTAAGCGCTGAATTGCCACTGGTGTGTGGCACTTCTTGTTCCGTCTTCAAGCGCTTTGACGATGCAGCAGGCTCGGATAGCGGCTCGAGTCTTGCGCTGCCTGACGAAGGAGAGCTTGATGCCTCCCGCTTCAGGTTTTCCTCCGCGCCCTGGACCTTCACGACCTCCCCAGAGGCCTCTTCCTTGACCATTCCCTTGTGATACAGCACAAAGCCTGTCTACTGTATGTCTGAGGTGAGTGTGAAGGTTCTTATGTGACTTGAGGTTCTTATGTGAAGTTTTGAGGAGCTTCTTGGTCGGCGGAAGAAGTTGACCAGAACGCTTGTCACCTTGGAGGACCAAGAAGAATGCTGGTGGTGTCTTTGGTGCTCTCCTTGCTCGCTTGACACCGAAAAGCCTGACAAAAGAAGATTTGCTTGACGATCTGCGGAGGAAGGCTCAAAAGCAAGGAATTCGGAGACTTCCTGGTCACGGCTACCTTGGTGAGATGGCGTGAGCTGTGATCCAAGAGTCTTGAGTGCTGTAGAGGCGTCTTGCATATTGATCAAGATTCGCTCTGATGATGGACCTTCAAGCTTGTGTGCTTTCTTAAATTTTTAATCACGCGTTTTGTTTGAAGCACTTTGGCAGAGACACGTGATCTCACGATTAGGTACTTTGACCCCTGCTGATGATGTGAGTGCGGCCCGGAATTGGGCGAGGCGACGTGCATGCATGCTGCATGCATGCGTGAAGCCAAAGCAAACTCGTGACTGCGATGATAACCAAAACCGCATTACAAAGTGCAGCACGCCTACACAGCAATCACGAATTCAAATTGTGAGGCAACAGGCACAGCCCCCTCACAACACTCACGACTCGAGACGAGCGGCGTGACCCCACTCAGCCTCGTGACTGCGCCCACGATCCCATACCAGGTTCTTGCTCGAATTTGGCGTCGTGAACCCAAGCCATTCGTGATTGTCAGGCCACCACCCTAGGCGTATCCTTACTCAACCACTAAGCAGCGGGCTCGCGCTTTTTGAAGGGAGATTGGAGTACCCAACGACCTCACGCGCCTTTTTCGGTCGGAGCTCGCGATTACCCATCACCTAGTCGTCTCTCTGTCCTACCTCCCTCTGCGATCTTGTCTCATCTGCACGGCCTCATCTGCACGGCCTCAGATGTGTTCAGCGTCATGCCTCACCTCTCTGTGAGCCTACAACGCTAACAAAGGAGGCACAGCTCTGAGCCAATCGTGATCTTGCTGCGCGTGTATGCACCTTGGTTGGCGGTTGCTAATACCGCATCATACATCAGTTTGCCGTCATGTCTCAGCTCATCAACGCGGACTCGAATGACTCTCAAAGGAGGAGAGAAGAGGCAGAGCTCATACTGCACAACCAAGATCTCGCTCGCACGACGCCACCCGACTTCAACAGTGCGCCTACGGCGTTTGGTCTAGACCATCGGGTGAAGACACAACGTCGTGGCTCCCGTAGCGATGCCATGGAGCCTACAGACATGCATGCGCCCCCCTCTCATGATGCTGCATCGCAGTATCCTAGCCTACCACCCTCGCCTCGCTTACATCCAACGTCCCCATCGTGTGCAGGCATCGCTGGAGCAAGCACGATCTCGAGTCTAGCCGCCAGCCCATCGCTCGGCTCTAATAGATCAATGAACTCCGAAATACCTTTAGCTGCTGTGTCGGATCTACAAGCAACGGGAATCGACTCGGCACGCGATCTTCAGAGACAACCATCCATCTCCTCGCTGGAAGGTCCAAGCGAGCGTGCAGGATCCATCGGCGCAGTCGCAAGAACATTCGCCCCTCTTCATCTTGATTCACATCGTCAGAAGGATCAGGGCGACGCAAGCGGTCTGTGCCGCATACCCACCACAGCGCAACTCGCAATGAGTACGACGACCGGAGGTGATGATCGCGACAAAGCTGGGAGACGGACTCGTTCAACTACTACCAGTACTCAGAGTGACGCTGGCCTCCCGGAGGCGGGTGAGCACTTTCCCATTCTGCAGATGCTCAGCATGGTAGGCTCTAGATTTGTGGAAGCGGAAGCGGATGGGTTTCCTGAGCCTGACCAAGGAGTGCAGCATGATTCGGCAGCTACAAGACTTGAGGGCACATCAGTGTACGGTGCTCAGTCGGACGCTGAAGAGTCGAATGACGATGAACACATGGCAAAACTTTCCGCGGCTGGCCCAAGTCAGCCTGCCACGGCGAACGTTGGTCTACTGCGTCGGCGAGTCAAGCGCGTCCATGGATCGCGAAGTGAGATATGGGATGATACTCGTAAGTCAACGCTGTGGGTTGATGTGGTCGTCATGCGCCTCACCTGCTCTCTCTTTCATGCGCGTAGCAACCCCGGTCGGCAGCCGCACGCCTTTGGCGGCTTCATACTCAGCTCACGCTGCGCATGAAGCGAGGGGCTCCCACTCTGCGACCAGGCCCAGCACCGCAAACAGATCTAGTCGGCTAGCTCGGGGTCAGTCCAGTGATCGAGAGGCGGATGGCGATGCAGAGGAGAGCAACGAGAGCGATCTTGCGGCATCCACAGAATCTTTGGCCGCTGCGGGCCTGGCACCGCAGGCGAGCAAGGATCGAGCTATGGCAAGCGACCTTTCGTCCTCGACTGAATCAAAACCACCAGACCTTTCCACCTCGCTGCACATGCTGTCCTCCGCAGTGCTCGATCGGTCTCGGCCTGACTGCCATTCAGACTCAGACCCAGACCCAGAATCTTCCCAGCCGCATCGACTAGCTACGTCGACTGCAGATACGCCGCTGCTGTCTGCGGATGAACGAAAACAGTTGTTGGCAGCAAAATTGGTAGAGATCTTTGGTCTTGGCCGTACGGAAACACTGCTTGCGACCCACCAAGCTTTTCTCGTGCGCGGGTTGCTACTTTCAGGCCACATTTACCTCACGTCGGATCATCTGCTGTTCTACGCTCCACTGCCAACTACTCAGCACTCGTCAGAAGGCGACGTGCTGCAGGCCGGCGCTTTGAGAAAGAAAACCCGCAGAACAATGCGCTTCAGCAAGCATTGGGCAGTGCTGGGAAAACGTGCCCTGAGCTGGTACGACTCTCATCATAGTCCTTACTTTCCTCAAGATCACATCGACCTGCGCGACATCATCGAGATTGGTTCTTCGCAGCACGGTGGCGATCTGCAATCTGCCGATGACGCTCAACCAAGCAGGACTGCGGACGCGGCAACGGATCATGCTAGCTTGGACTTCTACGTTCAGACCTCGTATCGACGCTTCGTCTTCTCAGCAGCTTCTCAAGCCTCCAAAGCAACTTGGGTGGGTGCGCTGCGAAGCGCAGTCATGCGAGCTCAGAATGATGGAGACAGCGTCAGACTATCCATCCCACTGGAAACCATTGTCGATGTAGAGTACGGAGGGCAGACAGGCGTTGGTCCATCAACTTCTGAAATTGCCGCTATGCCAAGCGACTTCAGCTCGTCTCAAGCCGCCAGCAAGGTGCCTAGCAGGGACTTTCTGTGCATCAAAGTTATAGACGGAGCTGGCGAGGACTTCGCTATACACGAATACTTTTTCAGGCACAAAGGCGAGCCGTCCAATCTCGTAGAAGTACTCTCTGATACAATAGAGCATCACAATGCCAGACCGCGGATGGAACGCAGGACCTCTTCAGGCAGTGTGAGGGATACGCTCGCTGGTAGTTGGCAAGGAAGGACTGATGTTGGCTCCAATAGGTACTCTTCCGGCCGCGGTGTCGAATTTTCGGCGTCAAGCGCTCCAATTGCGGAGTCTGCGCCAGCAGAGACCAACGCGCCAATGGCAACCGAAATGCTGGGCCCAAGAGCTATCCCTATCCCTCCTAGGGCTACTGGCGAAAACTCCACGCTGCCAGACCGCGATGCGAGTTCCGAGACGACCCTACCAATGTCGCAAGCTAGGCTGTCAGAAACACCGCGACCACCCAATCCGCTTGCTGCTGGCACGCATCGCTACCCACCTGCGAGCGTCGCTGGCGGCCCGCCACGTAGTCTCTCTTCTTCACGAGGTGCACGCAGCTCACTAGACTCGACACGAATGCTTAGACCGCACATCTTCCCCGGCTGGATGCGCGAGGCGGGGGAAAGATTGCTGTCTGTGACAGGACCTGGCGCAGAGCGACTCAGCGCGCAACTGGCAGCTCTGGCGCGTCAGCCTCACCGAAAAGTCCAAGAGAGCTGGTCTAGGCCTCTATACGAAGCTGATTTCGGCTTTCGCGACTGGGTTGGTGCAAGTCAAGCGCCTGATGGTTCAGAGCCCGGTGACCCAATGTGGCCCGGGAATGATTGCGACGCCGTTCGAGCGGTCGAGAGCAGCCTAGACAGCTCTGTGAGCAGCAATTACTCCTTGCTCGAGGGACATGCAGATCAGGCCTTGCTTGCAGAAGAGGCAGATCGAGATCACCAGTTTCGGACATCTTTTATACTGCCTAAGGAAGAAGCATTGGTATACCGTGAGTCACAGTAGCTTCGGTCTCGACGCAGAGATCTACACCTCACGCTGTCATCGGTTCTCTCGACAGATGTTAGCGCGAGCCTGTATCGTATCGTGCCGGTACAGGGTCGTGTGTTCATTTCGACCAGATACGTCTGCTTTCGCTCTTCGCGAATGGCTACAAAGGCCGTTGGCCGGACTCTGATGGTCTTGCCGATTTCTGAGCTGGTTTCGGTGGCGAAACACAATGCGTTTCGATTCGGTCAGCACGGACTCGTATTGATGGTCAGAGGTCACGAAGAGTGAGTGTTTCTCGGCAATCAAGACTTCGTGCAATGCATTGACTGTCTTGTGTCTTATCCGGTCCAGACTCTTTCTGGAATTTGGGTCTCGTGAACGCCGCGACGAGTGCATGGCGCAAATCGACTATCGCGTGGAGGAGCTCGCAAATGATGTGAATAGAGTTGAACAAGGATTAGCCAGTGTTAGCGACAACGCTACGAAAGAAGCTCTGATGCTGCGGGACTTGAGTCAACGCATATCTATTCGGCAAGGCAACAGCAGCGCCCCGACGCTCAGCGGCAGTCTCGACACCACCAGCAAGCCACCTGACGTTCCGTTTCCGCCGACTTCACATTCGAGCGCCTCATCATACCCCAGCACCTCAATGCAGTCATTCGATCCCGCTAAAAGTCTACATTTCACGTTCTTGACGATCGGCTCGCGCGGCGACGTTCAACCATTCATCGCCTTGGGACAAGGCCTGAAAGATGCGGGTCACCGTGTTCGCATCGCCACGCATCTCGAATTCAAAGCGTGGATAGAAAGCCATGGCATTGAATTCAGAGAAGTTGGCGGGGATCCTGCAGAGCTGATGAGAATATGCGTCGAGAACGGGACCTTCACGGTGTCCTTTCTGCGCGAGGGCGTCTCAAAAGTGAGTCTCACACAGCTTTCGCCTTCAGGCTCAAGACGCGCTTTGGCTGATCAAAAGACATGTCTAGTTCCGGGGGTGGCTTGACGACCTCTTGAAATCATCGTGGGAAGCGTGCCAAGGCACTGATGTTGTTATCGAGTCGCCGAGCGCGATTGCTGGTATCCACATCGCGGAAGCTTTGCAGAAGCCTTACTATCGTGCATTCACGATGATATGGTCACGCACCCGCGCCTATCCACACGCATTCGCCGTTCCCACCACGCGCGCAGGCGGCAACTACAATTATATGGTGAGTGCGGTTCTTTGAAGACAATGTTGGCCGAGCGACTCACGTCACGGCTCCACCTTTAGACCTACGTGGTGTTCGACCAGGTCTTTTGGCGTGCCTCGGCAGGTCAGATAAACGCATGGCGGAAGACCTGCCTTGGGCTCCAGCCTACTTCATTGGACCGGCTTGAACCGCATCGGGTGCCCTTCCTGTACAATTTCTCTCCAAGCGTAGTACCGAAGCCACTAGTAAGTCTCGCATTCGAAGCGGTCACATTCCCGCCCAACACTGAGTTCTGCTTCATGCTCGCAGGATTGGTACGAGTGGATTGACGTGACTGGCTACTGGTTCTTGAGGCGGCCTGACGGAGACCAAAGCTGGACACCGCCTGATGATCTCGCAGCGTTCATGAAGCGCGCCAAGGCAGCTTCGCGCAAATTGGTCTACATCGGATGGGGCTCCATCGTCGTACGCGATGCGCAAGCGATGACTCGCTGCGTTTACGAAGCCGTTCGGCAGGCAGGGGTTTGCGCTATCTTGTCCAAAGGCTGGTCAGATCGCCTCTCTGACAGGCATCTGCAACCCACAGAGCAGATGAGGCCTCAGCCCAGCTCGCCCATCTCAGAAGATGTGTTTGAGGTGCGCTCCATACCCCACGACTGGTAAGTCTGAGACTCGAGTAGGTAGAGCGTATTCCAATGCGTACTGATTGAGATGCGTTTGCTGTACCCAGGCTGTTTCCCCAGATTGACGCTGCTTGCCATCATGGCGGGGCCGGCACCACTGGGGCAAGTCTACGAGCAGGGATTCCAACCATAGTGAAGCCATACTTTGGAGACCAGGTGAGAAGCTTGAGCGACTCGACCGCGATCCTGAGCCATTGACTCTTTGCTTCTATCATCCCGGCTTAGTTCTTTTGGGGCGCTCAGCTCGAGGCCCTTGGCGTCGGCTCCTGTGTGCGAGAGCTTACTGCGGAGAATTTAGCTGCAGCTCTTGTCAAAGCTACCCAAAGCCCTAGACAGATCGAGAGGGCGAAAGCGCTCGGCGAGCAGATCCGCAAGGAGGACGGCGTGAAGAATGCGATCGCTGCTATATTCCATCATCTCGATTATGCAACAAGTCTTATCAAGTTGAACACGAGGCTACCCGGTGCCGTAGAAGTAGCGACCAAACAACCCATTGACCAGCAGCACAGCCGCCCTGATCCACAGCCGGACAACGAACAGCCGGCCCACAATTTGGAACCTGCGCTGTCCACGACTTCTGGCAGTGGGGACATGTCGCGCAGTGACAACCTGCCCCCACGAACGACCACAGCTGAACCTGACATGCAAGGCAGCATAGCTAGCATCAATTCTGGCATGCAGACATCTGACGCCGAATGGTCAGTCGTTAGCGACGCGGACGAGTTTGCTGCGTCGCAATCTTCGTAGCATACAACGTGCGTACGCTCGGCTCGACCCACTCGACCCGATGGACCAATCTTTCACCTGCAATGCACTGAAGTTGCATCCTAAAGTCTCGTCCTCAACCCTTTATCGTAAATCGCTACGTGCTGCTTTCCAACAATTTCTGCTAACAATGTCTGCTTGCCTCGCATCTTCTAAGGATCTCTCATGTCTCTGTACCTACCACTGCTTCATCATTGTCATTTTATGCAAGGTCGCAATTTCGGTTGGAAGACGTCAGCATCTGGGTGCGAAGAAGTGATTGATGAGTCGGTCTGAGTCATCGATTGTCTCTAGGTGCGAGTAGCCGAAAGACAAGGCTGATGTGTGCAAGCCTTCACGTGTCGGACGAAAGGTCTTTCTCATCCGACTTCTCAACTTCGTTTCACCTTAGCGGCTCAAAGCGGCTTGCAGAGCGGTAAGAGTCTCGACTTCGATCTCTGCCTCGGCCTTGCTCTCGGGGCTGCCTGAACCTGATGCGACACGTTGAGCCTCGGAGAGCGCGTTTCTGAGGTTTTCGGGAGAGAATTGGTCCAGCTCGTAGGCCTCAATGGCGTTGATGGTAAGCTTGTTGTTTGGGTGGACCGTGGCGAAGCCACCCGAGACTGTCAAGCCATGCAATGCACGAGCGTGTTTGGGTCAGCCTTTCTCGTAGGGCATCGCTTCTAGAAGGACGAGCCGGCCTCAAGCCACGTCGAGTTGCGTAAAGCCCTGGTCGACTCCTTCAAGCGTGTGCGACGCTGCAACCAAGCCTCCCTAGCTGCCCCCACCGTTTTTCGTTTGCCAAGCGCTTCCATGTGATAAACTCACCAAACCAACGCTTGGTACCGCTCGACTCAATAACCTCCACCAGACCGGGTGCGAGTTGCTCCACGGAGGGAACGTGAGCTGTGGGATACGGACCGACTCATGGTAAGCACGATCCGATTGTGAGACACACCAAAGAGTCCACGCCTAGCTGAGGCCGTGCACCGGACTGCTACGCACACGCAAGGATACCCATGTCACCCGAAGTGCTGCTGAGGTTCACCTGTGTGACTTCTCCCTGGTAGAGAGCCTGCCAAGGGGAGACATGCAAAGGAACGATACCGGTCAGCTCCTACGTCATTGTCGGCACAGCAGCGCCGATTGCTCCGCTGAGCAAGGGGTAATCTACTCACAGCGTGAGGGAGGATGAGTTCAAGCTGAAGCTTGTCGCTGACGGCCTCGGCGTATCCACGACGAGCCAGAGCTGGGACGGCGGAGCGAGCCAAAGCGGGCCTGGCCGCGGCAGCGGCGCGAAGTGCTGGAACGGCTCGAGAAGAGAACATCTTGACTGTAATTGAGAACTTGGACTGAATTCGAAGTGCGTCGTGGTTGCGTGGAGCTGTAGTTTACAGTGATAACTTAGACCTGCCGAAGATGAGGGATCGCGATCAACGTCGCGGAACTGCACGTAGGCCGTGCGCTCGCGATGTTCATCGGGGCCAAACGCTGGATGCAGGCCACGTGGACGTTGATGACGACTTCCTCGACTCTTGACTGAGGGTTATTTTCTTGCACGTGATATGCTGTCAGGCGAACCCTGATGCGCGGCCCGCGCAGACGCGTACGCATATGCATGGCATCAAGCTTGAGCAACAGAACGCGGCATCGAAGAAAGAACAATTCATCAAATGGCTCTCATCAGCCGCTGTTCGCCATCAAGACGAGGCGCTCCATCACCGCTGCTGCCCTCCTCGATCAGGGCCTCAAACACCATCCAATCCACCTGCAGCCTGTCTCACATCCAGCTACTCATCGCGACCACGTCTTCACGCGTCACGCGTCAATTTGGACACGCAGACCATCATGGGTGTGCCCGCCCTCTTCCGCTGGCTAAGCAAAAAGTACCCCAAGATCGTCACCAATGTCGTCGAGGAGGAGCAGAGGTATGCGCCGACCGGAGAAGGACGGGAAGATGATGGGCAGGCCGACGGGGAGGAGAAGGGTGTACCGATACCGATAGACATTAGTGGCAAGAATCCGAACGGGGAAGAGTTCGATTGTTTGTACTTGGACATGAATGGTATCGTGCATCCTTGTACGCATCCGGAGGGCAAAGTGAGTGTGGTTGGAGTAGCAGAGCGACGACTTGATCGATAGTATGCGCCCGTTTCTGACTGCTCGATGAGTTCTCTGACCCCACTTCCTCGATTCGCAGCCTGCGCCGGAGACTGAAGAGGACATGATGCTCGAGGTCTTCAAGTACACAGAAAGAGTAGTAAACATGGTCAGGCCTCGCAAACTCCTCATGATGGCTATTGATGGTGTGGCTCCCAGAGCGAAGATGAATCAGCAGCGATCCAGACGATTCAGAGCTGCCCAAGAGGCGAGAGAAAAGGAGGAGGAAATGGCCAAAGCGCTGGAAGAGTGGAAAAGTGAGCAGAGCCAGAGCTGTTGCAAGGCGGGCATGAACAGTGTGCTGATCACTTTCGCTACGCAGGCAGAGGCTTGACAGTATCGGATGAGGGCAGCGAAAAGAAAAAGTCTTGGGATCGCAATGCCATCACACCAGGTACGCCCTTTATGGACCTGCTGGCTGCTAGCTTGCGGTACTGGGTGGCCAAGAAGATGAATGAAGACGCAGGGTGGAAGGATGTGAGTTCGCACCACACTGCATTATGCGTGGCACTGTAGCTGACGTTTCCTCTACCCATTGGACAGCTGCAAGTCATCATCTCAGATGCCTCAGTTCCGGGCGAAGGAGAGCACAAGATCATGGATTACATTCGACGGCAGAGAGCACAGCCTGCACACGATCCCAACACAAAGCACGTCATCTACGGTCTAGTGAGTTTTCAATGGGCAAGTATAATCTGACGCTTCGCACAGGGCTGACTGGAGAGATGCTGCCCGTGAAGGATGCCGATCTAATCATGCTTTCACTAGCTACTCACGAACCCTACTTCAAGGTCTTGCGTGAAGATGTTTTCGCTCAGGCACCTTCCTCTGGCGGCAGGGGCTGTCACAAGTGCGGTCGCGAAGGTCATATCGCAGCGAATTGCATTGGAGCAGAGCAACCCCCACCGCCTGGAGTAGACCTGACTCATAAGCAGGCGCCGAAGACGCAAGACGGAGAGGTGAAGAAGCCTTTCATCTTTCTGGACGTAGTTGTTTTGCGAGAATATCTTGAAGTCGAGCTGCATGTACCAGGCATGCCCTTCGCGTTCGATCTCGAACGAGCTATCGACGACTGGGTGTTCCTGATCTTCTTTGTCGGAAACGATTTCTTGCCGCATCTACCCTCACTGGAAATTCGAGAGGGCGCGATTGACGAGTTGCTGAGGATATGGAAGAGGGAATTGCCGAAGCTCGGAGACTACCTGACAAAGCATGGAAGTGTGAGCCTGAAGAACATTCAGTGCGTCATGGACGGTATTGCCGTACTGGAAGACGACATCTTCCGCAAGAGGCGCATCGCGGAGGAGCGGGGCGAGGAGCGACAAAAGCGCAGGAAGGTGGAGGATCACGAGCGTCAAAGGGAGCAATTTGCAGCTGAGAAAAGGGCTCGTGGGGAAGAAGAGGCAGGCGAAGCTTTGCATCGGGGTGGCACAACGTATGTGCCAGTTCCCCGCGCCAACGAGGGCAACGGACCCTCAGTACACGGTGCTAGCGAAGATGTCCGTGCCAAAGCACTTGCGGCCATAGAGAGCGGAGATGATGCCAAAGTCATCGACAACCTACGGACCATACGCATGGCCAATCTGAGTGCAGCTGATCGGTTGAAAGCTGAGCTGGCGGGCGCGAAAGCAAAAGCAAAGACCGAGGCAGGGAATGCTCGAGTCAAAGGCGTGGCCCCTCGACACACCCAGTCGTCGGATGCTGCCGACGACGATGACGCGATCAAGGCTCCTGAGAATGCTGCTTCAACAGCTGTCACACACGCATCGTCTGATGATTCCGCAGTCTTCAAAATGGACGAAGACGTTTCCATCGAAGCCGGTGGTGAATCGGCACCGGTGCGATCGTTGAAGCGTCAAATTGAGGAAGTAGATGGCGATGTGGATGAAGAAGGCAATGAGAAACCTGAGAAGGCCGTGGCGCTAGTCGGTGGGGTCGTGCAGGTCAAGAATGCGGATGATGCTGATCCTCAGGATAGGAGGGATCCCGTGATTGCATCGAATTTGGAACGCAAGGTCAATCCTGACGGCACCGTAGAGTACGAGGATACTGTCAAGCTGTGGGAGCCAGGATACAGAGAAAGATACTACCAGCAAAAGTTTGGCGTGGGCTTGGATGACATCACGCTCCGGCGCGCAATCGTGAAAAGCTACGTCGAGGGTCTCGCTTGGGTTCTTGCCTACTACTATCAGGGATGTCCCAGCTGGACTTGGTATTATCCGTACCACTTCTCACCCTTCGCTGCGGACTTTGCGGATCTTGATGAGCTGGACATAAAATTCAATTTGGGCACGCCATTTAGACCTTACGACCAGCTGATGGGAGTCCTGCCCGCCGAAAGGTGAGTTCTTGTATCCTATTTGCAGAGCTGAGACGATTGCTGAACAGCGTGCTTGCGCGTCCCACAGTCGGGCAAGCATTCCCCCAATCTTCCATCCCCTGATGCTGGAAGAAGACTCAGAAATCATCGACTTTTATCCCAAAACCTTCGCTATCGATATGAACGGCAAGAAGATGGAATGGCAAGGAGTTGCAATTCTGCCGTTCATTGACGAGAAAAGGCTACTCACAGCGCTAGATCGTCTGTATCCTAGACTGACCCCAGACGAAGTCCGCCGAAATGCGTTCGGAAACAACTCGCTCTTCGTCTCGGATGAACACTCGCTCTACGATGCGCTGTGTAGCCTTTATGCCAAACGGAAAAGCAAAGATCCTGTTCCTCTAGACCCGGCCCAATCCCAAAAGCTGTCGGGCCTGGTCATGGCGGACCCTCAGTGTGTGCCAGGGTCGACTTTTAGCTCGCCTTTGGAGCGGGTGGGGGAAGTAGACATCAGCAGCGACAGATCGATTTCTGCAATCTACAGCTTCCCCGAACAAACGACGCCTCACAAGAGCGTTCTCCTCAAAGGTGTTAGGCCTCCTCCTAAGGTTCTCACACAAGACGATCGTGAATGGACCAGAAACGGGGCGCCCGACCGCGGTCGAGGCAGAGGCAGAGGCCGCGGCGGGCCCGGTCGCGGTGGCCACGACCGCGGAGGCGCGCACTCCTACGGCGGTCGTGCGAGTGCTGGGTCCACTGGATCGCATGCTCGCTACGATGACACTGCATACGGCCCGTATCAGAACGGCGCGTACAGTTCCCCTTGTGAGTCACGTCGTGGTCCTTCTCTCATATCCGTCCAGAGGCTAAGGTGTGCAAGTGTAACCCGCAGATGGAAGCTACGGGCAGAACGACTACCAGTCTTCATCTTACGGAAGCTACGGCGCTGGCCAGGTAGGTCGAATGAACGCTCACAACCACGTCCACAACACTCACCATGCGCTTCGTTGTTTTCAGGCAGCGAATGGAGGCGCGTATGGTGGCGGTGCAGGCGCAGCTTATGTGAGGTGTTCGAGGCTGCTCTTTGAGTTATGATGAGCTGACTGATTGGTTTGGCACATCGTCTTGACACGCAGGGTGGATCGTACGGAGCACCACAGGCTGCCTACGGAGGTGCTCAAGCAGTGGCCTACGGTGGCTACGGTGGTTACGGAGGTGGACAGTCTGGACCTTATGGATCGGCTTACGGCGCTGGAAACTACACTCAATCGCAACAGCCAGCTTACGGCGGCGCGTACGGAGGATATGGTCAAGGTGGAAATGGTCAAGCAAACGGAGGCTACGGTGGTTACGGCTCCTCCAGCTACGGCCAGCAACAACCGCCAGCGCCTAGCGGTTCCCATGGCGGCTACGGAGCCTACGGAGGTGCTTATGGCGGTAACAACGCAGGTGCACCATCCAATGCGCACGGTGGCAGACATCAACCGACCGGCTTCAGAGGCGGACAGCCCCCGTCAAGAGGCCCGTATGGCAATTACGGGAGAGGCGGTCGCGGCGGCGGTCAGGCGGGGCCGTGGGGCCAGTATTAATCGTGAATGGGCAGTGCGCTTAGGACGATCGACATGTCATGATGTGATGCCAACGTAGCAGTGCTAGCTTCTGCAGCGTTGCTCAGTCGCTGTATTTTAATGGAATTCCACTCGTGCTCTCCGGTGACTTGAAATTGTGAATCGAGTTCAGGACATTCTCGAGAATAGCACTCAAAGCTCATACAGCTACGACAAGGGCTGCAAACAATGACACGATTTAAATGTGGCGAGAGGGCATTGGTCATTCCTAGCGTGCGGCGCGGGTACAGGCGTGATGAGTGCGGTAGTAAGCAAGACAAAAGAAGTTGCAAGAAAATGCAAACGCAAACGAGGTATATCAAGGGAGGTAACGCGAGACGACATGAACAAGGTCACAAAATCCGTGAATGCAAAAGTAGTAGATGACACGGGATGCGCTGCTCGAGATCAGACGTTAGCATGTGCGATTTGCTTTTCGTCAGCCGAACTGAGGTGGAGCATGCTTGTAAATGCTGGATGAGGATCAAAGAGTCAGGACGTGAGCATCGACTTGCTCGCAACCTCTGAAATGATTTCGTCCGAGCGAGCGACTCACCTCGTCGACAGGCAGGGCAGTTGTATTTGCGCCGTGGCGTTCTTCCCCTCCTGCGCTCCGTCTCTCTCATAGCCTTGACGCTCTCTCTGAGCTGCACGGCACACTCCAAGCAAAGGGAGTGCGTGCAGGGCAACAGCAAAGTGGTAGGGGGAGCGGAGAGGCAAATGATGCACTCGCTTCCATTGCTGCCGTCAAGGTCCATTGGTGGTGGCGGAGGGACGCTGCCCGCCGTGGCTTCACCGTCTTCCCCTTCACCAGCTTCTGGTGGCGCAGGACGGACGGGTGGGGGGCGCCTGGACAGGCCGTACAGCTCTTGCAGTTGGAAACGATGGGCGCCAATCTGTAGCAAGAATTTTTGTCGACACGATGGGTCAGCACTCGCATGTTTTCTGTCAGCGTGCCGGTCAACACGCACCTCGGCTTCTTGACCTTCCACCTGAATGCTCCAAGCTCGCGGAGCAGATACAGCTGGCTCGGCGCCGTCGCCCGCGAGAGGCTTGACAGGCAAGCTGGTAACACGCATATAGGTCGTCTGCAGGTTAGGTTCGCTCAGCGGTCTGCCATCCTCGTCCAGAGCTTCCACGACAACCGCCAGCTTCAAGGTCTCTCTTTCTGACTTTTCGCGAGCAGCGCGAGCCTCCTTTGTCTCTGGAACGGGCTGATCCGGAATGACTGGCAACGGGGCGGGGACGGGGGCGGGGGCAGGTACAGGTGCAGGTGCAGGTTCCAACTGCCTACTCGCGTTCAGCGCAGGCGTTTCGAGCGGCAAGTCGTTCGTTGCATTTACGTCGCCGCCAACACCCTCAGAGACGTTTCCGGCACGTTTTCTGGCACTAGCAGGCGCATAGTAAGCGAGCTGGAGTGCCAACGCAATGGATAGAGGATCGCCAAAGCCTTTCTTGACTTGTGCAGAGTGCACTGGCCAGCCTAACACATGAGGAGGGGGACCGCGTTGCGCATAAAAGCTGTCCGAGATCGCGTTAGAGACGCTTCCATCATCAGCAGAATCGTTGTTCCAGCTGCCGTGCTTACGGCTCGCACGCAGGAACACTTGCACGCTGGCAAAGGGAGCTGCGCAATCGTATTCGAAGGAGAGCTTGTGTGTCGTGGGAGGCGCTGCGGACGAGGCTGTTCGACCGTGTTGAGCTACGAGAGGAGAGGCAGGAAGACCTAGACCGCTTCGTGGGCCTCCAGCCCCACCTAGAGCTGTGATGCTGCTGAAAGACGGAGCTACGCGTAATCCTGCAGCACCCATCTCCGACGCGGAGAAGCCTCCTGGACTGGTCGGTTCGAGGGGCGAGCTTGGTGCGGTCGTGTCCCCGTTGACCATAGGAGAAGCAGCGATTACTGCCGGCTGTCCTGGTTCGGAAACAAGTTTGACAGTGTTCCTCTTTAAATTTACGTAGCTTTGTAGCGTTGAGCACACGGCGGGAGGGGCGCCCGATGCGTTGGGGACTGCTGATATATCAAGACTAGCGGAGTGCGGTGGCGCCTGACCATCAACGCTTCGGTGAATCCACCTCTGAAGCGTGTCCAGCTCGATACCATCGGCCAAAGCTACTGCGTTGAGTGCCTCTGTGGTCGAGGTGACGTCCGCGTGCTGAGGGACGCTGCCGTCGAGTGGGTGAGAGGAAGAAGTAACAGGGTCTTGTCCCTGAGGCAAGCTCGCCACACTCTCACTAGCACCGATTGGCAGGCTCAATTGACTAGCTACACCGCTGAGGCTTGCACCTCGAGCTCGGCCTCGGCTACCCAGTCGCGCCTTTCGTCCCAATGAGGCTGCCAGACTTTGACTGCCTGGCGGCGCGACGACTGCGGACGCTCCAGGTTGTGCTGCCTCCACAGCGGCAGGCTGGGCGGCTGCTGAAGGCGAGACGGCAGAGAAGGTCGCATTGGATGGAAAGTAAGTAGCGAGGTTAGGACCAAAAAGACAGGCCGCCTCCTCGCGCTCTCGCCTGTTTGGGCCTTTCTTGGAGGAACGCAGACCGGCTAGGTATGCAGCATTGCGGGATGGTGCGCCATTTTGAGCAGCTTGCGCTTCAAGATCTGTAGCGGCTCTGCCATCCGCGGCAGCGTTGGCTTGAGCGGTCATCGCTTCTTGCGTAGCCATTCTGATATCCTCGTTGGTCTGCAGAGCGTTGTCAGTGGCAGCTCGATCGTTCTCCCTCATGTTTCGCAACCTCTGGCTGATATTCGACATGACGGACCTGCCACTGGCCTCTCTGCCATGTCCGAGCTGAGAGGGGTCATCATCTTGTGTCCCGGGAGGTGCCAGAGCGCTTCCTCCAGATGCTGCTCCGGCTCTGCGGGACGAGGATTGCATCTCCAAGTCGGTGGCGCCACCGCTCGCACGTACTGCAGAACGATCACGAGCTGACCTTGGCTGGCCTATCGGGAAGGACCTAGCTGCTGCAGAGAAGCCAAATACGGTAGCCATATTTGCCAGATTGCGATGGTCTGCTGAGATGAGTGTCGTGTGGCGTGCTCGTGCTGGATATGTGCGCGCCCCCTTGTCAAAAGCGTATCGCGTCCGAGAGGCTTGCGCGCAGGCTGTTCGGAGCGAGTGCGTGCGTGAGACGGTGGGCGCCGAATGAGGACGGCGAAATTGAAGGTGAAACGCGACTCAGCTAGTGGACGGCGGACCGATATTCGACGAAAGGCGCAATTGTGGTTATCTGTATAGTGCCTTGGAGGTGAAGCATAGAAGAAGAGGCACGTCATCCATAGCCACCGTCGCGAGTCTTAGTGGAGAAGGATGAGCGACGCGAGGGTCACGCAACAACAAATCATGCCATCTGCAGCAGCATGTACACGCGGATTATCATTTGCCGGCTGCGTGGCGCGGACGCATTTGATTGCGACATGCTCGCTGATGCAGCTCACCCGCGGAGCGCTCGAGCGCTTACAAAGAGGCTCAAAACTCGAAGTCTTCAATTCGAGTGGCCTTGATTAGAATTAGAATTAGACACGATTTAGGATCGCGCTTTCACTGCACATTTAGGGATTTCGCAAGTCCCGGAGGGAGTCGGGGTTTACGTTTCAAGAGTCGTATTCAATTAAAAGTCTTGAGCTTAGATTTCTGACCCAGGTTTCGCTGATCACGACAGTCAATTGAAGAATCAAGAATGTTTGTAAAGATTCACCATTGGCTTGTCACCAAATGTCCACGCGAAAGCTTTGACAATGAATCGTGAAGATTTGATCAGCTTTGCGCCCTCTTTCGAGCTTTCCAGAGCTGCGTGTGTACCTTCGTTTGTGGTATCGAGCGGCTCGATCGACCCGAGGGAAGTTAGGCCAAATTCCAAATGTGACCGCGCTACATAGACTCAAAAGACGCTTTTCCGTAGGTCACTCTTGACTCGAATTAAGCGCAAACCGCGCTCTGCAAAGTGGTGTGGACGTGATCACAATTGTATGCTGTTAAGTGGCCACAGTCGATCGAGCTTGCCTGAATGCACGTCAAGAAGACGCCTAGCTGGCGTTGCCGCAGACTGGCGGCAACAGCATGGATGGTCATGATCTTCTAGGTCAGATCAGTCACGAACGAACGATTGACAGGGCTGGCGGACGGCCGCTGTGGGATGCTTGCTACCTCTCATCAGTCTTGAGTGTCTGTTTTGAGGGTCCGCGTCTATATGCTCATGATGACTGACCGCGCCAGAGCTCGCAGTGGAAAACATTCTTGATTTCGCGTCCCTGCTGCTGCTTATTGCATGGAGCTCGATCGGCGCGATGCCGGGCGCACACCGCGGGGTCGCGGACTTGCGACATCCTCTTGCCGCGTTCGCCGGGCCCAGACGATCATTCGATCAAGCAGCAGCGCTACACAGCAGCAGTGCCAGCGACGCAACATGCATGCATGCATGCATGCATGCAGGTGGTGTGTGCTGGGCGCGGCTGCTGGGAGCCTCATGGTTCACGACTCTACAACATCCTCCCAAATATACAGACAGCACGGCACGTGCGATGGGCCTTCAGCATGTCGCGCCCACGGCATACAGTCACGTCTCACGAGCACAGAGGGTCGTGAGTCACGAGTATAGAGTAGTACATATGCGCATATGCTGCTGTCCTTTCAGGGCTCAGTCTTGAGTGACGGCTGCAGCACAGCCGCGCTGACCGGATTCGCACGCGGTCCTGCATGCTGATGATGCAGCATGTGATGTATATATGTATGTCAATTCACGATGGAATTCAAGATTGTAGCTGGATGATGGCTTCTGATGAGTGTGCGCATCACGCACGGAAGCTGTGCTCATCCTGCATGAATGGAGACTGCTCCGCATCAACGCCGCCAAGCAATCACGAATTCAACTCGGTGGCCGAGTCGAGTGGCGCAGAGCTCTCGCCTGCATGGCGCATGCAATAGATAGGGTGCACTCCTGCAGGCGGGCGCCATGAGAGAAGTCCATGAAGAGACCACGCAAAAGCCCGGCCACGACGATTCTGTGATGTTGGATTCGCGTTCGTGTTTCCCGTTTGGAGATCACTTAATTCATGATTCAAGATTGTGAGACGCGAGGACGCTTGCATTCAAGGATTCACATTTTGATTCATCATTGTAATCGACCTTGACAATTGTCACGTTGCTTGCTCACGTCCATCGCGTGCCGTCAATTTCTGCAGTCTTTCTGCCCTATCCGTCGCATGCAACCGCCATCGCATACAACCCCCATCTCGCAAGCTCCTCACTTCCTGCTTAAAGATTCACGCACTTCACGTTTCGCCGCCACGTTGAGCCCCTTCGAGACGGCGTTGACCGCACCCGCATATTTGCAAGGAAGATCGGACGCCGCCTAAGGGGACACAATTTTGGCAAAGACGGCGTCGCTCGCCATCTGACTGACATCCTTCGTCTCGCCAAACACAAGCTCAGGTCCGGTCTTACTCTCAATCGTCTGGTCATTGCACCGGAGCACGATTCAGCCGCTGGCAGGAGGACGCGATGAGGTCGACGACATGGATTCCCGCGCTCGGTGCAGCGCTCATGCTCCTCGCCAGCACTTCACGGGCGGCGCTCACGATGACGACGAGCTTTTCAAGGCAGTGCAAGCCTCTTAATGTTACATGGACTCCTGAAAGCGATGGATATCCCTACACGGTCAGCATCGTGGCCACAGGATTTGGAGGTGAGTCCCTTCGATCCAGACCTCGCTTCTGCACGATGGAGTGAAATTTGCTGTAGGGCACAGGGCCAAGCATACGATCCCACCTGCTCTCGTCTCTGGCCTTTGCCATCCTCTTGTGACCTCCGGCTAGGCGCATCGAGGCTGACGGCGGCTAATATGCTTCTCGTCAGCTCGATGGCGGTCTGGCATCTGGGCTCAGGCTGTTGTTCACGACCGAGCCTGTGAGACTCGAATGGAACATTCTAGCCACAGAATCGCGCTCCACCGCTTTCGGTCATGATGCGTTGACTGACTCTGATCGATGCTCCTCCCCCTCCTTAGCTCAAACATTCAGCGTCGACTCAAATTACCAGCCAGGTGCATCAGAATTGACGTTTCAGTACGTTGTGCCTGTGAGTCAGCCAATGGAATGGTGTGCAAGTTCGTGCGAAGGCGACTGCTGACGCGCGGACTGACACCTTCCTGTTCAGCCCCCCACTGGACTTTTCAATTCGTACATCGTAGCGTTGACCGACAGCAAGGGGCAAGGAACAACGTGTACGTATGACCCACAGGTTGTGCAGCTCACAAGTCGCTTGTTGACTCGATCTCTTGTCTTTTCATCGTCAGCACAAGTCATGTCTATCGACACGCGCAACACCACTTCAGACTGCCCAGCCTACACCTCCTCAAATTCTTTCACTTGGGCTGGTGACAACACCAGTGGAGGCTCTCCAGCATTGAGGTACCAATGCGGCAATGTCAGGGTGCGTCTCCAAATGTTACCATATCACTTAAACAATACGCTTACTCTTTTCGTGGTCGTAGTTCTACCCTGTCGATCAGCGAGGCACGAGTCCTTTCTCCATCACCATGTTTCCCTTGGGCGGGCTGCCGGTCACCATCAACGTCCCAGCTTCTCAGACCATGAACACATCATTCTTTATCGCTCCGAACGTCACCGTGCCCTTTGAATCTGGCACGCGATTTGTAACGATGCTCAGTGATGCGCAGGGAGCTGGAAGTGGTGGAGGCTCGCCCGTATACAACGTGCTCCCTTCATCCGACACGAGTTGTCTGCAACGGCGCCAGCCAAACCAACTTTCTGGCCGCGCAGTTCCAAGTGGCGCCATTCCTGCTTCGTTCCAAAATCTTGCCGGCGCTCTGACCGCAGATGAGGCAAATGCTGGGTCGGGGACTGATGGAAATGGAGGAGGCGGGGGTGGCACAAACGGTAAGTGCTCTCTCGTACAGCGCAAGATGCGTTTGCTAAATCAGCGCATGTGATTTCTACCAGTAGGCGGCCTGGTTGGAGGTGTGATTGGCGCTGTCATTGCGGTCGCCATCGTCGTAGCCGCGCTGGTCGCCTTTTTCTTGTACAGACGACGCCAAAAGGCGAAGAGAGAGGAAGCGCGCAAGGAGCAACCCCAATTCGTGGACCTGGACGGAGACGAGGATGGACAGCTCTCGCCAGCTGCTCTGGCTGCGCGACGTGGAAGGCACGATGCTGGAGTCAGCCAGAGCTAGTGAGTGCCACATCTTCATTCTCCCGATCGCACCTCGCCTGACACATCCATGACCCTTTTCAAACAGCGCCGTCTCGCCCTTCACGTACCAATCGACGGCCCAGCATTCTCCTGGTCTAGGCGGAGATCATGACCTGTACCGCGATGAGCCACTCTCTGCTCCGGGCAGGCCACAGAGCATCGCCTCGAACTCTCTGCGGGGACATTCCGGTGCCGGGCTGAGATACCCTCCCAGCAGTCCCGGTCCACTCTCTTCAAGTGGATACACCGATGCAGGCAGGACAGGTGGCATCAGCAGTACCGTGGGCGGATCCGAGTACGGTGGAGACTTTGCGAGCGCAACCAGCCATGGACCAGGCAGCGTCGCCGCTGGCAATTCTTACAGATTGTCCGCAAGAAATCTTGCCGAGCCAGGCACGGGCGACGTTCCTCCCTTGCCTCGTAAAGGAGCATTACCCGAAGACACCAATGCGCCTAGCTCTTCCAGATTCGTGCAGCACCAGGATGCTGGTCCTGCGCCTGTGCCAGACTCTGACGAAGAGGACGCGATGGAAGAATTGCCGCCTTCATACGGAGGTTGGGCCAATCGACCAGCTCCAGCCAACCAAGCACCACCAAGCTAGTCCTTCGCAGTGTCCCCTGAGCTGCGTGACAGATCACTCTCGCGACGCTCAATCGCCACTTACGTTGTCTTTGTCGACCCTTGACCATTTCTTCAATCCCTCTTGTATTCCATATAGGCCGCGTTCTACACGTCTCTTGCCGCAACCTCGACTAGCAGCTACTCACTTCGAAATTCGCAGCCGACTTTCCGTCGCTGCTCAAGTTGAGCTGAGGGCATTGATGAGCACATCACAGATCACACTGCGTCGAATAGCATCCACTCTTAGCAACCTCTTTTCAAGATATTTTGGTATCTTGCAGTGAAGCTTAGCTTGCTGCGCAAGCAATCATCAGTGCGAGCGAAATCAGATGAAAGGGAGCGCGCAAAAGGTTGGGGCTAGGGGGAAAGGGATCTTTATGCAGGTGATTCAGAAGGTGAAGACTCGTCTGCTGGACCTTTGATGTTGCGTTGTGCAGGTTCCAGATACGCCAAGCCGAGTATGTCCAGAACCTCTGCTTCGCTCGCACCAATGCCGAGGCGTTTCCAACCAGGATCAGAAAGATCGATGTTCTGCTCAGGTAGCGTGATAGCGCCATCGTGCGAGGCGGAAGGTACGTTCGCGGCCTGAGCGGGTCTTGTGCTCTTGGCAGACGGACTGACGGGTTGCGCGCCGCCTAGATCAAGAGACAAGTCTAGATCGGCCGGTAGACCCATCGACGCGTTGTACGCTGCCTTGTCGTTCGCGTCTGCCTTTTGGCCTTCCTCTGACGGCGAGCCGACGCTAGCGAGCGCTGCAAGAGGGGCTTCTGTGAGATGACCATCACTCGTCAAGAGGGTTGCGCCGCCTGTCGTGCCTTTTTTGGCCTCGCGAGCTCGCTGTGAGAGCGCAGCGTGATGCCACAAGCCGTGTACGTCTAATCTCAGTCCCATACCTTCTTCGGCCATGAGCTGCAAGAATCTCGAGTAATGCTCGTTGCCTGTCAAGAGGAGCCTTGCGGAGCCAAGAGAGCTGGCATCGACGATGCTGAGAAGGAGGAACAGCAAGCGAGCAAGCATGGCAGGCGGGACGAAAACTTTCAATTTGAGGCCATACATGGCGGTGCCGAAAGGGCTCCGGGCCCACACTCACTGTACTTGCATGGGTATACGAGCTTGAGGCACCTTGAAGAGAATTTGCCCATCCCTCCGCACTACGCCCCTTGCCCGCGTATGAATTTCGCGCTCGGCCCACTTGAAAGCCATTGCCATGGCTTGCGCGGCCAGCGCAGGACCTTTCGAAACGCCCGCCAGCTCCTTTTCTCGTTGCAGCGCTTGCCCTTTTCCGAACGCCTCGCTTTCCCCGGGAGATGTGAGCCTTCTTTGCTCTGCTGACGTCGCGTCTGGGACAGGCTCCATGTAGCAAAGAAAGACACCTTGGCTTTCGTTCGCTCCTCTCCTGTACGCCCCGAGCGCCTCTACCTTCCACCTCACATGAAATTTGTAATTGTTCAACAACCTCTGACGACTGTCTTCATCCAGAATATCTACATCTTTCTGTTGTCGCTTTCCCTTGATGACCCAAGGATTCGCATGTTTGGGGCTGTTGAGAGTTTCTCGGATTGTAACGACGAGTTTTTCGATCTGCTTGCGATTCAATAGGTGCGTCCGAGGATCCACAGTAGGTGAAAGGGCTCGCTCTGGTTGATCAGATTTGCTGCGCTTGCTTGATCTGCCTGCAGCCTTTGTATCTGAGCCTCCAGCCTTGATCGCACTTGCAGGCCGTCCACCAGCTCTCATGACACTCCGAATGCGGCTTTTTGCCTCTTCTCGAGCGAGGGCTTGCGCATCTCTGCGCCCGTCCTCCAAGGGGGACCGATCCTCTTGCGCGGGCCGCAGCGTGCTTGTAGAAGCTGCTGCGGATGTCGAAATGGCACGCTCTCGCTGTATCGGCGCTGCTGAAGTGCAGACTCGCTGTGCGCCAGCTGCGACGGGTCGGCTGGAACTTGCGACGAGGCTCAACACCGCTTGAAATTGGCGAGGAATCGACTGCATCGTGAGGGCTACACGGGCCTTTGTATGCCAGAAAGAGATGCAAGCTTACCGCTCCTCCAGCAGTCAGAGACCTGATGATTAGTCTTTTGGCGGAATTGAACGCTGGTTGTGTGTGATCGTGCGTGATTGATGCGGTCTAAAGGCGCGGATGCTCTTCTCTCGGTTGGCACTTTTGATGGCTGCGAAGAAGCGGGCATGAGGAACACCACATGCCATGCAGGCGTCACGTGCCCCACTCACGACTGCGTGCTCAACGGCCGAACGCAATCGTGAATCGGGACCTCCACTTCACTTACCTCTCTACTGTATATACCAACCTCCACCTCACTCACCTCTCTGCGCGGCGAGATGAGCTGATGGAAGGACATATACCGCGGTAATTCGTGATTGTATGGCTCACCCTCGACGCACGACTTGGGCAAATTGCGTGCTCTTTGCCTCGAATCCCTGTCACGGCTCTTTGTGTGCAGGCTAGATATGTGAATCAATATATAAACGCCCCGGGCTCGTCGCCCTCCCACGACCAACAAGCTTGATTCAAGCATCGAATCAATACATTCAAGCTCTCACTCTTCAACGAAGCGCAACCATGGGCCTACCAGACGCAGACATTTTCCCTCACGCCACTGGCAAGGCGTCGGAGGTGGTGGCCAAGCATCAGTCAGAAGTTGGACCGGAAGGAATCAAGTTCTACGCGGGATGGTTCTGTCCCTACGTGCAAAGGACATGGATCGCCCTGCTAGAGAAGCAGATTCCGTTTCAATACATCGAGATTAATCCTTATCACAAGGATCCTTCCTTCCTGGCAATCAACCCCAAAGGTTTGGTGCCGGCGATCGAGTCCCAAGGATCGACGCTGGCCGAGTCCAACATCCTAATCGAGTTCCTCGAAGACTTTGCTGATGGGAGCAATAGCAAGTCGAGCAGGAAGCTGTTGCCTGCTGCACCTCAAGCTAAAGCTGTGGCCAGGATGCACATCGATCAGATCAGCAAGAAGATCGTGCCTGCTTGGTTCAGGACCATCCAAGCTCAAGACTCGCAAGCACAGGCGCAGGGAAGGAAGGATTACACGGATGCCCTCAAAGAATGGGCTACGTATATCGATGACGACAAGCTCCACAATGGTCCTTTCCATGGAGGAGACGAGCTTGATGCAGTCGATATCAACCTTGCTCCCTTTGTTGCTCGCGAGTATCGTGAGTGTCTCACCGAGACAAGCTTGTGCGCTCTCTTCAAGAGAAGAAGCGCCACTGACATGACTTCTGCGCCTCGCAAATTCTCGCAATCTACCTCAAAACCCAGTCATCGAGAAGCATCGCGGCGGACCGATCACAGCAGAGGAAACGGGCGAGACGTATCAAATATGGCGCAAGGCGATCCTCTCTCATCCTTCAGTCGTCAGCACGACGAGCGACAAGGAGAACTACGAGCCTATTTACGGACGTTATCTGCGGGACGAGGTGCGTTTTGCCGCTTTCTCTCACCTCTCGAGTTTCGAATCATTCTCGAGATCGCTGACCTCGCGATCCTTCCTCTCGACTTCAACTTCGTCGGTAGGCGCAGAGCGAGGCCGCGCAAGCTACAAGAGCTGGTCGAGCAATTCCTTAGCCTGTGTGCCGGGTCTTGACGCATGCAAATGGGATGATCCTTTCCTGCTACTTGACCGTGCGTGAGAAAGATAAGGCGCTGCCATGTGTCGTTTCAAATCCGGCTAAGCAAGTTTGATCACCGGTAGCCGCTTGATGTGGCGAAGAGCAGTCAGCTCTGGCCGAAGGGCAGCAGGCAGTCGAGCGTCATGGCCATTGAAAGGTTACAAAGACGTGCCCGCATCCAGCGATCCGGGCGCGGTCGGACCTGAACGTCGACATCTGCTTCGTTGCTCGTCTAGCGACTGACATCACACAGCGTCTGATGGGAGAAGTCCAGAGGGACGTGCGTTGCTTGCACCGGAGCGTTAATTGGGGCTCTTAGGTGGGACAGAGAATTGTCTTGATGAGACGCGCCTCGACGATCCTGGCCCAAGAGCGCGCGCACCGGCGAGGGTACAGCACCCCAATCCCGATGGGTGCGTACGCGTGTATCCCAAAGCGAGAGCCAGCGGATCCGCGCTCGCACAGCAGTGCACGAAGTCGCGCCGCGATACGTGACAAAGGAGCTCAAAATATCCACACTCGCGGACTTGGCGTCCTATATAGCTGATCTTGAATGGGCCGATCGAGCGTCAGGACTCTGCTGCTGCATGGAGGTCGGAGCGGCTTCGACCTGAATTCTATCTTCGTCACCTACTCTTCAGAATCTAAAAGTGTGACTACTATCCAGCTAGAGCACTCGCGTCAGGATCCACGCGGGTGCGCGGTCCAGCTGCTGTGGCCACATACGCACGCGCACAAAGTGAACTAGGTGCTGCATGTGACTCACGACTCACGACGGATTCACCTTTCAGATTCTTGATTCTGGTCCGCACCTCTTCTGTTAATCGTGAATCACGAATGCTGAGAGGCTGTACGTGTGAGCGCCCGCGTCCATGATGCGAGAGCGCTACGTGATGGGGCAGCACCTGAGCCGCTGAACTGATGTCGAGCAAAGTGCGGAGAGGCGAAGCGCGAGCGCCTCGCCACCGACGCTTTGAATTTTAGCGTCTGCGCATGTTTGCATTTGCGCGTGTGCGAAATTGAATGCAAGGCTCGCTTGCTTTCTCTGCTGCTGACGTGCGTGTCTATATAATCACGAATATACATGCATGAATGGGTGAAGCGTGCTGATTACTCGTCACGACGTTGTGTTGCCCCGCTGCCCTGCCTTGCTGCTTGTTGTACGCGGTACGCGTGCGCGTAAGCGCGCGTTGCCAATTTGCGCCGTCTTGTTGTTGTCCAGCGCGTGCGCGCTGCGACAGCTATAGCGTGCCCACACTGGTGACCTATAATCACGAATAACCCCCGCTGCTGCTGATGGTTATGGATGCGCATGCAGGAGTCCACCCGTGCGCGAGCTTGAGCGTGATCAGTGCTGCTGATGCTTTCGAGCACGCTAAGGACGCGAGGTTGATTTGAAGTGATCACATGAAGATCATCGCTGTCAAAGCTGCTTTGGTGTGGGCATTCGATTTCGATTCAACAGGTCACACAGTCGTGAGTGCCACTTCATTCTTGCCCTACATCAGCCACTTGCTGGGCATACATTCGCATACCACTCGCCAGCATCTTACCTTTCGCTACGTAAGCATCCTCATCGACGCTCGGGCTAGCGGTTTGACTACTGAAAGCCTGGCACTGCAACCGCAATGACCTGCAAGGGGTCCGTTGACATACCCGCACCCGATGCTGCTGTGACGACCGAGCTTACGAGCCAATTTTGACGACCTCTAGCTCGCGCCACGAATCCCATCTTCACCATCACTACCGATTCATCAGAAGCGAAGCGTCTGGGCTCCGACTAAGGATTCGGCTGCGAGCCCGCTGTGGCGGCATTTCAGGGCTTCTTTAGGCTTTTGACGTCGGCCAGACAGACTTTGCGACCGCGACGGCGACGGCGCTGGTCTTTGCTGCCCCACAAGCTGCGAGCGCTGCGCACCTTACCAGCATTGCGACATCACAATGGCGTCAGCAAACGGCAAGTCTACATTTCTGCCTTCCACACCAGGCATGGATGGCACGCGGTCCTTTCTGGCCTTCGACGAGCTCTCCTCATCACCCCGAACGCCAGCGCAAGCAGGCTCTGCCACCTCCAGTTCTCCGGCCCTTGACGGTAGGGCGCAGGTGTCTGGCAAACTGTCTTTGGCACCAGCGAGTCCATCTGCAGGTCGAGGCGGAGCTCCTCAGCCTGCACCTGGTGGCCCGTCCAATCGGTCTCTGGTGCGAGACGAAGAGCTGTGGGAGACTGTGGATACGGAGTCACCCTTGATGGGCTCGACGGACAGCTCTGGTGCATCAGACGTGCCTGCGCAGGATGGACAACCTGCTTGGGATAGCTGGAACCCGCGCAATCCCAGGGCTTCCGCACATGGCAAACTTAAGGCCTTGGAACGACCTGCACCCAACTCGCGCGGAAGCCGTTTGGGCGCGTTGTTGGGCAAGAGTGGAGCGGTCCCAACACCGCCGCGAGAGCCTTCCGCAGCGTTCGAGCGCGAAGCGTTTCCCGTTGCTGCTCAGTCTAGAGATTCTGAGCGACCGGCAAGAGCGCAGGCGGGATCGTCTAGCAGCCCTTCGACGTCTTCTGATGGCGAAAACGTCTTTAAATATGCGCTGCGGACGGAGCGCGGACCGGAGTCACGCGCAGTGGCAGAGCAAAGCGGGACCGCATCGGCAGCGACGGGCAGGCAATTATCGAAAAGCAGTCCTGTCTCTCCTAGCCCATCATCGACAGTCGCGACAGAGAAGCCGCCTTCGCAAACCAGCCCCAACGTTTCTGCTGCGGCTGACACACTCGAGCCGCGAGTGAGGACAGGCAGCGTCGCGGCGATGGCAGCAAGATGGGGCGGCTCGTCTCTTAAAGAGGCACACACTTCCCAATCAAAAGGAGCCGCTCCCGTGCCGGCGCCGCCTCCGCGACCCGAGAGATCACCGCGAGAGCCGGGTCGACTAGGCTCTGCATTTGCATTGTCCAAGTCGCCTAGATCTGCCAAATCTCGCAGCAGGTCACGCGATCGTGATCAGAACGAGAGTGCTCGCGGTCCTGCGAGTCGAGCCTCGCCGCCAAGTCCAACACGACCAAGGCCAGACAACAAAGGTCGAAGCGATAGTAAGCTCTGGCGCAAAGTCTCCAACATCACTAGGATCCCCGACCAAGCGATACCCAATTCAGCTTCTGTCAGTCCTGGCGGAAGTCCGAACGAAGGGCTTGGCATCAGCAGCCCACGTCGGGCGTTGAACCGGACGGCTTCTCATGGCGATCTGATGTCGCCAAGTATCGATGACGTCTACACCGGAAATACCCCCACTCATCTTGCCAATGGAGATGTGTCGACGAGTTCTGCGGGAGATGTGATTAGTCCAGGCGCAGCATACAAAGCTCAGGCCTTATATGGAGGTCAGGGGAACGCTTCTGCATCTCTGACGAGCAACGACAGCTCCACGATCAGCAGCACAGGAAGAGGCAGGCTCAGCAGGCTCCAGTACAACAAACCGGACCGGATATCCATCATCGGTGACAGGAGCTGGGATCTGCCATCCCAACGCGGGGCCAGCGCAGCTGAAGGGAGTGACATATCGGGACCACCTGCGACAAGGCGAGAAGGTGCAAAACCGCAGGATTTAGGCAGGCTAGACAATGCGCACTCAAATCGGTTCGAAGGCTCCGCCATCAATCAGGATGGTCCTTTGCCCGCTTTGAGTTCTCATCACAGACAAACGCAAAGCGTTTCGAGTGCCCCGAGATCAAGTCACAACGAGCAGCGACTGAGCACTGCACCGCATCGCGAGCTTCTGCTCCCTGCGCTCACCAGCGTCAGGTCAGCAGAAGCGACCTACAATCTGTCTAGGCACGCATCGACCGAGTACGGCGCTACCCACGAACCGAAGTCTTCCGCTGCGAATGTGCTGGCCCATGCCCGGGAGGACTTGCAGCTAGCGAATGGGAGCGGGTTAGACGCCGATGATGAGGCGAGTCCGAGCACTACTGGAACCACATCGGCTTCGCGTCATGGCAGATGGAGTCAGCGAAGCCACAACACTTCCATGGGCGGCTCGAGCGATGCGGGTTCTCTTACATCTCCGGGGACCAGCATTGGAGGGCATCGCCTATCACAAAATGCTCGTTATTCGGGTCATACCTCCGGAAATGCGGCGGGGAGCGTGCGCCCCACGGGCAGCGCTGCAGCAGCGCCAGTAGATGAATCCCAGCCGCCTCCCACGCCGGGCCTCAGTGATGTAGGCTCACCACGCTTTGGCATGCTTTCTGATGCTGATATTGCAGAGATGGGCACAGTACCTGGCGTCTCTCCAGCTTCGCTCCTCAACGCAAATGGTGCACCTCTGAGTTCCAAGAGCGTCCTCACCATCGCTCTGCAAAAAGCACAAAGCGCTGTAGTCATGGACAGCGATAACAACGTGCCAGAGGCTATAGCGGCGTACAAGCAGGCCGTCAGGTTGCTGCAAGAAGTCATGGATCGTATTGCGCCAAATCGGCCGCGGAAGAACAAGAGCAGCCGCGAGGAAGAGCGTAGGCGTTTGCGCGTCATTGTGAGTAGACTTGCAAGTGCTCGCGATGTCGCATCTATCAACCGCGCAAGGGTCGGAGCGCGGCGCTAGGCTGACCGCTGACTGCTCTCGACTCGTCTCGTCTCGTCTCGTAGCACGACACGTACGCGGAGCGGATACGCTTGCTGTCACTGTTGTACGAACCAGACGAAGAGATCGCTAGCGCTTCAACTGAAGATGGTGACAGCTCGCCTCAACGCAGTGCCGATGTGCAAGTCCCGAAGCAATCGCCCCCAACAAACTGGTCACGAGGGACTATACAATCTTCGCTCGCATTTCCCCGTCAGCCAGAGTCCGAGGCTGCGGACGCGCACTTCCGAGCGGACACTCGGCCATTAGAAGGGGCGACGGGCTCAAATGACTTCAAGAGAGACGTCGCACGCAGCTCTCTCACTACACCTTCTATCTCCGTACAAGCTGAGCAGGTACAGCGCAATCGGTCACGGGATTTAACCTGGGACAGTCTCGACGACCAAGAGGTATTGGCGGAAAATGGACACAGACTTCCACGATCGAACGCTGGGGACCACGAAGCGCATCGAGATCGATCGGATTCAGAAAGCTCGTTCAGATCAGCTGTAGGCACTGGGCCTGGCTTGCCTTCCGGCGCTCTTCGAGTTCCCGACGTTACGCGTGCTAGCACTGCCTTGTCTGTTGGGCTCGAAGAAGAGTTCAAGACGCCGACCACGCCGTACTTTGATGTGGACCCCAATCTGTCAATCGACGATTTGCGCAGCGCAGGTACGCCTGCCAGGAGCTCTTTAGACGATTCTTCTCGGCCTGGACGGTCGTCCGAATCCCGACGAGTGCACGAGCATCAATCCAACATGGGGACCCGAGCTACAGGCTCTCTCTCTGGTGTCAGTCAACGACTCACCGTTGAACGACCTCTTAGAAGCCATGGCACAACGATGGAGCGGCGATCTAGTAGCGAGAGCAACGCCTTAGCTGCAGTCAACGCAGCTGCAGCGGACATGGGCTCTGCGATCTCTACGCCCCGGACGAGTGGGGCCCACCGGCTCGATCTGGCGCAGTCCACGGCCGACGCCGCGTCAAGGCAAACTGGACCCAACGCAAGCGCTGCGAAAGGGACGATGAACGGGGCGGCTTCAAGCCCCAACCAGCCTCGTCTGCTTGTAAGCCCTTCGGTCTCGCGCGGGACCATCAGCCAGCGGCGACAAAAGGTGCCGCATTTTCTGGACGTCATGCCGGCGGCAAGGGCCCCTTCGCCGGGTTCTAATGCGTCTTTATCGGGCAACAGCTTGCTTGCCACTCCCACAATGGAAGCGCTCACTTTTTTCGATGCGCAGCGGACCGGCTCGGAAAAGAGCTCGAGCTCGCCAAGAATGGAGCGCACTTCTGCCGGACCCCATGGATCTTTCGTCCCGTCGCCACCTCATTCTGGAGGTCAGCTGGACTCGGCTGGTCGAAAGAGGGCTGCTTCCCAACCCGGAAATCGTCGACCCCCTTTACCTGCGCAGTTCTTGCCGTCGAATGGCGAAGGTGCACCGCCGATGCCCCGGATAAGTCGCAAGTCATCTATGCCAGGCTCTCCTGCTGGACCGTTGACTCCGGGTGCAGCCGCGACGGGCCTCCGTGTGTACGCTTCGACAAACGCAGCACAGGCTGCAGCAACGCAAAGATTACACCCAATGCCTAGAGCAGTGTCGGCCGGTCGCAGCCCCTCGAGCAGTGACCGAGCAGGGCAAGCTCACTCAAATAGCCAAGCGTCGGCAATGTCTTTCGTCTTCCCTACGGGTCTGCACTCGGCATCGCGTGGCCATCCTTCGTTTGCGTCTGGCATCAAGGTCACGATTCTGCCCTGGTTAGGCGTAGGAGGTGGACCAGCGGAATCGTCCATCGCTCCGCCAGTTCCCTTCGACCCATCGCTGCGGCCTTTCCATCTCATGCGTCAGCTGCATTTGAGCATCGTCAAAGGCGCTTTCGTCACCCGCAAGCTCTACGTGCCCAAGGAGTTGTGGGCGCAACAGGGAGCCAAGCTTTCATCGTTGGAAAGCAAGATCCGAGTGCTCTTGCTCGTCACAAGCGCGGTGCAAGGTCTGGAGACGGCCGGTGAGGCTTTGCTTCAGCCAGTTGGCGATGAGCCTGGCTTGCTCGTGGCCCAAGGAGCATACTTTGGAAAGCAGCTGGAAGAGTTTGAAGCCTTGCTCGTAGAAGCGCAGAACAATGTGGCCAAAAAGCTGAGCTATATTGACGCAATGGCCGGCAAAAAGACTTCGGTGAGTCTTGTCAGGGACTTGCTGATCGACATGGCTTGATAGATGCTCAACAAGTCACGCGCTCGCAGGGTCTCGGTTCCTTTGGATCGAAGCTTACGCGCGGGCTGGATCGCATGACAAACGGCGGGAAAGGCGTGGACTCGCCCGCGACATACGTAGACGCTTTGTCCCGCACGTTCAGCCGATCACAAGTGCTAGGTGAGTGGCGATGACATGAAGCCCTGATGCGATTTCTGCTAATCGCTGTGCCTTGCGTTTGCAGGTGCGCACTTGGTCGCAATCCTGCGCGCAGAAGGCCGGACCGGTCTCGCACCAACGCCTGCTGCATCAGGTTCGGAGGCCTATGCTGCTCTTCCCGCGGAGTTGCGGGCGATCATTGAGGCCAAGCTGAGACGAGCTTCTGACTTCTACGCCAACGTCATCATTCGCATTGCTGTACACGATGTGCATGTTCTCTCCGAACGGTGAGCATTTATCGAGCAGAACGGCGATCAATCGCACCACTCTGACGAGGTGCGTGTTTCTTTTGCACAGGCTGTCAAAACGCGCGCATGCCGCTCTCTTAGAATGATTGAGGAGAAGGTCCAGCGAGGCGCCATCTTGCGATCTTCTAGCTCGCGCCGCCTCTGCTTCGTGCACGTCCTACGACCCTAATAACGTATCTTGACCTACTCTTATGGACACTTTTGCCTCGTGTCGCTGATCCTACATCTTTTTGCCATGTTGTCTTTGTACCTATTGATCAAATGCGATGCTTTGCGGTTACCACGCGAATCGATTGTGTCCTATGTGGCGCGGCTGCCCCAAGGCATGCGACTGAATCGACCGCCTTGACGAGCGTTCGTGCCGGCACCGGCGGTGGAAGGAGGGGCGGTACGTCTCCAGGCTGCACTCCCCAGAGACCTGGTGGGCTCCTCTGATGTTCTCACACCCACACCGATGGGTTCGGGCAAGGTGGGCAGAAAAGGCTTGAAAGGAGGAAAGGCTATCGAGAACGTTCCAGCTTCAGTCCGCCCGCCCGTCCTGAGCAGGTGGGCCTCAAAGGCTGACAAGTTGTGCAGATTCGCCTGAAGAGGGGAAATCGCAACATCGCGAACAGATTCACGATTGGTGAGAGGCCGACTCGCTTCTTTCGTCGCTGATAGGCCTGGGCAGCGCCGAGACCCTGACTCACTTTGAACGCTACATCGAGCGCATCACCCACAAAGGGGATCATGCCGACAAATGCATCCACAAAGACGAAGATGAGCTAAAGAATGACGAGAATTGTCAGTGTGCGCTCCTGGATCGGCCACACCACCGAGGGATGCGTCCCACTCACCATCCAGGTGATGACATTCTGTGGCAGCTTGAAGAGACTGGCTAGCCAGACGCAGTACAAGCTGAGCACTAGACCTATCCAATCCCCCACGCCGGGTACGAATCCAATGACAGAGTCCAGTCCGATGCCGAAGGGCAGATGAAGAGAGTCGGTGAGTAGAGGCATGGCATCCAAGAAGAAGCTGGCAGTGCGCAAATGATTGTACAGCGCTTGGGCTTCCGCATCTGTCCTGGGTGCGCTCAATGTTGGAGGGATGTACAGCGCTTTGAAGGCGGTATTTGGAACCGGCACACCATCCTGAGCTGCTGCGCTACCTCCGCTTGAAGTTGCATTCGGCCTGTCTCCACCCATACCCTGCGCGTTGAGGAAGTTCCTCAGAAGAGGCTGCACCAGGAATGACATGGTTCAGCTTGCGAATGGAGGCCCGAATCTCGAACGCTTCTTGTTTCTTGATGGCCTATGCACGATCTCTCTTCCACGCGCATGGTAGTGTGAGTATCTTCAGCTTGAAACTCCAAGTATATCGTTGAAATGTAGGTTTCAAGAATGAGACGCGACTGCAGTCCGACCTTTACTTCGCTGAACACGGACGCTACCTAAAGCATCATCAGCACCACCTTCGGCGAAGCGGACACCAGGAAGTTGCGCAAGTCGCGAGGCTAACTAACACGCGCTGAGCTTCGTCCAACGCACGGACTCACTCATGACTTTCGACTCTCTCCTCTGTGCAGCGTCATGCGCGCTAAATCACGTGGGAAATAGCCAAGGCGGGCGTTCGGCACGCCTGCAGTTTTGAGTGAGTCTTGAGTGCTAGGGAGCATCAGCAATCTGGAATTACAAATTCGCGGCCCAAAGCGTGAATCAAGAATGTGAATGCTTCCACGATTCACGATTCACAATTCACAATTCACGACTTCATAACTTCATTTCGGACTTGTGGCACTTCACCGTAATTACCCTATATACCCGCATACCCCTTCATATACCATACCGAAGACAGCAACGCCCACACTCACTAAACCGTAGCCACGCCCGGCGTCATCGTAACGCCCAAGCCTGACCTCGTCCGCATCACCTTCCGGGCGGCGCATTCGTTCTGACCCCGGCCCTCTGGCAGAAGACCTGCTCTGGCTGGAGGTGGTCTCGTCGTTTGCGGTCGACCACCATCCCCCGTCGAGGGCAGTCATCTCCAGCAAACAGAGCGCTTCCCTTGACATCGCCTGACATTTCGAAAAACAGCTTTTTGTGAGCTTTTCGAGATGGTACGCGGTATCAGGCTAGGCTCTCCGCCTCGCCCCCCTCAAACGTATCACATGCAAGAGCGTTATGCTCAGCACAAGCGCAAGTCCAGATGGTGCAAACGCCCACCACTTCGTTTCGTCTTGATCTGGGCCGCCTTTGTATTCGTATTGACGGTGCTGTACAGGGTTTCCCATGATACCATTCGCCAACCCCTAAGCGGGTACAAGATTGGGTGGCAAGCTCATGACAAAATCAGCGTCAGACCGGATCAGAAATCCACCAGTCAAACTCAAAATGGAGAAGCGTCGAATGGGGCAACAGCTCAGGAAGCTTGGGATTCTGAAGCGCTGGATGCAAGCTTGGATCCTTCATTTCCTCTGGACGCATATGCTCCGCTCCTTCCCAATCCTGCGCCCATCACGGACATCACTGTAGAGAGCTGCAGCCTGCTGAGCCTGGGCCCCTGTTTGCCCCGTTCCTCGCAGCTCAAGGAAGCCAATCTAGGTCGCTGGGTTCGCGTGGACAGGCCGTTGGGCGCTGACACGGCCGCGCAAAAGGGAAGAGGCGCTTTGGGCGGTGGGGTGTTTGACAAGCTTTTTGGAAACATCGAGGTGAGTTTGTGGCTTGTATGCGTTCAATGTGCGGTTGTTGCTCAGACTGCGCCTCTGCGCCACAGAGTCGCTACATCTTCTACCGCCGCTCGCGTCGAGCAGGCGTTAGAAAGGTCGTAGATGTCAAGATAGTCAAGGCGAACCAGCCGGCCCCAGGAACGCGCGAACAAGGATGGCACAAGACCAAGAAGGACCTTGGCACGCCGTTCTTCAGAATGCTGGGCACAGGCGAACAAGTGCATCTATGGTTTCAGACTGTCGGCGGACACAAGGGAGATGATGAAGAAGACGATTCTCCAATGGCATCTCCTGGTCAGCATCACAACAGACCTGGCCACACGATCGATGACATGTTCAAAGAGATCGACGACGAATTCAAACACATGATTGCTGGTGATGGAAAAGGCAAGACAGAAGTGATAGAGATCATCGGTCGAGAGAAGAGCAAGGAATTGGGCAAGGTTGCAAGGGAAAAGCTACCGAGGCAGTCAACGCAGCAAGATGCCATCACTGAGATTGACCTTGTCGTAAGTGCTAGCCCCGTACTGACTTCTGAGCGGTGCTGACGGCAATCGCCAATTCTCGTAGTATGGCCAAAACGAGGCTTTTCCCGGCTTTACCATTGTTGGGCAGATCAGCCCGGCAAAGCCTTCCATGTCGATGGTCAGCGTCAGCTTGGCTGTCAGGCGTCGACCTCAGCCTGATCCTTCAAGCCCGATAGCGCCGACTTTCCATCAGGATGGAAAGTTCAAGGTGCGTTCGGCATAGCGTGCCTCCAAGGATATGCGCGCGTCATCTGACCTCTCCGCAATCATTTTCAAGATCATGCAAATCGCAGATTTGCACTTTTCCACCTCGCCTGAACCATGCCGTGGCACTGACACCACGCCCTGCAACGCCAAGACAATGACGGATTTGATGGGACAATGGCTGGACGAAGAAAAGCCAGACCTTGTCGTCTTCAGCGGCGATCAGCTCAATGGACAGGGGACGTCCTGGGATGAGCGAAGCGTATTGGCTACTTATCTCAGGCCCGTCATTGACAGAAAGATCTTGTGGACCAGTATCATGGGCAACCATGATTCTCAAGTGAGCAGGGGTGAGAGCGCCGCGTATTCGTTCTCAGCAAGCTTCTGACATCCACGTGGTCTCCCCCGCCTCCGCGCTCGACCAGACCGGCTTGCTAACCCGTAGAGAGCTACAACTCCTCTTGAGTCACATGCCATACTCACTCGCACGCGCTGGCCCGGCCAATCTCCACAATGGCACAGGGGCAGGCAACTACTACATCCACCTCCGGGCGCCTACGCCGGGTAAGTCATGGCGACACAAAAACCCCTCATCTGAATGAAGAACGCTGACTCTGATGGAATTGCGTGACCTCCCAGATGCCACACATTTGTTCTCGTTATACTTTCTCGACAGCGGTGTCAACGCGCCCGTGACGGGAATGGGAAGCCTGTTGCCTTGGTCCTTCTTCGGCATCAGTGCGTCGAAAGGATACGACTGGGTGCGAAAGGATCAGATCCAGTGGCTGCTGGATCAGAGCCGGAAGGTCGTCAAGCATATTGTTCCCTACAAGCCAGACAGTGGCAAAGGTGAGCTCGTAGAGAAGTCATAGGGCGACTGGAACTTCGATCGCTCATGCTCGCCGCGTCCATCGCCTCAGATCTAGGTCGTATCTGGGCCAAGCGGAGACAAGATCAAGACTCTTCGAGACTTGTCACAACCAGGCGCAGCGACATCAGACGAGACGACAAGACCTGGGACGCGCACTCTGCCGAGGGAAGCGGTGGTAGAAAACCTCCTGCGTTGCTTTGGGTTCACATCCCTTTGCCGGAATTGTGAGCCAGAGTGGCTCGCAAGCGTTACGTATTCGATTACCTTCTAATGTCCGTGCCTTATCTGCAGCTTCTCCCCTGTCGACAAGAATGAGCTGGGTCAAGATATGATCATTGGGCAGCCTCAGGGCGAGACATCCGGTATCAGAGGTGAGTCAAATACACCTCTAGTACTGCCTTGGATCCGGTTGCTGACGCTGTTTCGCTGTTCACAGGCGCACAAAAGGAGGGCGGCCTGTATGATGCTTTGCAAGGGCAAGGTGCCGAAAATGACGTCGTCGGCGTGCTTTCGGGTCACATGTAAGTCTTGACGAAAAGCTCTTGGCATCGCGAGAGAAAGTGCTAAGACTGATATGCGGCTCCGACCTCACTCAGGCACGAGAATGCAGACTGTCGGCGTATCAAGGGAATCTGGATGTGCTTCAATGGCGGAAGCTCTTTGTTGGGATACGGCAGCACCAAGATGGAGCGACGTGTTAGGATCATCGAGCTGGAACAGTGGGGCGAACAAATCAACACTTGGCACAGGTACGAACGCACCAGGGGCAGGCTTGATGAAGCGACACTTTGGGAAATGTTTCCGGCCAAAGGCAAGCATTGAGCGATTGATGCCTGTGAAGCCTTGAGGCTGATATTTATGCTGCGGCTGCGTTCATTATTGTCTGGACCGTCACGCTGCACGATCCTTATTACATGTCTCTACTTTTGCCTTTGTCACCTTGATTTCTTGCTGCCTTGGCTATACTCCTATTCGCATACATGTCGCTTCCGATCAGCGAGCCTTTGCGCCATTTCGTCTCATAGCTAGGGAATGGTGTTCTGAGCGGACGAGTGAAGCAACCACGCGGAAGATGCTAGCTTGGCTGGCTCGATCACACATCATGACGGGTGTGAGTTGGCAGACTGATCCAGCGTGAGATTTGAGGACAGTCGCAAGTCTCAGGCCCAAACCCACCAATCACGAATCTGCTGAATTGAATGCCGATCGCTGCATGGATTGATTGGTGCTGCACCGAGACTCCGTGCAGCATGGTCCGTGCGCCTCGCGCGAGCATGCGAGCAGCACGGCGCTGCTCTCTTACGCAGACGCACTCACGACTCGGCGCTATGCGTACAATACCACGCAGCAGCAGCAGCAGCAGCAGCAGATGCCGCGCCACGACTGACTCGCCCTGCGTCTCAAGTTGCACAGCCGCCGCGTGCATCACTCCGTGATTCAGATTCAAGATTGTGATTCGATTCACGATTAACCTTCGTGACTCGTGATTTTGATTTGGGCTGGTCGCGGGTTGCTGTCAAAAAGGTGTAGAGTCTTGACGGAGTGCTGCATTTTCATCATCATCGTCAAGCCTGTCTGCGAGTAAGGGAAAGCCTCTCATGCAAATCATCCCTCACTTTTGGGTGTACGCGCTCTATCTACCATCATCTCGCGCACTGACGACGCCCGACTTGGCTGTCTGACTGCCGCTTTGTGCCGACGCTTCGAAGCCCCCTATTCATTTCCTCGCAAAAGCTCAGGTGCTTCAAGATGTCGAGCGACTCGCCAGCGGCTTCACGCGCAGGCGCGCCCTCGACGCCCCTCTCGCCCATCTCTCCATCGAGCGCTAGACGCTTATCCAATCCCTTTACAAAGAATCAGGACGAGGCTGAGGAGCGCAGAACTGCAGCTCGTACTGCTGACCTGCGAGTCGAGGAGGAGGACGAAGATGATGATGAAGGAGGCATATCTAGTCATGGTCACGATGGACTAGGAGCCAAAGCTGCCAGTTTGATGCGCAAAATGAGACAAGCGAGCATCGCATCTGTAGGGTCCAAGAGATCCAGTACGCACGGTGCCATCGAAGAGGAATCCGACGAAGAGCTCGAGTTGCCTCCTCGACGCAATCCCGATGGGAGCAATTATCGCTCGCCAGGTGTCAGCACGCCCGCCTCGCCAAATAACCAGGGACTCACATTTCGTCCCGAGGTGGAGCCTGCGGGAGGTAACAAGCACCTTCCTCATGCGGGACCTCCCGTGGATGATCTGCGTGGCATGCCAGACCTTCGCAAGACCGTCTCTACAAGCGAAGCACCGTTTGCGCGAGGCACGACTAGAACGGGAGGCGTAAATCGCACTTATAGCATGGTAAGTTGGGTGAGCTGCATGTTCGAAGTCTAGCCCTGCCTATTGAAGCTCAAGTTGTGCAACGCTCGCCTGCTCGAACAGGCTCAGCAAAAGCGAAGGCCCGTGATGATGAACGATGACAGAGTCATCAGACAGCGTCGGCTTAGCCATGGTGAGTGGATGGTGCTGGAGTCTACAGGTCACCGATCGGCCCTGACTCGACTGCATGATATCTCCTTTGCGTTCAGATGCCGTAAGTCAGGAAGGCCAGAGACGCTTCATTGTGGATGTCGAGGAAACGATGCGTCTCGTGCTTGAACAAGAAGATACGGATGGCAATTTCCAAGTAAGTAACGAGCGCGCGATCTGTGCTGGCGCATCAGCAGTCGCTGATGCGGACCGGCGACGCTGCAGATCAGCATAACAGACAGTGGCCCCAAGGTGCTCACGCTCGGCACAGCTACGTCAAACGGCTACAAGGGTGTTGACATTCGTGGAGTAAGTGTCGCTTCCGACCGAGCACAGTACACGCACGATGCACTGCTGACTGTGCCAGCTTCCTTAGACCTACATGCTGTCCAACCTGCTGCAGGAGCTTGCCCTGGCGCGAGAGCATGGCAGGAAACGCATCGTGCTGGACGAGTCGCGCCTGACCGAGAATGCAGTGGATCGTCTGAGCCGCATGATCAGCCAAACCTTTTGGCACAATCTGACTCGACGCATCGATGGAGATGGACTGGAACGTATCCTCTCGGATCCCAAAAATCGTAGCGCAAGCCGCAACCCTCGCATCTACGTGCCAGCTGCGGAGACGGAGATGATAGATTACTATCGCACCCTGGCACGGGAGCGGCCCAATCTCGGACTCGAAGTGCAAGTGCTGCCGAAGAACATCACTTCGGAGTACACGCGCAGCCTGAATGAGAGCCCCGGCTTGCTGGCCCTGGCCATGCGCAAGGAGACGAATGATCGGGGAAAAGAGGAGCTGCGAGGCATACCCTTCATTGTGCCAGGCGCTCGTTTCAATGAGCTGTACAATTGGGATTCGGTACGTTTCGCGTGTGACCATAGGAAAGCGCTGAGACATCAGCTAATCCCAGCCCATCTCGCAGTATTTCATCTCGCTCGGCCTGGTCGTCGATGGATGGGTCGACATGACTCGAGGCATCATCGAGCATTTCATGTTCAACATTCGCCACTACGGCAAGGTTCTCAACGGGAATAGGAGCTACTACTTGATGCGGTCTCAGCCGCCCTTCCTCACCGACATGGCTCTGCAGGTATACAGCCGACTCAACCCCGACGAAGATGCGGACAACAAAGCGTGGCTCAAGAGGGCGATGCAATCGGCCATCAAGGAGTACCACACCGTTTGGATGAAGGAACCTCGCTATGACCCCGTGACCGGCTTGAGTCGATACCGACCAGAAGGTCTTGGTGTGCCGCCCGAGACGGAAGCTAGTCACTTTACCCATGTGCTGCGTCCGTACGCAGAAAAGTACGGCTGTAGTGTGAACGAGTGAGTCGCAAAAAATGTCATCCAAATTGCTGAAGGGCACTAACGGCAAAAATGCTTTCATCAGATTCACCCACAAGTACAATCACGGAGAAGTACACGAGCCAGCGCTTGATGAATACTTCATGCACGACCGTGGAGTTCGCGAAAGCGGTCACGATACATCTTACCGCTTCGAGAAGCGTTGCGCCAGTCTTGCGACCATTGACCTGAATTCTCTATTGTACAAGGTGAGTTCACCGACCTAAGGCCGTGCTAACTTGAGCTGACGTTGATGCCTATTGCAGTACGAGGTGGACATTGCCACTGCCATTCGCGAGGTCTTTGACGACAAGCTGGAGCTCGAGGATGACTTTACACTCTGGGCACCGCTCCCACCCAATTACGCCGACAAGCAGCCCGACGAGCCGTCGCACAGCCATTCGGCGCCCCAGACCAGCGCAGAGTGGTTTGCACGCGCTGCATACAGAAAGCAGCAGGTGGACAAGTACTTGTGGAACGAGGGAAAGAGTTTATACTTTGACTACGACACCAGCACGCAGAGACAAGCCTTCTATGAAAGTGTGACGAGTTTCTGGGCCATGTGGGCAGGTATGGCCAGCGAGGACCAAGCAGCCAAGATGATGAAGAATTCATTGCGCAAATTTGAAGAAGTAGGAGGATTGGTCCCTGGCACGGAAGACTCTCGAGGACCCATCTCGCTGGACAGGCCCAACCGTCAATGGGACTATCCCTTCGCCTGGCCACCCCATCAAATGCTAGCCTGGATCGGTCTAGAGCGCTACAACTACGTCGAGGACAGTCGCCGATTGGCGTACCGCTGGCTCTACCTGCTCACCGTCTCCTTTGTCGATTTCAAGATGATTCCGGAGAAGTTTGACGCCGTTAACCTCTCCCACCTCGTCGAGGCCGAATATGGCAATCAGGGAACCCAGTGGGAGTACTGGCCAAAAGAGGGCTTTGGCTGGACCAATGCTTCGTACCAAGTTGGCTTGACGTTCCTGACCAAGGCTCAACGCCGCGCCCTCTCGGTCTGCACGCACCCTCGTGAGCTCTTCGCTTAAGCGCGGTCGGCCTCCACTGGAAGCTCTGGCGATCAGCGAGCAGATTTCGTCGACAATGACTGCGTCCCATACAGCACGAGATGTCATGCGAACTTGGAATGTCATGCATAGCACCAGCCTCACGACTTATCCTGCTTGCTGCCCTTGAACCGCTTAGCAGCGACTTCCCTCGCCTTGTTGCCAAGAAATTTAGCAGATCCACCGCCTCCCAAGTAGCCCAAGCCGCTCCATACCGTGGTGATGGCGACGAGCGCCATGTACATGTTCCAAGGCGTCTGCGAGGCTTCTTGAAACCACTCGGGAGTGATGGGCAAGAGCGTCGCCCCGCCCACCAGTAATAGCTGAAGAAAGGTGTTGTACTTTGAAAGTTGCGTCGGTGTGACTGTGGCGGAGGGCAAGCGAGGATTGAAGTAGCGCGAAAAAGTCTTTGGTTCTGGAAGCGTTCTGTACCGGACAAAGAAAGCGCTGATGACCAGCGCAATGTCTCGACCTAGAATCAATGCGACGAGAGAAGCTGCAACGCGAGAGCGAGGCCTGCGGGTCAGCGGAAATGCCGCAGCTACGTCTTTGGCGATAAGAAATACACACCAGGTAATAGACCGCGGTACGCTAGAGCCAACACCATGACGGTCATGAGCGCCTTGTCCGCAGCAGGATCAGCAATGCTTCCAAAGACTGTATAGCTTCCTCTTGCCCTTGCTATCCAGCCATCCAGCACGTCCGTCAGGCCAGATACGAACAGCAGCACGCACGCATGCTCCATGTGACCCTGAACGACGAGATAACCCAGTAAGGGAGTGGAAGCTAATCGCAAGATCGTGAGAACGTTTGGAAGTGTCAGAATGTCCTCGGAGAGTGCTGGAGCGGGAGAGCTTGATGCCGGAGTCGAGGTCGAGTCCATCTTGCTTCTGCTCTGTGCTGTAGAGGCCGCATCGTGAGTTACTGCAGCGCTTGGAGAAGCCGCCTCTTGTGGCCGTGCATCGACAGTCGAAGTGTCCCCACTCCCTGGCTGTCTGCCTGCTCGAGCGCTAGAGCTTGCTGAGTCGTCCTTTTGAGCGCATTTGGAAGTGCTGCGTTGCAGCGAGATGTTGCAAGAGGTGTGAAAATGATGAGCATTGGTGTGAAGACTACTCTGTGCCGAGCGGAGCACTTGCTGCCTGATGGACTCGGCCGATCGCTGACCTGAGCACCGCACCGATCGCGAGGCGAGTGCAAGGTTTCTCTGTCCAGGACCATTCGCTGTGGATGAGTGGTAAGCACCCCGGGAGATTGCACTTGAGGCTGCTGGTAGAGGATTGCCTCGTATCGCTGTGATGGCAGATCCGGCCGCTCGTCCTAGGTAGCTCGGTGGACCCAAACATGTCATCATCCGCAGACCTGCTGGTGCGCCGATCATGGTTGCACGTGATCGTCCAGTGTCGCGAATGATAGAAGTCAGTTTGGGATAGCAAGATAAAGACGCAATCAGATGACAAGCTTGGCTAAGGAAAAGCAGGAGTGACGACCAACGTGCAGTGGACGGAGACCCTGAACTTACACTCAATGATGAAAAGCGGCTTCGCGAGGAGACGTGGAAAGTTTGCTTAGTGCGGAAAGTGGAGACCTTCGGATTCAAGGCCAAAGGTTTTGGCGCTCTTTGATTGTTGTCACTCCAACAGGTATATACAATAGGTATTCAAGATTCAAATGGGGAACTCCTTTTGCCTCGAAGAATCCTGAAGGTTCCTTAGTGTTGCGTTGAATTTGAGATTGTTGATTTACATCCTTAATTTTGTTTTCATCCCGCGGTCAAGTGAAGCGAAGGGGACGGCATAAATCATGAATTGAACCGCGTGGGTCATCTTTAACCTCTATTTCAAATCATGGGTGGCTGGCCCGCGCGCGCAACACAGATGCAGCAGATGCAGCAGACGCGTCGCGCGCATCCCTCTGACTCGCGCAGCGGGGCGGGTGAACGTTTGCTTGAGTCACGAGGAGTGGAGCATGCGCGCGCATGGCGGGCCCGGGTAGTGTCCCTTGCAGCTGAAAACAGCAAGGGTGGCTCATGCATCAACCGTGAGCGGCCATCCCACAACGCGCGGTCTGCATCCAGATGAGCAGCAGCAACGCCAGCAGCGATGCAGCGTTCGTTGCAATAAAGGGTGAAAAGGGTCGTCTTGTGTGAGGGACAGAGGCGGTCGGGCGCTTGCGTGAATGAGGACTGCTGTGGGCATTCTCAAGGGGCAGAGGTGGAGGGAGATATGTGATGCGCTTCGATGGGACGCGTGTTTCGTGCGGCATGCTCAGCTTTGTGTGATGCTCAATGATCAAGCTGGTGGAGAGAGCCAACCGCGCCGCGTGCGCCCTCACCTTTTGCCCTTCACCTCTCCCGACACCTCGCAGGCTTTCACTTCGCCGCCTCGTCTGGTTCTTTCGGCCTTCTAGCTCTCAGACCCTCTCTTCTTTGCGAGTCTTGCAGAGCACGCTCAAGCCGTGCACAGACCCAGCCTCGCGTGCACCCAAAAGGGCACCGCCTCATCCAGTCACTGCATCAGCATCATGTCGAACTACGTGCAATTGGAGAAGCTGGGAGAGGGCACATATGCTACGGTGTTCAAAGGAAGGTCACGCACGACGGGTGAGACCGTAGCTCTGAAGGAGATTCACCTGGACGCGGAAGAAGGCACGCCCTCTACAGCGATTCGCGAAATCTCTCTGATGAAGGAGCTGCGTCACACCAACATTGTCAGGTTGCACGACGTGATCCATACAGAGAGCAAATTGATGCTCGTCTTCGAATTTATGGAGCAGGATCTCAAAAAGTATATGGACATTCATGGAGAGAGGGGAGCGTTGGATCCTACAACTGTAAGGAGTTTCATGTTCCAATTGCTCAAGGGCACCGCATTCTGCCACGAAAATAGGGTGCTCCACCGAGACCTCAAGCCTCAGAACTTGCTCATCAACAAGCGCGTGAGTGTCTGACCATGAGCGGTGGGAAAAATTACTCAGCTCAAATCACACCCAACGTAACCTCAGGGCGAGCTCAAGTTGGCAGATTTCGGCCTCGCCAGAGCATTCGGTATTCCGGTCAACACGTTCAGCAACGAGGTGGTTACGCTATGGTACAGGGCTCCAGACGTTCTGCTGGGCTCGCGAACGTACAGCACATCCATCGATGTATGGAGCGCGGGATGCATCATGGCGGAAATGATCTCTGGAGTGCCGCTGTTTAGAGGTAGAGACAACAGCGACCAGCTGAATCAGATTTTGAGAATCTTGGGCACGCCGGACGAGATCACCATGAAGAGGCTGCAAAACGATTCGGTGAGTGAATCGCGCGGAGGGCAGCTCATGTGATCGGACGCTGACGCGCAAAGATCAAATTCGCATACAAAGCCTGAAATCCAGGTGCGCCCCCTCCCACGCACTCCTCGAGTGCCTTTTCAGCAGCTCTTTCCCAAAGCGCATCCCCTCGGTAAGTATCTCGCGTGTCGCGAAGAGGCGATGTCTAGCTCTGACCCTGGTATGCACCACGCCCACGGCAGCCATTGACCTGCTGGACAAGCTTCTCAAATTCGACCCGACGCAACGCATCTCTGCCGACGAAGCTCTGAGGCACTCTTACTTCACTACGAGCTTGGCAGTGCAGGGACAGGGTGGCGCTCCTCAACAAGCTCAACAAAATTACCTTCAGCAGGGTCAACCGGGGCAAATGCAGCCCCAAAATGGACAGTGGACGCAGGTGAGTTGCAGTTGTAAGGTGATTGCCTTCAGGAGTCTCGCTGACCTTCCAACCCTTACCTTCTGCCCACGAGGGCGCGCAACGACAGGTCCAACAACCACAACAGCAAGTCTACATGCAATGAGCGGCTCGTCCGCTGCCAAGTTCTGGCTAGTCAACTTTTCCCGTCACCTGTATCGACACGAACTTCATCTTTACGGTCCCGCTCGTCGACAACGCTCATGGTGGCGTTTCTCAATCCAATGACTCGTATTGCGGACATGTGCACAGTCGGAGAGGGCAGAGATGAGATCGAGATTGTTGTTGCTGTCATCGGATTCTCGTCCCGGATGGAATGTGTCTGTGAGGTACTAGTACACTAGAGCCGGGCAAGTACATGCGTCAAGAGAGTAGCCCGTCAAGCTGGTTGACGATGAGTCGATCTTGTGCAGCGGACATGGCAGTGGCTGCGCCAGATGGAATACGTGGTAGATTCAGAGCTGAATCACGAGGTTCTCGACCATCGCTATCTGTTGGCCTTTCGCGCGCCCGATCTTTAAGACGCTTCAAACGAGGCAAGGCACTTTGGAGCTCTGCTGTTTGCGCGTCCAAGGCTCGCGTGAGCGCCACGGTCTCGACTGCCTCTGGCAACAGCAAAGATTCGAGCGTTGCCTGGGTGCGTGTGTGCAATCTATGAGCGGATCAATCCGCGTAGCTTGCCGAGCGCATTGCTACTCACCACATCTCCATGCCTTTCTGCTCCCAGCGTTTGCTCCACATCTAGAGCATCTCCACTAGCAGCAGCCAGATCAGTGATATCGTCGTACCTGCTCATCTCGTTACGCCACGCCTGCAACGAGCCGCCTCCTGCAGGAGTCGTAGATATAACGCCCTGAGGCAATGGAGCTGTGGGCGGTACCAGAGTCTTTTGAAGTGCTTCTTCAGTGCGGCTGAGCGCGCGAGTGAGGGCTTGCGTCACTGCGTCACGTTGTCCTGTTGGTAGAGAAGCGATAATGGGTCTGCCAAACGAGAGCATTGGGTGAGACGAGTCGCCGCGCGAGGCTCGGAGCTACTGATTCCAACTCACCTGGCCACTCTCCAGATAGCACCAGCTTCACTCGTGACGGCGTCCCTCTCGTCGTTCCCGACCCTCCTCCACCGCCTTAATCGAACCTTTTCGCTAGGCAAGCGCCTGGCTGTGCCGGCCTCCCTCGCTCTGCCATCGTCCACCTCTGATCCATTCTCCTCCTCTTCGCTGCTTTCCTCATCTTCTTCCTCCTCCTCATCGTCATCTTCCGCTTCCTCTTCGGAACCAGAGTCAGACCCTCTACCGGGATCTTCAGCATCGCTACCCGAATCCTCTTCCGCATCCCCGTCCGAATCTTCCTCTTGTGTGCCACCTCCACTATCGTCCGCTTCATCAAGCACTGCAGAAGCCAAATTCTGCCGACGACGCTTCGTGGCGGCGGCCGTCGAAGAGCTCCTTACACTGGCGTCTGCGGCGCTCCTGCGTACTGGTGGTCGGCCACCGCCTCGACCTCGGCCGCTGCTTCCAACGCTGCTACCAACCCTCCCTCTACCTCGACCTCTACCTCCTCGAGCGCTGACGGCTGACACGCTCGCGTCACCTCCATCTGCCGATACCTTCGGTCGGTTCTTGCTTCCCGGAGGTCTACCGCGCTTGACACCGATGCTGCCTCCGGCAGCGCTGGTCGACGTACGCTTAGGTGGCATGGCAGGTCCGCTTTAAGGTGATGGACGCGTGAATGTGAGAGCGGCTGTGGAGAGAGAGATGGCTGATGAATCTCGATTGACACTCGACTGGATGTGAGGGATGCTTGGTGCAAGATTTGGATGATGCCACCAATGAACTTCGTCCGTGCATTGTGTGAATGCTGCTGGGAGGGGATGTGGTTGATCGAGAAAGTGTTGGACGCGTCGCGTTGCGGAGTCGCGAGTCGTGAGTGTTGCTGCTGCACGTCCCGCAGATGCAACCTGTGCTATGTTCACGATTGCGAACCCCAACCAAAGCCACGGCGGCATGTGCGCCGCGCACGGCCATGCCTGCATATATACCGGTATATGCAGCAGGTACTCGCGTGACGGTGACTTCGCCGCTCAGTCGCACGTTGGAGAGATCCGTCGCTGACGTTGCCGTCCTTGGATATCGCTTGGTTCCCATGCATTCATCACCTCTTCTCCTCGCCTCTCGCGACGAAGCTGGGCTTGAGGGCACAGGCGAGCAGCGGTGTTGAGCCATGTCGGAGTCTACTATGGCCGAATTGACGGCGCATTGGCCAGGACACGGAACGGTGATCCGCACCTTGCTGGATTTCTTCGGCGATGTGAGTAAAGGCTAGTCTCGCGGCACACGCATTCACGCTGACTGTGAGGCGCCGATCCAGCCCGGCAGCCCTGTACCGCCAGCCGTACACATTCACGCCAGCAGTGCAGCACGAGCCGATGCTCTCATCGCCTCGCTCTTCGAGCGCACATCCGTCACTTCGTGCAAGATCGACCCGCTTCAAGTGTGCAGCGTCTCTTCAGTCTTTGAAAGACTCGTCGCGGACCTGGGAGGTGCGAGCTCATCTAGACCCAAGGCACACTTCGACAACCTCGACTTGGCTTTGAATGGGCTCGCACGTGCTCTGTCGCACGAATGGGAGCGCAAGACAGTCATAGTCGTGAAAGGGGCGGAAAGGATGAGGGACGTGTGGGATGAAGCGCTCAGCGACGCATTTTGGAGGCTCGCAGAATTGGTGAGAAGGATCTGATAAAGGCTGCTTCCAGGCTATAGTTGGCTACTGAGGCTGCTCAAATATCGCTTGTCTGCCGTCAGCTGGGGCTCCAAGGCAGGCTTTGCGTGGTGACCATCTCCACCTTATCCATTCGACACTTTCGAACAGTCAAGGGAAACGCGCCAAGCCTGGGCTCAGGCCAGCCACTTCAGCTGCGCATGTCTGCTCTTCACAAGCTAGGTGCGTGGAACCGCGATCGATCCTGTCTCGTTGCAGTCGCTGATCCTTTGCTTGGTCGGAATGGCATGTGCAGACGCCCTTCAGCTACTTCGCAAAGATGCCGATCAACTGGTGAACGGCATCAGCAGTACGCCTGCCCAGTTGTCAGGTCTTCGTGCACTCCACGAAGTATATATTGGCCTTGCGTACGACACGCTGTCTGCCGACGTCGTAGACGAAGAAGAGATGCGGATGATCGTAGCTGCTATCTGGCATCCTTTCGTGGTGCCCGTCCAGACAGGCGAAGGTGAGGCGGAGCTGCAAGTCGAATCCTCGCCGCAGATCTCGCTCACATAACATCTCTCAATAGTGACCTCCACTGCTTTGCCAGCTTTACTCGCGCGATCTGCGCCGCTCTTCAGAGACGCTTTGTTGCGCGTGCTACCCCGCCTAGTATGGCCACAGGCATGGGTTCGATGGGCCGTCGCCCAAGCGAGAGAACGGTCGGAAGCCGCTGTCGCAGGAAACGAACGCAGCGCCGCTCGTACGACCGCGCAGCGAGGCTCACAGGCGAAAAGATCCTCTGGCACCTCGATGGAATCCGCGTCCCTTGCGCGCTTAGAGACGTACATTATCATCGCTGCTTTTCTAGCGTCTTTCAATCCAGCTCGACTGGACATGAGGTACTTTTTGAGGGACGAGCATGCCCTATTGCCCGCTGCAGAAAGGGCCGAGGCGCAAGTCAAGCTTCGAAGAAAGAAAGGCGGAGCGTTTCGCAGAAAACCAAAGAAGAAGGCTACCGCTGATGAGGGACGAAAAGAGACCTTGGTGAGTCGCGTTGGAGGAGAACGACAAGCTCAGAGACTCATTACAATCTCTCGCGACGTGGATGCTGCAGAATTCTCAAGCTCTTTTGGGCCCGAAACCATTTCCTGTCGAGCGCCTTTTGGCCATCTTGCAAGCACTGCTCATCGAATCGAAGGAAGACACTGCTCTGTTGCAAGACAGCGACAGGGTTGGCGGTCCCTCGGCGGCGCAGCAAGCAGAGGTGCTCAGTCGGAGCTCCGACGTGTTCAAGCAGGTGAGTGGGACGGTGCAGCTCTCCGCGTTCGCCGCACGAGCTCATGATTCGCCGCATGGTTAGATCAATCGCCTAGTCACTCAAAGATTCTTGACACGTTTCAGCAGCTCCAGCGCTGTTCTAGCCCCCAACGTCCAGCTCAGATGCAACGTCACGCACGAACACGTCTTGCGCCTCTGCAAAGCCGTCAGCTTCGATTTGCAGGAGTGGCTTTGGGATTGGGCAGGCGGTGCTGGAGAAGCTTGACGAGTCGGAAGAAGAGGACATGCGTGCTGCTCCCCGTGGATGTCATCGTAAATCATGCTTGTGCCTCCCAGGCGACGACGCTGCGACTCGGTGTGGCTCGCCGAGCGGAATCTACATACCAGTATGCTTGTAGTGGATCCTAGTGTGGCATACCAAAGGTGATGTGGTGCGATGGCGAGGTGATGTCTGCGTTCTCTCTAGCTGGACTCCAGCCCCTTTCGATCGTGAAGCGCAAGCTGACGACGTGATCCGGGACATAGCCGAAGCCGATCAGCCAAGGCCAAAGTTATGAACGGGTGGATTTGCTCAAGCAGCAGCAGGACGATGGAGCTCAAACCTGCGAAGTCCCAAGTCGTGAATTACTGATGGATTTGAATCGCGAATGATCACGAGTGGTGTCGCGCGTATGGCCGCATGATCGATCGTGGCAAGCAACCGCTCAGGCGCGCTCCTGCGCGTGCACAGGCGCACGGACGCAGGCTCAAATTCGAGATGCGCACGGACGCGCGCGAACATCAGCAGCAACACCAAGCCATCATGCGCAGACAACACCGCGGCAAAGCTCTCATCGGCGTGCTTGGCAGATGAATCGCTTTCATGCAATACCTACCTGCCCCTGAATCGTGAATACGCAGAGCAAGTCTTCGTCTTCTCGCCTCCGTGTACCCTTCACTGCAACAACATCTTGCTCTCGTCGCATCAGGCTACGCTCACTCGAAGCGCGCACCTTTTCTTCGCAAGTACTGGCGCAACGCATACGAACGCATCACTCCAATTACGCCAGCATACACCCTCACCATGGCCAGCGCCGAAATCCCATCCGAGCTCAAGCAGCGCTTCGACGCTGCGGGACAAGATCACGTCTTTGCCTTTTGGTCCAAGCTTGATGCAGAAGAGCGAAGCAAGTTTCAAGCGCAGCTCGAAGCTTTGGATGTCAAACGCGTGAATGCAGTCTACAAGAAGGCTTTGGAGGGGGAAGCGGAAGCTGCGGCGCTGGCTCAACAGCGCACTTCACTCGCTGCTCCGCCCGCCAGCAGCACTTTCTCATCTGCAGGATCTGGTTCGGGTGCTTCAGAGGCGAGCAAGTACCGCAGACGTGGACTCGAGGCTATCGCGGCGGGTCAAGTTGGCGTCCTTCTGCTGGCTGGCGGTCAAGGTACGAGACTTGGAAGCTCGGCACCGAAGGGATGCTACAACATCGGCTTGCCATCACGCAAAAGCCTCTTTCAGCTTCAAGCAGAGAGGATCCGAAAGCTGGAAGAGCTCGCTGGGAAGGAGGCGAGGATTCCGTGGTTCATCATGACCAGCGGTCCGACGCGCCAGCCTACTATCGAGTTTTTCCAGCAGAATGAGTACTTTGGTTTAAAGGCAGAAGACGTCATCTTCTTCGAACAGGGTGAGTGCTGTAGCACAACATGTGGTGGTCGTGCTCTCCGTGACCTCGCCCGCTGACTGCTCTCCCTCATCTGTGCACCCACTAGGTACACTGCCATGCCTGACGATGGAAGGAAAGGTCATGCTGGCTAGTCCTTCAGAGATTGCAACAGCACCCGACGGTAATGGTGGCATATACACTGCACTTCGAGCGCCACTGAAAGGCGCTGGTGGGGCTGCGGATGGAGAAACAGTGATTAGCACGCTTCAATCGCGGGGCGTGAAGTACCTGCACGCATTCGGTGTGGATAATTGCCTCGTCAAGGTGGGCGACCCTACCTTTGTGGGTCTGTGCATCGAGCGCGGCGTCTGTGCGGGCGTTAAGACAGTGGTCAAGACGGATCCAGCAGAGAGCGTCGGTGTTGTAGCCCAGCGCAACGGCAAGTGGGGCGTCATCGAGTACAGCGAAATCCCAAAGGAGCTGTCAGAAGCGCGCGATGAGGATGGTCAGTTGAGTTTCAGAGCTGCAAACATTGTCAATCACTTTTACACCACCGACTTCTTGGCCAAAGAGGTTCCAGCCTTCGAGTCGGAGATGGCTTTCCACATTGCGCGCAAGAAAATCCCGACCATCGATCTTGCGAGCGGAGAAGCTGTCAAGCCGAGCAAGCCAAACGGGATGAAGTTGGAATTGTTCATCTTTGACGTCTTTCCCTTCATCAAGGACCTCGCCGTCCACGAAGTCGCCAGAAGGTCCGAATTTTCGCCGCTGAAGAACGCGCCCAATACTGGCGTGGACGACCCGCAGACAAGTCGAAGAGATTTGCTGGCGGAACAGAGGCGATGGTTGGAAAGCGCTGGGGCAAAGATCAACGACGCAGCTGATATCGAGATTAGCCCTCTGGTCAGCTACGAAGGGGAAGGTTTGGAGAGCGTCAATGGCAAAATTTTGGACAAGAGCGCCATCATCGACCACATTTGAGCGCTTGCACATGGGCAGGGCACTAGGCAACACTAGACATGCACCTCGCATTACCATTCACCTTTACAATCACGAATCGTATCTTCAACCTTCTCCACTTCGCGATCGAAAGTGCCACGAATCGAACCTGCGTCTTGGTTCTCTCGCGCGCTCTCGCTCTCTGAATCATGTTGTGATGGCACCCGGGAGATCATTCAAGATTCCAGACATATGATTGAGCATTGCGTCGTACTAGCAGGGTGCGCTTCTGAATCAAGAATGGGCTGTCTGCTAGCCTCAGGATTTCACCCTCAAATGCCGGCGGTACGGGGAAAGAGAAGAAAGATGTGATTTACATTTTTTATTAAAGTCTTGTAACAGTAGTGATATGAGTACGTGACCGAGTCAAATTGTATTGTGTTCTTCGAAAACCCTGCGTCGAGAAGATCGATTCAAATTGAGCGCATGCATGGCGTCAGCACGCACGCGCGCTTCTCATCATCACGTACCCTGCTGGATCCGATTCGGGAGACCAACTCGTGATCGTGAAGGTCAGCCCGCGCACAAACTCGGAGAGAAAGGTTCCATCACACCACCAGTCCCAGCAGCGGTGCGCTCTCGTCCACGCAAACTTCGGTGCTTTGATAGTCTTCCTGACCAGCCCCCAAGATGCTGTGGCTCAGCACAGCTCGGGGTACCGGCTTGGCTGCGTCCCTCAGCTCGAGCATCTGCTCCTCGAGGAATGCCGGTGCTGTCTCTTGCTCCGGCGTTGCTGCTGCGATCAGCCCAGTTTGGAAGTCGCAGTCACAATGCGGTCGTCACTCGCGCTCCCCGTACTCCACTGACGCTTCCTGTAGCTCTACACTAGCCCGGCGCATAGACCCACGCGATTCGAGTGCGCAAAGACGCGCTTCTAGCAGTCCTCTGTGCTCCCTCAGTCCGAGTAACACCAGCAGACGTGGAGCGCCTCGCTCGCCGATACTCGCCGCACTAGGCGTCAGACATCGCTCAGACGCAGCAGCAACTTCTGCCCCACAGAACACGTCTGCTTCCCCTCCACCACCCAAAAGCCCTTCCACATTCTCAGAGCCCAAGGCGAGCATCGAAGTACAAGCAAGAGCATCGCAGACGTCTAGCACTGGAGAAACTCCAAAACTGTCCTTACCTGTTCGAATCTTCAAGCAAGCCAAGGATCGATTGCTGGCAGCTGCTTCTCAATCAGCGGCCAAAGGAGCAGGAACAAGTCAAGGTGCGGATAATACGCCCCCGCCCACCTTTCCCGATATTCGGAGATTATTCTCGCTGGCAGCATCCGAAAAGAGCCGAATTGTCCTCGCCTTGGCTCTTCTGGTCATCAGCAGCGCTGTATCGCTATCTGTGCCCTTCGCCATCGGCAAGGTTATCGATTTCTTCACCAATGGTGAATCTTCACTCCTCGGTCTCAGCTTCTCTAGCGTCGCTGCGCTACTTCTCGTAATCTTTACCGTTGGCGCGATCGCAAAAGCGGGCAGCAACATCATGCTGGAGCTGGCTGGTGTCAGAATCGTGCAGAACATGCGCGAAAAGGCCTACGCTACAGCGCTCCGGCAAGAGGTCGAGTGGGCTGATCGAAGCTCGGGAGACGTGGTGAGCAGGCTTAATGTCGACACTACGATTCTTGGTGAGCTGCGAGTGACTGCCAGACCACCGTTGCACACGCTCACATCAACATCCTGGCAGGCGATGCGATCACGTCTGACATCGGAGACGGCTTGCGAGCCGGTGTGACGGTCATCTTTGCAGGCACGGCCATGTTCTGGATCTCTACCAAGCTCACCTTACTCATGCTGGCCGTGGTACCGCCAGCTGCAATCGGAGCAGTCTTTTACGGCCGCTATCTGCGAGACTTGACGAACAAGACGCAGGAAGCTGTAGGAGGCATGACCAAGGTGGCAGAAGAGAGATTGGTGGGACCCGCTTTCCGAACGGTGACTGCATTTGGCACGCAAGTCGAGGAGACCCAGCGCTTTGCCAAGAAAGTGCGCGAAATTGTTGCGCTCGAGACCAAGGAAGCCTACGCCTCGGGCATCTTCTATGGAGGCACGGGTCTCGTTGGAAATTGCGCCATCCTCACGCTCCTCACAGTGGGCGGTTCTCTCGTGGCGAGGGGACAAATCACTGTTGGAGATCTGACCAGCTTGCTGATGTACACTGCCTATTTAGGAGGCGGTCTCGCCAGCTTGACCCACTTTTTCGCGTCTCTTATGCGCGGTGTCGGAGCAGGTGCTAGAGTTTTCCAGCTCGTGGATCGCGTGCCCGAACAGATCAGGCTCGAAGAAGGGGAGAAGACGCTGCCTGCTCGAGGAGCCATTGCCTTTGAGGACGTGCACTTTGCGTACCCTTCGAGACCTCAACAAAGCATCCTCAACGGCGTCTCGCTGACCATTCGACCTGGTGAATCAGTCGCTCTGGTTGGAGGGTCCGGGGTCGGCAAATCGAGCGTGCACGCTCTGCTGCTCAGATACTACGATCCCGACTCGGGAAGCATCACGATCGGAGGCAAGGATATCCGAGACGTCGATCCGCAAAGTCTGCGTTCTCTGATCGGCACTGTATCGCAAGAGCCAACCATCTTTGAAGGCACCATTGCCGAAAACATCTCGTACGGTACTCCAAATGCCAGCAGAGAACGAATTGAGGAAGCGGCACGCCTGGCGAATTGCACGGACTTTATCGCTTCGCTACCACAAGGCTTGGACACGCACATTGGGCCACGCCAACTCAGCGGAGGACAACGACAACGAATAGCCATTGCGCGCGCACTGATCCGCAAACCTAGCATCCTGCTGATGGACGAAGCGACATCTGCGCTGGATTCCGCTTCCGAGTATCTCGTCAACCGAGCCATCGAGTCCATCATTGCGCAAGGCGAAATCACGGTCTGGATCGTCGCGCATAGGCTAAGCACCATCAAGTCTGCAGGCACAATTCTTGTGCTGGACGGAGGACGCGTCGTCGAGTCCGGTCCTTTCAACCAGCTGGACAGACCAGGCTCTAGGTTCCGTGCGCTCATGGCTACCCAGCTCCAGAGTGGCAGCACGACTTTGGATGGGCCAGCGTCGTCGCTGTCGCCGTCGGCTAACAGTGGGTCCGACTTGCATACGGTGCGTGCTTGATCCGAGGTGCGTCTCAGGCGCAGACGCTGCCGTCGTGGAGTCCAAGCTTACACGCGGTCGACAATGTTTCATCCGCAGCCGATCGGTTCGCAGATGGGAGCGCGGTCCTTCAGCACTTCGACGCGTCGCCCGAACAGCGATCGCGTTTCTGGCGGGCCAGCCTCTCAAAAGATTGTGGTGGATGATTTGTGCATACCCGTGGCACCTACCTGGCGCGTTGCGGACCTCATCGAAGAAGCACAAAAGGCTGGCACGTCCCTCACATCGGCACACCTGGAAAAGCTGCACGAGCTGGCGGCTTTGAGATACCCCTCTTCTCCTGAGGTGCAGCAACGACTAAAGGAAGAATTGCAGACGCTCGTGGACCTCGTCTCTTCTGTGAGGCATGTCGAACTGCCAGAGGACATTGCAAGTCTGGAGTTGCCTGATGGCAAAGTGGGCCCCAAGCATCGCTCGGCGGTAGACATGAGCGCGCCGACCGCTGAGGAAGAGCAGAAAGTAGACCTTTTGGATAGGCAGGCATTACTTGCCGGTGCGAAGAAGACACATGGAGGTTTATTTGTCGTCGACACTGCTGCCAGGCGAATCTAGCAGTGACGCAGAGACCCACACTTCCCTCCCTACATCACCACTTTGACCCGACATAGACGTTTCGCACTCCCACACGCCGAAAATGCTCCAATGCAATTCACCCCTCGAACCTTGACCACGACGTGGACGCGTCGGCATTGGATGTGAGCGCAGTATCACGCCTCATGTCCGCGACGCCGAGGTTCTGGGCCCGAGCAGGCCGGAGGGCTGGAAACTGTCGGCCACCTCGTCTGCGGTGTCGAAGCCGCCCACAAGGCGATGATGCGGCAGCAGTCTTTGCGTTGGAGGTTCGTACAACTTGGCGCGTGACTTTGCCTGTGGACCTAAATCCAGATCCCGGAGTATGCCCTCATCGAGCAGAGCGTCGTCGCCAACGTCTTCTCCCTCTGCCATGACGCTGATGGAGGCTTGACTGTTCAATTCGTCTTCATCTGCTGTCATGTCTCCCTCGTCGTCCAGGATCGAAGCACGGCGATCGCCTTGGGCCTCGGAGAGCAGCTCGACCTCCTCTTCTTCCGATTCTAGCACGTCTTGTCTAGATGCAGTCCGCGCAGCGCCGTTTACGTGAAGCGATACGCCAGGCCTCGTTCCAGCTCCATCGCTGCTGGACCGCAAATGCCGAAGTGTGGACGTCGAGCGCGGATGCGAGCTAGCAGTGCGGCTACGATCCGCGAGCCGCTTGCGGATGTCGCGCAGGTCAAGTGCAAGATGCTCGTCAAGGCGAACGTTGAAAAGCTCCCAGATGAACTTTCTGACCGGCTGGCGATAGTGATGGCTCTCGAGCAACTCCAGAGCTCGGCAGAAAAGCGATCGGTCTTGGAACATGAATCGGTGCTGCGCTCTCAACTTTGCAAGCGAGCGCGAAGCTTTGTTGGCTTGGACCGAGTTACCCAAATTTGAGATACAGAGCATGATTGCGCCTTCAATGCCGCCGTCCGGCTTCTTGAGCTCCAAATACCTGAGATCAGCACTCGTCTTGACTTGCCAAGGTGGGATCTGAGTTGCAGTGCAGATGGTATCAGCATCGGCTGCGAGGGCTACTAACGGCTCGGCGCCTCTCACAGTGACGAAAGCCTCAAGGTTGCGTGGCACGCAAAGGCTGATGGGAGTGCCAAATGTGGTGAAGGCACAGTCCCATCCAAAGTCCTGCAACAGCTCGGCTCCTGGAGCTGTAGAAGCAATCATGCCTAGAGTGAAGAAACAGGTCCTGATTGTCACAAAGACGCACGTCAGAGGAATGCAAGTGGAGCAGGCGAGGACACGCATACTTACCCACGCACCGAGAGCACCAGAGACGTCTCGGCAATGTCGACGATGACTGCGATAATGTCTTCATTCTCCAAAAAGGGAAGTCCGCAAGCTGTAGAACCAATGTTGCCCTTCATGACGCAAGCGAGCACGTGATCGAGGTCAGCCTGCTTCGATTGGAAGACGAGCTCATTCGAGACTGAGTCACTGTCGCGAGGCTCCCGCTACTCACGACCGCCCACAAAATGCTCTTCAGCTTGGCGATGATCTCCAGATCTTCAAATTCGCTGCCATGCAAGCGGATGAATCGCGCAAACTCTGCAAAGTGACCCTTGCGGGAAAGAACTTCGCAGCCCTCGTGCGTTTTGGCAAGCTCGCCGTAGAAGTGCGTTGGGACTGTACCGTCAAACTCTTCGTGGAGCTTCGGATCGTCGTCTGCCTGGTGAATGCTGAAAGCGCGCGCGAGTAAGACTTCGAGCTGCACGGCGTATCTCTGATTGCGGTGATGGAACCAGTCGTCCATTTCCCTCTCGATGTATCCTCCCTGCAGTAGATATCGCAATCCAACAGAAGTCGACATGAACATTAGCAGCAACGCGTGGCTCGAGTCACCCAAGTGCTCCAGTACGGGGCTCATAGAGACGACCATGTTGAGCATCGCTGTAGACTTGCAAATGTCTTTGAGAATGAGAGCAGCTTCTTCTCGCACGTCAAGAGAAGGGTCGTAGAGTTGAGTGAGGAGCAGGCGTATCGCCCAATGTGTCGGTAGAACGCTCTTCTTGATCAGCGAGGCCAAATGATGGGTGGCAAACAGGCGCATTGGCTCGTAGGTCGACGTCAAGACCTTTGAGAACAGTATCCGAGCGTGTCCTTCGATGGAGTAGTCAAATTTTTCTAACATCAAGCGCATAAGATCGTCGCGGCTTCTGAGCTCGCTGAGAGCGTAGAGCGCGGTAAAGAGGTGATTCTGTTCCAGAATGCGAAGGCCTTCAGGCGTCTTTGTCAGCACGCCGAGCATCTCAAAGTAGCCGCCGGTGAGTGTTTCGACGATTCGGATGCGCGAGAAAATCGCCTCGCCTGCGCCGATCACCTGGCCAGCAGGTGCAAGAGGGAGCAGCTGTTCTAGACATTCTCGAATCTCTCGCAAGAATCGTGTCTCTGCCAGAAATTTGAGCCCATCAGGACACGAGGATAAGGTCGTCAAGAGTGCGCAACCCAGTCTGATCCAACGCAGATTGGCAGTCGTCTTTGGGATGGTCGCAAATCGAAGCGAAAAGGGCTGATAAAAGGCTATGATGCGTCGAGCGAATTTCATGCTCCTTGTCGCCTCTTCGAGCCTCTTAGCATTCATGAGGGGCCCCTCGAAAAGATCCATGAGCTTGTCAAAGCTCCAGCGTGTGTGATCGCGGGTATTGAGCACTTGCGTATCCACAAGTCTATTTCGAAATTCGGCATCGTCGAGAATGACAATCTGTCTCGGCTTTGAATTATCTCCACCTCTTCGGCGCGCATCTTCCACAGAATCTGCGCGGTTGCGAGGTCGGATGCTGCTAGGCAACCCGTGCGCAGATGTGCTGTCCTGTGAACTGCGCGCACGAGCTCGTGATCTGGCGTGCGACTCAATGGCAGACAGCGCGCCAATTGCGCGCTGCCGTTCTTGCTCGCTTCCAAAGCGTGAGACCATGGTGAAGAGGTGAGGAAAGGCATGGACGGCGGCGCCATAGCTGCGAGGCAGTACGCGGTCTGCGGTCTGCACAAGCTGACCCATTAGCATCGAAGCGCTTCTCGTGAGCTCCGGAGCCGTCTCTAGCACGTGCACGACCGCGTCAAGCAAACCTGCATCGATCATGACGACGAGAAGCAGTGCGAGATAGTGGTCGACTAAATGCAAGCGGCGTCGACGTCCTTCTTCAGATAGATCCTGCTGAGCACCGGTAAAGGGATAGCGCTGCGCGGTGGCGGTGCTTGTGCTTCGCCTAGTCTCGTGTTCTTTTTGCCCGCTCTTGCTGCTCAGCCCGACCGAAAAGGCCTGTTGGAGCATGTCCAATATCGCCTCGCGAACACTGTTACGGCTGACTCGCAGAGCCAATACAAGAGACCTCAAAGCGTGGCTCTTCTTGTTGCAGAGGTAGAGCAAACCGGTCCACGATCTCAGCATGACCAGTACGACCTGAGAGGTGATGCGCAGCATCTCATTTTGACCGACTCCATCGACGGCGGGTGCATCTGTGAAGCCTGATAAGCCCACCTATGAAGTGATAGAGGTCACCGGTGGGTTCTCGCGCGCCACTGCCCTGATGCTCGTGCACTCACCTCAACATCGCTTCCGGGCGCAAAGTGGCAGCGGGTGGAAGGCACGTCGACCAGCAGCAAGACAGCTTGGGCAAGCGCAGGCGCTAACTCAGGAGGCCCGTTCGCGAGCCCATTCAAGACCGACCGCAGTCCACCTCCTCTGATCAGCAGCGGCAAGTCGTGGAGCGCTGCAAAGGAGGGGATGCGTAAGCAGGGATGGCGAGAGCGCCTCTCTTTGAAATGGGCGACGCACCAAGCTCCGTCAGGGTTTCGAGACACAGATGCCTGAGCTTGTCATTGTGGTGCTCTGCTACCGCTACGAGAGCTCTGATGACGGCACTACTCATAATGTCGTCTTGATCCGGGGTGCGACTCAAGTCATCCAAGACTGCCGCGTCGATGATTGCGCGAACGAGCTTTAGAGCTTGTTCCCGCTCGTACTCGAATCTGTTATCGCGGATGAAAGTCTGCATCAAGAAGATGTCGAGACCTCGGGAACGTGCTCGAGCGATCAGAGCCCAAGGCGGTCTGATGAGAGCGCAACGCAGAGTCCGATAGGCCGCCCCGCGCACTTCCTTGCCAGAGCCGTCCGAGAGGCAGGGCAGCACGCTATATGCGCCAACAGCCAGAGTGGGTGAGCTTTTGAAGGGCAGTCCGGAAGGGGCCGAACTCACTCACCAATCTAGCAGCTCACCAGGATCCGTCTCGTACCTTACTCTGGCGTTACGGCGGAGCAGACCTGCTAGCTGAGTCAACACGCTTTGCCTGCGCCGTGCAAGATCTCCCAGACCATGCGCATGGCTAGGAGTTCTCTGATGAGCCTCGCTCTTGGCCATAGCGGCAGCTCTAGCTCTTTGAGCGCTTCGCGTCATCGAGGGCGTAGTTGGTGGACCCATGGACGACAATGACTCGCTGCCATTCGACGCCTTTGCAGCGCCGCCAGACTCATCTGTCAGGGACGCCAACTTTGAAAGCTGAGCGAGGCTACGCATCAATGCCTGCACATGGTTGCGTGCCGCTTCGGCGTCCTCGACTGCGTGTGACAGTACGGATTCAGTAAGCGTGTGTATAGTCGATGAGGTGTACGGCGAATCGCACTTACTTGGCTTGACACCTCTTTGCGTCTCTGAGCTCCGTCTTGACGCTTCGGTAATCAACTCTCGCCCAGCTAGATTGGGAGACTTGTCCAATCCCGCTGTGTTGTACATCGATCGATCCTGGGAGGTAAATGTGGCATACTGGCCTCGCGGACTACCATTGTAGAAGAGGGGAGGCGCCCTGATAGCTTCTTGGTTTTGCGTCATTGGCAACGTGCCGCCGCGTGGGGACTGCAAGCCCAGCGCACTGCCAGGTTGAGTGTAGCCGTAGGAAGCTTCTGACTGAGTTGTGCTCGGCGCAGGTGACACGGCTGCCGGGGCGAGCGAGCGGGATGTCAGTGTGGGGAAGGCCTAGCGGTGCTACTCGCAGCGCAACTCACCTCGAACTCGCAACTCTGCAATCTGGCGACCAAGAGCTTCTATCTTTCTGTCTGCAGCTTCTAGCTCCCTCTCCACCTGTTTCCGCAACGCCTCTCTGCCTTTTATGCTGGCGGCCGAGCTGGGTCCTGGACCGGCATTGGCCGACTGGCCAATCGGTGCACCTGGAATCCCAGCGTGGTTCCCGCTGCTAAACACGAGCAGCAGATTCTCGGCGCCATCTTTGATCTTGAGCTCAATATCGAGGCGATTTTCCAGCTCCTCAAGCTGATGAAGGGTACGTGAACAGAGTGCAGTGTCAGCAAGTGTCGTCTGAGCTGAGGTGCACCATCGAGACTCACTAGATCGGCCATGTCGCTGTGTAGCGAGCGTCGAGAAGCAATCAAAGACGGAGTACCGTGCGCTTCCTGAAGACGCTGCTGGTTTTTGAAGCTAGCAGCGTAGGTGGAACGAATACCATGGAGCCTGAAAGCCCCTGCTGATGATGAGAGCTGCCGCAAGCGATGACGATGGCAAAAGATCAATTGAGCGAGTGGACGTGTCTGATACAGGCAAGGTGTCGTCGTTAGCGGGAAGTGTACCAACATTCGTGTACAGTATATGCTGCAAGTGCAACCCAGGCCGCCTGCATGTACGCATGGCCCGCGTGACCAACGACTGCATGGAGATCGCAGCGACCCGCCGCGGCATATACGTCCACGCGTGCGTGCACGGCGCTCGAGCCATGCGCAAGAGGATGTGGAGAAAGAAGGTGCGCGCTCATGCGCCAAGTCGAATCGAATGGCGAATCTCTCCGAGGACCCCTCCGCATACTGCACCTATCTCTCCGAAGACCCTCCGCAGACTGCACCTCCAACAGCAGACACATCCAGCATCAGGTTGGCAGCGCAGTGTAGAGTTGCTCTTCCCTTCTTCCACACACGGAGTGAAAGGATAAACCTTCGGAACCTCACGACAATCTCTTTGAGCACCGCAATGTCCTTTCAAAAGTTTGCAGATTCGCTGCCACCATCGCTAAGCCTGAAGGATCGCTCTGTGCTCTTGACCGGCAGCTCCAGCGGTATAGGTGAGAGGTGCCTTTCTCATAGCCGCAGGCATGTATGCGATGCTCAAGCTGGGTCTATATCGACGTTGCAGGCAGACAGTGCGCTCTGCACCTGGCACGACATGGCGCTAGGGTGCTCTGCTGCGATCTGACCCCTACGCCGGCTCAAGAGAGGGTCGCTCCAGCTCCGTCGGACAAGCCACATTCTGATGCTCAGCCAGGTGGCTCGATCGATGCCTACACCGTTCCAACGCACGCTTTGATCAACCAAGCAGGTGGGCGCGCGCAATTTTTCAAGATGAATGTCACGAAGGAAGAGGATTGGAAAGAGGCTGTAAAGTTGGCCACAGAGCTTGGAGACGGCAGACTTGATTTGCTCATAAACAATGCTGGTGAGCACTGAGTCGATGGGCGGAGTTTAGATGCCGCTGACACTCATACCGGCTGTAACCAGGCATTGTGCGCTTCTCGGGCGGGCTGCTAAACGAAACGATGGAAGACTTTGATGCCACAGTACGTGCTGTAGCGCATCAACTTAATGCTCGAAACCGTCGGGCTGAAGACTGCACCCCAACTTCTCCACAGTTCGCGGTCAACGTTCGAGGACTCTTCATCGGCACACGCGAAGCGCTAGCTCAGATGGTCAAGCAGCCTCCTCGCATCATGCCCGCGGACCACGATTTGGACCTGGATGAAGTGAGCCTGGCCGAGTTGACTGGAGATGGCCCTCGTCCGCGACCTGCATTCGATCAGCAGGATGCCACACCCGCAACGAGCGGCCGCTTGGAAGGCGACAGGGGCGGTCGCGGAAGTCGTGGCGGTATCATCAATATCGGTAGTCTACATGTGAGTGTGTTTGAACGAGCTTGACTGTTTGTCTGACGAGGACTGACGCGGTTAAACGCTTGCCAGGGCATCATTGGTACGTCAGATTTGTTACTCACACTAGAAGCAGTAGAGCCGCTCACGGCGCCCCTTCATCGGACGTCAGGCGGACCCGGGGAAGCAGCATACGGCGCCGCCAAAGGTGGTGAGTGGAGCTACGATCTCCAAGCTTTCGATCGCGCTGACAGCCTCTCTCCGCACGCGCGACAGCTGTCGTCAACTTCACCAGGCAGGTGAACATGCCAGGAGGATTCTCGTGCGCACATGCGCATCTGCTCACTAGAAATCACTCCCATTGCCCGTGTGCAGGTCGCCGGGGACTACGCTTCGCAGCGCATCAATATCAATGTGAGGTTATTCCAAGATGTCCATGCCGTGCCAGTAGCTGACCCTCTATCGTTTGTTCCCGCTAGTGTATCTGCCCAGGTGCGTCGAAGATAAAGTAGGGGCAAGCGCTCGCAGGCGTCTTCACTGACTCCCATACCCTCCAGGCTACGTGGAATCCGCGATGACTCTCAACGTCCCTCCCGCCCTGTCGGCAAAACGTCCGACGCCGTGGCCTCATCGCGGAACCGGTCGCGACGTCGCCAAGACGGTAGTGTGAGTGCGGCACGCTAGCTGAAACTTCCGCTCGCTGGCTCACGCCATCCGTTCTGTTCCCGCCTGTCAAGCTATCTCGCGCGTGATGCACCTTGGTGAGTTTGAGTGGCACACATGCAAGACCGCTGAATGCTGATTTGCCGGACCTTTGCTTATCAGGCTGACCGGATCCATCCTGATGGTCGATGGCGGGACGTCTGCGCGATAGGCGCGCTGCGCACTTTGCTGTCAGGGCGCATACAAGACTCTTACAATTTCGAATGCTTTGTTGCGCCCAGAGCAGGCAGAGGCCTCGGCCCCGCACTGTTTCGATGTGTGCCCTCCTTGTTATCGTCATCTACTGGCTGCTCTAGGCCACTCATGCGCGGTCTGACGCGTCGTTTCTTGACTGCCAAGGGTCCCTTGAAAGCTTTGCGAATGAGCTCGTCGTTCGTTGGTTGACCTGGCGCAGTCATGCTGAAAGAGGGCGTCTTGTCGTATGCCATCATTGCGCAGTGAATGAGAATGTCGCTGTGTAGCGGCGTGCAGCGTCTTTGAGCTATGACTTGGCCAAATGAGGGGGAACTTCGCAGCAGGCTGCTCACCTGGTCAAGCCTCGAATGGGATTGCTTCGGTGCCAAAAGTTGTGTCGTCTGACCCTGCATCCCAGCCAGCTGATATCCCTACAATTGTGCCAGTCTGAAGGCCCGCTGACTTCGCTGGGAGGTCGATAGCGGTCCGGCTGAGGTGTAGACGCTAGTCGGAGGGAAGATCGAAGTGATGTGGGCGGAACGTGATAAAGAAAGGCTTCCAGGGGCACGCTGAAGATGCTTTGTACCTCTGATGGGTTCAGCTTGGGCTGGATGAGCGGGTCGATCAACCACACCACGATAGGCGTGACCACCAGCTCGTTGGCACTCAGGAATGGTCGTAGCTCGCACAGCTTAATGGCGCGCCGACTGTCGATTGGAAGTCCTGTCTGTGTGATGCGCAATCGGCAGCGCAGCTTAGTGTCGAGGTGCCAATCAAGCTCATGGGGTTTCTTGCACCACTCACCTCTTCCCAAGCTTCTCGCCGCTGTTTGGTGTGCCCGGCATGCAGTTACAATGATTCGGCTAAGCCGATGCGTATGGCAACGATCTGCGTCTCTCCTCGACTTACTCACGGCAGTGGCTTCCAGATCCTTGTCTTTCGCCTCGAACCTTCCGCCAGGGATGGCGGTGTCGCCGCCGTGTGACCTCAGAGCTACGGCGCGATGTGAAAGAACGGCGTGGAGGTCGCTATTGAAGGGATGACGTGTGAGTAAGCTCAAGACTTGCACCTGCGAAGCGGCGGAAGCAGATAGGACAACGATGGAACTCGCTCCTCTACCGCGGGAAATGCCCCCATCCTCGACGTAGCCTTGGCTCAAGCCTCTGCTCACCCATGTCTTCCTCCAAACAGCCCAAGGAGCACAGCAGCACGTCGATAAGCGGGTATATCACCGGGACACGGCTCCGGTTCTGGTACATGACGTCTCAGTCTATTGATGGCAGCAAGCGCTTCGACCTTGAGCGCAGAGAGCTCGGGAGGTGAGTCCAGGCTTTTGGCGGGAAGAAGGAGGCGGAAACACCGTAAGCAAGGGGCCAGCGCAGCGAGGCTCTTGCACAGCTCACTGGACGTGTTGCACGCGATGCGGCATGATTGGTTTGAGAATCGATGCAGGTGAGCCAGTTGCACCAGAGACTCCAAGGTGCGAGCGATAATCTTGGGTATGACAGATGAGCGAGTGGGCTTTTGAGTAAGATTTGGAACGACCAAGCGCTTGCAGGAATACTGATAGACAAGCAATTCTTGATTGTTATACACGAATAAGTCAAGATCGCCCCGCACCCGCTGCATTCGTGATTTGGTTCAGGCGGTGCGAGGTTGCGCACGCGCCATGCTCGAGCTAGAATCGTGCTTTCACATTCAAGATTCACGTGATTGGATCAGTCACCCAATCAATCAAAAATGATGCATTGCGCAATTTTGAATGTCTTACGATCCCATTGAAAGAAAGATGGGTCTTGATTGGTGATTGTTGGCGCGGGTCATCCAAGTGGGGCTGACATGGTCCACAGATGACTGCCAGCTTGGTTCAACACAAGCCCCGCGCGTATGGTGACCTCTCCTGCCGGTACGGTACCTGCTCGGCGAGGGTGCTGCCCGCCGCGCCGAGCCCCTGCATCTCAGGTACCGTGTACCCTGTAGAAAGAATCTTGAATAATAATAATACCGGTAATGAATATCATGCGCACCATATGATACACATCGCTCATGCGATCGAGCTGAGCGCGCAGCATGTGCAACGATAAGCCCAGCAGCGCATGCACGCGCACGCGCACGCCTCCACCTCGCTCGTGAGCGGATCATAGCAGACGATCAGCAGCACCTCTCTCTCCGCCTTTGCGTTACGCCCACCATCCACCTCCTAGCTGCTGTACGCTCATCACCACCTTTCGCAACCATGACATCGCGACAGCGGCCCAGCGCAGAGGAAGAGCCGCTTCTGGGGCAAGGCGAGGCCGGCACTCTTTCGCCTCCGACAGAAGGGCTGTGGCCGCTGATCGTCGTGCTCGTCACTTCGGCGCTCTGGTCGCTCGCCGACTTTGCACCCAAAGCTGCTGCCATAGATGCGCTGAGAAAGTTCTCGTGCGCAGAATTCTACAGTGTGCACCCACACCCTTCGCCAGCAGATTTGCAGGCTTGGATGACGCAGAGCAGCGGAGCTGTCGAGTCGTCGAGCGCAATGCTAGGCGCCTCTGGTGCGGCAGACTTTGCAAAGAGGGCGGCGATGATGCTGCTTGCTCCGCGATCCTTGGCTTTGCTCAACTCGCACGCCAGCGCTCATGCTGCGACATCGCTGCCCCACTCTCCTTCCTACTTCTGCACAGAAGGACCGAATCGCCCCGCCATCGAGGCGCAGACTGCTCGCTACGTCCTCATCACCGACACGATGAACTCTCTGCTCACCCTGCTGGCCATCTTGTACTTTGGCCCCAAGTTGAGCAAGTGGGGTCGCAAGCCAGTGCTCTTGATCAGCTTGTGCGCAATTCTCGTCATGCAAATGGGCTTTCTAGTGCTCCCGATAGCGTATCCATACGGGCCAGACGTGGATCAGGTCGGCATACATCCTGTATTGACCATGTACCTCATCATCGGCGGTTACGTCATTTCAGGTTTGTTGGGAGCTGTGAGTGTCGGCACGAGCGAGGACGAGTGCAGTGCACGCGACGCGGAACGTCGAGCTGACGCCTTTTAATGCTGTGCGCGTCTAGGAAGTGCTGCCGCTAGTCACCTTTCGAACATTGGTTGCCGATCGCTCCACTGCCGCAAAGCAGACTCGCAACCTCACTTGGCTCACGCTGACGTACCTCGGAGGCGTCATGTTTGGGCCGCTGCTTGCCGGCCTCCTCGCGGAGCTCTTTCCCATCACCTCCAACGGCATCGACGCTGCGCTCGAATCGGAATGGTGGTACTGGATGAAGAGCGAGGCTCCCGAGCAGCCGCCGGTTCCGACTCCTCAACCCGTTCCTCCTTTGCCTCCCGGCCGAGCAGACGAGCGCAACGTGACGCCATTTGTCGTTTCACTCTCGTTTGCAATCCTCGCGCTCCTGTTTGCCGCGTTCTTTGTCGCCGAGTCGAACCCGACGCAGGCGAGTGCGCCTAGCGAGGCAGAGGAGCAGGACGTCGGCGCCTCGCAAAGCACCGCACCTCGCCGTACATCCCTCGCCTCGAAGCTCGGTCCACTGCGACTGCTCGTACCGCCCAAAGTCGACGGCAAGAGGGATTGGCGGTACTCGCGCCTCGCACTCGTTCAAAGCGCTGGAACTTCGGGTGGCACGGGTCTCACGGTGCTCATCGTTGGGACGGGTCACATATGGGCTTGGGATCCTTCCTCGGTCGGCTTTATGCTGTCTTGGATAGGTGGAAGCCGAGCAGTGGTCCTCTTTGCCGTCGTGCCGCTGCTCGTCAAGTTGACAGAAAAGATTGTGCCCAAGCCAATGCAGCTGGTTGGTCTTTCGGATGCAGAATTGGAGCGACTGGCCAAGGGAGCGCGCGCCGAGGACATCGGTGATGCCGATGATGAAGAGGACGTTGCGGACCGACGTGCTGCAACATCGAGCACCGATCGACTCGAGGATCGCGATTCTGATGCGCGTTTGAAACCCCTCGTGGTGTTGTGGAGATGCGCCGTCGATCTCTCGCTCGCACGCATATCCTTCTTGTGAGTATAGCAAGCACGTGTACACCACGGAACGGCGTGACTGACGTTGGGCGTGCGCGCACACACAGCACGGAAATGCTGGGATACATGATCATCTCTACCGCTGCGTTGCTGAGGAACAGCCCGCTGATGCTGTTCGGCACAGTCTTTCTCTCGCTTGGAGGCGGTTACGCACCAGCAATGCAATCCGCCTGCATTGCTCTCGCTTCAGACGTATTTTCTGGCGTTGCAGTCGAAGACGAAGCGGGCGCACCCAATGCTCACAAACCCCTCGTGCCCAAGAAGCTGGGCTCGGCAGATGCAGCGCTATCCGCCTTCTCCATCATCGACACGCTGGTGCAGACGTGCGTGCCCGTCGCCACCACATCGCTCTACGCAGCCACAAACGAGACGTTTCCCCCTGCTCCCTTTATCCTGATTACCGCTTTTTACGCCATCGCTGTGACTGCCCTCAGTGGCTTAAGCCCTCACAGATCGCACCATCACTGAGTCTATCTCAGACGTAACATATCTCGTTGTCGTCATGGCTTGCGTGATTCGTGAAACGAAGCGCTAGTATGTGCGCGCGCATGCGATTACCGAGACGTGCGCGCCAAGATACGACAGCGAGAGTGGACAGGGTGGGGGAGCAGTTGAAGTTGCACAAAGGTAGGAAAAGAAATGCACTGGTGCCGAATCGAACGTGTGAAATCGAAGACCGAATGGGTACTCTGGGCGGAGAAGAGGAGAACTGTTTTCCCCGTGCGCGAGTAGCGCAATGCCGTGGTATAGAGAAGAGATCTGAAGCGGGAGGCGAGATTGACGGCGAGAGTAGTCGAGTGAAATGTCAGCTCGGTGAACGTGCAAGTCGATGCGTGTCCAGAGCGCCCCAGGACAAAACTCCTCAAGTTGGATCGACATCCCACGAATTGCACCGTCCGCGCACTGTTCCAATGCCACGTAGACGCCGTCTTCTTCTTCAACTCACTTTTGCACCACTCGCACCTGTTTATAGGGCAAAGACGGCACCCAAGACGGCAACAGCTCCAGCGACGGCCACGGTGCCCAAATGTTGGGGTGCCTTGATCATTGCACCATCCGCGGGTGCGGTGGGCACGGCCTGCACAGAAACGCTCGAAGTAATGCTAGGTCTGCCTTCGGAACTCGAAGGCGTGTAGAGAGGGACGGCAGTGTTTGTAGGGTCGGTGTAGTATCCAGGTGTGACCTGAGCCTGGGGCGAGCCAAACTGAACGCTGCTCAGAGCAAAGGAAGATGTCTGGGGAATGTTGCTGTCGAACGAGTAGGAAAAGGATTTGGCCAAGGAGGAGACGGCAAAGGTTCCTGCTGAGTTGGTTGTGCCACCCGCATTTGTCTGTGCTGGATCGAACGTTGTGCCCGTGTAGGGAGGCTGAGTCACTGGCTTGAAATCGGGCGCCTCAAAGTCCTCGACTTGCTCGATGGCGAGCGCAGGTGCAGCAGCGAGTGCTGCTGCGAAGAGTGCAAGGAGCGTGAAGCGCATCGTGACGTCGGGAGAGGAGTGCGATGATGGCAAAGGGAGGGGGGGAGATGCGAAGAGGCGTGATGAAGGACGAGAAAAAAGGGTGGGGCGGGGGGTTCAGTGTGATGGTCGAGAATGTCGCAAATGCGATCCGCGAGTGGCAATGTCTGCTGAAAGCTCGACGCGGGGTCGATCGACCGTAGACTCTGGACTCGACCCGCACTGATTCGCGCGCTGCCTGCCACCAGACACTCACACTCACACTGATCCAGCGCTGCGGTGCTCAAGAGTCACAGTCTCGATCTGCGAGCGCGTCCGTCCGGAGCCAATGAATGTATCGCGCAAAGAGAAGCCAGCAGCCGGGCGCGAGCACCGTCGAGGGGTTGTCCATCGCGTACTGTATGCAAGGCAGCTGCACGTCTGAGGATGAAGAAAGGATCTGGTGCGGGGCAAGGCAGTCGAGCAGTCAGAGCATCTCGGACAAAGCTGCAAGCGACTGCATATTCGATGCTTAGCGCCGTGTGTCGCCCCAGCAGGAGTCAAGAGTGCGAGTGCGAGTGCTCGAATGACCGCACTTTCCGCACGCTTCGCCAAAGCGGCCTTCATCGTGACAATCACAAGTCGAAAGTCGTGAATCGAGAATGGAGAGGATCGTGGCCGCAGCAAGAGCGCTCGCTACCATTGAGCGATAGTCACGAGTGAGGTCGAAGCGTCAAGACCGTGCTAGAAGGCGGATCCTGCTGAGACAGGCAAGTGCCCACGAATGTATGCTCGGAGGGGGATATTTCGAGCCGTCGCTTCTCCTGCACGCCGCTCGATCGTAAGTAGTGCGGCCGTGTCCGAGGCCAGATCACCACCGAGTACCTCTTTTGCCAGACGTACCACCACACCGAAGGAGGCGCCGCACGAAGAACGATTCTCGAGTCGCCCTCGCTCGTTTGCAAGCGCCACAATGTCATCAGACCGTCGATCCTTTGACTATCCATTCCATCTCGACGTTCAGACGAGGTGGAGCGATAATGACCAGTGCGTACAGCGATGCCTTCACTACAGCACCAGCTGACGCCAGCAAGCCCCTTCCACCATCATAGGTATGGCCACATGAATAACAGCGCTTACTACTACGTTTCCGACAGCGCCATCAACGCCTACTTGGTCCAGAGCTGCGGCATAAAACCATTCCTGGAGGGTGATGCCGCGAACAATGTCCGAGCCGATTCTGCAGCGAGTCTGATTGGCCTCATTGTCTCCTCGTGAGTGCGTCTCCTACACCGCATCAATTTCTCCATCCACTCACTCTGACTCTGTTGTATCTCTGCAAAGCTCGGCAACGTACCACGCTCCTACGTCGTTCCCCTCCAAGCTGCGAGCAGGCGTCCGCGTGCTGCACCTCGGCAATAGCAGCTGCCAATACGAAGTGGGCATCTTTAGCCTGCCTTCGGCAGCCTCTGCTCTACCGCAAGACGCACAAGCAGCTGTGCTGATCCGCGCAACGCACGTGTTCGTGGCAAGAGACTCCAGGAGACCGGTGAAGCCCATGCCCGAAGAGCTGCGGCAAGGATTGCTGAAGCTCAAGAGCGAAAGATGGGCTGAGCAGCAAACCGCAAAATTGTGATGCGAGCCAATGCCTTGCCCGAGTTTCGCCCTGCGTCAGGCTGGCGAAGATGATCGTGATGGTTGGCAGGCTCTGCGCACAAGTCATTGCACGCAGTTCTTTTTTGTGGCACATTTCGACTACAAGCACGTGGATGGCTGCACCATACATGCGATTTACATAGGAAGGAGGCTCTACCTCATCCACCAATCTTGAATGTGTTTCAGTTGCAGACTGAAGCGATTGTGACACAGGCTCAAACATGTGCAGACAGATCACTACATGTGTATGTGCGGCAGGGCAAAGACGGCAGCAAGCGTTCGCGGCAAGACACAAAAGGCGCACGCAACGCGACACGATGCGCGGTGAGCCACCACACACTCTTCGACATAGGCGAAGCAATGAAGCGTGACAAACTTTCATTACTGATCAGGATCGAGGTCGCTCGAAGTACGATTGTGAGTAGTGGTGTGCGCGAAGAGTCTTTGGGGATAGCCGAGAAATGGCGTAAGCTGAAAGGGGGCACATGCAGGCGCTGAACAGAAACGGAGCATCTTGCATGCACATCCACCTCGCTTCTGCTTCGCCGCTCATTCGGGCGGATTGCAGTGATCGACGTTGCCATTTGGGTTTCCCCACCACGTTGGGAAAGGTCTGGCAGGCCCGGCAGCGCCGTAAACAGCAAAGCTTAAGATGAACAGGGTGATCTGCGAGCCGCCGTCCAAGGCCGACCCTACGATGTACATGTACTTGTTGAATAGTTTGGGATGTCGACGACGAAGCCAGAGTTGAGCAGCTGCCCCGATGGCTACTGTCGATGTCAGGTAACTGAAGGCCCCGAAGTAGTTGTAGCCGCCCATGTACTGCAAAATGATGGGAGCGTTTACTTGGTACTTCTCCAAGGATTTCCATCGGCGCTGGACGATGAAGTGGATGAATGGGATGATGAAGCCTATCAAGAGCGCGAAAGGAACTAGCCAGTATCCAGCGCCTCGAGAGTACGAATATACGCGGTCTGCTATCGCCCATGTAACCGCTTGGGAATTGAGGTTGGAAAACATCGCGACGGACCACACGTTGGAATCTTCGTCGTTGAGAAGCACCTCCCTCTTGCTCACGGCAACCTGAACTGCGATGAGGTAGTTCACCAAAAGACCAAGTAGTGTTCCGTATGCTTGACTTGCGAAGAGAGTGCGCCAAGGTATCTTAGTGTATTGCCCAAATTTGAGACCAGACGCGAGGTTGACAGCGAGAAGGATGACCTGGTGACTGAAACTAGCGAACCATAGCCCGGCGAGGGGCCTCCCCGGTACTGCGAGAAAGGTCGCGGTCAGCACGATAAAAAACCTTGAGGAAAGCTGTATTGCCGCCAAACAATCATCTACGAGCACGTACCAAGGACGCCGCCTACCATCTTAGACAGAGTGTTCGTGCTGTGGGGCAGGGTAGGTGAGTTAAGCGGATACAAGCTTTGAAAAGAGTCCAGACTTACCCAATGCTATCCGAATCGAGAGGATCGAGGGAACGTCGACGCTTCGTGAGTCAGCTTTGATTTCTCGGCCAAGTACCTTGCGCAGGGGGCTTTGATACTCGCCCATTTCCGAAGAGCCCGTACAAAACGCAAGACAGAGGAGCGATGACAGCCCCTAAGAGGAGCGAGACCAGGTAAGCCCACCACGGCATCGTTTGGCCGTGCAGGACGGAGATAAGGCCAGCAAAGAAAGCAAGGACAAAGGCGATACCGTACCACCACATGGGCACCTCCTTGTACTTCTTCATCGCTTGGTAGTGAGGATCTGGCTGAGTACCAGCTCTAGCTTGCTTGAGCGCTTTCCACATGTCCGCTCCGTAGAACAGAAGAACGTGCGAAATGAGCGCGGCGACAGCAAGATTCGCTGAAATGTATCCCCAGAGAGTGGACGACGTCAGCACTGGCAGCCCCTGCTCTGCCAACGCTGTGTTGTTGATGGTGAGCGAGTGACCGAAGACCGCGGTCAGATTGTACTTCGACCCGTCTTCTGCGTAAAGAGACGTGCCGAGCATTGGGAGCTGCGCAGCGCGAGAACCGAAGGCGTTGCGGTAGTAGAGCAGCGGCATGATGAGCCACATCAAAGCCAAGCCGATCCAGCTATTAGCCTGTTGCTTGAGTGGCAGTGACAGTGCCGAGGAGGTGATATACTGCCAGTCAAGGGAAAAGTTGAGAAGTCCCAGACCTTCATTCGAGTTCGCGCCTCCGAAGATATTTGTCGCGACATCTCTAGCGGCCGAAGAATAACGCGCAGAGGGAAAGCACGGAATGCTAATTCCGTTTAGGGTTGGGAAGAGATAGGCAGGAAAGAGCTCGTAGATCGTCGAACCGAGAAGGACCTGACCGAAGCGGGTGAGGCGTTTCTTGTTTTTTGCGACGTCATAGTGAAGACTCTGCATCAGTGAAATTTGTGGCAATTGCGTCCAATAGACCATCTCTGCCGGATAGACGATGAGCGGACGGAGTACGCCAGCAATCACGAACCCTATGATGGAAATGGAAAACAGACCGAACAGAACAGTGGTGGTGTCCAGCGAGCTCTGTGGGTAAAAGAGTCTTTGCACTATGGCTACTTCGACACCTGCAAGTCTTTTGACGCAGAATGACAAACAGTATGAACGAACACGTGTCAGATCCTATCCACTCCATCGCTATGAATCTCATCGCTCGTACTTACGAGTTGTTGGCGCAGCTACCGATCAGGGTGGCAACAACATGCTCTTTGAGCCCAAATGGCTGACCCAGATTGAAGAAGCGTGCGACAGCGCCGAGTCGTGGTGAGACTCTTTCGAAGCGCTCGGCTGAGGGGGTCAACTTGGCCCAACCAACGCCCAGTACGTACGCCACGAGTTGAAGAAAGACGGTGCTGATACTGATCTGGACAGGCTTGAACAGATAGAAGACGGTGACTACAGAGCTGAACGCGGCAAGGACTGAGCCAAGTACTACCGAGCGGAAGGTCAGGGCCGGGTCTCCGTCGTCACGAGTCGAGACTGCGATTCTGGACACATCGGCACCTGACATGAACGGAAGAAGCTGGTGATGATCAGCGAATGGTGCCGCATCAGGTGAGAGTGCCAGAGCAATTCGCCCTCGATCGCACCCTAGATGCGCGTTCCTCATACTGACCGTCGCGAATGACTTGATCCGAAATCTTGGTGACGCCTTCTGATCCATCGAGTTCGCGAAGTCCGGCTTGGGCCTCGTCGATCTCCAGTTCGTGGGACGTCTTCTCCTCGATGCCTTTCTCCGAAGGGGAGGATGGTGTGACTGGTCCGTCGTCATCTTTCTTGAGTTCTGCAATTGGATCCGTCTCAATCGCAGTGGTTTCGCCGATCTCTTCTGCGCCTTCCGAAAGGGAGGCAGGTTGGGCTTTGCGACGAAGGACCATTTTGCGTGTGCTTGATCAGGATGGGATAGGAGGAAGAATGATGACGGAAGACTTCCACTGAACGTGATTCTCCAGCGCGGATCGTTTATGAATCTTTTCAGCGGACCATCTGCAGGCTCGACCTCAAGAGCTGCTTGTGAGATGGGACTGGGACTTGTATTGCGAATGGCGTGCTTCGTTCACACGCGACCCGGTCTTGCCATTCGCAGAGGTTGCTGAGGCGCAAGCTGTCGGTCAGCTTCGAGTCAGGCACAGGTAGATAGATGCCTCTCTTGACAAGACGATGGGCGTAGGAGTTTGCTTGCTCATTGGCGTGGTGAGCACGAGGTACGCGCGCAGGGCAAAGCCTGTGCCGAATCAGAATCGTCAAAGCCAGATAAGAAGAGCGAACCCCTTCGTGTGTGGTAGTGCCGCGTCCAGTCCACCACCACCCAGCAGCACCCCCACGACAACCTAGCTGATGCCCAACAAAGCTGACGGGCATCTCGGCGCCATCTCCGAGCGACTTGTGGCAAAGACATGCATCAGCAAACTGATTCAGCAGCAGCTAGTGTGAGTCTTAATTGTGATGTGAGAGCTCATCGGCCCATCATGAAGTTGCCGCAGGCTCGAACGGCGATGGCGCCCTTCGGAGCATGCGACGGCTAGCCATGCAGCTAGGCAATCACAATTGAGTGGTTGCGGACGTGAGGAAGACGGGCGCTAAAGCGTTACGATGGCGTGATCGCGTGAAATCGCAGTCAGGGAGTCGCACGCGTAGTAGTACGCTTGCGTCTGCGTCTGCGTCTGCGTCTGCGTCCAAGCTAACCGCTTTGGGGCACTGCAGCAGTCTACACCGCTTGCCGCCGGCGCGAAGCCGCGTGATTGCGCGCAGATTCACGCTTCCGCCGGACGGAGTAAGAAGGGCCGGCAAAAGGGCCTCTCAATGACGACATTCTTATAGCAGCTATCGTCGAGCAAAGAGAAGGAATCATTGTGATTTCGAAATGTGAGCGCACTACAGGACGAAGGACGTGCTTATCGCAACATTGCGCTGCGATGGGAACGGGTCGAAGGCGCGCGCTCAGCAAGCGAAAGAGAAGCACAAGTCTTTTCAATTCAAGTCATTCAGCATGCAGAAATGGATCTCCCAGGGTCCTTCTTTACTCACGACTGCCAAAGCACAATCTGCCAAGTCTGGCGTGTTGACTTCTGTACCTACCGCAGGAAAGCCCATCGCCTTGGCGCTAGTGTGCATCTACCTGCTTCGACCTAACTCTTTTGTCTGTGCAGACCGCACATACAGAAGCAGCACGACTCCATTTAACCAGCACGCGTCCAAGTGACGTTGTGAGCCACAAATGTCGCCATCGCGTTGTCGGCACATCAATGCCGGCGTCGGAATCCGCCATTGACGACAGCCGCCGGCATCGACACACCAACTATACGAAGCTAACCCACGGATGTCTTGAAGAACAGACCAACTGTCGCGCCGGGCTCGAGATGCAAGCGAGTGCAGACGCTGGGGCCATGTAGGCCTCAAAAGCATCGCGGTCAGGCTAGCTAGCACCGTAATTCAGGTACAGTACAAGCAACAGCGAGTAAGCGATGCACAAGCCTGGCCCACGGGAGTTGCATCCGAGGGCAAAAGCGTGCGTCAGATCTCAGCCAGCTGCTTCATATCAGCAGCTTCGACGTCGCCTTCATGATACGTCACGGGGCAAAATTTGCGAAGCGTATCCGAATGATCACCACACCCCACACTCAGCGCACAAACACACAGGAGAAGCGTACAACATCCAAATTTTCAATCGTGACAGGAATAGCAAGAGACGTGACAGATATGGGGTAGCGAGCACAAAGCGGTATTCGTGACGGGTCGTATTTTTTTGAGGGGGAGCAATGGTTGCGTTGTAGTTGTCGCAGTCGACGAACACATGAACCGCGTTCGCATGTTAAGCGTCCACGGTCTTGGACTCGTACTCGACGTCGCGCTTGGCAGCGTCGGCCTCGGCAGCCTCGTCGCTGACCATGTGAGCACCGACGGTCTCGAGGTCGGAGCGTCTGGCGCGCATCTCTCTGTTGGCAGCAGCAGAGAGACGAGGAGAGGTGGTGCAGTAGAGGCTGTCGACCTCCTCGAGAGAGAGCCCCTTCGTCTCGACGATGCAAAAGTAGGCAAAGACGGCAGACAGGGCGCAGGTGGCGGTCCAGATCCAGAAGACTTTGGGTCCCAGGCCGGCCTTGCCAGGTCCGCTGTCGACAAGGTAAGGGGTGGCGTATCCGATTCCAAAGTTCCAAAGCCAGTTCGAAGCGGTGCAAAGCGAGAGAGCCTTGGCACGAATGGCGAGAGGGAAAATTTCACCACAGACGACCCAAGCAGCTGGTCCCCAGGTGCTGGCGAAACCACCGACGTAGAGGCAGACGAGGGCGACGAGACCTCGTTGAGCAGCAGGGTTGGAGTTTCCAAAGACGGTGCCGATGATTGCAACGATGCCTTCCATGATGGCCATCCAGACGGCACCCCAGACGAGAATGTTACGACGGCCCACGCGGTCCATGGCCCAGATACCGGGAACGGTGCAGACGACATTAACAACATTGGAGACGATGGTGAAGATGAAGGGGTCACCAGCACCAGTGCTATTGAAGAATTGGGTGCCGTAGTAGAAGATGAAGTTGATACCAGTCAATTGTTGCCATGCTTGGAGCCATGTGCCGACGAGCGTGCGCGTGAGGTTCTTGCGGTCGTTGTTGCGGAAGCAGTCGAGGTAGGTGCCGTTGCCGTGGGTGAGCTCAACTTCGAGATTGGTGCGAATGTCAGCAAGCTCGGCTTGCACGCAAGCGTCGTCTACGTCGGTGGCGTTGAGGGTGGCAAGGCTCTTGGCGGCTTGCTCGATCTTGCCCTTCTTCACGAACCAACGAGGAGACTCGGGAAGGAGCATGGTACCAAAGCTGAGAATCAAGGCAAAGCCAAGCTGGACGCCGATAGGAATACGGTAGGAGCCGGTGTCCGTCCTGTCCTTAGTGCCGTTGTTGGCGAGCGCAGCAAAGAGAAGACCGATGGTGATGGCCCACTGGTAACCAGAGGTGACGGCGCCACGTGCCCAGCGAGGAGCCGTCTCGGCTTGGAACATGGGAACAATTGTAGAGACGATACCAACACCGAGACCGGCAACGACTCTTCCCACGATGAAGAGAGGCAGCGCCTGAGCGATCAATTGAAGAATGACACCGACGCAAAAGACGACCATGGCCACTTGGAGACCCCATCGACGGCCGAGAGTGTCGGCGATAGGCGCGCCGCAGAGCGCTCCAACAAAGGTACCTGCAGATAGGATGCTGACCACAAGCGAAGTGTCTCCGGTCGAGAGAGACCATCCTGGCTGAGGAATCGGCGAAGTGTTGGTGGGCACATTGTCGGGGTAATAAGTACCAAAGTCTTCCTTGAACTTCTCCATGGCAATGATACCGGAGATGGTTCCAGTGTCGTAGCCGAAGAGAATACTGGAAGCGTTCAAAAGTGATGCTGCGTGTCAGTCGTGTTGTCAATTCGCATCGACTGCGCATCTCTACTCACCCTCCCATGGCCATGAAGCTGGAGGCCAAGACGGCGCGGATGGCCTGCTTCTTCGTCTTGGGCTTGATGACGGGACCAGCATTGGTCGTCAGAACGGGGACAACACCACCACCTGGCATGATGGCAAGGTTCGTGGGGAGGCTGTGAGTGTAAAGTTGTTGGGCGGAGAGCGGCTAGAAGACCTCGAGGTGATGCTCAAGGGGGGCGGGTGAGGGGGCAAGAGTGGTGAGAGGAGGACTGGCTGAGCTGAGAAGATGTCGTGCTGCACACGGAAATGGGGCAGTCGACTCTGACGATGAATCGGCTCCATTTATAGACGAGGAAGCTTCCCCAGCTGGAACCGTGCAACGACCGTTACACGCGAAAATAGATTGCTTGTTACCCTGCCCCGGGCCCCCACATTGTGCTGCTCGCGCTTCCGCGAACGTCCTCGCCTCTTTCCTCTCACGCAGGAACCTCTCTTTCGCCAACACCTTGCAGCTCTGCATGGGCACCAGAGCCCTGAGATGGACCGCAAGCGGCCCAACATCAAATCCAGACTTTGCGGGGGTACGGCAGCAGGAATTAGCCACATTCGCGACTCGCAAGGGGGCAGCAAATTAATGCTGGAAGGCAGCACGAGCGCAGAAGGGCCCACAATGAGTGGACGCGAAAATTGGCGCGAGCGCGGGCCATCGCGGCGGTCTGGCCGCGGGCTCTCGCGCGGCAAATGCGATGCCGCGCACGGCGGTTGCCTATACACAGCACTTGCAGCAGCACACTGAGTGAATTTGCGCAGATCTGCAAACGCCCGCGCGTGTCCGCGTTTTCTCACCTGAGACTAATGTAAGGCCCGCGCCGAGCCATGACCGAGACCTGGTCTGACTCCGCAGATCCGCGCTCTGCTGCTCAAACAGACCAAGTCGACCAAGGCATTTAACCAGCATCTACGTGTTCCTATATTCGTGGCTGCGCGCGCGGAGAATCACAGAAAACGGCTGCCCCTGAAAATGGCAATTTGTGCGCCAAATAGCCTCACCCCTGCTGCGGGGCTCCACGCTCCGTAGGTGCCAGCAAAAGAAACAAGCGCACTCGCCCAGCAGCATCAGAAAGAAAAAGCAATGAGCCAACATGTGCGGTCTCGAGCACGCTCAGATCGTGCAGTCGCTCTAGCCAAGCTATACAGTACTCTTCTGGTATACACTAGCGCGATTCTTCTTGACCCCAACAAAACGGGCTTGTGCGTGTTATGGCAGTGCTCTTCTTGCTGGTGCACACGAGCAGGGAATGGGACGGGGAAGCATTGCTGTGGCTTCCTGCTACGCTCTGAGAAAGCTTGCCATCTTCTTGTGGGGCTCCACGGCGCCGCTCCTGGGCCCGCTTCTAGCTTGGCCAACTTCGTAGACTCTTTATGAGGACGGCTATTCAAGATTGCTGCTTGGCCGAGGCTGTCCATCGATGTATTTATTGTTTGCGCGTTACGACCGATTATCATCCACATTACGACCTGTGGCCCTTGTCACATACAGATATGCCAAACGCAATCAGTCACACGCACAACCTCATCCCGAACCTTTGAGAATTCCAATCAGCAACAGGCAGAGAGGTGCGGAAGCTGTCAGATCAGTGACGGTGAATCGCCAAAAGTCCACTTAAGCTGTGAAGCGAATTACTCCCGTCCTTTAAAAATTTCGATATTGCTTATGTAGACGAATGAGATTTCAGAAAGGACTTTGTTCATGTCGATTCGCTGACGATCAGCAACTTCTATCTAGCATTTGAACCATCGCTCGGCGACCGTGACATTCAAGATTCTGGAGTGCCTTCGACCACCCAAACGTTGTCCAGACAGACATGCATCGCGAGATGTACCGCGGCAACGATCTGGAGACTTTCGAGGGAGACGGCCAGACTTCAGCAAGGCAAGATGGCTCTGCTTGCGCGCTGGCTCAGCAGCTGCACAACAAACGTGCACTCATCTACTCTACTTTACTTTCGTGACGGGTTAGACTTGGTGGTTGCCTCCGGATTCACCTGAACCGGAGGAAAGCTGCAGCTGAGCCTGGACTTTTTGCATTAGCGCGTCGGCTCGGGCGAACCTTACAGATGCGGCTTCGGTGTGGGGCGACAAGGCTCATCACAGCTCTGCTGGCACGAGGCCGGAATAATTTCTTCTCGTTTCCTTCCCGCTCGCAGTCGAGTGCATGTGACCCAGGTGCTCGGCCTGTCTACTCTGATGATCGCCTGACAATGTAAGCAGATACTTGACGGGTGCGCGACAATGAGCACGCGAGCAAGCGCTCGGCCTCTGCCCTTCCGGCAGAAACGCCGCCTTGCCTCGCTGCCTCGCTGCCTCATCATCGTCGCAACAATTAAGAGTGAGTGCGTCGACGTGAAGATCGGTCCATCCCTCGAGCAGGCGAACAGACTTCACGACGGACTGATATTGAAGCTGGACTGTAAGCTTGACGCCATCCAGCAAGAAGTCAAGCTCAAGCCGTCACACCTGAGCTGAGCTGACAAAGCGTCCATGCGGAGAAAAAGCAAAAAGGTGGCTTGAGAAGCGCGGAAGAACTTCGGTCGATTATCGCAGGCACGCATCTCTCTGAGACTCAAAAAAGTACGCAGCCGTGGAAAAAGTCAGCGTCTACGTTCGACGCATCGTCGTGTGACCGCGACACACACTACAGTCGCAGAGCTTCGACGTGAGTGCACCGTGAATACGTGCGGACTGCAGCTTGGCTCGGCAAGAGAGGTGGAGGCTCGTCGCACCACGCATCTGTGATGACCCATTCAACATGGCACCAAGTCGTCTAGCTGCGAGTAGTGGAGGTCAGGACGACGACGCACAGCAACGGCTGAGGTCCTCACATCTCCGAGCCGCAGGGTCGACAACGAGCATATAGTGGCTATAGCTTAGGCAGCGCAGTCTACGGTGGGCGCCGATTCAGCCACACCCTGACATTGCCCGGGTCCGAGCATTGATGAGCTGCAGCTAATCAAAGCCACCATCAAGCAGAGTACAAGAAAACCGTTCGCATCTGCGCGTCGCGCTTCGAAAAGGAGGCTTGCATGCCGAGGCGCAACGAACGGAGCTCGTATCGTATGGAAAGGCTTGTGCGGGCGAGTAGTGGCAAATGTTCATCGCAGTTAAAATTGTGGTGCTAGACAAGACCAGCGGATTGCACGGCAAACCCATGCGACGAACTTTCGCGGGTGAATTGGATGACGATTGAAAGTTGTTGTTGTGGTGCTACATAGACTTGTTTTTGCGGTGTTGTATTCAGTATTGAAGATTGGCTTGGATGCGATAGAGAATGTGACGCTGTGCTGGAAATTGTACAAGCAGGCGGAAGCGTATTCTTACTCGTGTGGTGATGGCGTCTACGCGCTCAAGATGTTGGAAAGACAATCATCGATGACCTCCTCGACACGTTGCAGCTCGTTGCCAAAGTGTTTCTCATCCTTTTGTGGATCTGCAAAACTGCCCAGGTGAAAGTCGATGAAACGGCATCGCAACTTGCCTTGCTCCACTGCCACGCACATGTTCGCGGCTCGAATGTCGCAGTGCAGCACGCCAGCTGCGTGGATGGTCCGTGCTGAGCGTAGAAACGCCTCCTTCAGAGTAGCAGTCATGGAGCCCACAGAAAGCTCAACATCCGCCTCGACGCTCTGAGCAAGCTGAACCAAATCCCTGTGGGACATCTCTGCCAGAGTCTTACCAGCATCCGTAAGCACAAGTCCAAGCACTTGCCGAGGAGGAGTAGGGCAGAGCTCAACAGGGGCCTTATCCTTGTCCGAACCAGGTGACGCTGTCAGGGATGGCGTGGCAATGTCTGCCTCAGGGTGGGGCGCTCGTATCGTCACAGCGCTAGTGGCAGCAAAAGTGCTGTCATCGCACCATTGCTGTAGCTGTTGCTCAGTTCCAGCACTTTGTGTGAGTATCCCAACAATGTGCGGCACGCTCTCCCCTTGCAGTACCTCCAAGGCCCTATAGATGCGCGCCTCATGAAGTGCCACAGGATGAAACGTGTCCTCGTAATGCTGATACGATTGTCCACGAAGCCATTACACCTTTGCAAGAAGCGTGGTGCCAGAAGACGTAGGCATAATTTGACCCGAGAGCACGTAGGCTCGGTAGACCCTGGCGCACGCACCTCCTCCAATGGGGAGACCTCTAAGCTCGACGTCGGGACGAAATTTGGCCTCATCCAGCAGACCTTGAGCGCTACCGCGCGGAGCTGGGCGAGATCGTACACGACGCGTGTGAGAGCGCAGCTGACGGCTCGACGGTCGGTCTTGGCTGCTGCCTGAGCTCTCCACATGCTTGTAAAATTCATCCGAATTCTCATCAAGTGCATGCTTTTGGAGAATGGGTCTTTGGCCTAAGCGTTCTGCACGCTCCAGCGCGTGCGTCATGAGAGCCAACAGCGTGCAAGGCAGGTTGTAGCGAGTCTTTAGGTCGTTGCCACTTCGGCTTGGCGTCTCGAGAATAGGCCCACACGCAGGTGCCACGGATGGCGTCCGTACAGTGATGCGCGGCTTATTTGTGCCATCCATGTCGACGACTTGGAGGTAGGCTCCACTGAAGATGACACCTGTCCTTGCACCAGTGCTCATGCAGTATTCGACTAGCTGTGCCAAGAGCCGCGCAGACGCCGATGCTTTTGATCCTCCTAAGACTTCTGGTGGTTTGGACCCGCCCGAGCCCAGCGCCACTATACCAGCCAGCGTCTCAAGGGAAATGTATCGTTTGACTTCCATAATTGCGATTATGCGCACGTCTGAAAGCCAAATCAGATAGTAGGTAGGAATCAATCATGTCAATGGGTCAGATTTGCGCCTGCGCCGCTCTATCGTGTGGGGGCACGAGCGTGCCCCTATACTGCGGGTCTTTCTGAGGCGCACCTTGACAATCTGTTGCGTTCCCCTCCACCATCGAATAGCTGAACAAGGCGAAGTCCCATTTGGCATCTGCTCTCGTTCTAATGACTTCCTTGGCGAAGGCTGGAGAAGGCGGCAAATCCGTGAGATCTTCTCCAGCCCAGACAACGTGCCTCCGAGCGGACGAGGCGTTGGATGGTCCGGATGCCTCGCCAGCCCCGACTGGCAGCGCGTTGAAAGCATTGCTGGCGACGCTTAACATCGACGCCAGCAGGCCACACAGTGCGGACTCGTTCGTCCAGGTGCGAAGGCCAATCTTATCGAAGCGCGATTCCCCGCGCGTCTGTTCAAACGTCCAGACGCCATGGCAATCATCAATCCCGGCACCCATACGCTTGGCCGCCGAATCCACGAGGTTGAGAGGCGAGCAACAGATTCCAGAAAGGTGATCGCCTTGGACTTCCCTAGGAAAGCCGCTGGTAGTCGTAGAGATGCGAGAGGCGAAGCGAAGTCGCTCTCGGTAATGCTCGATACAACTTGCGTCAAGGTCCTCGACGGTGTGCGAGCCGCTTGGAGGCGTGGCCCGTAAGAGGCTTCGCTGGTCAAGGCGATTGCACATCAACGCCACATGAGGCGAGTCGAACGTCGCATCCTGAGCCATCTGCTCAAAATTTTCCTGACCAGTGCTTGTGTGGCTGTCGGGCCAAGACGTGGTGTAGACTGGGAACTCGCCGTCACGCTGATGTGCTGTCCAGACAAAGCGCAACATGGCGGCCTCGTGCGTTGTCCGCTCAAAGCTGATCACCAGCTACGCGGACATTACTGGCATGCGACTGTTCTTCGCCAGCCTAGCGTTGAGTGTGCAATTTGGCTCTCACTCTTTGAGCTGCGCAGGGCATGCACTTGTTCGAGAGCGTCAAGTTGGTGATGATCATGGTCTAAAATGGACAAAAGGTGGTAACCGGCTCCCAACACCGATGCAGGCTGTCCTGCAAGATTCACATTCAATTCTTGATTGGCGAGTGAAATCAATAATGAATTTACGCGCAGCATACAACACGCAGGTGACGTTTCATTAAGACCTCGAAAACATGAATTTTCATTCCACATTTAATTTTGAATCAAAGATGACGGAGCCGCGTTAGAGAAAGATTGAAATCCTACTTCGCTTGACCTTCAAGGCCTGATGGACCTTCTTGATCGTTGGGGAGTCAAGAGTGGCGAGATGGTCTGAGTGAGCTCAAAGGGGGGTCACCAGTGTAGACTCTGGCCATGGCAATATGGCAGCTCCCACATAGCCATAGCAAGATTCATTGATGATAAGCCCACAGGGCAGGCCTCCGCGACCGCTCTGTTGCATGCTCAGCGAAGCAAGGCGCACATCTCCTTGCTTGGCTGGTCTGATAACCCCGCCCAGATCAGCCAAAGACTCATTGTTCTTCAAGAGTAATGGGACGCAAGACTCAAAACTTGTGGGCATGTAGTTGACCACGCAGGCCACTCGATGTGGTGACCATTGATGCTACATCACCATTATTGTATTACATGTACTCTACATAACTCCATTATCGACGAGGGGAGGGAGGACGATAGGAATGCGTATACTGCTGTGAGCTGGGAGGGCCTCTTTGCGCATGAGGCATGCCGGACGGCGAAGGAAGTGTCGGTCGTTCCAGGCGAGCTTCGGGATGTAGCAATTGTGATTGAGGTGACGAGCGGTGCATCTCGCCCCGTTGTTGCTGGGTAGGATACGCGTAAGCCCCTGCGGTCGACATCGTGGGGGATTGCCGCGTTGATAACGGGGCGGCAGGAATCGGGCGGGAGTCGTGCGCACTCAGCGGTCGGCTGAGCGGCGAGGGTGCGCGGTGCACACTGTTGGCAGATGAGGCACCAGCAGCGTTGCTGGCGCTGTACGCGCTGTGAGGCTGCAAGTAAGCTGGCGAAGCAGACATTGAGCGATGGCTGACAGGCGCTGCTTCTCTGATGGCCGGCGAGTGAGAGCCATATGGCGATGCAGAATCGTGTCGCAGATCCGAGGTAGGTCTCGTTTGTGGATTCAGGATGGATGACGACCACGACTGCGGTCTCACATCTCCGCGTCCGTACTCTTCTCGAGCTGGCAGTCGCGAACGCTCATCCCGTCTATCGTACGCGTGTGATCCCCCTGCTGTCGCATCGTGCCATCCCGCGACCGACAAAGGTCTCTGCGCACTCGGCGACGCGCTGAACGAATTTGCAGAGGGTGACCGGCCGTATGCGCTGACAGAACTTGTGCTTTGAGAGCCCGGGCCGAGGCGACCCTCGCTCAGACTGTGATGCTGCAGTTCCGGACGCATAGGTTGGGATTGCTCCACTTCTCGGTTGTGCAAGAAGCCGCTGCGGCTTCCTGACTCCTGCAAGACTGAGGATCTTACAGAAGGGCGCTCAGCAAGATGAGAGGCTCTGATATCGCTCATGGTGGAGCTTCGCTGGAAGCTCGACTCTTGGTCGTACGGTCGAGGGGCGCGCGAATTCGCTGCATATGGATTGCCCGGACGCTGGCTCGAAGACGAAGTGTACGACGACGGGGGCGGCATCGCGCTTGAGCGCTGGACAGCAGGCGAGGGCAGTGGGCTATGCCTCGAGTAAATGTCGGAATGCGCTGCCGGATCGTTCTGATGATTGAAATGCATGCTAAGAGGACCTTGGACGCGCTCTCGAGCATCGAAAGTCGTGTTGGGCGCCTCTGCCCGTGACGCAAGGGGGGGCCTTTCCCACTGCTGTTGTTGGTGCACGTAGGTAGGTGTTTCGTACGCAGATTGGCGAGGACCAGCAATGCCACCAGCGCTGTGCCTAAGTCTCTCCTGCCCGTCGGTGTCGTGCGGCAAGTGTTGCTCGCCATTTCCCTCTTGAGTGCTTCTGAGCCAATCAGGTACTGAAGGACGCCGACTCATGCTTGGCGAGCTTCGATCAGATGGTTCGTCATTCAGTAGGCTGTTGATGCGCAGTCCGCGAGGTCCTGCGTCCACAGACGAGTCAAGAGACATGCCGCCTGGTCCAGAAAATGTTCCCCCTTTCGGCGCGTCAGCCTCTGCTCCCTTGCGTCGTAAAGCCAAGACATTGGCCGCTTCTTCCCTTGCTTGCAGTGGGAGATCGGCGTTTTGCTCTGCAACAGCGGCGGCTTCAGCAAAATCGGCTTCGATCGAGTTCCTCTGAAAAAAGTTGCGGGCTTGAGCAGCAGACTTGTTGCTTAGACCCTCCGCAACTGCGTCCCAATCCTTGCCCTTGATGGCCAGCGATCGAAGAAACTCGTTGCGCTCTGCCACTGACCAGTACGATGACGTGGGCTGCCTGGCGCGCTTTGTCGCTTCGTCAAGCGGCACCGCCGGACCAGTGGTCTCCGTAGGGGTTCCTGGCGTACCAGAACCGACGCCGCTTGTTTGAGTCTTTGTGCGCCGCTTCTTTGCTTTCGTCGCGGAGGCTACTGCAGCCAAGCCTTCGCCCAGCGTCACAGGGTCTGCAGCGATGCCGAGCAACGAATCCTCAGCAGTCTCCGAAACTGGAGTGGCAACAAGGGCTGCTGACGCGTTGACAGAGCTTTTGCCGGGTTTGCGCCCTCTTTTAGCGCCTTTCCTGGCTCGCTTCTCCTCTCGCTCCACGGCGCTGCCTTGGCCGTCTTCCTCATTAACTCGCTTGCGACCTGTACTCTCTTCGTCCTCCTCTGCGATAGTCGAGATTTGCTTGTCCATCGAGCTGGTCAGCATCCTTGACCTTCTCCTTCCGAGGTCTTGCGTATCGAGCGGCGAGGCACCGGCATCTTCCTCTTCCAACTCATCGCCTGCTGCCGACTTGAGGTCTGCCATGAGAGCGCTGCCCTTCGCTTTCCTTGGCTTGAACTTTGCCTTTCGTTTTCGCTCCCTATTTCTGGCAGCACTCATCGCTTTGTACTCGTGTCCTGGCAGCTTCTTTGTGAGGTAGTAGTAGCGCACACACTGAGAGGGTGTCTTGTCCGGCAGCGCCGCAGCGATCTTTCCAAATTGCTTGGGGAAAAGAAGGTAGCGCTTCTCGAACGTGATTTTCTCCTCCTCGGACCAAAAGTCTGGATCAAAGTCTGACAAGAAGAATGCGACGGGATCCTTTACAAATCCATTATCGTCATCAAAGTCGCTTTCGAGTCGCAAGGGAGCCGCGCTTTGCGGTGCGCGCAGGTGACTGTCCGGATCGATGAGCATGTCAGGGGCGGTGGCTGTGGTCCGCGCAGCCCGCATATTTGGGTCTTGCATGTCGGCGCTCTCCAACGACGCCAAGATTTCCAGAAATTCTGCTTCGGAGCGGACAGCATCACCGAAACCGGGAAAGGCACCCTGATTGCTGCGCCGATTCGCACGGCCGACCGCGGCGCCGAGTGCCATCGGTGTCAGAAGAGCGGCACTAGAGTCCTCCGCGCCCGCTGCAGCGCTCGGCGCAGCAGAGCCCACGACCGGTGTGCTGTTAGACATTTGCATCATTGGACGACGGCTGACTTCTCGCGACTCTGCAAGGCGGTTGAGTCGTGCGCAATGCGCCTGCCAGTCGTCATCCAGAGCCTTGTACTGTTGCCGTAGACCCTCGAGCTTTGCAATGAAACGTCGCTTCTTGCTGAGCAGTTGCGTCATCAATCTTGCGCGTGTCCTCTCCGCTTCTGGGTCCTGCTCGTCCATCCATTGGTCCTGCTTCATCTCGCGAGGAGCGCCGTACACAGCAGATTTGATCACGCTTTTCGTCGTCTGGGAGGCGAGCCTCTTGTTGCTGCGCTCCATGCTGGTGATCCAAGCCTCGTCTGGCTTGAACAAACCAAACAGGTGCGTGCGTGTCTCCCTGATGATCTCCTCTCGAGCTCTTTGCGTCCGTGGGGTCAGCAGGGGAAGACTTTGGACGTCTGTTGCAACGCTAGAATCTGGTGGGTGTATATTGAGGTGGAGGGTGACCTCTTCGCGCTCGCTGGGTTTCAAATTTGAGTCATCGACCATGTCAACGTCTCGAGACATGCCTGCGTCCTCTCGTACAGCCTCACTGGTCAGCTGCGCGGCCGACACCGTGGCGGTGCCTTCACTGACCGGCACTTTCTCTGCCGCAGCGGCGATCTGAGCTGCAAGTGAGACGCCGCCAGCGGAAGGCACCCGCGTTACCGGAGTGTCCACGACCTGAGCTCTTTCGCTCTGTTCCTCGATTGGAGCAGCAACGGCTGCTGGGATTGCCGGGGCATCAACATCCATGGCGTCGTCTGTCTCGGGTTTGACCTCGGGAGCGGTCTGGACGTCACGAGGCAGAGGAGTGTCCAAAGTAATTTGCCGTGTCGTGATTCGCTGCTCGATGTTCTCTTGCTGCGTGTACCTGGCCATGGCAGCAAGATCTTCTGCTGCAGTCGGACCGCTGGCTGGCGCAGCCACAGCTTGTTGCAGCGGAGTCGGCATTGCAGCTTCGGTCGGCGCTGCAGCGGGGAGATTGGAGCCAGCAGACAGAGCAGGCGTCGGCACGTCTGGCGAAGCGAGAGCTTTTTGCGAGGTGGCCAGAAGCTGTTGAGAGAGTGCGCTAATGGCTGATGGCTGCAAATCCTTGTCTTTGGAAGCGTCAGTGGAAGTGGACGTCTCGGGATTTCCTGCCTCGACAGGCAAGAACACCTCTGAGCTAGACGACTCAAGCAGTGCTGGTGTGACGCCGCGATGAGGAGGCGCGGTCGTGACAGTGTTTGTGATGGGCTTTGCTTCGTCCGATTTCTGAGCCACGGGCCTCTGCTCCGCTGCTGCCTCCACGCTCTTAGCATCTCGTGATCCTTGCGTTGAAGGCTCGACAGGGACGCCCAGACTCTCGGCAAGTTGCTCAAGCTGCATCGCATCCGTCTGACTGCCCGTGTGGCCGTCAGATGCTGCATGTCGCTCAATGTCACATGATTGCGCTTTGGGTTGAATTGCTGGTGGTGGCACCTGGCAATCTTGCTCGCCGACATCCTGCGACGACGAGACACCCGCTATCTTGACCTGTGCATCCTGGCTCTGTGCCAAATTTTCAGCACGCAGATGGCGCGAAGGGGTCTCCACTTCCCTCTTGATTGCTCGCGGAGGTGTTCGCCGGATCATGTCTGGCGCTTCGCGCGACACGGCTTGTGATTGAGAATCTGCGGCCAAAGATGTGAGGACTTCCGGCTGCTCCGAGGTTGTCCGTGACCCTTCTGTTCGGGACAGAGATTCGCGGTCTCGCTCGCGGGTGTTTGCACCGTCTCTTTCATGGGTCCGGCCATCGCTAGTGTGCTTGTACGTGCCTTGCGAGTCTCTCTCGGCTCGTCGTGGCGTGGTGGGTGATGACGGACCTGAGCGAGCGCCAGACGCCACGGAACCAGACCCCCAGGACCGCATAGCAGGCTTACCCATCCCGCCAGCAGACACAGCATTGGGATTCGGATAAGCTCTTGTCGAGGTCGATGGTGAGTGCAGAGCAGCAGACCGATCGCTGAGCCCTCCCCAGCGATCCCTGTCCCGCTCTCGCAATCGGTCTCGCTCTTCTAGCGCAGACAGAGAATCGCGGTGTTCACGATGTCGAATGCTGGGTCGCGACCATTCCCTCTCTCTGTCTCTGTCTCGCTCCCAGTCCCTCTCCCTTTCCCGATCCCAATCCCGTTCGCGAAGGCGATCACGCTCCCAATCATCGTAAGGATCTCTTCTGGAACTGTCAATACGCAGGCCCGCTGAGCGCCCGCTCAAGTTTCCCGGTCTATAAGTGTCGCTTGTGCGCGGCGGTCTACGTGGAGGCGCAGGTTGAGAGCTCACTGGCGAGTACCGATCGCGGGACTCCCTTCGGATGGCCGCATAGGAGCCGGAGTGCGACCCCCAAGAGTCATCCCGAGACCCCTTCGCCCAGCTGTTCCCACTCTGTAAATCTTGACTGCGCTCGCCGCCGACCAACTGTCGATGCGAAGCGTGAGTTGGGGCAGGCTGGGACGCAGGCTGAGCGTGCTAAATGGGTTGAGCCGGTTAGGGGGAGCTTCGCAACGACAATTGAACAACCCCGATCTGAAGAATGACTTACTTCATTCTCGTCGATTGCGCCCTCTTCCTCACTCGTGGTACTCTTCGAAGGGCTTCTTCGCATCCCAGCAGAGTGCTGATCGAGGTGCGAGCGTGACCGCTCTGCAAGCGGCCGAGGACGGGTAGGGTCTCGAGATGCTTCCAGGGGGCTAGCCGATCTTGCTCTTTGGATGACGACGCTGTGCCCGTCTCCTTTCTCGTACTCGCCAGCAGGTGACTGATGGGCAAGATCGATTTGAGAGCTCAAGTCAGTGTGGTCTGGTCCCGGAATGAAGCGCTGAAGCGGACTTACTGAACGAGAGTGCCATACATGGCTATCTTCCCGTCGGAGCTGCTGAGGAGAGGTGCTAGGCTTGGTTGTCGCTGGGCTTGCCATGCGAGGTGGGGTTCGCGGTGCCGCTCGCCTCGTCGCCAGAGCATCTGTGCCTGAGATAGATGCTCGAGTTCCGGCGCTCGCCGTAGCAGCCTCCCGCATCATGTCTGGACTCGATGCGTTCTCGGCGCTGCTCTGCAGCGCAGCGTCCGATTGGCCATCTGCGAGTGTATCGTTTTTTGGTGCAACATTACTCATCTAGCTGTATGCTCGTGACACTATGTCTTGCTACTGTCGCCAAACGTGATCGGTAGGCTACGCAGTGAACGCCAGAGCACACCCAGGAATCAAGAAGTTTGGCTGGGTCGTGTCGTGCCGCTCCGTAGGACGGTGGGTGCAGCTAGCGGGCTAGGTCGGACTGAAAGGTTTGAAGATACGACGCGCCAGATCTGAGGTTGGTGGTGGTATGATTAATCAAATTCGACTCTTGCTTCCAATGAAGTCGGCAGCTTCTTCTTTCTGCTGGAAGCTTGCATGGCCACGGCGCGCCATCCAGCAGCAGCTCGCGGCGATGCCACGGGGCGCGGATGCTGGCCATGTGCCGGCTTTCAAGTTTGAATTAAAATTGTCGAACGAATGTTGAATGTTTTAGTAAACGCGTGAGATTCACAATCAAGAATGAAAAGTGGTATTGAGAAGGAAGAGCGCGCCCAGAAAACACCCCGAACTTGGCTACATTCAAGATTTCGTTCAAAAATTCCATTTAGAACTGAAGCTCAAGACTTCAATTGAGACTTGGTCTGATGCTTGAACCTTGCCAATCAAGAATCGCTTGGAGATAGTCCATTCAACACTGTCCGCTCTGCACAAGCCGAATCTCAATTTCACAATCAAGCATTCAAATCAAACCTCCTCTAGCCAAGGTTCAAGTGTTTGAAGTCTTGAGCGATGGGTAAGGTCGCCTTTGAGACCAAAAGATCATCAGGATGCATTTAGCAAGTAGCAGAAAGCAGTTGCTCCTGGTCAGCATCATCCGCCCCTCGCAAACCAAGTCAAGGGTTGTCTGTGCCTCGATACAGAGCTGGTGAGACCTCTCTGAGACTTCAGATCACAATCGAGGGATGCGTTTGGGCTTGCGAGCACTCCAAGCTTCGCGAGAACGTCAATTGCACAAAGCAGTCGCCGCCTTCGCAAGGTATCTTGTATCTGATCGTATTGACGCCAAGCGTGATGATAGAGTGTAGGTTCAGTCCATACGTAGCCCGCTATGGCTTGACGCCCTTTATGATCGGGACGCCACCTTGGGGTTCCAAGACTGAATCTTTGGAGAGACCGTGGTGCTATACGTCCTGAAAGAGCCTCGCGTACCTGTCGCAGACTCGGTAGGGTCCTGAGGAGAAAGACGAGCAGCAGCAGACAGCAAAGCTTGGCATGCGTCAGCTTTTGAGTCTTTGTGATGAAAGTATGTGCGATGCAGCTAGCAGGCTCCGTAACCACCATGCTCACTCGGTCCAGAGGCCGATCGCATCACATAGTACTTTCCATCTTCTAATAGAAATTTGCGACGTGTACGAGCACCCACCATCACCAGTGCTTGTACCCCAAACCTGCGGCCTTCCCTGTCCCTGACCCAGGTCGCCAAGGCGACGCATGTACTCACAGCTTCCCACGTGGGGTGAGACGCAATAGTCACAGGATCAACATTAGGAGGATCTTGCTTGTTGTGGTGCAGCCAGCCATTCCAAGCTGGTTCGATTTGAGAGACGGCAAAATCGTGCTGAGCAAAGTCCACCCATCTGTGCCTGCCCGGGATCTCGTTGAGGTCCTCGTAGTACTTGTTGCCATTGCTGCGCGAGCACGAGTTGAAGGCAGACACGTCAGCATACGTGAGCATCGTGGGGTCGCCAGTGATGCTGAAAGTGTATTTAAATGCTCACCGATCGATCCCTACGAGCGTGCCTGCCTTTGCATCACCAATGTACTGCAGGTCTCGCCAGAACTTTGACAAGCCGGCCTTGCGTGCGTTTGCGATAGTACGAGCGAGGGACATCTTTCTTCAATGCGAGTTGGTGGCGTATTGCTGCGACGCTCACAGAGGTCGGCTAAGCGTGACGGATTGCTGGTTGTGGTGTGCCTTGGCCAAGCAAGACGGGTCGATTCTGGCGTGCGTGAGCGCTCATTCACCGACGACCTGGGCGATAGTTGAGCCAAGCCCAGCGGCAACGCGCTCTCTCACGATTGGCCGCGGTGGATTTCGAATCAACGCGCCCAGCAGCAGCCGCCGACATGCACGTGACGCATGCTGCAGCTCTCCACGCACTCGAGACTTTTGACTCAAGGCTCTTGACTCAGCAAGATCGAATTGGGTGATAGATCAAGAGGTGGACTGTGGCTGATGAGATTCTAACCGATTCATCAGTTCAGACCTCACTCAAGCCTCCCAATCTAGCTAAGAAGGCCTGGTGCTTCGCCCAGCTTCGCATGCCACTCGGGCCTGTTTCGCGACAGCTCCCTGACTTGATCTGCCCCAACCTTCGAGGTCAATCTAGCTGGCGCGCATTCGCCTGACACTGTAAAGCTGAACATCACCCTCCGTCCACGCCAATCCCCAGCAAAGCGACCCCGCGCACCTTCCTCTCAGCCTGTGATCCAAACAGCAAACTCCGGGATGCGGCTGCTTGTCGTGGGCGGAAACGGCTTTCTAGGTGAGCAGCATTCATTGAGCTTTCAGATGACCTCATGGGCTGAGTACGATACGCTCGGCCAGGCTCCTCCATCTGCAAGGCAGCACTTGCGAAGGGCTGGGAAGTGAGCTCGATTAGGTGAGTCAGGGTCTTGGCACACGATATGCGGGACGTTGAATTGCTGACCAGCATTCCCCGCAACCTGGTCCAAACAGCTCTTCGGGGAGGCCCTTCGTGGCTCCCTCGGGGCGCACACCCGCATGGGCAAAGTCTCCGCAGATGAAGTGGCATGCCGCCAATGCGGGGGCTCCCGAAACATGGCAAGAGATAGCTGCCAGCAGTGATGCGTGCGTGCATTCTGTGGGAAGGCTGCTCGAGGGCGAGTACAAGACGCCAAAGGACGCAGCGGCGGAGCTTGTCAGAGCTTGGTCCGGTGGAAGCGCGGGCGGCTCAAATCCATTGAAGAGGAGCAAGTATGATGCTGTCAATCGCGATCTCGGTGAGTCTCACGCGTAAAGTTTACCCCTCCTTGTCCGCGACTGATGTTCGACTCGTCTACTTCATCCCTTGCAGCCGTCACCGTTGCGAACACTTTTGCCTCCACAAGGAGAAAAGGAACGAACGAGTCACCAGCGCCCTTTATCTTCATCTCGGCAGCTGATCACTTCCGTCCGATCATTCCGGAGGGGTACATTAGGTCGAAACGAGAAGCAGAGGCTGCGATTGCCCAGCTGGCTGGCTTGCGATCGATCTTCATGAGGCCAGGTGAGAACGCTGAGCATCGCCACCTTCGCGGCCAGTCGAGATTGATCCGCTATCTTCTTCATCTCGCAGGGCTGATGTATCATCCAGCAAATCGACCGCTGTCCACCCTTCCTGCAGCACTGCTAGACTTGTCGGCAGCAGTGCACGGCAAAGCGCACACACTCGGCACGTGGGTGCCCACCCCATCTCGAATCCTCTCTTTCCTCTCCTCTCCTCGCTCTCCATTATCCATCTTCACCCCGCCCTCCCCTCACGAAAAGCCGAGCGCAACGCCGAGCTCCCGTACCGGTCCGGACTTCACCGCTTTGGCGAGAGGTATTACCACTCCTCCGTTGCACGTGGACACGGTCGCCAAAGCTGTCGTCAGAGCTTTAGAGGAATCAGAAGTGGAAGGCCCAATCGAGCCAGCCGATATGAAACGTCTGCTCGGCTGGAGAGATGTGGGCGCCGAGCCAGAAGAAAGCTTGAGGGAAAGGCCGAGCTTCTAGCGCTTCAGATGTGGTGAGGCCATGACGGAATACATATGTACAATACAGCAGGGCCAGTGGGTCAGGCCTTCACGAACACCGGGATGAGTGGTGCTTTCGAGCCTTCAAGGACCCCTCGCCTTGACGATAGATGAACTGTGGAAAAGTCAGACATTTCAACGCTACAGTGACTACACTTGGAAGGCTCGGGTCTTGAGCTAAGAGTTGGATTCGTCAAGGGCTTTGGGGAAGGACTTTTTTGAGCTGGGAGCAGTCCTTGACTTTGAGATGTATGATTCATTCATTGATACAAAAGATTCACGATTGTTGTGAGTGATCGACCAGTCCAGCCTGTTGACCGTCATCCGAGCCTTGATCACGTGTTCATTGGTGCACGGGCACGCGCGGATTCACGTTTGTAGCCACCCACGATGACCTACGACTACAGCGCTTTCCACTCACGCCTTGACTCGAAAGAGAATCACGAATGCTTCCGCTTCGTTAGTCAACCGCGCCATACAGTCATACTTTTGGACCTTTCCATTCCAAGCATTGCCTTTTCAAGCAATCCCTCTGTCACATATGGGAAGGCGTCTTGAAGCCGAACGGCCAGCCGACCTTTTGTGAGCTACGCTGCTGCTGCACTGGCGCTCGAGACACGTTCCAGGCACCACACTAGAACGCATACAAGCAGCGGCACGACGCACTTGCCGGCCTTTGCTTGAGCTCCGCTCGCAACATGTCCAATCTGACGAGTCGGACTTCGTCTCCCTTCGCGGGCGGATCTGGGTCGGCGTCGGGCGCAGGATCAGCTCAGCTGGAAGACCAGTCTGTAGGAGTGATCAGGTCGCGCACCCTCTTGTTCCTCTCTTATCGATCCTCCGCACCTCTAGGACCAAGCGGCAGCGGATTCAGTTCTCACAGGAGCTCGCTCGGATATGGAGAAGGAGAGTCGTGGGATAGTCAGAGCGACAGCTTGCTGCGCTCCGCGATGAGCAGAGCGGCAGGACAAAGCTCTTCCATAGATGTCGAATCCCAAAGAGATGCTTCTTCTTCAGGAACCAAAGTCGGAACATTTTACGACTCGCAAGGAGCTTTGACATCCTACCCGCCAAGGAGCGGCTATGGAGCTGATGATGTGGGCTCCTCGTCACTGCCTCCCAAGTGGGTCGACACATCCGACGAAGTAGATGCTGTGCTTAACAGCGTAAGACCAAAGATAGACAGACTAGACAAGCTTCACAACAAACATTTGCTGCCAGGCTTCGCTGACAGGAGCAAGGAGGAACAAGAGATCGAGGGCGTCACTGTCGACATCACGAGGGTGAGCACAGAAGCTTCGATGGCAAGAAGAGATCGATTGTCGTCAAGTGCTTCACGTTGACCCTCCTTTGTACCTTGGCCGCGCCTGCCGCTGTCACAATCCTCCTCAGGAATTCCGGAGAGCGACGTCCCTGATCAGACAGCTTGCAAGCGCGACATCTCGTCAGATCGCATCTTCCCAAATGTCTGCTCGGGAAGCGTCCATGGCTCGCAATGTGCAGACAGCGCTAGCGACCAGGGTTCAGGACATGAGCGCAGATTTCAGAAAGCGACAAGCGGACTACATGAGGAGGATGAGAGGCATCGAGGAGAGGCACAAGAGCATCACCAAGGGCTCGGGACTAGGCGCTAAGCGCGAGAAGGAGGAAGCTTTGAGAGAAGACATCGAAATGGTGCGTCTTCCATGATTCCACATATGGGAAACATACCTCGCATTGACGCCGCTGAGCTGACTGCCACTATGTGCACAGTCGCAAGCCCACCTTTCGAAATCATCCCAGTCGGATTCTCAATCACAGCTCCTCTTGCAAGAAGAAGAGCAACCAAGGAGCACTCAAGTGCAAGTCTCGGCGGAAGCCGATATCCAAGCGAGGGATAGGGAGATAGATCAGATTGCCAAGTCCATCACGGACCTGGCGGAGCTGTTCCAGGATCTCAACGCGCTCGTAATCGATCAGGGCACCATGTTGGATAGGATAGATTACAACATTGAGAACATGGGTCGTGATATGCAGGAGAGCGTGAGGGAGCTGAATCAGGCCAAGCAGTGAGTCGAGTACGGCTGAATAGGGTCAACAAAGCCTTCACTTGAGCAGAACGTATTGGCGGGCCGTGATGACGCTGATGATGGCCCTCGTGCACCTACCAGCTATCAATCCAGAACCTCGAGAGGCCAGTGCATCCTTTTGCTCGTCTTGTTGATCATGCTCGCTCTGGCACTGCTCATCATCAAACCGTTTTGGCGATCCTTCACGTCCGCCAGCCCGGCGGGCAACCTACCCGTTCCAACGCAGACCAGCCCCTTCTCGCTCAACGAGCGCATTCGAGTGTTTCATGATGGCAGGTGACTCGGACGCAATGTCGATTTACTTATACCCCTCATGCCCGATGACTCAGATGCGCACTCGTTCTCAGACGTCTCTAGCAGCGTACTGATACAATTGATGCGAGCGCGCAATGCAAAGATGGTATAAACGCAACAGTAGACAAGCATCCTCAAGTACGGCGTGCATCAATTCTTGCCCTTGTCCTTGTCGCCCCGGCCGAAGAATCGACCTCCCAGCGTACTCCTGCGCTTTGGCGCTGAGCTGTCCGATCCCACATTCTGGCTGGGAAGGGATGGCAAAGGCGGGACGTTGTTCTGACCTGGACTCGAATCCAGATTGCCTGGCACAACGACACCGTTGGGGTGCACGTGGGTGGACGACCTCCTGCTCGATTTGGCAATCTTTTGTTGCTCCTTCTTCGACAAGGGCCTATCTGCGGGTGCAAATGCTGCTCCTTGGGGCGCAATGTTTGCGTAAGACGCAGAAGGCGAGACGCCGCCTGGATCGGTGCTGGTAGCGTGTGAATTAGGAGTCCCGTGAGCTGCACCCGCAGGGTGCAAAGTCGCGACAGGAGGCCGAGGCGGCGTTACAGCTGGCACACTGGCCGCATTGTTTTCCAGGTCCGCAGCGGCGGTCCAGCCCGACGGCGCAGCGATAGCAGCTTTCTGAGGAGAAGACGTGTGAGCTGGAGAATCCCAACTCGAATCATGCTGCCGATTGAGCGGCGCTGGGGAAGTGGAGCTACCTCTTCGACTGTCCGCTGCGGGTAGCGGATCCAGCCCTGTTCGTCCACGAAAAGCAGCGCTGCCTGTGGAGCTAGTCCCGACTGATGCGGCATCATCGTGCTGCTCCGCCTGCCCCAAGCCCATTCCTGAGCCTGACAACACGTTGTCGGCTCCTGTCCTGACGACAGAAGGAGAATTGAAGGGGTCCGTCGATGGAGAAGTCACACCAGCGCTCGAGGCCTTCTTGTCGCGAGCCCCTCGAAGACTGCTGAGCCAGCCACCGGATGAGCTTGTTGTGGCGATCGAAGCGTTTCCTGGCACGATCGATCCCGGTGTCGGCCGATCCGATTCCGCGACGCTGTTCTGCCTCCGTCCAAAGAAGCCGGTGCTACTGCCAACGCTCCCACTGGGCGTCGCAGCAGTCGGCGTTGTCATGTTTGGATGGGGCATACTAATAGGAGGCGTGTTGGCCACGAACGGTGCCGAAGAAGCGAGCACGTGGGCGCCCGAATTACTGTTCGCAAAGGCAGCGCCACTCGCGGCTGCAGCCAATACGCTCGACGGGGGTGGTGGTGGAGCCCACGCAAGCGGCGCATGGCGCGGAAGCCCAAGATCTGCGTAGTCGAGCTCTCTTGCCTGGTAGAAGAGCACGTAGGCGGAGCCCGTTCCAGGCGCATCGCCGTAGTAACGCGCAATGTCGGCCTCGTCGATGAATTTGACACTCTCATCGTCAAACACGCACCACTTTCGGCCAACCTTGATGATGGCGATGTAATGCCCATGGTGCGGGCCTGAGCCCAAATGAACGACAATAGCGAAGAGGTCGTAAAGCCGATCAGGGTCCGGCGCATCGTCGGATGTATTGAAGAGCCGTAAGGAGAAAGGAAAGACCACGCGGTATGCTAGCTTCACATACTAGTGTCGCCAAACATCGGCGTCAGCGTGATAATTTCCCGACACGCAAATTGTCTCGGACTCACCTTCTGCAGCTTTTCCTCGTATTTGAAGCGCTTGAGATGCAGAGCCAGCACATTTGGTAATCGCTTGACTTTCATGCGCTTCTCTGCTTCTTGCAAACCAGAGCAAGTGTCGCAGAAAAACTTGTTGCGCGAGCAGAGCATCTCGCTGGTGCTGAATTGCCGGAGGCAGGATGTGATCGAGCTGTTCTGCTCAATGTCGATGGACAGATCTAGGAACGACTCGTCGCGCGAGGTCACCGTCTCGCAAGTGAGACATCTCGTCTCATTGGTCAGTGTACCCTCAAACAGACGATGAACGCACGTCTGTCCGCCTTGACCTACGTGCTTGACGCTCTTCTGAGCCTCTCCGCCATCCTCCTTGTTGTCGATCTGGATCTCAGGACCAGCCAGCACTCTGCCATCTCTCATCTGTATGTGCGCCGTCTTGCTGGATCTTTTGATCGTTCCGTTGCCCCTTTCCGTCTTCGCCTCATCTCTCTGCAGCGCCACGATCTCCTCGCCAACGCGATTGAGAGTAAAGTTGAGAAATTCATGTGCGTCCTGGTGCGCCGAACTATTGAAAAGCGCATTTTCTCTCTTCAGAGCACCGAGGAAAGCCTTGAGTGCCTTGGCGTCCACTGTGCCAGCCGCCTCTCCTGCGGTGGAAGCCCCACCGCTTGAGCCCGTGTTGACGGAGCTCAGTCGGCCATTCGCCGTTGATGGTCGGCCCGAAGCTTTGCGGCCGAGTGAATTGGATCCACTGCCGGACGCCGAGCCTAGAGCGGCTAGTCCATCTTTGAGTGGGACAGGTTGGGACAAAATGAGGCTGAAGAGTTCTTTGAGCGCTACAAATAGGTTCTCGGGGTCTTTTCTTGCCGCTGTCGGATCGTCAGGTGCGACTGTGACACCATTTGCTCCTGCTGCACTGCCGTTCGGCCTCGTGGGCGACGGATTCCGCGAAGGTGGTTTAGATTTCTTCGCACCTGCTCCTCCCCGACCGCCGAAGCCCCAAGTACCGCTGTTCTGCCGCTTATGAGCCGTAGGCGCGGCGGTGGATGCTGCTGCGGTGGCCGGACGCATCGCTGCACGTCCAGAAGGGGTCCCAAGGGGTGCATCGAACGGAGGTACCTGTGAAAGCGGGGAGATCGGAGGCGTACTGGGCCCAGCCTCGGATGCGATCCGCAGTCTGAACCCATCCATCACCTGCTCCTGGGTACCATTCGCTGACGTCGCGACGAAACGCCCGTCAGGGCCCACTGTCTGACCCAGCGCCTGCTTCTCACTTTCGTCAGCGACGTACGCAAGCATCGAATCTCGAAAGGGGCGACAAAAGTAGAGGGCTTGCAGAACTGAGTTCGCATAGCTGCATGCGTCATAGTAGCGCAGGCGTCAGCGTCAAGCTATGAATTTAGCGCACAACTCGGACTTACCAAGTGTTGCCGAACTGTTACGAATAGGTAGACGGGGCCAACCGTAGGTGAGCATGACGCGTTCGAGCTTCCTAAAATCGAAATCTACGCTCGACTCACATTTGGCATTCCAAGCAAGCGGGCTTCTTCCATCGCTTCTTCCCAAGCACCACCCAGCGCAGCGTCCAGCGCTTCGCCAGACAGGTGTGCCAACTCATCGTGTCCGCTGCTGGGGCCAGCTATGTTGTTGTTGCTGCTCGATCCACCGGCTCCTATCAAGCTCTTCCACGAGAAGGACATTATAAAGAGTGCAGCGGTCTCGCAGTCCTGCCTTGTCGGTAGATGACGCGAGCAATTTCGTCGTCAGTCCGTTGGAGCAGCAGCCTGATCTCTGAGGAGGGCAAGCCCTGAAGCGCTGCAAATGCCGACCAATCGTTCACTCGAGGCGTCGCCTTGGGCTGGAAAGAATACGTAAGCATGCAATGTTGGACCGCAGTAAGGCGTAGCTTCTGGGCACCGAATGAGATTGGTGAGTACCTTGTCAGATAGTTGCGAGCATTGCCTAGATTTGGGCAGTTCCGCCTCTGATCACGGAGTTAGCGACTCTGATGTTGCGCCGAGGAGCGGCCAATTGCCAAAGGGATGGGGCGCGCAAGCCCTTGACTGAAGGAGTCAAAGGTCAAGCTAGTTGCCTGAGCGAGGGTGTAAGATTCGTGATTGCTGATTTGATTGTGTGCGGGGGTTAGGTGAGTTGTGATCGTGTATGCGCAATTATTCCTGATGGTCGTGTTGCTGCCTGCGGTGCGTGGCTTGAGGGTCTCCGGTGGACGTAGCGTGAGTCAAGGCGTGCGGTGAGCGTGGGCTGGAATCCAAGCAGGACCCGCGCGTATAGATGAACCAGCAATCTGCACCAAATTGATGCAATCCACAGCTGACGGCCGGGCGCAGCTACAGCTTGCGAGTACACCGAGGGTCAGTGACGACTTTCGGATTAGCTGGACGCTAGCGCAGCAAGCATAGGGCTGTGCTGCGTGCCTGAGTGCCCTATCGGCAATGCCCGAATGTACGTGTTGAGTTTGAGTGACGTGCCAATTCAGCTCGCATCCGAGTGGACCGCGTGGATGCAACAAAAGGCAGCAAAACGGAAGACTGTGTGCAAGGTTTGGAAGGAAGGCCGATGCTGCTGACTGTGCTGTGTGTGTGTGTAAGTGTGTGCGTGTGTGGCGCGGTGGACTGTATAGCAGCAACAGGCAAGGCCTGAAGCTGCTGCATGCATGCCCGCTTCTATGTACCACAGATTTCCGAAGCGCACGGGCGTGCGAGGGTCACGTCATGAGTCGTCCGTACAAGGCGCAGCGGGCGGGCGAGTTGGCTGCGCGCCATGCGGATGCTGCGCCGCTCAGTCCGTCAGTCGTCGCCTTGTCTCATCGGTGCTTCGCCCGTGCTCCAACACACGCGGTCATCGGCGTCTGATCCAGACAACCCTCTACACCTAGGCCGAGACGTTGAGGCGAGGCCATCAGGCGAGGCCGACGTTTAAATTTCAGACTCACAATTGTCTTGTATTGTATTCAAACTGTACACCTATAAATGAGAAGTGCGTACGTCACGGAACAATCGTGAATTACGAGTCAGATCAGTCAGGGAGATCGAGTGCTGACAGGCATTCAAGATTCGCGATTATCCTTCCTAGCTTCGCTATAGCAATCGGAGTCTTCCCGACGCGAGGGCGTGTGGACGTGCGTGCTGCTGCTTGCTGCATGCTGGACGAACAGCAGCATGCACAGCAGCAGCAGCACCCATGGCGCACAGCGCGCTCGACACGCTGTCTGTGCTCACTCATCCTTATGCCGCGCTGTGGGCTAACGCAGAGCTGCTGCATGCACATCTGCAGCAAGATCAAGGCACAAATTGAGTGCTGCATAGCTGCTGGCTGCTGGACCTTCTCAATCGGCTTATATAGCTCTGCAATCACCAATCTTGAATCAGAATGCAGCCCAGGCATGTTCCTGCGGTAATCATCGTTGGGGAACAATAAAAGCCGGTGCTCGCTGTTTGACTTTGCAGCCTGTACGCGCATCATAGCCTCATTCTTGATTGCCTTCAGGTTCAATCACAATGGTGACTCACGCGAATGCGAATGCATCGCGATGGGCGTAGGTCGACGCAGCTCAGTGGCAGAACAGATTCGATAATCGGAAGATCACGAGATGATCACGCGGCTGCTTGGCCCAGAGCTCGGGTCGGGGATTCTCAGCTTGCCTGAACCGCACCGAACCCTTCTTGGCGGATCACACATTATCGCGGCAGGCACACCGACTTGCTCTAAGTGGCGATACTGATTCTTGATTGGCGCCTCATACAATGAACACGCCTCAACAATCGTGATGACTCACGAGGCCTGCTACGTCTCTATAAAGCAAACACACAAAGGTGACGTCTCATTTATGGGTCTGTTGACATTGGTCCGGAATACGTTTGCGTTGGGGCGCAAGAGTAGCCAGCCACGCAGCCTTGTGTAGATTGCGCACCTCAAGCCCCACATTGCCGCCCCACCATCCCGAACGTTCCATTCACTCGTGACTGTCTGTCGACGCGGCGCCCAAAGTCATTGTCGCTGATGACGCTCGTGATTGCAATAATGAGCGATGCTCCACGCATTCGTGACGCTCTCTGGAATGAGCTGAACGCGCTGCGCCTTGCAGCAATCTCAAACAGGCAAGTCCATTCCCGCTTCTTGTATCTGTTGGCCCTTCCTGCAGTGAGGCACCTGCACTACGACTCGATTCTCACGCCACGCGCCGATGACACAATTCGAACGCTGTCTGGTCTCGCAGGCCAGAAGTGCTATTGGCAAGTGGCGAGGAGGCATTCGACAAGAAGCGCGAGCTCACTATTGTCCACTATCTGAACAAGAGTGAGTGCAAACTCACAAATGCAGCTCGTTCGCCCCCGGTTTCATCACTCGTGGAGAACCTAGTGCGTCACTCGAGCGGCTGACTGTCCGAGATGCTGCAAATATATACGAGGCAATGCATCGCTCATCCGCTATGAGGCCACAGCTGGCGCCTGGATGCCAGATGGAGCATCGCTATCTCGATTGGTAAAAGGGCATACATGGTAGCGTCCGACAGCTGTGGGAGGAATTTCTGTCCAGCACGCTGAGCAGATGCGGCGTGTCTGGTTCCTCGCCGTCCATAAGGCTGGTCGCGAAGACCGCTGCGGCTATATCACACCGAATTGTCTCCACGTAGCGTCGGCGAAGTGTACTGCTTGCTGTCGTGCCAACCCTCGAAAGCGCTCTGCTAGACCCTCGAAGCGTTAGCAGCATTCATACTATCTCAAATACATCTGATGTTACGCACCCGATCCATGCCTTCACTTGCTCCTTCCGTGCTCGCGCTGCGATCGCTGTTGTGACTCGAGTCGCGAGTCTCGACGGCGCGTCCAAAGCTGATGGACCTTATGCCTGTCCGGTCGAACAAAGACGGGTGCTCTTCCTCATCCGCGGCCCCCCTCCTCCCTCGCCACATCCAGTGGGTCATGAACTTAGAAAGCAAGCCATCGCTAGTAAGATGCATGCAGCTCATCATCATACTGCGAAATGCGAGGAAATCAGGCATCGTGAGCATAGCACTTTATGGAGGGCTTCTTAGTACGACGTTTTACTCGCGTATTACGACTGTGTGGCATAGTGTTGGGAAAGCAGTGCACTGAGCGACTGTCCGGACCAGCCGACAGTAGTCTGCCCCTCTTTGGCAGTGGAAGAATATATGTCGAGCCCCTGATGGATTACCAACGAGAGAAGTCAGCCGTGCTCGCTACCGTCGATGTGACTAGCTCTAGAAGTTCAAAGCTCACATGCTGGACCAGGCCGCACGACCGTGCGCCGCCGTCAACCATCGGTCTGGATCTGGATCATCTGTATGGAACCCATGATGCCAGGCATAAGCTCGATGTGCATGCCAAGAACGCTGCTGTGGCGCCTATGCCGCCACAATCTGGACGATGACCCACCTTCGCCAGATGGTCGAGTGCACTGAATGAGTGCAACGCACTCCTTCGCCCGCTTGCCACCGCTGAAATAGGCTTCCCAGTCGGAGCAAATGAGCAATTCCTGACCCATACTGATACCGACAATCGTGCTGCCACGGATCATACCAGCACGCCATTCGTGACTTCCAAAGTCCTCACTTGGATAGAGGTTGCCATGTTCGAGTTTGAGAGATGTGTGTTGGTCTGCGATGCACCACGGATGGTTTTGCACAAATTCGCGAGCGGATGGGGACGGATCAAAGCTGTCCCTTGCCGTTGCCGTATGCCTCAAAGAATACATTTTTGCGCCCTCTTGAGCCAGCTTCTTTCCGTCAAGCGTCCCCAGTAGGGCGCCAGTGTCTTTGACATGGACATCGTAGCCGTGATCTGGAAAAGCGCTCGACTGAGGTTACGAGTGAAGCACAGAGGACAAGTGACGCAAAGACTCACTCATGGCATACATTACCACCTCGTCATCCTGCTCGAGGTGACCCACAGCATTCTCAGCGATCTTGAGCGTTTTCAGTAAGCATGCCTTTTCTTCCAAGTCTGAGAAAGGAACAGAGGGAGAGTTGATCTGGCGAGGGTCAGCCGAGTGCTAGCCTCGAAAGCGTTCCGAGTCTACTCACTCCAGATCCATCCTATGCCTTCATCCGACACGACGCATAGGATACTTCGGGGCGTGTGTGAACGAGAGTGAGCTGTCTTCCTTCTAAAGTAGGGTCCGGAGATGCACTTACGGCCATCTGAGATGAAATCCTCTAACGCGCTTGTCGTGCGGCAGAATGTCAGTGCGCTGAAAGCAGATTTGTCGGTCAGATGGACATTTCGGCCCAACTTCCGTGACTAATCCAGAGTTTGGTGAGAGGCCAAAACGATGAGGAGCTGGTGTCTGAAATGCTCCTGTTGCATCCGTACCACCGGGTTGCGTGCGTCGCCATACTTGCAAGCCATCGCCTCCAGTACTAACAACAAAGGCCTTCCCACGAGCATCGTACTCCAGGTGCTGGTACGGAAAATGCGTCTCGACCGACGATAGCAGCACCCCTGTGTCCAGGTCCACGATAGTGATCGCGCCCGCCAAATGATGGCCAGGAAGAGTTATGCTCGTGGAGATGACGTAGCGCTCCTCAAAGTCAGGCCTGAAGCGCCAAAGATGGCAATTGATAGGGGAAGGTGGGCCGGGAGGATCCGTTGGTAGCAGCGTTGTTTTCACGCGAGGCTCACCGGTCAACCAATTGCGTTCCGTGGCGATGTGTACTTGGGCTGTATGGCAGCAGCATTTTTCAGTCTACAACTCGATCGCTTACAAATGAACGAGACAATTTTGAAGCTCACCATATTGCCTCCATGAGCGAACGATTGACCATGTGGAGAGATCATGAGTCTCACGCATCTTGACCAGCTGATCCAGGCTGTCGACTTCATTAATGCGCCAAGTGCTCGACTTGGCATTGCTCGTGCTTCCAGGGTCTCCCAGCTCTCGGGTAAGCTCGATGGCATGTATGCGCCAGACATAGTCCTCGTGCAGTCTTAGAACTGCAAGCAGATCTCGACTTGTAGCTTCTAGGGCACACGACGCTGACACGCCAGCTTCTGTTGCGATGCGCAACAAGAGCTCCGTCGGCAAGCGGAGTATGCCGGCAGCCATCTTGCCTCTAGCTCAGTCGGGTGGTCTGAAGGTGAGCCGCACCGAAAGTGAGGGGCTGGTGTGTGCAAGAGAAGTCATGCGAGATTGCAGGACTCGGCAGCGGATGTCAGAGAGGGTCACTTGCTCAGCAGTGATGCTGTGCTTGGTAGCGTCGAAGGACATGGTGGAGGTCAAGACAATCGTGACGTTGGCCGAACCCACGCAGCGGGCAGCAGCAGCAGTCCGTGCGCCCTGGCGCTGCAAGCGCGTTTTGCAGCCAGACCGCGAGGCGCACTCAAAGTCGATCGGAGTCACGAGTCGTATATACAGCTATAGGTGCCGATAGAGAGGCGACCCGCCGCAACCACATCAGCAGCGTTCGCCATCCAACATTCGTGATTCACGGTTTCATTTTAAAATGCATTGGCAAGTCAAAGATTCACGATTCATGATTGGCGATCGAAGCAAGGAGCGGCCAAGCTGGCAGATATCGCCGCACCCCTGCAGAAGCTCGGCCACGCGAGCTCACTCGCTCGCAGAGGCAGCATACAACGTCCCTCATGCGAATTCGCTGAGAGACGAGCTCGTCTACACCTCGGGCCGAGAAACACTCTCCAGTCCGCTGAGGAGATTGGGTAGACAGTAACACAACACCCTGCAGGCAAACAAACTGAGAGGTTGATTGCATTCATCAGGCGCCTTGGTGGACTTCACTGTGGCAGCTTGCGACATTGAATGTGGGTCAATGCGGGGTCTTGAGGCAATTGACAGAAGACTGCGTAATTCATCACGAAGTCGTGATTCAGGTCAGCAAGATGTCCAGTGATATCAAGTCACCCTCATGGAAGAGGGCCGCCACTCACATCCTAGGGATTGCATCTGAGCGAACAAATCTTTTGCTGAGCGAGATAAAAAGCGCAAGACCAGCGTGTAGGCGTAAGTGACATTGAGGTGCTGTACTTCTAGAGTCAGGAGCTGTTTTACGGGCGTGGCGGTCGAAGAAGCAACCAGATGCTTCCGTCGACTCTGTACGTAGCCTCGTCACAAGGTCGATACACCTCACCACCGGCACATCTGCACGATGTCCGCACCTCCAATCCACATGCCTCCTCGACCACTTCATTAGCTTGCTCACCTTCCAACGCGATGTCTGTGCACTCTGTTCTACCTCCAGGCAAGTGCTTGCACAAAGATGCTCTTCCCGTTCCCCTCTCCCTGTTTTCCCAATGAACCACAGTGCGATCAAGAACAGATGTTCGTGTGGGGATGGACGATTGGGGAAACGGTAGGACAAAGCGTCAGTGTATTTCGGTTGCATTCAAGAGGCCATGCACAAGGCAGCGCCTACTCACCCATCAAAGCTAAACGCTTGCGCAGGGGGACCGCCGTTAGCTGATGATCCGACAAATTCCGCCACAGACTTGTGTGCAGGTGAGTCCTGCTTCGGCAAGAGGTTGGACGACGCAGCGGACCTGGACATGTCGGCAAAGACATCCGAATTAGCCTTCAAACCTTGCACATGCCCCATGCTGTGTCTCCTCATCGCCCCTACGTCCCACTTCATTCCAGAGTTTCACATGACCTACATGATGTAATTCGTGGGGCAAGTCGTGGGCGAGTGCCCTGCGTATCGATGCTCGCTGGTGGATTTCGAGAGAGTCTATGGAGTAGCTGCTGTAGGTACAGCACCGGCTTTGAGTAGCTGATATAGGGTATGCTCGTGATCGGATGTCTCGGAGGTCGGGTGTGGATGTATGGTTGGAACGTCTTGAAGGAGCCGTAAGTGCTGCACACCTCGTCAAGCAGCCATGCAACATCGCCAGGTAAACGCCGCCGTCCTTGTGCGCGGGGCGACGCCGCTTGGCTGACGTCAGGCGCCGTCACGTGTTCGACCCCGACTCAACTTCTGGGAGCAGTCAAGAGTCAACAGTCAGAGTCAAAAGTGGATGGAGGCTCAAGGAAAGAATACCTCGACACTTACAACTTAAATTTTTGCGCCATGCGGCGCGAGGTGATTTATGTACCGGATTCAAGACAGCTTCAAATCCAACATCGCGACAGATTCGTATCCCACGCAGACGCTGCATCTGTGAGCCATTCATTCATTGTTCGAAGAGTCGGTCCCATCGTTCCAGCAAGATCGACGGGGCCCATGACCGGAAATGCGACGTTCGGACGCATTGCGAAGACGGTACAGTGTTTTCGCAGCTCTAATGGGAGAGAATAGCCAAGCGAGTGTGTAAGAGCAGACGCGCGAGAGAGTTCAGAAGGGGCGAAACGAGCCGGAGGAAGGATTTAGCGAGGGGGTAGTGGTTGGTGTGTTGGAGAGGTCCGAGATAGCAAGACAGTTGTATAGGAAAGGGTTCGATGGGATGAAGGATGCGAAGTTGATTGGGACCTTACTAGCGATGTGATCTCGAACTGCGGTGAAGCGATGAGATTGCATTGTCATGCATATGCGACGTGAAGACTCGAAACTTTGACAGCGCGTCGATTCCTTCTTCGAGTGACCAGCTTAGAGTGACTTGCAGAACGAGCAGTTGAGGTCGATCGTGTCCGCAAAGATGATCGGCAAAACGATGAGCGCAATGAAGAGAGCAAAGGTGAGAACGAAGAGTATGCCATATCTGATGACAATGCTTCTCCTCTGTTTCCTCGCTCTCAAGCTGAAGATCGGGGCGCGAATTTGCCTGCTTGGTCGCAACCAGAATAGTGCAGTGCTCTGCAGTCGATTCATGTAGGGAATGAGCATTGGGATCGACAAGCCAAAGAGGAGAATGTGGCAGCAGACCATGTCGGCGCTGTACAAGCTCATCTCAATGATCTTGACGACGAACTCTCTTGCTGGCTGGCTGAAAGCGTGACCACCCAATCCTCTACCGTACCAGCGTCCAGTCCACCAAGCTCGGTTGGTCTCGTCGTGCTTGAGCTCTCTCGAGATGACAAGAGAGATCAGGATCTTGAAGATGGCGCGCTGGATCATGACGACGGCAATGATACCAAGGACGGCATGACTTGTTCGCCACAGCTCCAGGAACCAGAAGAACTCGAAGAACGCAACGATGCCGACGACGGCGAGCAAGTGGGCAATCGACGCCATGATCGATCCAAACTTGGCGCAGCAATTGTTCAACGCTGGTCCCAAGAACATGGACACCAGGAACAGCACGAGCAGGACAGCCGCGTTCCAGACCAAGGGCCCAAGGGCGATGATGGCCAGACGAGCGATGGCACCCATGGGCGGGTCACCACGCTCGTGGAAGCTCTTGACGAAGGCGTACGCAACGGTGAAGACAATGGCTTGGATGATCGGACCAACGATCTCACCGAACAGAATGGTGCGCCAGCTGGCACGTGGGACATCGCCTGCGAGCTTCTCGCTTGGGTGGCCCAGACGCTTCTTCTTGTATCCCGTGACTTTTGTACGACTGAGACGGCAGTACCCAATCCAAGAGTTGGCGTGCGAGCGAGAGTTTCCGCGCGACATCCAGCGCAGGAATTCGCGGTAGTCGATGACGAAGTCCGGGATGGAGAACTGGTGTGGGTTGAATAGGAAAGGTGCAATGCACAGTGCCAGGATCGAGATCCAGAAGTAGATCAGGTGTGGCATCCACAGCGTAAGCGTCACGTAGAGCAACAGCAACAGCAATCGCATCCCCGAGTAGATCGACGGACCAGCAAATCGCGAGTAGAGCAAAGCGAAGGACTGGCGCGTGGTGGCGAAACCACGACCGGTGGCAATGTAGCGTGCACCACCGAACGTCAAGTTGGAAATGATCGAATGGCTGTAAATTTGAGTGGAGAACACCTCGAAGACTGGACTCAAGCTCAAGAAGTGCTTCGCCAAACGAATGACGGCCGATACGGCACCGCGCTCTGTCAACTCTTGCAAGAAGAGCGGCAAGAAGGCAATCATGAAGACCAAGAAAATCGAAATGATCGTGCGGCGGATCCACTGGAATACGGGCGACAAGTAGTAGCATCCTCCAGTGCCAACTTGGTATTCGCTGTTGGTCGATTCGCAAACGCTGAGCTGAGAGTTGAGCGTGCCGATGAACACCATGGCCCACAAGAACAGGTGTACCGACATGATGACGAGAATGTTGTTGATGTGGAAGCCGGGATGACCGTAGTAGAAAGTCAAGAACCTGTCGACTGGGAGTTGCGTACCGAGATAGTAGTATTCGCGCGAAAGCATTTGCTCTCCCATACCGTTGCCGAGCTTAGTGGTAAAGTTAAGAATGGTGCCGAATCCCAGGTCACGTCCTTTGCCGCATTGGTAGTACTCGCAGTGCTTGATGCGACCACCACGGCCAAAGGCTGTCATACCAGCGTAAATATCTTCGTTGAGGTGCAGACCCTTTTGAGCCTTCGAGACACCACCGCGCGTGGTCATGAAGAGCGCGTTGAGGAAGTCTGGATGTCCATAATGCAGCTTACCGCCGATTTGCGCAAGACCACGACCAGCCATCGTACCGAAAGTCTGTTCCTTTCCGGCAGCAACGTCACCAAGAATACCAATGTTCTCCGAGAAGATGTACTCGCGAGCACCGAGAATGGCCACCGGTGCTTGAGAGAATTCAGCGTGGCCAGGACCGTACGGGTTCTGATTAGAGACGTTGAACTGCTCGAACTCTCCGAGGACAGAGCGGATCTTGAGACACTCTTCGAGGTAGTTGTCCTGATTAGCGTCGATAAGCTGCACGTATTCACCACGGTGGAAGATGATGGCATGGTTCTGGTTGTCCGATTTACCGTCTCCGAGGATTGGATTGCCGGGTAGCTCAATGCGGAATTTGGGTCTGCGTTTGCCGTTTGGCAGGATCTCGGAATGACCATCCACCAGCGCCGAGAACCAGCGAGACTCTCCTCCCTCCTTGCGGGGAGCTTCCTCGTCGAGGTAGGCGATTTGCAAGTCGGGGTAGGCACGGAGCAAGAACTCGGTGTTCTCGTGCTCTTCCTTGTTGAACTTCGAGTATCGCTGCATGGAAATGCAAAACTTGAACTTCCTTCGGCTCATGCGCTCGAGCTCGCGCTCGAGCTTTTCGGTGTTGCCACCAAAGAGCTGGACGACCTCGGGGTTTTCGACACGGTACAGGAGCTTGATGGCCTTGCTGTAGTTCATGAAACCAGATACCGTGCGGTACAGCGTCTGAGCTCGGAGGGACGACCAGATACGGGTCCGGAGGGTGTATTCGGGCGCAGCAGACTTGAAACCAATGCAGTAGAAGGGCAGGTCGTCCGTCTTCGCACTACCTTTGGTGCCACTCTTTTCGTCGCTTCCATTATCGCCACCAAAAGGAGATGAGCCAGCCACAGCTCCGGTCTCCTCGGCCAAAATCTTGGTGTCCTTGACGAAGTTGTCCCATTCGACGGGATGCAGCTGCTTCAAGTATTCGAGCAGCGTGACACGGGTGTTTTGGTCTTCCTCGCGGATAATTTCACGAAGCGAGAGCAAAATCTTCTCCGAGTAGTGGGGAGTCAGCACGGTGAAGGTCGGCATGGCGTCAATGGGCAATGGCTCCGGTAGCGTGGTCGTGAGAGACTGAGCAAAGAAGCTGATGCGACGTTCGGCCTCAGAGCCCTTGGGGAAGAACTCGGGTTTGATGCCCTTGTCAGTCTGGCTGATGAAGAAGGTGGGCGCTCGCAATGTGCGCTTGCCCTCGTCTCCCGACGGAACCTGGTGGTACAAAAGCTTTTGGACGTGGTCGATCGACAACAAGTGCTCGCGGTACATCGAGATGATGATAGCGTTCCAGACCTGGGAGACAAGCACCTTGGGCTTGTATTTGATTTCCATGTCAGCTGTCGCGAGCAGCTTGGCGTAGATGCGCTTAGGGAGCCTCTGGAAGATGTCACTCCATGGTGTCCAGATGGACAGACCCATCGAGAAAGCCCAGCCGATGCTAAAGACAGTGTTCCAGATGACGTACCACTGCGGGATTTGAAAAGACCTGGTTTAGAGGGCGACACGCTAAAAAATGACGCTCAGAGCGGCAACTCACCAGAAATGTGTCCAAGAAGAAGAGCGCGAGGTCCATGATGACCATGGCGGTTAAAGCAAAGGCAGGTTGATTGGAGCAGAGAGATGTGCCGAAGTACTTGTCGTTGCATCCCTGTACCTTCATGGTGATCATGATCGCCAGAGGGTCACGGAACGACAGCGTCAAGAAGAAGTAGCTTTCCGTAAGCTTGCAACCAAAGACCAGTGCCCAAAGCAGGATGCTGAAGAAACGGTGATTGCCGCGGAGTGGAGGGTAGCTTGCAGTGAAGGTTTGGTTGGCCAGATACTTTCGAGCCTTGCCTGCCACTCGATCGCCAAACATTCTTCCGGATGGGACGAGAGAGAAGAGCGCAGTGATGCAGCCAGAAACACCAATGTGAACGTACGAAACGATGGTCGGAATTCGTCCGTCCTTGTCGTCCGGTCCAACAATGCCGTGAATGTAGACAGCAGGAGCAATCGTAACGACGAGACAAACCAGCAAGAAGGCCATGCGGCGAGCCAAGTGACTCGTGTTGTTCCAAGTGGTCGGGATGTATGAGAACTCGGCCAGAGTTGCGCAGATCATGAGGAACGTAGACATGGCACCACCAAGCGCAGAAGCAGAGAGCAGCTGTGCCGTAGTAGCTTCACGATCAAACGGCTCGTAAATCTTGGGAGCATTGAAAGCAGTGTAGTACCAAAAGACGGAAATGTGGAGGATCCAAATACGATTGAAGTTGACCAGCAAATGGAAGAAGCTGCGGAATGCCGACGACTCGTATTCAGCTTCGCTGCAACACCAAAGCGGCAACCGCTAGTGGTGTCAAACTCACCTGCGCTTCTCCTTGTAGGTCTTGAAAAAGACACGAGGCCAGTCGATCTTGTCGAACTTCATGAAACGTTGATTCGCAGGCACGTCAACCAATCTGGTCTTGTCGTTCAAGACGATCCGGCCGATGCCTTCGGGGTACCAGAACAGCTGATTCACATCGTCGTAGCCAATGATTTTGTCGTGGTCTCTTTCCTTCTTCACGAACTTGCCATCCACAACCTCGAAGACCTGATCGCGCAGGAAACGGTAGAGTGGCTTGACAACCGCCCTTAGATAGAGACCTTCGGGCACCGGCTCCATGCGGTTCTGGCATTCTGACGAACGGTAATAGTCGTCTGCGCACTTGAAGATGAAGCATAGACACTCGGGAACGAAACGAACTTGGCCGCCCTCGCCCCAGCAAAGCAGGTAGAGTGCAATTTGGCGCAAGCGATCGTACTCGCTCATCCTGTTCATCGCGTCTCGCCACCGCGTCTCGGCGCTCTGCAAAGACTTGCCCTGAGGACCTGCTGCAGCTGCCTTTGCACCTTTAGCATTGCGTCCGCCTCGAGCCATGCTCGCAGCACGAGCAAGGCCAGGGTTTTGTACCTTGCCAATGGCGTCGTCGAGATCCAATTGAGCGGCAAAGTACCACTTGCGGTAATTGGCGTGTTCTCCGCCGATGTAGTCTGCGTGCAGGGTCAGCAGGGCCTGCGCTGGGCTCATGCGTGAAGAGCGTGAGTCGAGCATGATCATGAGGTGGTCGTACATGTTGCGCATCGAGTCGCGCTGGAAACCGAACTTGTTTGCCAAGTCAATGAAAATGTCCTCGATCTCTTCTTTGGAAAGAGGAATGTTGTGCTCGACTGTCCAAGCAGGGTATGGCTCTCTCTGCGTGTAGCCGCCTGGATTTGCACTGCCGGGATAGTCTGTGTAAGGGCTCGAGATACCGGAGGCCGCGTAGTTGCCGCCGTATCCCCCTGCTGAGCCATTACCGCCCCGAGAGAACGACTCCTGACTGTATGCATTGCCTTGGCCGCCTTCGTAGGAGTCGTTGGCATCGTATCCTTGGTTGGGCAGGAGGTCGGAAACACTGCCTTCGGATTGGAACGTATCCCTCCTCTCGGCTGGTCCGAAACCGCTGGCTTCGCTGCCTACATCGTCGCGATAAGCTGCAGCGCCAGCAAAGGGATTCGCAGGCGGTGCACCTCCGCCATAGCCACCTTGATGCGCCATCTTGAGATGCGGGAGCGGCCGCTATTGAGATCTAGCTCCTAAACAAGCAGATCCGCGGTTTACAAAGCACTGCCTGTTGCAGAAGCACAATTGGGAAGCGACGATCACCAGGCACGCGCTAGATTTCGCCTGAAATGAAGGATCGACTGGTGTGAGCGGATCGATGAAAAGGTGCGAAGAGCAGGAAGCTATCGGGCTGAGCGGGTGGGGTTGGGTAGGAAGAAGGTGTCGAGGTGTGACCAAATCAAGCGCAGAGCGTGTCGCACAGGTAACAGCCTCGCCGGTGGCAATCTGACCGGTTCGCGGTTGCAGACGCCTCGAAATTGGCAGCTGTCAAAGAAAAGTGCCCTTTGCAAGCACTTGCGCTTACTGGTCGAGTCGATGAGGGAAGGGTTAGATGGGTGGAAGGTGTGCAGAGGTATGTCAACTCTAGACGAGGACTCAAACTGTAGTCGAGGGTGCGGACCAGGTAGGGGTCTCGAGCAAAGACAGCGTCTAGCCAGCAGAAGCTCTGCCGAGATTTCGACTGGCACGCCTCAGGGGAATCTCGCCCGCCATGTTGCGAGGGTTGAATAGGTGGCTGTGGTGCACGAGTGCCCGACGACTGAGATGACGCCCGCGCGCCCGGTCGTCTGAACGCCGCCGAACGCGCCATTCCATGCCATGCAAGCACGCGTGCGCGGTGCAGGACCTTTCGCAGCCAAGCCGCGGAGGTGGGCATGAGAACAGCTATATACATGCTGCAGCATGCAGCAGCTGTATAGCTCTAATGACTGTAGGATACGATATCACATCATGCCGCTGATGCTCGCGCGCGGCCGGAGACACTGTCGCTGTGACGATGTATAGGGCATGCGGCAATCCAGCACTTAGCAGGATCGCGACAGCATGCGGACGTGCGTAGGGTCGCCTACTGCATACCGCGCACTTCGCTACGATCCGAGGTCGGCCAATCCCCATGTGCTAGCTGCTGGCGATTGGTCAGTCTATGGATAAGCCGCATACTTGCTGCCGTCTGCTGCCAACGGCCGCGAGCTCGCGCTTTGGCTGCATGGTGCATACATCACTGCCACGCTCGCTCGCGCTGAGGCAAGTGTGAGGCGAATTGCCGCAGCGTCATTTGTGATTCGGGCCGCGCACCAAACCGCTCTATGAGGAGCATGCTGCGAGCCAGGGATGACAGCGTTTGCATGCTGATGAATCTCGCGAAAAGGTGAGCTAGGCCGAAGGCAAGACGAGCTCACGCAGCGCTCCGCAACGCAGGCGCATAGCAACCTCCCACTCGTCACGACTCGCTGTGAAGGTGCTCAAGGCAGCGGTAAGCATAGCTACAGCTAAGAGAGCTCCTTGCGGAAGAGGCCCTCGGCTGCTTTACGATCCGGCACAAGCTCGCATCTTAAGATCGTGAATCAAAATGCGGAAGAGGCCCTCGGCTGCTTTACGATCCGGCACAAGCTCGCATCTTAAGATCGTGAATCAAAATGCTGTGCTGGCATCAGGCCATTGTAGGTTCAGTTCAATCAAAATCTGAATCGTGTATGCGGCCAAGATGCGTTAGCGCTCACACATGTAGAGTGAGCTCGCTCCCAAGTCAACGGTTGCTACCATGCAAAGACAAAGGTCGGAATCTGATTTGACCTCACGAGGGCGGCAGCCCTCACGCCAGCACTTGATCGCGAATCTTATCCTGCCGCAAAATTCTTGATTGAAACTGAACTCATCAGACTCTTGATGACTGCAGCAGTCGCTCCGGAGATGCTAAGTTTGCAGTTTGGGCGCATCTCCAGCGCGTTTTGAAACACCGAGCTGCCCCTAATTGTGCAGCACTCTCCCATCACGTACATATATACTGCTCAACCTAAGTCACGCTTCCTATACTTGTTGCTGGGGCTCGGTCCTTGTGTCCAGCTGCTCAGGCGGCGAACCACACTGGGCCCTTGACCACTTTAAATTGTATCCAACACAAGATAGCCGACACGTGCACCTGATGACGATACGAGTTCGGCACGTCTCATCGCATCCTCGGCCTTGAGCAGGCCCGAGCTCGCAAATCGACTTGGTGAGATCGACGCGTTTAGACGCTACATTCTGAGCACTCCAGCGTGTAGTCGTGACTCGTGACAGCCATTGCTCGAGGCACGCTGTCAGCATCGCCCGCCATGAGCATTCATGATAGTGAAACAACATCATCACAAGGACACAGTGTGCCGATCGATCCTATTCAGATTCCTCATCAAATCCGTGTGCTCAAAGCTCGCCCTTGGCACTTGCAGCTGCTGCATGGACCTCGACATGTTGGCTGATCCAACGGATTGACGCGTGGCTTGACCCGCGCCTGCAACACATGACGACGGACGACCAGAGTAGTGTGCAGAGTAAATGAGTCGTAAATACAGTCAAAGTCACTCATCAGACTGTGCGAGTTGCGACTCACATGCCAGACGTGGCCCCCCTTAGTACAGATACTCATCAATTGTGTGAGCATATATAGCACCTCCGAACGACAAACGCACGACGATCAAGCCATCAAATTTGGATTTCTGGCTTGATTGGGAGAGAGCGTCTGTGCATGGCTTGACTGACGAAAGCCAACTTTGCTTTGGCCCCATTGGGTCTGTTGACCTGTCAGCGGCACCCACACTCACTCCCTTGGCTCTACGTCTTCGGACAGCTTCGTCGGGCTTCGAGAATCTTTGGGCCGCGCGGACTGAGAGGTATGAGGTGTTGCGCCGCTTGATACGAAGCTCATCCATCCAGCTCAGAACGTGGACACAGCAGCTCGTGTGATGTTTGTGTGCAGTCTGGCCGGCTGTCAAATTAAGCGACAGTCACGAGTCCCGAGTGCGCGACTCCAGCTGAGCACAGGCGGAGGGAAGCGGCTCTTGGCGCATACCTACACACCCGTACACGCATGCGCGTTACCATTTGTGACTCGTGACTGTGCATATGCCGGGGCACAAACCCCTGCCGAAGTCCGACCCCTCCGTTGGTCTAGCTGCTCTAACGGCGAGTCCCCATATTTGCTTACCCCTTGCCAAGAACGCTTGGCTTTGCGAGAACGACTGAGGACAGAGTTGCGAGTCTAGCAAAATTCTGCTTCTGCAACGACCAGATGGCAACTCACGTGAACACCATCTCTCAACACACTTTGAGCCTTGAGTCAAAGTTCTCGAACGCTAGAGCTGATCGTATGGGTAAAATACTTCTGGCTAAGCAAAGAGTTGTAACAATCGATACAGGCCCAAGATCGCTGCCTGTACTTCGATTGCGCCTTTACGAGAATCATGAATACATTCAATTCTCAGGGCAATACACGACCCAATCACCACCATGCGTTCGCATCCAATCAAGAATCCCACCTTGTGGGGGTGGGTATCATTGTATGCATCCATCGGGCGGGTTCAGCTCGCTCAGCCGCGACTTTTGAAGCGGATCCATTCACCCGTGCGCTCGTAAGTCGACACGCTCTGATCAAACTCGATGGATATGCCAAGCCGAACTTGATTCACTCCCGCTGTTGCATGTCTAAGACCTCTTCTGCGCTCTCCCCGGCAGTCACGAGTAGCGTCCAGCTTCACGGATGGTCGAGATGGCAGACTTACCCAGGTGCGTGAGGTCAGAGAGTCTTGGCCGACACGCGCATGTCATCTCAGCATCGGTTTGTCTTGGCAGGTCCCGCGTTCATGCAGCTTCTGCCGCTTCGTTCCGGGGCGAAATCACAATGGTGAATCAAGGACTGCTGCTGATCTCGCGATTGATGAGCCTGTTGATGATGATCAGGTATACCCATGAAGGCTGCTGTCAAATGAAGGTAGTGGCACTCAAAGCCTCATCAATTGTGTGTCTGTCACCGCTCATCCAAGGTGGCCAAGCAGGTCGCAGTCTTGGGTCTGCCGTGCGGGTGTTTAGTTTATGAGAGACTCGCCAGCTTGCCTTGTGTCGGCGCTCAAGCATGTCGCTCAGCTTGTCTCGACGGATCAGGGGCAGGGCCGCAGGACAGATCCCGCCCCGCTTAGTCTGCATTGTTCCCGTAGCGTACAGAAGATCGCTCTTGCATGAATGGCCTGCACTCAAAATTAAGCGGAACTCCGCCTCACCGCCTTAGGTCAAAAGTGCCAAACTCGCTTCCGGCATGCCGTTCCACATTCTCGATGCTTGATCCAGATTCGCTGCTCATCCAAGGCTCCCGCTCTCACGCGGATCACCTGCCATCGCTTGGCAGTGCCGAGGCAGCCACCTCTATGGCTCTGCGCAGACACTCATCAGAATCTTCGTCCTCGCCGAACCTCACTGGTTTTTTACATACCATCACCTCTTCCACCCCCAACGCCTTTCTGCTCTGCTCGCAACGTGATCGCCGCCACGCCTGCTGGTTGCATTACGGCGCTGTCGACTCTGAAGCTCTTTCGCTGCTAACACTGGTCTTCGGCTGTCCAGCAAAGTGATCGGATCCGACATCCGTTGGCCATTCTCGATCCAATCCCTTCGACATGCGCTTCACTTCGTTCACCGCGCTGGCTGCAATTGCCGCGTTGTGCATTTTGCCTCACCTAGCGGCGGCGCTGGACCAAATTTCTAGGTGAGTCTGTGGCCATGCGATTCAAGTGTCAGGTCGCAGTTCAATGATGCTAAAGTTTCCAGCGCCACGCCTCGCAAGACGTGGCAAGTACCTCGTCAATCCCGCAGGCCAGCGATTCTCGATCAAAGGCATTGCCTACCAGGAATCGGTGGCGACCGAAGTCGCTGAGGGCACGACTTACCCCGAGCCTACAAGCTTCGTCGACCCTCTCGCACTATCAGATGCCTGTCGAAGGGATGTTCCGAATCTCCGCAATCTCGGTGTCAACGTCGCAAGAGTGTTCAGCGTTAATGCCTCGCTCAATCACGACGACTGTATGCGCGAATTCAGTCAAGCAAACATCTACGTCATCCTGGACATGGCTCTGCCCGGAAACGCATCCATCAATCGAGCTGATCCAGTGAGTTCAGCCGGCAATTGAGATTGAGTCACGAAGGGCACGGCAGGCGGATGGAGGCAAGCTAAACATGCCATCTTGCCTTCAGGTATGGGACACTTCGTTGCTCCAGCAATTCACATCTGTGGTAGACGCCTTCGCCAAGTACGACAATGTTCTCGCCTACAACGTGGCAAATGAAGTGGTGACAGCCAACAACAACACGGATGCGCTGCCATTCGTACGAGCCGCTGTTCGAGACGTCAAAGCTTACTTGCGCGGTCGCGACCTCAATACCCTCGTGACATACACTTCGGCAGACGGACCCGATGGCGCGCAGGGTCGTCGTCTCCTGCAAGCTCGCTACCTGACCTGTGGCGATGAGGCAGATACGATCGATTTGTACGGCCTCAACAGCTATGCTTGGTGCGGCGAAAGCAATTATCAAGCTTCGGGCTACGCCACGCTGGCCGAGGACTTCGGGTCTCTCCCAGTGCCCGCATACCTGTCGGAGTTTGGCTGCGCGCAGGGAGGTTCAGCAAATAGGCCTTGGACTGAGGTCGCCGCCATCTACTCGCCGCCTTTCAGTGACGTCTTCTCTGGAGCTGTGAGTGGGTCGCAATTGCAGGCAGACCCTCGGCTTTGTGGGGAGTCATGGTCAAGGAAAGCGCACGCTAACGAACTTGATTCCGCACCACAGGCCGCATTCCAATACTTCCCGCTCAATGCCAGTGCCGGCGGACTTGACTACGGTCTGACGGACATCAACAATGGACAGGTCACCCTTCGAGCCGACTGGGACAGGCTTCGCGCGCAATTTGCCAATGCGACCACGCCAGGCATCCCCTCACCCTTGCCAGCGACCTCCGCTGACTGTCCTGCTCAGTCCGATGCGCTACTTGCCAGCTCGCAACTCCCTCCCACGCCCAATGCTGCACTGTGTGCATGCATGCAAGCTAATGTCTGGGAGTGCCAACCTCGGCCTGCGACGGTCAATGATCTGCCGCTTCTGGGCGAGACTGTCGGAGCTGCGTGCTCCCTGCTCGATCAAAACGATGCGCCAGTCTCTTGCTCGGCCGCTCTGGATGGTAACGGCGCGACAGGCACCTATGGCAATTGGAGCCAATGCAATGCCCAGCAGCGCTTGAGCTGGGCAATGTCCGAGTACTACGGTCTGTTCCGCAACAGCTCCGACTCGTGCAGCTTCTCCAACAATGCGGCTCTGGTGCCGAGCATCTCTGCTTCTGCTGTACAAGACGGATCCGCCCAGGCTCAGTGCATCTCATCCAACGGAGGAGCCGTTGCGCGCGTTTTTGATCCTCCTCCCACTGGATCCAGCAGTGGAGGAGGTGGCAGCGGCGGTGGATCCGGCGGCTCTAGTAGCGGATCAGGAAACGACAACTCTGGTGCGGTCATGCATCTGCACCCAGTCTATATCCTTGCCTCGGCCTGTGTGGCTCTTGCGCTCGCCTCTGCCATCTAGTCCGAGTTGGCTGAGTTGCATTCCGTTCGAGAATACGTCTCGATGTAGGACTTTGGAAGCTTTCGTCCTTGTACCATTTTATCAGACAATTGCATCCACGATTTCGTGTGCCGTAGATTCGCTTCAGCGTCTCGCCTTGCCCAACTTCACTCTGCTCTCGTTTCTCAGGGACAAAGAAGGAAAAGGTCGACTTGGAAGCGTGTCACCGATTGAGGATTTGCGCCTGAAATGTAAGGTAGACCACGGGCTAGCTGGGACCTGGTCGATCCGCCATAGCCGCGGTAGCCCCCATCGTCTCCTAAGGATGACGCACGAGTCCCGGTGTGTCTGGCGCAAGGAACTCGCCACTCAGAGTACGCGTTAACGGATCGTCCTGGCATGCTCGCGTTTGCGCGTGCGCGTGGCAGTCCCCGTACTCGATGTGATTTCACGATCCACGATTGCGACAGGGGCAATAGGGAGGGGCAAATTGTGAATGTCGATGTCCGCTTTTGATCGAGCAGCATGAAATTTCGTGTCTTGTGGCGAGGAGGAGGTCGCGCGTCCCATGCATCGCTTTTCCCCACAATCTGGGATGCACCTCGCGCATCCTGCCCCTTGCAGCAATTTGGCGATCCGGAGGCAGCGCATGGGAAGGCAGGACCGGAGCGCTAAAGTTTCATCAGAAGGCAAGTCCGAGCGCAAAGGAGAAGCGGCGAATGCCTTTGCTTAATGATCTCATCAAGGTGCAAGAGGAAGCATGGCGATCATGATTCAAATTCTGCGTGGGCAAGGCGGGCTCCGCGCAGAGCGGAAGCATTCACGGTTGGGTAGGTGCAGTGTGCTGTCCCTTGGCTTTACTACAGCGTCGTCGCGGTCAGCGAACGCACGGAGTTCGTTGGCTTGCTACAGTCATGAGTGCCAGTAAATCGCGCTCTGTAACATGAATCGAGGGGCTCAGCTGGGCCAGGAGTCGAGTCAAAGTGAAGACGAGATATGTAGATAGTCGTGAATAGGTGGCCCGAGTCCCTCGGAGCCTCAGCGCTCCGCATCTGACTTCTGCTGGCCATGCAGGTGACCGATATCTCTTGTGACCCCTGACTGCCACTGCCGCTATAGACAGCTATAGCTCCCTCCCGAGGGGCTCGTGCGCTCATTATAAAGACTGATGAACAACTTTCTGCTGGCTTAGTAGCGCATATGATTCAGAATCGGACTGATGAATGCACATCCCTGACTCAGGGCTGGGACCCAAGAGCAGACGCATGCAATCGCTGGATGCTTTCAACAAGCCCGGCCGACCCTACATTCTCGACTCTCTTTCGAGCCGTTTGGCTCTGCAACGGTCAAGCAGCAAGGAAACGCAAGCGAAGCGATCGTCCCACAAGTGCTACAATCAGAAGTATGTGCTGCTTCTCGGGCCTCGCCGAGCTGCGCCTTGGTCCAACCCTCATCAGTCTCCCTGACCAGCGCGATAGCGCTACCACTAACGTGGCGTCAGATGCCGTGCTCAAGCCGAGCGAGCGAAGCCTTCGCTTAGAGTGAATCATGTAGTCGAAAGGTGTGTGCATTCAGATTCGTGATTTCAAGATTTGGTCTGTCTCGACCCGCTAGGCTCGCAGTCGTCCCGTCCCGTCCCGTCGAAGGGGAGGTACCTGAGGTGTAGCGCCCGCGCCACATCACCCCGTTGATAGCCCGGTCAGGCTGACCTCCGCGCATGGAGCATCGCAACAATAAAAGACGCACGCACGATTTGCCTCCGTCACAGCTCCTGATAAACCTCTCGGCTCGTGTCCTGGTCTGAACTCGTTCGAGACCCCAAGAGTCCAAATTGACCATGAATATCGCGGTTTGCACGCCGGCTTGTACGGCAGACGACATCGGTGGTGAGTCGCGATCGAGTCGGAACTGGGCCTGGGGCGGTGCCTAACTCACGGTTGTGAGTGAATCATCAGGTGCGATTGACTTGGCGTGATGAGCTCTTGAAAAGAGGGTACATTCACGATTCAAATCACCAGCAAGTTCGAATCTTGAATGAGGTGACTGCGTCATGATGATAGCAGTGGGGCACCGCTCGCTCACGCCCGTTGAGCAGCAGCAGCAGCAGCGGTGGGCCGACGAAGGGACCCCACTTTTGCCTTCCCAGGGTGTGACCCGCCGCACGCGAGCCATCAATCGATTGCACCTTTTTAGCGCAAGCCACATGAAATGGACAAGTGAATTCCATCAGCTCCTCGCTTTTACTCTGCTGCCGCGTTTCGCCGGACCCCTTCCTTTTGGCCGGGCAGCCGCAAGCAGCAGCAGCAACAACAGCTCCTTTTTGGTCTTTTGCGCTACTGCACCTGTGCTGCACACGCTGGGAAAGAAAGGCGCGCAGGAGCTGCAGTGCATCGTGCGCGTTCCTCTCGGCATGCGACGCTGGCAGCATCTGTTTGGGCGCATGAGCAGTCACGAAGTCAAGATTCGCGCCAACAGTGGATGTCGTGGCACTCACTGCTGTACGTGCATGCTGCCGCAAAAGGAGGAGAACCATGCACCATGCACATACCGCCTGGCGCGAGGCAACTTTGACTCACTGCTTTGACTGCTCCTTCTGCGTGAAGTGCGCTCATCAGGATTTAGCCCGGCCGTGCATGCCGTGAGGCACCATGCAGCAGCAAGCTAGGTGAGCGCGATTGTGCGTCTCGGTTCTCTGATTAGAGACGTCGACGGCTGTGCACAGCCAGATACAGAGCAAGACGGATTGATTGTCGAGGTGTACAACCCTCGACTCCCGTCCCAACGGGACGGGACAGGTGCCGTACCCAACCTCAGCTGGTATAGTACAGTCACGAGTCGATGTATAGCGAACGTCCACGTCCTTCTCACAGGCCTTTTGGATTCCCTTGTAGACTAGAGTAGTCAAGAGAGCTCCTTGGTCCGTGTTGGTCACTTTATATCGATCGCGAGCAGAATCTGTCCACATCTTCCATCAGTCCACAAATTATCATCAGGCCTCATCTTCACGACGTTGCGCAGACAATCACGATCGACCCCTTCAATTATCAGCCTGCGCAAGTCCTCTTCTGTATTCTATAACGTCCATCGCACAGACTAGTCTTGGTCCGCTTCCTATGCGTACCGCCTCGCCTAGCTCACAGCAGGAGGCAATAAAGGGCGCCTCATCTCATTCGTGAATCTGTTCAGCTTCCGAAACAAACGCGCGACCGCGGCGAGTCAGGACTTTGCGAAAACACGCGCGAATTATATAGCACCACACCTTGCCACTAGGCAGCAGATATACTGGGTCACGCACCGCGAGAGTCACAATTTTGTGGTGCATGCCTGCCAGGTTGGCCGAAGACCGCCAAAAACAGCTATATACGCAGCCGACGCCAGCAGCACCCGCACTCAGTCACTCGTCGGGACATTGCGCCATCGGATCATCAGCGCTCACCTGCGCTGCGTTGCTGTCAGGGTCAGTTTCGCTGGGAAGGAATCTCGTCGATCGCTTTGAGCTGTGCGAGAGCACGTACTCAGCAGCGACTGCTCAAGTAGCAGCTCGGTCAGGGTAGCAGCGCTAGCTAGCTACATCTCCCCCTCCATTGGGGTGGGCATCCCCTGGGTGTGTTTAAGGAGTTAGTCGAGGAGGTCAGTGCGTGTATCTGCACGCTGAGGCCTGCATCGCCCGACTGCGAAAACCCCGCACCCGCGACTGCTCATTTCACTTGACCTGCTGCTTAATTGGTCTTGCTAGGCCGCAGCTAGAGCCTGCGCATCGTCAGTGTGTCACCATCGCCGGCCGGTAAACTCGTCTCATATAGTCCTTTCAAGGTTGGCCTACCATATCGCTCGCTCGCGACGAGGGCAAGGGTGAGATCAAACACCCCCGCGGGCGCCCAACTTACCTTGCGCCCAACTCTTCGCCTGGCACCTGGCGCCTCATCAGCACATGGCAGTCTTCTGGTTCGTATGCTGCGCTCCAGACAAGCAACCTTCATCATCGTTGTTTCAACCATCTTGACACCAATCGCGCCCAGGGTGTCCTCCGATTGCCTCAAGTGCCGCTTTTAATCGTCACCACCTCTTCAACGGCTTACAACGCTGCTCAACCATCTCAACCTCGAGATCCTTGTGCTCCTTTCACACGTCGCTCAACACCATGGCAGCAGTATCACTACACCCTGTAGCTTCTCGTGGCGGAGAGCAGTCAGCAACCGTCGTCTCGCTTCAACTGGGTGTCCCTAGCGCCGGCGATGAGAATCGACCGTCAGACCACTCAATCGCCGATGATGCTCAGCCTTCGTCTACATCCGCTGAGCCTCTCGCCCTTCCGACCGTCGATGAAGCGCACGAATGGGGCCTTCAGCATCGGGATCTCAGTCTATATCCAGTGCTAGATGAGCTCTGTCTCGAACAAGAGCGCAACGAGGGCTCATCAATCTCGGGGCCCTCTGCTCGTCCGGGCCACACTAGTCGTGAATGCGCTGATCGCACCTCCATTCGCGCATTGAGCGCTTCGCAGCTCGCATCCCTCCACGATGCTTACGTCCACCTCGATGTGCCCCATCACGTCGTCTTTCCCTTCCTGCACGGTGTTGACGGCAACAACGCTGCGCAAAACGCATTCTTTGGCGCACCTCCCAGTGGTCAGCCGACTCCAAACTACCGTGGGTTGACTATCATTCGAGCGGACATGCCTACACCGGAACAGGCCAAAGCGATGCAGCGCAGGCGCGCGTCTTCTTCTGCTTCTGGATTGGCACTGCGTCGCGCTTCCGGCCGTCCTCGCTCTGGCTCAATGGGCGTGCTGACGATGAGTGTCGGACACGAGAGTCCCGACGAGACTAGTCCATGCGGTAGCGCTTCAAGTAGCAACAATAGCAGCGACGACGGTATTTCGGATCGAAACGCGCCTTCTGCGGCAAATCGCACCCAGCTCGGCCATTCTGGCTCCAGTACGTCAGTTTCGTCGTCGCTGATCTCCTCGGACATGTCTTCGCTGTTCTCAACTGCTGCAGAAAGCGACGAGGGCTCGGAAATGACAAGCGCGAGCATTGCCTGGCCGCCTTCTGATGGACCATGTCAATCAGTCTCTGCCACTCAGCACGCCAAATTCGATTCCACCTCACCGCCATGGGAGTCGAGCACCGCTGGTCCAGGCAAGCAGCGTCCTTTGCAAGAATATTCGCCTCAACCAATACACAGTTGGCTGAACGCTTCCGTCCTGCCGAGCCAGGTGATTGTGCCGCCGTCTCACTCGCATGCAGAAGACCAGGACGAGGACCTCGCTCGCTTCGTCGAGCCAAAGCAAGCGCCAGGTGTCAGCCTCCGCAATTTCCGCATACAGTGCGCCAGATACGCCACCATCTCCGACATCGCCGTGTATTGTCCGGCTGGCCTGCATGACGGTGTACTTCAATTAGCAAGGTGGATACGAGACGCCCAGGAGCAAATGTACGAGGAACGCATGATACTCGGACTCGGTAGCTTGAAGTACAACGTCTTTGTCGTGACTGGTAAGTGTCGCCATCGAATCTCATCGAGAGGCTGCTCCTAATAACGCCTCGTGTCTTCGCTCTCAGACCCCTTTCTAGCCTTTGAGCGCTCTCACCAACACCTGGTGGCAGTGGACAGTAAAGGGATTCGACGGCATCACGTCGAGTTCAGTGAGCGCGAGCGCGAAGAGATGCAGCGCCTTACAGCAGCAAGCGAAATTGACGATCACGTCTGGGTGAGCTCCACAGTCGCTGTATATCTTGCACTCTTTCGCTCATGAGGCTTACCATACCTTCACATCACTTCGGGTCAACGCCACAGATGGGCTCCACCGCCGACGTTCCCCTGCCCAAGCCCGAAAATGCAGGGCCGTATCAGCTTGACGGAGTCGACCATGCTGGAAGAAGACCGCAGGAGTCGAATCCCCTAGGCTTTGCAGTGTGCATCGAAGCGCATGACGGCGCAGAGATCCCACAACCGACAAAGTTGAGCTACGCATCGCACCTTCTCGACAGCATGGAAGCTACCGCTGCATTCGAACACGACAGCAAGCAAGCTCTCCGCGATCTCGAAGAGGACGATGCGCTCGAAGCACCCGCTCCTGCTGCCGAGCGACCTTCAGTCTCTCTTGGTCCCTCTGGCTGGACGCCGAGTGCCATCAGTCGCATTTGCAGAAGTGGTGGACGTCGCATGCTATCTCCAAGCAAAGACGGCTTTGGTCACGACAGGTCGTCGAGTCCACAGCCCACTACACCCAGCAATATGCAACTGTTCATAGCTCCGGATAACGTCATCCATCTGGAGCTACCGTCGTCAAAGACGAGCTTCGAGTCTGGCGCCCAAGGCAGAGGCCTTGAATGCGCCGTGGAGGGAATCTTGAACCTGTGCGCTTGGATCAAGAGGCAAGCTCAGCCTCACGACAAGCAGTGGCCGACTAGTCATGTGCCAAACGGCTCGACTTTTGTGCATGGAGCACTCCGTGGGCACGGCTCGCGCACCTCCAGTGGTGCTCATCCCTCTCTTATGCAGTCGACAACGCAGCAGCTTCCTCGACGCGTTTTGCTCCACTGTGGAGATGGATACACCGAAACGTCCATTCTTGCACTCGCCTACCTCATGTATGCGCGCGAGCTGTCCCTGCCAGATGCGTACCTCGATCTGCAGCAGCGCTGTGGACGCTCCTTCTTCGTCTACGGTCGCGACCTGCCTTTCCTGAAGCTGATCGAAGACCGCATCGTCGCACAACGCGACTCCATACGCAGACAACGAGAGGAGCGCGATCGCGAGATGATGAACCGATCCACTTCACCGTCCATTCGTTCGCCAAAGGGCAGGCATGCATTCAGTTGGGGACTCGCTCACGATGAAAGCGGGCCTAAGAGATCGGCGAATGGCTCACGCCGAGGTAGCAGCAATCGTCGTGATTCCTCCAATGCAGGCGCAGACGACGGCCACTCGGGCAGCGCCGTAGAGCAGAGCGTCTGGGCGCGTGGGCTGGCTGCAGCCTCTGGCTTCGTGTCCAGTTCTCATGCTGCAGCCAGCGTTCGCAAAGCGCCCTCGACTCCTTCACTTAGCCCTCAATCTCCTTCGCCGGAAGTACGCAACCGCACGCCAACACCACGGTCTCCCAGCACTCCACGAAGCCCTGAGAAGCACGCTCGTCACTCGAACAATTCGCGAACGCCAGCTGCAGCACCCTCGGTCGACCATCGCTGGTTCTACGACGGTCGCTTCGAGGGTTCTTTCCCTTCTCGCATCCTTCCCTTTCTCTACCTAGGCAATCTGAACCACGCCCTCAACCCCTCCATGCTGCACGCCCTCGGTATCACTCATGTGGTGTCCGTAGGCGAAACGGCGCTGAATCCACCGTGGGCAGAGGTTAACGCGACCGTCGACGATCGTGGCACATCTATGGGAGCGGCGATGCCTTCTTTACCTGAGCAGCAAAACTCACTTTGGCACGAAGAGCGCGCTGGTCGCATTTCGGTCTTGGATCTCAAGAATGTCTCGGATGATGGGATTGATCCGCTCCGATCAGCCATGCGCGAAGCAGTCGAGTACATTGAAAGTGCCAGGAGATCTGGAGGCGCAGTCCTTGTGCACTGCCGCGTTGGAGTCAGTCGCAGCTCTACAATCGTCTTGGCGTACGTCATGGCACACCTGGATCTGAATTTGGTGGAATCCTACTTGCTGGTGCGCTCGAGGCGCCTCAACATCTTGATCCAGCCCCACCTCTTGTTCTTTTGGGAGCTGCGCGGCTGGGAGACCTACTTGGCCCGACAGAAAGCGAAAAGGATCGCACTTCTATCGCGCAGCAAAGGCAATTCGCCTGAAGAGCCCATTGATCCGCGCCTACTTGATTCGCTCTCCAAGATCGAATTTGACACTGCAAACTCGCCAATGATGGGCAAAGATGAGCATTCTCAGGCAGCGAGGGGTGACTCTGAGGTCCATCCCGCGGTGCGCGATGCTTTCGATCTGGATGTCGATCTTGCAGCAGGTGCCGGAAGCATTCACCACAACCCCGAAGGCATCAACCCTCAGACGGCCGCTGTCATGCCATTCGGAGCCGGCAGTCCGAGCGGCATCCCGGCTACTGCTCTACGGCTCACATGGGGCTACTTGTGCCACGAAATCACCTATCTCAATGAACGCTATTTCATCTAAAGCAAAGCCGACAGCTGCTCGACCGTCTCGATGAAGGTTGCTGCGAGCCTTGGCCGCTTCGAGTTTCTCTTTCCAGTTCCAACTTGCTACACTCATCTCCAAGCACAGCTTCATATCCAACACCGATGACTGCTCCTGCCATTTGTGACTCGGCTCCTTCGCCTGCAGAGACCGGGTCACGAGACATAGACGTCCCTTTTTCATGACACTTTCCCCTCATCCACACTTGCACCAAGCTCGTCCAGTCGTCACCCATCGTCCCACTTCTCATTGAATATCGATTACCGTGACCTCATTCTCGCTGCATACTTCTCTTTACTTGAATACGAGTCATCCGCTTTTCCTATCCGCGCATCCACTGTATCTCACCCCTCTCTTCTTGGTGCAATCATCAGCCGACGTTAAAAGCGCGAAAAGTCCATGGTGGATGTTTGGTTTGTAAAAGTGCCGCAAGAGACTGATTCGACCCACGCTGACGCGCGAGGTATGTGTTGAGCTCGCGATGCCGTTGCTTGTGCTGCGAGTCGATCATTCCTGGTCTTGTGGAAGTTGAGTTCTTCGAAACTCGACCGCAGACCAGGAAGCGAATAGCAGAGAGCAGGACTTCAAAGCCCATGCAGAAGTACCGCCCCGCACATCGAGCACCTCTTGCCAGCGGTGAACCAGCACGAGTCACGAGTGGCGGGTGCGCAGGTGGGTGGGCGTCCGCCTCCACATGTACTGTACGGTATTGCGAGCGCGTGTTCCTGGCCAGTCAGTCGATCAACCCTTACGCACAAACCTCAGCAGCTGAACCCTGGCATCCGCCTGCATCATCGCCCACCGACCGCTGCTTTGTGGCAGCGACCTTGCAAGCAGACGCTACTTTCAGCACCACATAGACGCGACGTCGGACATCTATCCCACCCAGTCTGTACGATCGCAGATCTAGAGTCGACACCAACGAGAAGCAGACATGGCCCCCCCTTCGCTGCGCATCTCGATCGGGTGCAGCGTGGACGATTTGAAAGTGTACAATGTAAACAGCGAAGAAGCAGCGCTCATCTCGACGGACAAGTTTCAAGGTCGAGTCGTCGTCAGGATCAAGGAATTTACGGGAGAGGTGCCGCCGGGAAAAGAGAGGATCGCTCATACGGAGTATTTTGACGAGGGGGTGGGCAAGGGAAATACGTGGAGCATTCAATTGCAAGGTGAGCAAGCCATTCGCTCGACGTGCTGGTCGAGCCAGAGGGGGAGAGAAAAGGTGGGCTGAGACCCTCTGATGATCCCTTGAAGGGCGCTTTTTGAAGGACGTGAATGCAAACGACTTGGTGTGGGGCAATCAAGTGAGTGCGAGTCGTCGCATTTGGAGTGATCTTGGCCCCTTCTGACCAGTTTGATGGCCACTTGCGAACAAGTTCGAGAAGCCCATCCGGGTGAGTGGAGAGTTGGAGCAGCTGTCTGGAAGCGGAGAGCAAGATTTAACGAAGCGCTGTTCATTGCGACCCCGGGCTTTCAGGACATTCTGCCATGGGGCACGTCGGTCGCTCTGAATGCGCTTGGGTACATTGATCCGAACCTGAAGCACGACATCTATGCTGACAGACCGTGGGCTTTCAGGTGAGAGATTGGCCAGCAAGAACATGAGTGCCGCACATGGAGTGCTTGCTCCAGAGCGCTCATCTGTTGCTCATCTTGCCCGTCAAACAGCCCTCTCATCGCGACCATGACGCGCGTCAACGTAGCTCGCGTTCCAGCAGCAGCGGAAGCCAAGACGGCCGAAGATGCCTTCAAGTCAGAAGATTGGCCCCCCTTTCCTCAAGGAGCAGTCAAGGGGGGTGATGGAAGCTACGTGCACGACGATACTTCGGCCCTCTTACTCAAAGAAGGCTCTGAAGAGATTGATCCCCAACTGGAAGAAGACGGCGTGGCCGATTTATCCACCGTCAGATCACTCAAGGGAGGCAGAGGTGGAAATGAGCATGCTCATCAGAGGAGAGCTCAATTTTGGAAAGAGCACGTTAGGGAGAGAGTCTTGATTGGTCGCAAAGATCTCGTCACAACCACCACGTTCGACAATGGCTTCATCGATTTCAACAGTGAGCAGCAGCCAGGGAGATCAACACGCTGCCCTCTTTGAGTGTGGGCCTTTGCTCACCTCCACATTGCATCTTGCATAGCCTTGCGTTTGGAATTGCCCTACACGAACGGTATGGGCTTCGATCGTGAGTACTGCGGTCGGAATGCGGAAAAGTACGAGCTGATAGCAGATGGGCCCTTTTCTTCCCGATTCGCAATCAGTGAAAAAGTATTGGGATGGACAGCCGGTGCGCTTCTACTGTAAGTGGCGCTTGAGCCCCGAAGACCTTGTCTGTCAATCCCAGCTGCGTCGAGCGTCTGACGTGCAAGCCCAACTTCCGACTCCGCAGGCAAAGATAAATCCGACGACACCGTCTTCTTTGTGGTCGAGTTTACAATCAATGAGCTCAAGACGTAGAATCCCGCACCATTCCCACACTTCGCGACCTACTTGCACAAGGTTGCCCGCGCATGTAGATGGCAGTAGAACGTCTGTCCTCGAGGGCCTGCTCTTCAGCTTGCACACAATCGTGTCTTGACCGCGGATCTGAATGCGGTATGCTATTGATGAAGGGACTTAAAGTACATCTGCGCCGGAGCTTCGACACGGTGGAGCAACTGTGCCGGATCAAAGCGGTCCATACAATTCATTGAGCGTCGTCGCTGATCCTTGCGTTGGCGATTTGTCTATTGTGCAAAGCGTCGCGCAGGGCCTTCTCTGTGCCGTGGTCCTCTGGCAATGTAGTTCTCGGGATCAATCGCTTGGCAAAGTTTCCCTTTGACAACCTGACTACGCTGTTGCCTCCCTTTCCGCGCATGACTGGTGGTTCCCAATCCTCTTCCACCAATCTTCTTTGACCCGCTCTCCTTTTCATTCCACGCATAGGTTTGATGGCCGTTTCACCGAATGGCCCATTTTTACCTAGCGCCTTGATCTTGTCTTCGTCCACCCTGTACTGACCTTCTACTTGCTCGGTAGCTACTAGCCTGGCCAAGTGGCTGGATGCGCTCGTCACCAGTTCCTTGAGCGCATTCGGGTTGAATTGAGTCACCTTTCTCGCATTTTGACGCGTGAGGATAGAAAACCTTTCGTCGTCCACAAGCCTCTCCTCAGAGCCTGGAGCGACAAGTGTGGGCTTGCCCTTCGACCCGTCAAGCTTGAAAGCCTCGAGCGCTTCGCGTGCCAACGACCTCGCCGTCACTTCTAGCCTGACATCTGATGCGCCATCCACAAATTCCAGAAGAGCTGTCGGAGCATTGTCGCCAAAGCGATTGCCATTGAGGTGTAGTCTCGTATATCCGCCTGGTCTGTCCCTAAACCTCTCGGCCAAGGACTGCAACTTGGGCCACGAAGGCTGCAAAGGATTGGGCTACATCGAGGCAGCGTGGAGATGCAGGTGAGGTGTGTCAGCGCGAATCGAAAGCGCAAACGCCAGCTTTCAAAAGGATGAATCCGCCTTTGCTGCGGTCCTTCCTCAGCCCTGACTCCGGCTCCCCTGCCCTCCTCCTTCTGTGCTTCCACGTTTCTCCCATCTTACGCGCGATAGCTCAGCAATGTAAATTTGGCAATTTGGGGTTTGTCCTCCAGTGCTCACTCGAAAGGAGCATCGGTTCAGGTCTGTGAAATGATTTTCATCTTCGCTTTTCCCTCCAAAGGTTTCGTATTGATCCCTCAACTCGCACAGCACACCTAAGCACCCTTGCCAGAAGGAACTCACATACAAGTAAGCTCTAGCTCTGATACCTTGGGATGAATGACCAAGGTTCGCCTTTTTTGCCTTGGTGATGAGCTTTTCGGCTTCTCTTTGCGCTTCTTTCGCCTTGGCCACTGTAGTCTGAATCCTCTCGTGAGCCACTAGCGAGGTGACCAGATTGCGCAAGAGGGATTGTCTGTGCGAAGCTGCGAGGTTAAGGGGTTTGGGGCATCGCATCAGGCTCAAATTGTGCTCGAGAAGCAACGGCAGGCAGCGCCAATGAAAGCTGAAGTTGGGCTCAAGGAAGCATCGCATCTTCTTATTCGACTCACAGGTCCGACTGAGCTTGCGGAAAGCAAGACCCTTCATCTTGATTGCCGAGGCTGCGAGAGGGAAAAGGGTACTTTGGCGGAAGGATGAGAATGTGCCGTGTGCTTCCAGTGCAGCTCAAGCCGGTTAGCATGGCACGTAGGCAAGCAGACAGGATTTGGGTCGTGAATCGTGTCAAAGGAAGCTGCCGCTTTGATGGCTTCGGCGGTGACACCTACTGACTGGTACGGGTGTGAAGATCGCAACCTTGGAGCAACATGCAGATGCAGCAGATGCAGTTCAAAAGGAGCGAGAAGCCTGTACGCAGGCAGGACTACGCGCGCTTGCCTGCACGTGGCTTGGCAAGCTTGCACAGCGCCCACGCCGACCCGCCGACTCCCGTGCAGCCTGCACTCATCTGGCTCCACTCCCCCTTCATTCGGATTCAAGATTCGCAGCCATTCTGATGGCAGTCTGCTAATCCCACGATCTGTGAGACTGCAGCACGACATGATCGCCTCCTCGCGCATACGAGTCATCCAGCACAGCGATCGCAGCATGTCAACAGGACAAATGATGTGCGACTGCAGAGATGTCGCAGGGGGGGGGGGGGGGGATGATCGCGCGCGGGTCTCGAACAAAGCCTGCCTTGACACACTTGCGTGGCGATTCACTTTCACACGAGGGCACGATCGCGGGACGAGTGACGAATGAAGTGAATTGCCAGAAGAAAAAGATATCAAACGAGACGTTTTAGCCAAAGACCTTGCCCCGGGCCAAAGGATCATCTTTTCTATCATCCCGAAGCTTCTGCCTCTTGGCGAGCACGTTAGCCTTCGCCGTCGTTCTCTCCTTGTAGTGCTCTCCCTTTTTGCGTCTCTCCTCATGTCTGACCGTATTCGGGGACAGATACTCCGGGTTCTCGTACAGCGTCGCTCCTCCAAAACTACCCTCAAAGATTCGAATGGGCGTCATCACGAAGCGCGGACCAATCTCTACCAGCGTCGGTGGCTTCTCGTCCGCATCGCTCTTCTTTGAGTGACGCACTTTGGCAGTCGTCCCTTGCGAGGCTGCTTCTGCCGCTGCGAGTGCCGAGGCGCCAGGATCGGCAGCTGCTGATACGATCTGGTAGTTCCTGAACCATATCCGCCCGTCGAGGACAGAAAAGGAAATGACGTGGTCGATGAAAGGTTTTGATCTTCTCGCACCTTTTGGCACCGCGAATGCCTGTGTGAGAAATAAGAGCCTCGTCAGATCGAGGTCGCAAACTTTTTGTGGTAGAGTAGGCCTAACGAGAAGCTCACCTGGGCCAGAAGCTCCTTCATCAAACCCCAATGTGGAACCTCATCGAACGTCTTGTCAAAGCTCAAAACGTGCCGGCTTCCTTTCAAGCAGTTTCCAGTCATCTTGAGTTCGTCCATCGTGTGCACATTTTGAATGTGCAGCTTAGCGCTGGGGCCGTTGGGCGTCTTCGAAGTCCACAAGTACAGATCCTGGTGTTTCCGTGCTTCGAAGTAGAGGGTATTCTGCCGCACCGAGCGAGTCGAGGTCGGTCAGACACTTGAAGCTGCATGCGTCATGGTCGGAGATTGAGGCACTTACATTGCAGTTGTTCAGCTCGGCGAGCTCGTTGAGGACGTGCAAGTCAGATTTGGAATCCAATTTAGAGTCTGTATGCGTACGAGTGAGGCATGATGAGCACTGCACCCAAGCGCAATAGCTCTTCCACAGTTTGGAGCGAGGATGGCAGACCACACAGTACGCTCATGCGAGCCAGCCCTTCCCCCCCCACCCCCCTTTTTCCCGCAGCGCGTGCTCACCCTTTTTTGAGTGTGGTAACAGCGCTTCGATATCGTTGACCAAGTGTCTCATCCTCATGGTGACGCCTCTGGATGGGAGCAACAGCACTCTTTGCTTGTTCCGCCTGGGTGCAGCCGCACTCGATGTGGAAGTGGACGCTGCAACCTGTTGCGCTTCCTCGTCCACCTCCATCGGCTCGACAGCCTTTCGCTTGCCATTCGCCTTGCTCTTGGCCGCAGCGCTAGCAGCAGCTCCAGCTTTGAAGAGCGACGCCATGCTAGTCAATTTTCTGGGCGGATCAAAGGCGATCTAAGGTGTCAGTCTGCGATTACATGGACGCAGAGCAGCAAGTAGCGGAAAACAAAAGACGGCTCAGAAAGTCAAGAGCAAAGCATCGACATTGGGACCTCTTGGCCAGAAGCCGAGCGGACGTCGCAAAGAGGCAGTGTGTGTAGCCTCTCGCTGAACGACACAGAGGCAACCAACGTCCTAGTTTAAGAGGTGCCAAATTGGAGCGCATATGTGCGCGGATCATCTTCGCCGGTTTGTTCTCTAGTCGTTACGAGGAAGCACACTCACTCGCTGGTCTCGAAGTTGGTACAGCAGTAGATGGGCAGCTATCGAAATTCTGGGACGTCGTCGGCTCAGTGTGTGTCGAATCTGGATGGTGTCAATGCTCGTGCGCAGTGGTGACGGAGTAGGAGGGAAATAATCCGGTCGTGAGCGGACAGGTTGCTCGTGTGCGAACCTCGAATTCAAGATCGCATCAAGCGAACGCAAATCAAGAATCACGAATGCGTCGGAACCAAAAAGTTTGGGCGGCTCCCAAATCACGTGACAGCACACACCACCACGCCTGGCGAAGGATCGAGCATCAAACATCGTCCAGCGACTGACTGACTGCCTATGACACAACAGTTTGAGTCAAAGTCATGCGTCACAACAGATATGATGCTGCAGCGCTCGGCCAGACGATCCGACCCAAAAAGGACAGGGGCCGTGGCTAGCCATAGGCCTGCAAGGCTGACCACGCTCACCGCTGCTCAGTCCATCCCGATCTGGTCGAGTCATGCTCGAGAGAAGCGATAACAGCATATAGGGACGTAGTTCACAGTTTGCCTTGACGCTACAGCCAGCTACATCGCACGCTTGCGATTGAGCACTCCGACACTCGATCAGACTGTGACTTGCGACTGCATGACCCATAGCGTCGCATGGAGTCACTACTGATCGATGGTGGTGTACAACGCCGGCCGGGATAGCGTCCGCATGTCTTGAGTTGAGGCTACAGCTGGGTCACGCGTAAGTGCCTGCGTGCGACCTACTCGTGACCGTGCTTCGTTGTGGCGCGCGCAAAGACAAGCGTGAAGCCTCTAGCGCCGCAGCATGGCGCCAAGCTGCCGTTCGAGCAGCACCTGCAAACCGCTCACGCGACGCGCTTCAAGCGTTGGAGCGGAGGGTTTTTGACCACGTGGCTCGGCTTGGGCGTCACGCCATGACCTGAGAGGTTGCGCGCGCGCAGCCTGGTTGGACATTTGCTGAGCGAAGCAGAGCGCGGGCACACGAGCAGAGCTGCTAAAGGCGAGGCGGCGGCAAGCTCGACCTCGCGGCAAACGTCAGCGTGTGCAACGGCGGGCTGGGCCAATTTTGAGTGGGTGGTGCGCGGCCTTGCTGCTACTCCAGTGGCGTCTGCAACGGCCTACGCTTGCGCATCTGCTCTGCCCACTCATTCAAGTTAAGCTTCACATACTCTCCACCACCCTAATCCTTCGAGATTTCATACTCACCTTGATCAAGTGATTACCAACTCTACGCTCTCGCAGCAGACTACAATTCCAAAGCCGCAGCTCACAGCTCCGCGACAAGCTCAACAAGATGGTTAGTATCGTTTGTCGATGCTTGCTTTGTTGAGGAATTCGGGTTGGGCACGGCGCCCAAGTTGCCCAGAGATGCTTCATGTGGTACGATGGCATACTTACAGATGGAAAAGCCCAGCTAAGCCTGTGGAGTAGCGTGGCAGTTGCTGTTGCAGTCTTGATATAGATACAACAGTTGCGTTTCCGCGAGGGCGGTCAAGGGAAACCAAAGAGCGACGACCCCTCACGTAGCACTCATGGCAACTTCCACTACTGCTCCGAGGCCTCTGCTCGAGCCTCGCCAAGTGCGAATGCGCTCAGCCGGTACAAGCTAGCAGGATGCAGCGCTGTGGTGGCGGTGGATGGATGCTACGAGGGCGTCATCAGCCTAAGCGGCGCTGTTCATGCCCTATCATCGACGCCTGGCCAGACCAGTATGCTCTGCCCTGGATCCCTCTCTCCCTCTCCCGTCGCCTCTGCAACTTTTGCATTCGGGTACTGACTCGAGCGCCTCTTCGTCCCTTACAGACTCTCGCCGTCGACCTCCTCAACCCTTCCGCCGAGCACCAGGCCCGCCAACACAAGCTCAAGAGGCTGGTACAAAACCCCAACAGCTTCTTCATGGACGTCAAGTGCCCCGGCTGCTTCGCCATCACCACCGTCTTTAGCCACGCCCAGACTGTCGTCCTTTGCGGATCATGCTCCACCGTCTTGTCTCAACCAACCGGTGGTAAGGCTCGATTGACTGAGGGTGAGTAGTTCATAAGCAACGCCAAGATCTGGTTTGGGAAGCAGTGACGGAGGCTTGCCTCGGCGGAAAGGCTGCAAGCGCACTTGGCTTGCTTCCACACTTAGGCCGAATAGCGCGCTGACATTTCGCTCACTCCGCTGCCAACAGGCTGCTCTTTCCGCAGGAAGGCATAAATGTGTTCAGGACGCAGTCATCCGCTGGCGATGAGAGACGACGCGAGACTTCATGAGCGACGATGGTAGCAGCTTTGGAAGCATCAAAATGTTCAATGAGGGCATACATCCGGGCGGTGTGATTGAGGACGAACCAACCAAAAATGAAACGTTCAACGACGTCACCTTTTCTCTTCTTTAATCCACTTGTCACAATATTTTCTCTCTCCCTACCCTTCCTTCTCCTTCTGCATGCCCTCGACAAAGGGATTCAAGTCGCTCAACTTCGGATCTTGACACGTTCAAAAGCAGAGCCGGACGGCCACCCGTTCTGCTCGACCGCTCCCAAAATATGACCCTCGCACACCTGATCAGACTTCTAGAGCCTGCTCTGAGCCATGTTCCTCCGCATCACACGTACACACGCGCCACTCACACGTACGTTCATACAACGATTTCGTTCACAGCAACACATGTTCTCCATCCACTTCGTACGCAACGTGGCTTTGTTCGAATCACTCGTGAAGCGTTGGTGAGAGTAGCATGGGGCCTTTGTGATCTTAGCCTGACTTTTCCGCGTGCTGCTCGACATTGCCTGCACCTGAGAACCATGGCGCTTGACAGCATCAGATTGATCTGCTCGAGGAGCAATTTGTGGCTGAACGGTGCCGCACGATTGCATTACGAGATGGGAGACCGGTCGTGTAAAGTCATAATTCTTCGCGAACAAGTTTCCCAAAAGAACAGGAAGAAGAAGAAGAAGCCGTAAGACGGTGCCGAGAGGGGTCTAGTCGTGCGAGAGAGAAAGAGGATTGGGTCTGAAGGTGGAAAGGCGCGGGCAGAGCAGCATGGCGAGGTAGCGGCAGGATTCTAGGCTCAGTATTGTGGACCGCGAGGTCTTGTAGCGACCACGCCGACGAGCACAGCGACGCCGAGGAAGCCGATAGCAGCAGGCAAAGCCATGTCCTTGGGCAAGAATCCAAAAAGGAGTTCCTCCTCCTTTTTGGGTCTATGTTTCCTGCTCGAGGGTGTAGCCCTCTCGCCAACCTCGTTGATCTCAGCTTCCCTCTCTTCTTCCTCCTGAACGCTCTGCAATTGAGCTTCTGCCGCTTCTCTCGCTTTGCGCTTGTGAGCTGCTCCTGCAGTGCTCAGGTTGGAGCTGGTGGTGGCTTGCGCATGAGCGCCTGCCCGAGCCGCTGCCTCTTCCCATCCTCTGCCTCCCTGCAAAAGCAGTACCACACGGTCCCTGCCTTGCTTGCGAGCCACTTGAACCGCGTCCAGAACGTCCCCGTCAGCTGTGATGAGCACAACATCATCCTCATCGTCAGTGTAGGCCAAAGTGAAATCGTTGGCATCGGGCGGAGTAATCGGAGTGGCAAGTGGAGCTGCGGATTGCTCTCCATCGTCAGAAGCTGTGACTGCCTGTGCAGGAACGTTTACTTCGAAGAAGGGGTCGCTCTCCAACTTGATAAGAATGATCTCCCTGATGGTGTCAAAATTGTCGTAGCGCGCTTGGAAACGGTGTGTCCTGCCGCTAGGCGTGACGAACTTGAATAGGTAAGTCCCATCATCTACTTCTGCGGCTGCGGCAGGGTTCAAGCCTGACGGGAAGTTGACGCCCGAGATGGCGTCGTCGTGCTGCGTTGGCCCACCAACAGCGCTGGCGCTATCGTTGGGATGCAGATCGGAACTAATGTCGAATTTGCTCGGGGTGGCTGGCAGGTCGTGGCTTTCAAGTCGGTGGCTGCCGCTCATCGCGCTCTCGGTATCTTCCGCGCCACCACCAACGTTGCTGGTGGACTGTCCAAAGGAGTTCCAGAAGCGGTTCCACATTGGTCCTCCGCCACCTTCACCGCCAGACTCATCGTTCATGCTGTTGATTTGCTCCAGGGTGGCGTAGGTGAGCTTGAGCACGTCTACCACTCCAACAAGACGCGACTCGACATCTACAACAGGCAAGTTGAGGTAGCGCCCATCTGCGCATCCGAGAGAGTTTTCGCCGCGTTAGTTAGGCGGTCCAGCACATCAACCGAAAATGTCAGCGAAGAGCTGTAAGCTCACCATGCATCTTGCGCAGAGCCTCCTGAATGCTCAAGCTTGGAGGCGCAGTGTCCGGGTGAGGCGTCATAACGCGGACCACGCTGCACGTCTTGGGATCGAGCCCAGCAGCAATGACGCGCAGAACGACATCCTTGCTGGTGAAGATACCTGCAATCTTGCCAGTGACAATGCCACCTGAGCCGCCGATCGCACCCTGCCCTGGTCCTCCAGCGTTCTCCATGACACACACGGCGGTGGTGTGATGCTCCTTCATGAGCTTCGCGGCTTCTCGAACGGTGGTGCGCACCCCAACAGTGCACGGCAAGGTGCGCGAGTCGAGAATGGTGGTCAGGTCTGGAATGCTCATCTTTTGACGCAGTGCTTCGACATAGGCAAGCATGGGGTTCTGAGCGCCCCCCGAAACGCCTGCTCCCCATTCGCTCTGCACGCCCTCAAGCGCGTTGTAGAGCTTCTGACTGCTTCCATGAGCACGTTCCAGCTTCTCCAATGCCTCGTAGAACACCTTGGCAATGTCGAGCAGACCAACGACATCGCCCTCGTCATTGCAAACTGGAAGATGCCTGAAGCCTCGCGTGACCATCGTGTTGAGCGCATCTGTTGCGGACGTCGTATCTCGAGTGACCATCGGCGAGCGCGTCATGATAGCAGATACTGGCGTGACGCGGGCATCAAGGTTGCCAGCTACTACCTGCAAAGGAGCTCGGAGGACGACTCAGAAGGAGCGGACATGGTATGCTAGAGCGTAAGTCACTCACTCTGAATGCGAGATCTTTAGCTGTGAAGATCCCTGCCAGGTGCTCGTCATCATCGACCACAAGAACGCAATCGGTGCGCTTTGCAGCGCACAGCTGACTCGCATCAGCGACACTGATGCTCTGGGGCACTGTCAATGCCGGAAGGGGCCGCAAAGCTGAGACGGTGCCAGCCACCGCAGCAGGCCTCGATGCCTTTCGGTGGCGTCGTGAAGAGGTTGGGGCGGCAGACTTGCCGGCTTTGCGCTGCAGGTCGGCTTCGATCTTCTTGCGGATCGCCTATGACAGGCGAACGCATCGAGTAAGGAGCGCTGGGTCAGCCTTCGACGTCGTGAGTAGCACGTTCAGCCTGCCCTCACCTCGTCCTTTTTGCTCTGACGCTTGCGCGTGTCTGTCTGATCAGAACCGACGGAAGGACCGTTGCCCAGTGGGCTGTTCCTGTAACTCGTCTGGCTCATGGTGTCCGGAGCCAGGTGGGATGAGCCGAAAGGAGTCGGAGAAGCGATGCGAGAAGAGTTTGGAGATGCGTGAATGGACTGGGATGGAGACGAGGCTCCTTCGTGATTATGACCTTGTCGAACTGGTATCCTGGACATACGGCCAAACTCGCTTTGCGGCAGACAGGGAGACGCGTCAAGAACAACTTTCTGTGCAGCTGCTATGGTGCAACAACGCGAGAGCGAGAGGAGGCAAAGTTAGTGCAGAGGTATGAAGAATTCTTGAGCTGTACTGTCTAGCTTGGAGACAACTTCTGGGTGATAGAGGATTGTGATTGGCGTGCGACCCTTGGAGTCGGATCACGACACTGAATCACGAATCTGAAAGGTGAACGAAGCGCCACGCCCCATCATCAATCTTGACGAGTCACGAATAATACATTGCGAATTTCGATCGAGCGCCTCTCCTATAGCTGTCGCGTAGCTCAGACCGTGACCACCGCCGTCGTGTTGTTGTTGTTATCCCACCCCCGCCACGGTGGGCAGCACAGCATGTGACCGCGCAAGGTGTGCCCGCAAACACGCGTGCCGTTGTGGGCTCAATCACGAACAAGCTTGCGCGCGCTGCCCGGGGTCCGTGTCCTGATGGGCTCTCCCACGTGGTCTCCGCGGGTGTCCTGATTTTCCACCTGACGTTGTGCTCACTCACCCGTGACGCGTGACTCTGCACTCATCCGACTGCTCACGACTACTACTGTTGACTCGTGCGGACTTTGATGCGCGAGTGCATGCATGTACTGCTGCATGGTAAAGGACCCCCCCCGGCCTGGGTCAGCGACCGCGACGGGCTCGTCAAATTCTAATCTATGGATGGATGAGATTCAAGAACAGTGAAATCTGTTAGCTTCGTGCTCATTATTGCGAGTTGCATGCCAAGACAACGTCTCAGCACAGTCACGAGTCTAGCACAATCCAAACAGCAGCTCGCACATCTCTTGCGTGATTTACCTCAGCACTGAGCTGCTGCTGCTGCCTTCTGCTCAATTCCGGCAGACTTGATAAGACTGCCTCAACCTCTTCGCCGCAATGACCTCGCCATCTCTGGGCTTCCTCAAGTTGTTCGCACCACTCATGAAGTCGTCGTAAATTGTCCGCGCGAAATTTGCGTCAATAATAATAATATCGCGACGCATCGCCAAAGCCCCCGCACCTCCACGCCAGTCCGTCGACGAACTCTCACAACCTCCTTCAACCAAGACGATCACAGCGGCAGCGTACGACCAGATCACTCTTACATCTGACTCATAACGCAGGAGTCCTGTCTCCGCACCCCACGACCCCGCCATCTCAAAGCAGGCACACATTCGAGCTGCACCTGCGCCCAGAGCGGAGTTCCAAGGCATCGCCTGGAATAACGTCGACCCAGCAGCGCACGCAGCAGCAGCCGCATTTGGTGACCCTATTACTCGGCATACACTCGGGTCTCACCCGCTGCTTCTCCTCACGCACCTGTGAGACTTGTCCAAAGCGCCTCTCTCAAACAGCATCGACACATACCCCAGTCAAGTCGCTTCTTTCACGCTCAATCTCGATTCCTAACCCTGTTGTCCGGAGTCACAGGATTTTGCAGCGAGGTACGCGCGGCCAGCTTCCTGCCAGCCTGTCTCGACAGCTCTCTACACCTCCTTCCGATTTCATCTGACAAGACACAGAACGTCGTCACCACAACGCAGTTCGCGAATGCAAAGCGCTCTTCGTGAATGTGCTGATACAGTGGGCCAACACAAGGCATCATGTCAATCGCAGCGGAAGCGACCCGTTCAGGGGTGATGGGGCACGACACAGGTTCGTCTGATCACCACGCTGCGGATGATAGTCATGGTGGCCCCTCGATACTCGGGCGAATGCAGGACAGGCGGACGCCGCTAAAGTTGAGCGAGCGTATCTGGTGAGTGCCGTCTTCATTCATACAGGAGATCTGCGTTGCAAATGTCCGCTCACGGCAAATGTTTTCTGGACGTCCCCAACGTGACAGGGTCGCTGGGACGTTGTCTTTGATATTCTTTCTGGTGCTAAGCGTCCAGTACATCGTGGTCATCTACTACAAGGCGACGCCTGCCATGGTTCTGGCAGATCTAGCCCTTGTGCTCGGCCCCTTCAACGCGCTTGCAGGATTCCTTCTTTACAACTACTCCCTGGCGGCTTTGAGCTCACCGGGCAGGGTGCCAAACGGATGGATCCCATCGATTCCCTCTGGGCCAGGCGGTTCTGATGAAGGCACCGCAGCCGCTTCAGAATTTGTAGAAGTCAAGAAGAGCGGAGCACCGCGGTGGTGCAAAGTGTGCAAGGCTCCAAAGCCGCCTCGAGCACACCACTGCCGACAGTGTCAAAGGTGCACCCTGAGAATGGATCACCACTGTCCTTGGATCGCAAATTGCGTCGGACACAGAAATTACGCGGCATTCATCCGTTTCTTGGCCGCAGTGGATGTCACATGCGCTTATCACTTGCTCATGCTATCAGCACGAGTAGCTGATGCCTGGGGCGGTGGAAACATGTATGTCAGTAATTGCTGTGCGTGCTCCTATCCCCTCAGCCTGACCTACTGACCATGGCTCCCTTCTTGCTGACTACAGCGGTCGCCAACGACGCCGATCATGCTGCTGATGGTATTAAATTATGCTCTCTGCGTGCCCGTTCTGCTCCTCGTAGGCATGTTTAGCATGTACCACTTCTACTGCGCCGCTAACAACTCCACTACCATTGAAGGGTGGGAAAAGGACAGAGTAGCGACTATGGTTCGACGAGGACGCGTCCGAGAAGTGAGTCAAGTGTCAGTGAAGCTTCCTCAGGGGCAAAAGAATTCAAATCTGACTCTTCACCTCCCTCTGAAACAACTCAGATCCAATATCCTTACGATCTAGGCCTAGTACGAAACCTACAAGCTTCACTCGGCAGCAACCCCTTGCTTTGGTGCTGGCCGCAGCCAACCCCAGGCGATGGCTTGCATTATCCCTTGCGCGACGGGGCGGGTGAGTCAGGCGGGATCGAATGTGGAGCGGAGGGACAAGAGGAAGGCTGGCCCTGGAATCCGCGCTATGCAGAGGTGATGCGGAAGTGGGCGCGGGAAGCTCGAGCATCAGCCTCGGGTGCGAACGTGGAAGACCCCGAATGGGGTGATCACTGGTCAGACGCGCGTCAAACATCCAGAGATCGCCCCAACGACGGTAGCGCGTGGGATGCACTGCTGCGATTGCAGAGCCGTGAGCCAGCGAGCTCCGATGAGACGCAGCCCTTGGTGTGAAAGCGCGCATTGCGTGTGTGGGGGCGATGCGTACTCTTTCACTGCGTGCCCGTCCGCCGCGCCTGCTGAAGACGGACACGCGGTGAGTAGCGCAGGGGTCGCCGACTCAGGGGGCAGCTTCAGAACCCAGTGGAGTCTTGAGGCGGACTAAGCGCTGACCGAATTTTTCCCCCCAATCCTGCGACCAGATCCAAAAGACGCCTACAGGTGGCCGCCCAAAGATCCGAACAGGCGGAAACGTCTTCACGCCCACGACCCTGGCACTGCCTTCAAACTACCCGAAAGTGGACCTTTTACTTACGGAAACGGGTTTAATCCAAAGCTTCAGCCAAGCAACGGTCTCAGACGGCGGATGCAAGAGACAGAGGGGGTTGGCAAGGCTTCGGAAGACCAAGCACACCACGCAACGGGTGTCGACGCGCTACAGCGCAGCGCTCTGCCGCCTTACCACCCAGACTATGAACCACCTGGCCTATCGGAGGAGGTCGAATACATCAACACTGATGCTGAGGCCGCAGGTATGACCGAAGCAGGCTGTCTACCGAGTGGCGCGGAGCATGGATCTCGACGGAAAGAAACCTTCCCACAGATGTGGGCAGACGACGACGAATCAGAAGAAAGTGTCACAGAGTCGGGATCGGAGTACAGCCAGGAAGTTGACATGTTCTCTCGCTCTCGAGTACGTCGGGGTAGCGAAGGATACGAGGTCAGACCGAAGCGATTCGACCTTACCTTTTCACACGATGCCACTTGGCAAGTGGGCATGGATGGAGGTGGTGTAGGCTACGCATCGGATGAAGAGGGCGAATACAGCGATTACGGGTCGCACGGCGCCCAAGAGCTGCGCGGATCGGGCGGACGAGCGACTGGACGAGCGTCTTCGCTTGCCATGGGGAGCGACGATGGACGAGTGAGCGATTTTGATGAAGATGAGGAGGGCGACTGGTCGGAGAGAGACGCCAGAGAAGAACAGCTGCGCAAACAGCTGCACGAAGAGAGGCGCAACAAAGATTGGCAACCTGCCTACGACCCGCCAGAGAATTGGAGCCCGACTACGACTACCAGCAAAGAGGCGAACGGCAGTGCGCTTGCCAACAGCACGACGGTAGATACTGCCAACGCTGATTCCGTCCAAGCGCCGGATTCAAGACCGTTATTGCCATCAGAGATCATGAGGAGGCGGGTGGAATGGCATGCTCACATGGCTGCTCTAGCTGCCTCCGAGGATGAAAGTGCCGCAAGCACTGGTCCCATCGCTTGAATCCCTCGCCTAGCATATGTTTGGTGCTGTCAATCCACCTTCGTCCCCCAATCAAGAATGTCGAGCATCCCATCTCAGCAACGTCAGACTGTTCCTCACCACTTTCCGATGGCACCGCAACACTAGTAACCACAAATGTCACGAGTAATACTACACGAAAATTGGCCGCTGAGCTTGATAACGCTGCCTTCAAGAATCTCTCTCGCTGACTGTTTTAACAGATGTTTAGGGAAGAGATCTTTGAATGGGCGATGCTCGACGTGACTTGAGCGAGACGGGCCGTGCTGGGATGACATGCACGCATGCAGCAACCACCATAGTACGTTAAGCAGGCACTCACGCTAGCATGGGAGTCTGAGTCACTAGTTTCCGCATACATGTACAGTCAAATGAGTACAGCATCAGATGCCATCATGCATGCAGCAAAGCGGCAGAAGCCACGTCGCTGACTCGCCATGCATATGACATCACATCAGCATCATCCAAGCAGCAAGCGCGGCTGCGCATCGCGCAGTCGACGCTTAATCGCAGCGTTCAAGATTCTGTCAATCACGAATGTGAGTGCAGCACTGCATGGGTGTACCGTCTTGAGTTGTGGGGTGAAGAGTGGGCGCGTGCGACGGTGTAGGCCGGCCCAGCCTACCCTGTGGGCTATCCAGCCGCCGTGTGCGCCATCCGAGTTAGGCAAGCAAGCAAGCACATGCTGGGCTGGGCTCATTAGCTGACCGCTATACGATGATCGCATACCGCTGGCCAACTGTGGGGCTGCTACTTAATTGCATGTGCGGTGTGCACGTATACCAGTCACGAGTCCTAAGTGTGCAGATCGCGATCGAGCGAGCGCACGGACACTTGTTATTGACTGTTGACTCATGATGTGAGACTCGGCTGATGCGTGCACAGACTTTGTCCTGACATGCATGCAGGGCCTTCATCGCTGCAGGAATCGTGAATATGCTGCGCTTGCGTTATTGCTTGCTTGCGATCCTCGCAAGGCCATTAATATGATCATGGACCCTTCCAGCAGCAAGCCTCATTTCCACATAGCCGCTAGCCGCTTGCGCTCTTGACACATTTGCTCAGCAGCAAGCAGCCCTCTGGCGCTCGTTCGATCGTGCTGGCGCGATGCCTGCTTCGAGAGGTTCGTGCCGCACTCGTGACGCTATACGCCTCTAAGATTTTTTTATTGGGATCGTGATCAATCGAGCAATCTGAATCTGAACAGCCCGCGGTCCTGGAGCCGGACATATAGATATATCTGTGCGGGTGCGATGCTGCGACCATTACAAGGAAATATGACCAGCATCAAAGCGTGCAGTAGCAACGCATGGCGGGCTATTTGATGTCAATAAGGAACTTCGCACTTTGAAGGCGCATGCGGCGTTACATGTGGCTGTCCAGGTGATGGAGGTGGAGGGAGGAGCACTCTGACGTCCTTTACTCTGACTGCAGCAGCAAAGATTCCTCAGTCAGGTAGCCATGCAGCTAGGCTACCTGCGCTCCCAGACCAGACCGACGCCAGACGCGAGGGCTGACATTGTCGTGGGTCGATGCCAAGCCGTGCCTGCTGTGCGACCGGCCATCCTCTGATGAGCGTCTGCTTTCAATCCACCATCATCCATCCATCGCTGCTCTGAGTTCGCTCAACCGACTGACACTCGATCACGATCTGCCTGCACGCTTGACTCAGAACACGACCCCTTTTTTTTTTCCGCACACACACTTGCCAAGATGAACTCTTTCGTGTGGGAAAACGTCGACACGCTGCTCAAGAAGCCCCCTGTTGTGGTGGTGAGTACGACGAGCTGGGGTTGGAAGCCTGAGAGCGATCGAAGCTGTATCGACGCACAGCCTGGCTCACTTCTGCCATGCACACTCCACCAGCCCGAGCCTATCCCGCCTACCTTGCATCATCCCGAGGCTTTGACTCACAATGGTCATCTCATCCTGTGGATCGTCTTTGGCCTCTTCTCCGTCGGAACCGTGGCTTCCTTTGCCGTGACTTACCGCGAGCCTTATCGTCGTCGCTTCTTGCCTTCTCTTGGTCTCCTGGTCAACATTATCGCCAGTGAGTCGCATCCTTCTCTTGCTCGAGGTCTGACCCCCTCTCTGTGCATTTGCCTGACACCCGTTGCTTTTCGGCAGCGATTGCCTACTTTTGCATGGCCTCTGGAATTGGCGGCACCATCGTTCACTCTGGTGGACCTCGTTCTGCCAAGCGAGAGGTGCGTGGATGGGGTCGAAGCTTGCACATGCACCTGCATCAGCTCACACAATCTTGCGGAAAATGTCATTCAAAATGCAGGTCCTCTACGCTCGCTACATCGACTGGCTCTTCACCACTCCCCTTCTGCTTACCGAGCTGACCTTTTTGGCCGGTCTTCCCGCCGCCGAGATTGCCAGCACTGTGGTGGCCGATGTGATCATGATTGTCACTGGTCTCTTGGCAGCTCTGCACCCTTCCCTTCGTTACCGATGGGGACTGTTCACCTTCTCCCTGCTCGCTTTCCTCTTTGTGCTCTACTCGCTCGTGGGCAATGCCAGATCCAACGCTTTCCTGCGCGGCAACAAGGTGAGTGCACAAGGCCTAGTCCTGCAGAAGTTCCAAACAAAAAAAGGAACAGAATGCTGATCGACTTGTGCTTGCACTCGACTTGCTTAGGTCGGAACGCTCTACAACTACTTGTCAGGCGTGCTTGTCGTTGCCTGGTCTGCGTACGTCGTTGTTTGGGCTCTTGGCGAGGTGAGTGGGACGCTCGTAGGGTGATATTACGCTACTTGAAGATGAGGGCACGTCACGCTGACCGGACGATGTGGACACTGTGCAGGGTACGGGCATCATCTCTGCCGACTCCGAGGTGCTCGCCTATGGCATTCGTGAGTTGCGAGGTATGAAGTGTTGGGCTCATAGGGAGGCAGAAGGACTGACTTGAGCCTTTTACGTGTCATTAGTCGATGTCCTCGCTAAGCCGGTGTGGGGCCTTGCACTTGTGCTCGCTCTTCCCACGGAGGCTGAGGTACTGCTGCCAGCTTGGGCTGCCACCCCCGGTGGCGGCTACGGTGCTGTTGCTTCTAGCGAGACGGCAGCCTAAGCTTCACACTGCGCTCCACGACAGTGGGACAGCGAAATCTGCCGAGAATTTCCGACGCAATCTTCTTGTTCGCGGTTTTTTCTCTTCTTTTTGCCTGGCATCTGCAAAGCAAGTGGAAGCTGATCACGTCGGGAGTGCACTCTGCTTTCTTCTTTTCTTCTCACTGAATTTCTGTTCAAAAGGAGCAGTCGTCCCGCTGTGGACAGCTCTTCGCTTCGACCCGCCTCCGCGAACTTTACTTCAACGTATGTGTATCACGATGCTTTCTCAAATAAGCGAGACTTTGAACGCGTGCTGTCTTATCAGGCAAGCGATGATGCAGCTGCGACTTCGGCGCTAAGAGCATCCTCGTTAGACATCGTGTGTTTGTGGCAGTGTGGAGTTTGCTCGTCTCTTTGTCGAGAAGGTGAGAGCCAGTGCGACGAGACGATGTGCTCGGGGGAAAATTTTCCCGAAATGGCACACAAAAGTGTCTTGGGACGTGCGTGCGTGCGTGCGTGCGTGCGTGCGTGTGTGTGTGTGCGTCTTCGAGGACGAGCGGAACGCGGCGGCAATCGAAGGTACGCGCCAAGCACGACCAGCTTTTACAAACGCCAAGCCGCGACGGCGTCTTCGACGATGGGTCGAATCAGCTTCCTTCCTCCGCTAGCGATGTGGTGCGTCCAGACCATCCTGCATCAAGTACGAGACGAGGCGAGGAGAAAGGGAATGCATTAGCTGTTGAGAAAATCTTCATGTCTTGCCTAGCACAGGTGACAATGCAGAGTCGCACTCACTGTCTCGCAGTGAGCTCCTTTGCCCTCTTCCAAGGCTGAGCATCCAAAAAGGGGCTCTGCTCGACGGCGTTCGAAATGATCTGGAAGAGCTCGTCCGAATCCTTTTCCGTCAACTTGTCATTGGGACGAACGACGAGAACAATCTCCCTCGTCTTGATCTTCTTGTTGTGCGAGTCGCGCTCCTTGAAAGAATTCAAAGCCAACGTAATGTCCGCACCGATCTCTGCTCGGGCATTACGCGATGAAGATTTGAGTGCCTTGGTTGTGTTGTGAGAGAAGAGAGGAGACTGATCGCTCACCTTCTGACCACTTTTCTTCCGTGACGAACCAGGCTTGTGTAGTGTTGTGCAACGTTCGCTCGATTTGGTCCTCCAAGGAGATTGGGATGGATGCCAAACCTAGATGGACGTTGGGTCTGCCTTCAGGCGTCTCTACCAAGTCGCCTGTGAAGGGCAAAGACGGAGCGCTGGTCTGATTAGCTCCCCCACAAAAAGGGAAAGGTGTTGTGCGCAGGCTCTCATCTCTGACCTTTCCAGTCGCGCCGCAAAAGATCCCGCACGCCCAACTCTTCCAGATCTTTCTTCGCCTTCTTCATCTCGCTGTCCAGACGATCCATCACATCGTACAGCTTTTGCTTGCTCCAGTTGCTACGCTTCAGCAACCTTGCAGCTGTGAACTTGTCCGCCGGCGTGCCTTTGCTCAGTCCATCCGAGTCCAGCGCGATTGCGTCGCTGCATTCAACGTTGGGCTACCGTTAGGTTGCGATTCGATAGGCCTCTGGTGTTATCTAAGGCGACTCACAGGATCAGCTCGACTACCTCGTGAGGCATGTGATACTCTCCCTCTTTTCGGCGTTCTAGTTCGTCCAGCATCGTCCGGGCTACGATGGTGGTGCAGCTAGCGGTGCCCTCAAATAGGCGAGGCTTGGCATCCGGAGCAGCTCCTCTATCCCTATGATGATCAAAGATGGAGCGAATTTTGGCCTTTTGCCAAACGCTGAGAGGAGCGGGGTGATCCACCAGAACGATGCTCTTCAGCTGTTCCGCAATCTCTTCGGCAGGCAAGGGCAGCTCGTCGATGGTGAGGAGATCACGATGTCCAGGCGACATGAGGACATTTCTCAGCGCCAACTTGTTCTCCGGCCGAAGGTCCAATGCATCTCTAGGAGTCTGCAAGAGAGCGATGGTCTTGTTCGTATCGGCATGTTGGTGCGAGAGGTGATAAGACCAGGTCAAGGCTGCCGTCATGCTGTCCAGGTCTCCACCTTCATTGCCCATCACCAAGATCCACTCGCTCGCTTTGCCATCCCGAACATCGTCCACGAAATTGCGCTTTTGAGCCTTGGACCATTGACTGAAGTGACCCACTCCTTCTTCCGATGCCCAATAAGCCTCGTCGCGGCTGTTCTCGATGGTGTTGGCAGGACTAGGCAAGACCAAGGGGAACTGATGTTGCCGACTCGGCAGACTCAAAGCTGCCGTCGCAGCACTCAGAGCAAGCAGCGCGTAGCTTGCCAGACGCATCTCGATTTAACTTGCGGATGATGGCTGTGGTGGACTGCGTCAAGAGGCGAAGCAGTAATCGGGCGGGATAAACGATCGATCCCACCCAAAAGCGGGGGCGTGTGAAGGACGAGACAAGAAGAAAAGCCGATCGAGTGATCTGGATTCGATGATGATTGCTCGAAGCTCGCCGTGATCAAGCGAGGCCGTGTGGCAGCAGCCACAGTTTGAGTCACGAGTGAATTTGCCCCGCGCGCCCCTCCCTGCTGCTGAAAGCTGCCTGTCGATCTCGGATCTCTTGCTTTGGTCCCCCCTGCATTGTGATTCACGATTTGATGGGTGCGGGGCAATCACATGTTGTGCGGTACTCACACTCTGACTGTCTGACAGCAGTTCAGCACAGAAGTCAGATACTATACGCGGTGTAAAGGTATCGTGACTATTATTGTTATTACTACCACTATATACTCGTGACTCGTATACTACCACCACTCGTGACTACCACTCAGGACTACGCTACTCACGACTCGTGACTCAAGACTGTAGGTATCCATGACCGCATGTCATCCAGGTGTGGCTTGGCATGGCACCCAAGCGCTCGAACCTTCGTTCCGGCAGTCACCATGCAGCGCCATTCACGATTGTGATTCACATTCATGATTGTGATTATTGATTCACGAGTGATTGCTGCGTGGTGGCAGAGCCACGTGCGGATGCATGATCCGCCGCGATGCGCTCGACGCACAGGACACCTTCGTGCTTGTGGTATACTCTTGACTGTAGGCGGGACGGTGACTTCCGCGCTCAATCAATCTGCACGGGCTCGATCGAGCTTGATCATTCATGATTGATGAGACTTTGATTCGTCGTGCAATGCAACGCAACGCAACGCAACGCAACGCAACGCAACGCAACGCAACGCAATTGCGTTTTGTGAATGCTGCAATCACGAATCAGTGAATGTGAACCTTTCCGCGCATCTCTCATCGATCAAGAGTCGTGCTCCATGGCTGTCGCCTGTTCTTTGACGTCGAGCACGTAGACCTCTCTGGACGGAGCCTCATGAACCACTGGCACTCACGTTTGGCTTGACTCAACATCACTTGTACTCCAGACGCGTCCATCTGTCCACCGACCACGCGGACGAACGACCATCACGACACTATCACGACATTCGCCAGCGCCAAGACATGGTCCTCTGAGCTGCTCCAGAGAAATTCCCCTCATCGAATCTCCAGCTCGAGCTGCTCCACATTCTGCCTCAGGATGTCGAGTCACGCCCCTTCTGAAGAGGCCAAGGTTTCGACTACACCTTCGACGAGTCATCCCGTGCAATCAGATTCAATACTTCCGACTACCGCCATTCTAGTGCCTCTGCTGCTCCTGCTCTGGCGCAGTGGACCATTCAACATCTTGCTTGTCATCGCATCTACAGCCGTGCTGCTGCTCTCACCATGGATCCGCTTATTGCTGTGTCTACCTACAAGCACGTCAGACAAGCCATCGATGGCAGCTTGGGATCCAGCACGTTTCCTGCCGCTAGTGGGTCCTGCACCTCCTCCGCCCGCGACATCTCCACCAGATGCTGGCGCGAATCAGAAAGGAAGGGTACGACCACGGGCAAAGAGGCCGAACAGGATGAACGACAGCCTGCGCAGACCTTTGGACGAGCTGACGGAGCTTGTGGTGAGGGACTTCGTGTGCAGCTGGTAAGTTGCGGGAAAAGACGGCGCATGCAAGCTTGAAGCAGGTTGGCTGACCAATTTCATCCGCACTGCACCCTTCTGTGCGTGCTCGACGCAGGTACAATGGCCAGACGCTTGCCCACTCATCTTTTCCGCGAACTGCTCATTTCACGATCGACGAAATGGTCGATTCAGTGCATGCCAGGGTCAGCAGCAGTACTCGAAGCGTGGACATCGTAAGTCTCTGGTCTCCATGAGTGATGCTATCGTGCCCAACACAGGCTGATGTGGATGAGGGTCGGAAAACAGGCTTCTGAGCTGCTTCATACACTTACCTCGGTCATGTACACGGTGCTCAAAGCAAGAAGGACAGTGCCGCCCGAAATACCCTCTCAGGGCATCTATTCGACCTCCACAGAGAGGACAGACAGGCTCAGAATAGCGGTGGAACACTTCTTCGAAAGACATCTTCCTCGCGAGGAACGAAGCAGCTCCTTGGTCCGTGAGCTTCTGAGAGAGATAGCCACGAGGAAGTTGTGGGACGTCATTGGCGCCTGCGGTGATCGTGAGTCGTACAGTGCGGTGCGGCCCTTCGATGGCAAAAATGTCGTGATTCTGACTTGTCGATTACTTCTCTTGATGGCTGCAGCCGATTTTATCAATCGCAAAATCGTCGAGTGGGGCGATAAGCAGCAGGAGAAGCAGATTGCCCATCCTGTCGGCGTGGCAGCGCCTTACTCGGGTCCCCGAACCCCTTCGCTTGATGTGGATCCAGTCCTACTGGGTCAAGCTCGAGCTGAGGCGCAGTTGGAAGCCTCGGCTGCACCACAAGCTGGTGAGCTGGCACCTCAGGACGAGGTCGTTCCTGCTCCCGACGCTCCCGCAGCCCTTCCGACGGCACAAAGGGCAGCATTACAAACACCAGAACAGACATCGGAGTCTATGCGCCCTGCGATCAATCCTGCTGGAGGCGACAGTGTATCATTGAAGTCCAGCCTCATGGCACCATCGCCTTCACCCAGTCTCACCACCCAACAGCCTCGACCACAAATGGGCATCATGGCACCGCCCATCTCGCCCGGACCTCAGACACAGCAGCCTCGAGCCAAGGCCATGCCCAGTCCAAGCGTCCGCAGCTTCATCGAAGCGGAACACCAGAATGCGACACATGCGTCTGCCGCTCCTTCGCCGACGGCTGGGATGCACATCGCAAGCCCTAGTACGTCATCTCTTCGGGGTCAGGCCCGCAGTCCAGCTCCATCCTCGGATCAGGTGCGGTGCAGTGGAGAGCAGAAGCGATCGCTGGACGCGCTGCCAGAGTCACCTTCGTACCACCCGAGATCTAGAACGACGTCTCACATTGGCACGCAACCTGCTCGAGCGCCTCTGATGGGTCCGCCGCCATTGCCCAATCGCAAGCCTGACGCAGACTCGTCCAGACCTAAAGTGCAAGATGAGAACTGGACGCCGCCGATCGACCACGCTATGCCGTCTAACATCCCATCTAGCGTGCACGAGCCCGATCTGCCCGCCTCTTTACGTGACTCCTTGACCTCGGAGGGTCAACGAGATCCCCGCTCGGTCACTTCGGGTGACTCGGCCTCTAACGCCGGGGAAGCAACTCCTTCCGATGACGCGTACGTTGGGGGTTATCGCATCGCAGACGAAAGTGCCTTGGAGCAGCGTGATCACGAATCCCGTTCAGAAGAGGGGAAGCAGAGACACGAGGCCTCATTGGATTCTGAGGCATCTCAAATCCGACCAGTCCTTCCACCGCGGCCGGCGGACAAAGTTTCGGAATCTCAAACCTCTCCTACCAAGAGTGGCGCGCCCGTGCCTCGAGCGCCTCCCTTGGCTCAGGTACTCACTCGTTCAGACAGCGACAAGCTCGCCAGGCTGCGAGACGCCTTCGAGTCTTGGCTCGACCGGGGAGGCACGACGGCTGCTTCAGCCCCTGCAGGCGCTCGTGTGCAGCCGGGAGAAGGAGAGGCCTTGCTGCGGCTGCACATCGGCCTTGCTACCGTAGCGCGGCTTGGTGAGCTTGGCGAAGATATGTGCGCACAACGACATCATGCTGACTGATCGTCTTTGCTGTTCGCTAGTCCCGACTGATTCCGAACAAGGCGAGGTGTTCAGACCAGATGCTTCGTCAATTTTGACAAAGGCGCGAGAAGCGCTGTCATCCGCAAATAGCACGGGAGAAGTGAAGCAGGTGCTGGATGATGCTGTCCGACGGCTGGAGCTAGGCGAGCAGGAAGGCGGTGTACGAGAAGTTCTCGCGCCAGTCGAACGTGCTCTGTGGGCCAGGCTGACCGCCCTGTACACTGCTTTTTGGCAAGACACTCAGGCGGCCGCTCGCCAGAGAGCGGAAGGCAATGAGGCCGCAGGATCGAGCAGCTCAGCCCCTGGGCACGCTCGCACGTTGTCTTACGAGCCTCGCAAGAAGCCTGCGCCGGCTGTCAGCGCTTCCGCTGTACCCAACGGAGCAGCGTCCGCGCTGCCTGCTAGAGTCGCCAGTCCAGCACAGGCTGCCGGTGGCGCGCCCTCCGGAGGGTCACTCGAAGACACAGAGCCTCTCCGGTCCCGGCCTTCTAGCGTTGACCTGAAAAGGTCCTCAACTTCCAGTAGCGTGGCCCCGCATACCTCTAATCAGCTCGGCGTCACTGTCACAGACGTATCACCGAATGCTGAGCGCCCGAATGCGACTGTCGATCCGCGAACGCTGGAGCTGATGATCGCGGTCGAGGGTCTAGCCAATGACGCCGGCGGCTTCGTTTTCATTCGAAGGTGGTCAGAATTTGAGACTTTGGAAAAGGAACTGAGGAGAACGCTTACGATGGCTTCCAATCCGATATCTTATGAGACCAGCGGCGCCGCAGGGGCTTCGGAAGCGTTCAGCCTTCTCGATGGTCCCTCCAAGTTGCCACCACCGCCGGTGGAGTTACCAAAAGCTAGGAAGTGCACCAGCGCGGTGATTGGTCCCGCGGTTGAACGCTACCTCATCGGTCTTCTATCAAGCCCAGACCACGTGGCAAGTGCGCCGGTGCGCAGCTTCATCGACAAGACCAAGGCTGGCGCGCCTGCCAGTGCACGAACGAATTCCATCGTAAACACCTTGGCTCTTGGACGGGGCATCGGTCAAGGCGCGCAAAGATTCGCAAACGGCGTCGGAGGCTTCGGGAAGACTGCCCTCAGCTCACTGCAGCGAGAAGGTACCAACGCTGTCAATGTGGCTGCACGCGGGGTGGCAGCTGTGCCAGACGCTGCCAATGTGGCAGCTAGTACGGTTGCAAGCGTTCCGGCCGCTGCCTACAACGGCCTTGCACCAGTTGGGGACGGCGTGCGCGACGGCTTGGCTGGGCCCACAGGCACAGCCCAGCGTCCGTCACCGCTAACAACGCACGATGTGAAACGGTTCCAGGACACGCTTGCTCCGCCAGACACTCCGACTCTGCGTCGATCAGCCTCGGAAGAAGAAGCAGCGGCAGAGCTTAGGGCGATGACGGCCAAGACGCGAGCGGCTCAGGAGCAGCAGCTGCAAGATGCCGGACCTCAAGCTCCCGTTTCGGAATTGAGTCAAAGAGATTTGGACGCACTGCTCGCGGGAGTGTTTGCTGTGGCGGATGAAGCCTTTCATCTTTCTGGAGGATGGACGCTTCGGAGAGGCATGTTGCGCGTGCTCGAACAGGTCGTGCGCGCCAATTATGCCAGCAGCATTATGGGCGCTTTCAACAGCATGGCAGCTGCGCTCTCCACAGACGCTCTTGGCGGCTGGGTAGACCAAGCGCGAGACAAATTCTGGCCCGCTCCCGAGGGCAAATTCACCTTGCCTTATGAAGAGCGCACGCCAGAGATGAGGGCCGCTACGGCTAGGAGGGCCAAGGAGATCGTGGTCGCTTTTGCACCCGCTCAAGCTGGATACGTGCTCGGACCTGGGGGCAGACTTTCCTGCGAAAAGGCTCTGGCTAGGGTTCATGAGGAACTCACTTCGCCCATCGTTGCTTTGGACCTTGCCCTTAGCCTCGCCCTGCGCGTCTTGGACATTGCTGTACGATAAAGAAAAACAAAATTGCATGACTTGCGATGCCAAATCTATCGACAGACGTGATGCCTGCATCACCCACTTGGCTGGTCACATGGAGAGCACATTCAATGGAGGAGATGCATCCTGCACATGTAGACGGCCTGCGGGTAGCTGGACGATGTGCTAGATGAATTCCTACAGAGTTACGAAGCACGCCTCAACCTTATGCGCCGTTGCTCGCTGATTATGATCGAGTGCACCCCTTTGATCTGTGCACGCCGCCCCTGCCGTCTGGACGCTCAGCGAGCGCCTTACACTTCTCTCTTCGCAAGCGATTCGTAGAGCTCTGAGCGGTTGTGAGAGTGTACACAGGAGGTGCCACTTACACGGCCCCTGGAAGCCGAAGCAGGCTGTGTATCGTGTACCGGTGTGCAGTTGCAGCGCACTGCTGATCGGGCCGCATGACGCACCCGAGCGCGGGGAAGGCAGATCAGAATCTTGAATTTAAAGAGACGATGGACGAGATGCGGTGCACGACTGCATGATGTGCGCCATTGTGATTGAATGGGGCCGCGGGGTTGGCTGCGCGTTGCTTGCTGCTGTTCGAGCATACATGCACCGTCATCGGCGCCACGCATTCTGCCCCTCACTCTCGATCGTGCGCGAAGATTGAATCGCTACGCCCGACGGCGGGCCGACTCTCTCTCAATCAAATTTCGCTTCTTCCTCAACCAGCGCATCAAGACGACAGACAACAGACGACGACACATTCGCCTGTAACAGGCTGCTCCTTGCCAGTTCGCTCCTTTGAGCTCCATCGCGACCTCTACCATCATCACACTTTCTGCAAGCACAATCTCTGCCAGTCTCATCCCGAGAGCTCGCCAGCACTCAGGCTACCACACTAGTAATCACTTGGACCTCTATCACTCGCACCTACGCAATTTAAGATGCCTCGTTTGGAAGTCAAAGTAGGACCGGATCGCTTCCACATGGAGGCTTGTCGCGTCAACGATTTCCAAGCTCCTCACGAGATCGACACGGAGCACTTTTGCGGTCGAGTGCTGGTCCGTATCAAAGATGCTCCGGGAGCCAAAGAGGGCGAAGCGGGTCGAGAGTATTTCAGGGACAGATCTCGAAGGTTTTGCATTCAGATCGAGGGAAGATTCAAGAAATCTTGGGGTGGAGACGAGGTGGTGTTCGGTTCGGATTTCGACAAATTTGTAGATTTCCCCAGAGCTCCTTTCAATGCTGGCATGAGGGTGGCCAAGATCATCGACCCTTGCACTTACTACGAGGAGGAACCGCCTTCCAAAAGACCTTACATTATGAGCCCTGCTGTGGCTTGCTTCAACACTCTGTGCGCTTGGCCCGCTCCGCACAGGGCAAACGATGCAGTCGTCGTCCTTCGTCACACTTCTCAGGGTTCGAGCGGATCGAACAGCGGCACGGCACCCTCCTCTCCCGCTCTTGGCTCTACCGCACTTCCCGACGCAGAGGAGGTGGATGAGGATGTGGTTCCGCAAGAGAGCCTCAGCCCAACCGTGCCGGGAGAGGAGAAGAAGAAGAAGAAGTCGGGCTGGTTCGGGTTTGGAGCAGCAAAGGAGCAGCGCATTCGTCGAAAGTACTGGCAATTTGTTGGCTTTCGTGTGAGTCTCTCGACGGGATGAATGTCGTCGTTGGAGCGTCTGAACTCGCATGGAATCGCAAGCTTCTCCACCATCACCGACTCTGAACGCTAACCCTGCCCTTTTGTCCTTCATCTGCAGCAAGATCCTCGAGTCAGGGCACTGCTGGAAGCTCACCATGCCCAAATCCGCACTCAACCGCCTTCCAGGCCCAACTCGCCCGCGATTTCCGAGATCAAGCGCGCAAACAGCGTCGCCTCCTCCTCTTCAGGTCCCGCAGAGATTCAACAAGGTCACACCGCCTCTCATCCGACCATATCTCGATTGGGCACCTTCACTCGCAAAGCTGCGAGCAAGGCTTTAGAAAAGATTCCTGGCGTCGGGGAGGATGAGCCGACCACGCCGCCTGCTGGAGCGGTCAGAGCGCCGGACGAGGTCGAAGCTGCTGAGCTTGAGCTGCCTCCATCGGTCGCCCAGCCTCAAGTCGGAGATGGTCAAGGTGGCTCGAGTGAAGGCGAAGCTCCAGAGATGCCTCCATTGGCACGCATCACTACTGCTGTTCGCAAAGAAGCTACAGCTGCAGCAGAGACGGACGGGTTGAGGGATGGCGACTTCGACGTGGCGAGCGAGCATATCGGAAGACGCACAAGTCTAAAGAAGCCAAAGAGCACGAACCAAGCATCGTCGGATTGGCAGAGCAAGCTGGACGACAAGTTGGGATCTTGGAGATGGTCGGAAGCTCAAGTGGACATGATCGAAGACAATGCCTTTATGTTTACGCACAAATCCATCCCCGTACCCAGCAGGCGCAAACATTTTGCCAAATTGGAGCACAGGCAAAGCTTCGTGTTTGATCCGGACGTAGTGTACGGCATGTCCTTCTTCACCGACGCTTTCGACTTCAACACTTTTGCTCTGGGATTGGGTCCCGTCAGCCTCAACTTGAAACGTTTCTTTGAAGAGATGCCAATCAGGTACACGCTTAGAGCTCAAACGAGGGAAAATGTAGAGGAGCCCGTCTTCGCCACCATTAGCTTTCAGCTCGTCGACTAGAGGCGTTCATGAAACACCTCGTATGCCGCTTTGGTGCGTCCACCTCACCTCGTACTACATTGTTTCCTACATGCACTACAACTAGAGATACGCAATACAGACGGCATTAGCGAGAACGGCATCTGAAGGCTTGAGTCGTGCTATGCAAGGCACGAGGAGCGTGAACCACACACAGCATTGGTGGGCGTTGCTTCCCCGACCGAGTCATCATGCGATGCCAATCCTTGACCAGCACAGTCGCGCTTGTTCGCGTCGAATCGCCGTCGAAGCCCGAGGCTCGCAGATCTTGACAAACATTCACCGTTCACACGAGATCAGACAGCCGAGATGGCACAAGTCAGTGGGGGGTCTAAGAACTGATGTTCGAACGCAAAGTCATCATGGATGTAGTGATACACAAGATATGAGAGGCGCGTGTAGCGTGCTCATGACTGACGACGACGATGGTGGTCGAGTAGAGAGAAGAGCCATCAAAGAGCTTGATGAGGGACAGCACGCGTCCAGGGTGGCCTACACAGCTAGGCGCATTTAAGAGCGCTCGCCACGAAGACGACGGGCAAGGGCAATGTCCTTGGGCTGGATGGTAACACGCTTGGCGTGGATGGCAGCCAAGTTGGTGTCTGGAGATTTCATCAAAGGGTGGCGTCAGTATGCGTATCCTGCGCACCGTCGCTTGACGTTGGGAAACGTTGACTCACCCTCGAAGAGACCGACGAGGTAAGCCTCAGCAGCCTCCTGGAGAGCGCCAATGGCGCTGCTCTGGAAGCGAAGGTCGGTCTTGAAGTCCTGAGCAATCTCACGAACGAGACGCTGGAAGGGCAGCTTGCGGATCAGGAGCTCCGTGCTCTTCTGGTAACGACGAATCTCACGAAGAGCGACGGTACCGGGCTTGTAACGGTGAGGCTTCTTGACTGTTGAGAAGTGAAAGGCGGTGCATGGCAAGGACGGTAAAACGTCAGCACGATGAGGTGTGGTGCACGACAATGAGTGGTACTAGTTGACACTCACCACCACCGGCAGCGGGCGCGCTCTTGCGGGCGGCCTTGGTGGCGAGCTGCTTGCGTGGTGCTTTACCACCGGTAGATTTGCGTGCGGTCTGTGATGGCAAAGCACAATGTGTGAGCAATAAGTTGAGAGATCTGGACGACGAAATGCTAGTGCTTACCTGCTTGGTGCGGGCCATTGTGTTGACTGAGTGATGTTACGACGAGGTGTAGATCAAATGAAGTCGAGGTCAAGAGGTGCAGGTCGAGTGGGTGGGATGCGCGAGATGGATGCGGTGACGAGGATGTTGAGGACGATGGATAGATGCGAGACCAGGACAGGTGGCGGCAAGGAAGACGCCGAAAAGGAGTTGTGATAGGGATAAAGACGACGAAGATGAAATCGAGTCGTGAGTAGCGTGATGAAGATGTTGCGAAGATGTGATGTGATGAATGAGTAGTCGTGTTGCACAGTGTGAGTCAGTGAGGTGTGGTGTGGTGTGGTGTGGTGGCGCAGTACGCGGCGCGTTGGGTGGCGGTGCAACGGCGCGCAGGATGATATCAAGCCAGTCGAGGCGCGACAGTTCAAGTTGAGGTGGCGCGACGATGCCAACGCGCAAAACGCGATCAGGAATGCACCACGCGCAGTGAGAGGAGCACAGATGAGGGCGGAGGATGGAGGAGGAAGGGAGCAGGAGCAATGTGAGCAAAAGTTCGAATGGAAAGGCAGAGGAATTGAGAAAGTAGCAATACTTACGTTATCTTGAGGTTGAGATGGGTGATGTGGTCGTGAACATTGGAGGAGAGGGGAAGGGAGAGCAGATGAAATAGACAACTTT